TACCAAGATCGAAACGTTCCCGTACGCCACGATCGCAACAAAAGATCCCCAAGGGCAGTTTTGTTTGACCAGGCTTTATTCTATATAGATTAAATGCGTGAGCATTTATTGCCCTGGTGCGTGCAGCCGTCTTTCGTTTGGACGGTCGTGGTTTGGTTTATTCAAGTTTTGGAAGGCTTACTGTGTATTTCACTGTGCTCCAGAATGGCTGCCGCAAAATAACGTAAAAATAAGATCAGTATTTTTTTTTTCACATCTTGTACTTTGTTTGGGAACCATACATTCCAGAAATACACAAAAGAAAACAACACGGCTAACACAAACCATGACTCTACATTTTAAAGGCAGTGATCTGGCCGGTGGCCACCTCAGCATTTATTGAGGTTCCAACTATCCTATCTCTTCCTCAGAAGTTTGTCAGAGGGAAAACAGAGTTTCGACGTTCGTGGACTCTATCTCTTTGTAAAAAGCATTGATATAAGCAATAATTCTTCGACGCAGTTGCTAAAACATCCACAAAGACGACTCCGAGAAGGCATGTTATCGCTTCTCTGCTCAGCACCGCTCAGGACGAAGCGAGCCACAATAGTTGTTCCACAATAAAGTATATCTTTTACTGTTGCTTCTCTTTAATAATTTATTAGTCTAATAGGGTCGATAAAGTCACTATAGTTACTGACAGAGTGAGAATGGCAGGGCGTGTCTTTCAAACGCTTGGCCTCTAGCACACGCCCTATGCCTTCCGCCGGGCTTTAACTACGTTCGAGCTGCTCGAGACGCCGAAACGTTGTTCGCGCTAAAGACGGGTCAACTGAAGCTCCTCCCTGCCGTTCTCGTGTAAACTTTTGACATGTAGTCAAAGATAGAATATATGTTCAGTAAAAAGTCAACAGAACGTTTGCAGCTCTTCTATTGACACTGGCTACAGAAAGTCAAGTGAACATTTTCAACACGAAGTAGACAGAACATCTGCAGCTTTTCTGATGACACTGTCAACAGGAAAAAAAATCGACGAAGAATTAAGAGTTTACAGCTTTTTCTTTTGATTCAGGTTGTAGAAAATGAACAGAAAACTTTCAACAAGAAGCCAACAGACTTTCTGTTGACCATGTCAACAGGGGTCAAAGAAAAAACAGTCAAGTTTTCGCGAAACCGCCGACACCGGGAGGAATGATTGGCCCATCGAATACAACAGTACGCGGACTGTAGGTGGCGATCGAGGGAAGCTGTGGAGGCTGCATCAGAAAGCGCCGATGCCCCGGAGAGACAGGCTAGTTCTCCGAACGTATCCGGACGATTGCGAGATTGGAACTCACATTCTTCGCCGAGCCATAATTCCTGCGCGAGATGCTAACGCATTTCGCCGAGAATCAACGTAAATACAACAGCGATTCCGACATCTTTTTTTTTTTTTTTTAACAGGACAGGCTTTATTATTATTATTAGAAGTAACTTACTACGTGCTTTTGATTCATGTCTACAATTGTTCCTATTGTGAAAATCTCCAAAACTAGCTCTATTCTAGAAGTTTCGCAAGTTCTTGCCAGATCTGTTGAGAAGAGTGCTTGAAATGCTCCAGAATTAAGCAAGCTCTTTAGAAACTCTCGCTCAAATCAGGAGGGTCTAACAAAATGAGCTTCCGGAAAAAAAAAAAAAAAGAGTTGGGATGAAAATTTTTAAAAATTGGTGGGAGCCATTAGCAGGGGATGTCAAATTTGAGCCCAACGCAAAGAGAACGACACGGTTTGGCCAATTTGAATGACAGGAAAGCTTTAGCTTTGGATGCCAGGGATACTTTACTTAATTCCATCAAAGTGAGGCGGTGATGCATTCCTTGGTTAATTGGTACCATGCGAAGACAAACTGAGTCTATTCTCGGAGATTTTCTTTATCCCGTGGCCGAGTTATTGCTGAATAAACACATCATATTGATAAAGCATGGAACTGATTGTTTTCCCGGCGGTTTTCGCAAAAAAAGGGCTCCCAAAAGGATTAATCTCTTGGAACTAGATAATCAGGTTAGTTCACCTTGTCACATGATAAAGCACAGGAGCCTTAAATCTAAAAAAGTAACTGATCGCAAAAAAATAATAATAATAATACCACTGCAGCTAATAGCTGTTCGGGTCCCGCACAGTCCAGCTGTTTTCCCAACCTAATCATTACAAGAGAGCTGCATCCAGTTCAGTTGCAGTTTCCTTTTCCACGGTAGCTTTCCACCACTCAACAACTATCCCAACTAATCATGGCTACACCGCTGGAGCAACCTGTACCTAGGCACAGCGAGACGGTTCAGATTGGGTCAGTATCGTTTTATGGAGGCACGTTTCATGGACACACGTTTCGTCGACACTGCTGCATTTCGGGGCCCATTTCATCAGTAATTTTTTTTTTTCTTTACCAAGTGCTTAATAAAATCTAGAAGCCGCTAAAGGTTAGTGCGCGATTCGGACGAAGAGACATACAACACAGACAGTCCGTGTTGTATGTGTCTCTTCTTCGTTCGTGTTCTTGGTGCTTTTAAGTCATTTAGATCACAATGAACAAACTAGCCCAATCCAAAGTTTGAATTCACTGAAGCCTGTTTACGTATAAGCACCCCCCCCCCCCCCCTTTCTCTCTTTGTAAACAGGCGAGACGCAACATGTTTCTTTCGAAAACAGCAGGGTTTTGATGAAATGTCGCAAGGTGTCGATGAAACGTAAATCGACAAACTGACCTATGAAGAAATAGCATTCATAACAGCACGACTGTGTACTCAGGGCACCCATTCATTCAATACCTTTGGTAAATGCTGCAATCAGTCCAGTGAAATACCACCAGTGGCAAGGTGCTCCAAAGCACGGCACCCTTGGTCAATCTGTTTTGTGCTTCAGGCTAACAAGCGGCATCACGACGGTCAACAAGTTGGCATAGGAGCGTGTAACGAACAACTTCATTTTGGCGTCGTGTTTAGAAAGACTCCGGGCAGAGCACCGGAATCTCGTTACCATCTTTCCCCGTGCAGGAAATGGTCATAATTAAGATCATATTCTGCTTTTGGATAATATATAGAACAAATGCCCGCCAACGTCAAAACACATGCATATTTTGACGCTGTTCAAGAAAGCATGAAATGACTTCCTTGCCTAAACTAAACACTGGATGCAATATGGCACGAGAAAAAAAAAGTAAACTAAAGCAGCATTTTTTTTTTTGTTGAAATTTAGTATAAGCACGCATTAAAAGAAACTAAAAAGGCTCTTGAAAAAAAAAAAAAAAAAAGTTTGAAGTGATTTCTAGTCGTTTTATCCTGTGATTTTGAATATCACGTTCGTTTTCCCCGAAGATGTAACTAAACGCAAGAAAACACGAAAAACTACCGAGCAGTCGTTCCGTCGTAAAAGTATCTTTCGGCCACCAAGCGTGTACCACTCGCGTGGGCAGCGCGTGCAATTGCAATGCACCGACACCAGTCGCGACGTCCTTTTGACCTTTTTGAAAATAGCAAGAGTGCCCGTGCATCGCTTTGATAGGCACTGAAGATATGCGAGCGCGGAGATTTCGAACTCTAGATATGACGTCACGCTCCGGGAGGGAGGGGCTTCAGTGGTCCTCGAACATTTTCTGCAGCCTCCGTGCACCCAATTGAAAAGTGATCTCGATATTTGTCATCCTGGAGGCCAAATGAAGACGATTTGGGTTTTTATTCTAATAGGCACCACTGGATATCGACACAATAGTCGCTAAATGAGCCACTTGTCAGCAATATGCTCTTTAGCGTGCATTCGCAAGGTACAGCAGGAAGTTGTGGTCGATTAAAGGCGACTGCAGGGCCTTACAATGAAATAGTACCGTTTACAGCACAATCATAATGCCCAAGCAGTGAAAAGTGTTGTAGCAACAAAGAGCTGCTGAGAGGGTTTTTAAGTCTCCATGCCGCCGAGACCGATGTAGAATGCAAGGGCCTTGGAGTTCAATAAAAATGTGTAGCGTCGTTCTAACTATATATGCAGTGCTAGTGTCCGGTCCGAATGGCATTCGGCCGCAGTGTTTTGATGTCACAAATGCAAGGACGTAGAGCCGGCGATCTTTGCATGGGACTCGGGAGTGTACTCATCACTGTCGGGCGTTGGCACTGGATGATGCAGTATTTTGTAGATAAGACAGCGGAAATCAAGTTATTCTTGGCTCATTACCCTGGTGGGCATAATTGCAAACCAATATCATATCTGGTCCCTTTGTGTAGACACAGCTAATTGCTGTTGAGAGCAAACAATGACTCAGATACAAAATGAAACCAATTTTGAACTCTGTACTTTATTAACAAGGTTCAGCGTTTTCGGTATCTTTCTCCAAATTCGGGTTATTCGTTTAGTTTTTCACTTCGAATCGGTGATTTTAGTTGTCTAATTTCAATGCTAGAGACAAACTGGTGTTGATAGAGCTTACATTGCAAAGCATCCCTATAATTATTGCAGTCTTGCAATTTAAAGTTTATAAATTATAATATTGTCAATACTGGTAAAGATAAGAGCAAGGAATGTGGTTTCGATTAAAGGGAACAACCCCAAGGACAGTTTAGTGCGATTGTGTACCGGGTCAAAACAAAACGAAAAAAAAAAAAGTAGAGTAGAAGACTTTTGCGTGAAACTGGCGTTTTTTGTTGGTTTTTTGTTTCCTTCAAAGTCAACTAAAATTTTGTTTTTCGGTTTTCATCAATTTAGAGAAAACTGCCTTGGAGGTTAATTTTCGGTATTTATTGGTATATACCGAAAACACGGAACCTTATTTATTAGCTTGAACACTAAGGATTCAGTTTGATAAGAAAAAACTTAAACTTGTTGCATAAATTTAATTCTCTTTTATAACAAGCGTTTACCGCACGCATCACGAGTTCTACAGTTGGAACGCAGCTCGGCACCTGTGAAAGTCCCAGTTCCCTAAAGCGGCGACTCGCACGCAAACAAGTGCCGTCTGCAGAAGACGCAAAAACCAGGAACTTCGCACAATCTAAAACATGTGGCAACGCACTCTCCTCGAAGTCAACAAAATGCCCGTCGAAACTCGCACGCTCGTTCAACAGCAGAAGTCCTCCAGCCTCGAGAAGGCGTCCCGAAGAGTCTCGTAGACTCGCGTCTTGGACATGCCGATGAGCTTGGCCATTCCGCGCACAGTCTGCGTTGGGTACTGCTCGAGAGCCTCCACGACGCGATGCACGCGCCAGCGCTCCCGGTGGCTCGGGAATGCCTGGCAGCGCTCGTCGTGGCTCAGTTGGCGGAAGGCACGCACCAGGTGGGAACGGTGTTGCTTAGAGAAGCGCCACACTGCAAGGGACCCCGGGAAGGGCGCCATGAACGGACAAGCAGTCTACGGCACGATCGGGAGAATGTTTAAGGAATGAATGAAGGCCAAATCGCACATTTCCATTTGACTGCGACACATAGTTTGCTCTGCTAAAATAGAAAGACATGGAAAAAGCTTCCTCCGGATGCTTAGTGCTGATGCCACCGATTGGGGAGCTCTGGAACGCTCCTGACTTGTGCATGACTATAGTCAGTTACAGGTTAAAAGTTTTTGAGGGAAAGGAAGGCTGGGGAGGAGGAAGCAGACAAGATGCTGGAGAGGATGGTGCTTCCTCCTCTCCACTCCAGCATTCCGTTTGCTTCCTCCTCCCACAGCCCTCCTTTCCCTCAAAAAGTTTTCTTAGGTTTTAGATTTTGAGATCAAGTGTGTAGACTATCTGCGATAAGTGTCCCTTATAACATTGTCGGAACATTTTGAAGCCCAAGGTGATCAAATGAATCATAAAAAAAACTATAAAAATCTATGCTTGAGCTGGAAGCGTTTTAAGACTACCCGACAGGTGGCATTAGTGTGCTCGAGCGCAAATGTATCAGTTTTAACAGCACCGCTGGTGAGACTACTATGACTAGGCTCAAGGAGTTAATGCAAAAACTTGACGGTAACACAATTGCTAGAATTACGGAACTGAAATGGGTAGGCACGCGAGCTCACATTGAAAGCTATCGAGTATAAACAAAACCTGCAGTGCACATGTTTTTTTGTTTTTTAATTTGCTGTTCACCGAGCCATATTTTGCAAATGGTCTCTATATTTAGCACAAAGCTGTTTAAGAACCACCTCTTATAGCCGCAATGAAAAGCTTAATTTCGAGGTTCTATTTCGTTATGAACACAACGGTCACCGACAGGGGAAAACGGCATGGCATATCAGGTGAACGGCTCCTAGCATACATTTTTTGCTTTCTGGCATGCTTTGGCCGAGCATTCATGCTCCAGCTCACGAGACGCACAAGCGTTGTCGAAGATAGGAAACTCGTGCTGAGGGCAAGACAACTGAAACTCCTTTTTGTCACTTTCATCCTGTAGGGCACTACACTGGATCTCAAATAAGAAAGGAGCATGGAATATACATACCTGCCAAGTTCGGAGAAATAAAATCCGGGAGGATTTCAAATTTTGAAAGCAGGGGGGGCGGGGGGTTTCAAGAGAATAATTAACAACAAATTTACATGAAGATAACTTCATTACATTCATATTGCATATACATGCCTTGCATGTGACATCATATGGCACCGTACCAGCCGCCATTGCTCGGTACCACGCTCCTGTGCCCGTACCTTCTGCAGCATAAGTTTCGCACAATCGAATTTGTTCTTCTCGGCAAGCCTGGCGGAGAACAATAGGTTTGATGGTGCCAAATGTATGCCGCAAAAAGTATGGGCGCTGGAACATGTTACGGAGCAATGGCAGCAGATGTGACGTCTACGCAAGCCATGTATATTGCTCTGCTCATGCTAGCGAGATACAGCTGGGCCTCGCTATCATTGCAGCAGTTTGTTGCAACGGCAAAAACTCCTTGCATAAGTGCAGAACCAGGGGGAGGGGGTTCTTTGTATTTTTTCGGAGATTTTTTTGTCAATCGTACGAATTGGCCAAAATTCGGGACTTTCCCGTGTAATACAAGAGACTTGGCAGGTATGAATATCACTCTAGTCAAGGTATTCAGAATGAACCTGTCGGTGAATAAGCACAGTTACCACATAAGTGCAAACAAGCAACTCCAGCCCACGAAATCTGAAATGTTCTCTGCTTTAATAAAAACTTCTAAAACCAGCAACAGCCACATTACAAACAAGAAGTACCCCAGCAAGAGAAAAATGTATACCAGCGATACATAAAAAAGCAAGCTTCAAACACGAGACAAATGGGACATAACTGCGGCAAGAAGCATTGCAAGGAAAAAACAAATCCAACAGAAGGCAGCAGACAGAAGCTAGCTGTCAAAACATAACAAAAACACTTCTGGAAGCTACGGGCAAAAGTATTGCAGTGTAGACTACTTGAGATCATTCTAAACGCAAACACACACAGGATAATTGTTGAATCTTGGTCGAACTTCAGAATGCACATCTTCTTAGAGGATGTTCAAACGTTTGGTGGATTTTGTTTTGGATCAAACTGGTGCCTGTAAACAAGTGGAGGAGAGCCTTTTTCAAAAAGAAGCTTCACACAAAAAATATAACATGGATGCAGAGCAAACACCAAAGACGAAGAAGCGTGCTGATCTCACCGGCATCCTGTAGCCCAGAAACGGCGGAAAGCAGCAACAGCTTCAGAGGTGCATTATTCCCAGTTCTGAAACATAATTACAAACCCTTCTTTACTGCATTTGAACAAATGAGCAACTAAAGTTGCATCTCGGAAAAGTATCAGAAAACGTTTGAGTCATCAACACATTCTATTCAGTGTTGGATCTCATGCATCATCATTTGAGTTTCTATACACAGCGGGCTGCTAATTGAAAGTACTTTCCGCAAATACCCCAGTTTCAATGTCTCAATCACGGGCAATGTCACTATACAATTTACATCAAACAGGTGGCCATTTCAAACAGGTGAAAGAGATGTGACAAAGTGTGGTGCCTCTGCTTTCCCTTTCTTAGGCTACGAGAACCTGACAAGAATCCCAGATGTGTCATCGTTGTGAAATCCCCGAGACCAGGAAACACACGAGAATAACATACAAGGCTCACCAGCTTGCCTGCATTATTTCAAGCTGTTGACCTCTTAAACACTCTTTATGTGGCCTCATAATCAAGCATGACGGCGGCATTTCTGTTTTCCCCCCGTCTCTCCCGCCATCTGAAGCTAGCACATCGAGCATTGCCCGTTAAACAGAAAGTTCTGTCTACCATTTTCGCGTCAACTGAGCCCAGAAAAATTGTGACCACAAGACTGTGCCACGAGACCAAAACATATTGCAGAAAATGGCTAAACACAAGTACAAGCAGAGTTTTGACATGCCACAGTTTTCACTTGAAATCTTTTGATGCATTATGTAATGTATACAGTGCACGCTATGAGTGTTAATTAAAAAAAAAGCTAAGTGCAAAAATTTCCACAAGCATGTAATAAAAAAAACTGCAAGGTACATTCGAACCATTGCAGGCAGTGACTCTCTTGCATTTATTTAGTAAAGAGGAGCACAAATATTGCAAAATTGATCATTTAAATTGCGTTTGAGAGTTTATGCATTCACTTCAGACTATTGCTAACACAAGCATTCTCAATGGGTTTGCTTCGACAAAGGCTGTTGAAACTGAGACTGGCAGATGAAACTCTCCATAAACGGTAATTCATCATGCTCAGCCTTCATAACACCAGGCTTGAAGAAGCAACTGGAAGCATACCAGCAAGGGTGCATCAGCGGGGCCTCACAATCCCCATACTGCACACTGAAAGAAAAAAAAAAAAAGAAAAAAGGTGCCCGATATAAATAAGACAATAGCAAAGAAGAGCAAACAAGACTGAACACTCAGAACAACAATAAATAACACAGTCATCAATTCACGATCAGTGTTGGATTGTCACACGTCATCACTGGAAAATGATGGTTGCACACACAGGCATGAACAAGCAGGCTCACCTCTAGTTGCCGCAAACCTCCAGTGCTGCCACCTGATGCCCACCGGTCTGGCTTTGTGACCGCTGCTGCCCACACCAACTGTAAGCAAGCAGCCGAAGGCTGACTCCAATGGGGGAGGCGCAACAATCTTGTAACGCCACCGAGCATTACCTAATCAGAACTTGCTGAGTATCAACAGGTTAGGTCAGTGTTGGATCTCATTTCTCGTCATAAAAATGCTGAAAATCGGTGCCATCACCCAACTGTCCCAAGCAATCGTTGGCAAACGTCAGTAGAGCATCAAATGACTTCCACCTACTTACCTCAGGAAAGAACATGAAAGGATGACAATGTTGTTGTGCCTCGGCCTTCAAAGTTGATTGGAATGATGCCATCTTTCAAGGGGCTATAATCAAAAGATACATGTCACCATCAGTAAGAGTTGTAAACAAAACTGGCATGGAACTGTCAAACAATTACAAATAGGGCTTTGAATTTGGCAACAAATTTTGCAGGGTTTATTTTTTTCTCAGAAATTCAGTCTATTTGGTATGTCAGTCAAAAAAGATTGGCGTTTATAGAAGCTCATGTAATAAGACAGTACTTGGGCATGGGACTAGTTAACAAAGAAACCAGCATAAAACTGCTAGACAATTATAAATTATCAGAACTCATGTGTATCAACAGATTACAGACCAGCCTCAATATCAATCCTCAATGTGTTAAACAAACATTCAATAAATACCAGCATTGTAACCAGTGATTATCGGCAGATTAGGTATGTAGGGCCTTGTTTCTGGCAAATAAAATCATGGTTGTGACATGGCCACCAGTGCTAAAGGATGCAAGACTTGAATTCTCACAAATCAGGACAATGAGCTATGTTTGAACTGCCACGCAAAGACTTGCCTCTGGCAGAAACTTGCAGTGCAGGAATGTTGCCAATTTTCCTTCGCCCCTCGATCTTAAGAAAGCTTGCATAAGGTTGTCAATTTTTCAGTAGCTGCAAAGAAAGAAAAAAAAAGGCACGGTCAACAAATACCAAAACTTAGCAATAGTCACCTCCTGAAAAAATAACATGATCAGATGCTGTGAGTATCAACAGATTTAAGTCAGTGTTGGATCTCATTTTTCATCATAAAATTTATGCATCCTAAACTAATGCTAGCCCTGAATTGTCATGCCAGAGGAAAATGTGGTTTATAGTACACATATTGGGACTGACTTACCTGACACATGAATGTAGCTGGGAGAATGACTTCATTGGATCAACTTTGTGTCCTTGTCTCCGAGGTTGGTTGGAGTCGATTGGTCATAGCGTTGCCAGCTACATGTAAACAATGTACAGTCAATCAAACCCAATACCAAAGCACCATTACATTGAAAATGAATCAAGGGATCAGAACTAATGAACATCAACAGGGTGGATCTGTGTTGGATCTCATTTTTCATCATGTCATATGTTTGCAACTTTGATGCCCATTAAGAGGGCTCTATGAAATCGTTAAGAGCCGGCGTTGGCAAATTTAAGTTCTGATTAACTTGTTATTTACCCTGCTCGACATCAATTGCTGGTTTCAAGTCGATTCAGGCGATGTCCGGGCATGTTCTCAGTTCCCCGGTGGCTAGAATTCAACAATTCCCGGTCAATATAACTCGAAAGTAATAACATGGGAATACTCAATAGTCTATAATCAGAAGTGCTGAGTATCAACAGGATGATTCTGTGTTGGATCTCATTTCTCGTCACAAGAATGTCTTACGGCACTTTGGTGCTCAATCGAGATTCCGGTAAGGCTGGTAACCAGGTTATCAGCAACAAATGTCGAACCCGACCAAAGTTCCGTTCAAATACTCACCGAACACAACACTGATGGTTTCACTTTGGCTTTCGGCTTCCAAAGTTGGTTAGAAAGATACAGGCAGATTGACATTTCTCCAACGGCTGCATGTAGAAAAATGAATAAAAGAAGCAATTAAACTCGCGTTTTAATAAAAGCATTTTGTTCTCGCCAAATCTTTTTACCATTTTTTCAGCGAAGATGAGTATCAACACATTACTTCAGTGTTGGATCTCGTATTTCATCAGAAGCGAACACGCGATCATCGCTCCCCGTTTAAATGACGCTGCCGATAACCATTCGCCCCAATAATTTCGATAATTTTTCATATTTTAGAGAAAAGCAAAAGACCGACAAATTATCCCCCAAAGAGACTTGTTCCGACATGCTTTATTCAGTTTTACACATGCGGACAAAACAAAACTGAAGACACCGATAAAGACTAGAAAAATATGCCTTATTTACCGTCAATTACGCGGGGCGTCATCGAACGTTTAAGAGCCGATCGCGTTAGATTTAAGATTTAACTCACCTCATCCCAAATCTCGAAGAAACAATTCAGCTACGACTGCCATCTTGAAACGCATGGATCCTCTTGATGATGATATTGACTTTGAGGCAGCCGCGAAAGTTTCGAATGTTTACCATACTGGGTTTCGTTTCATAGAGTTTCGTTTACCAACATTTTAGTGTTCTTTTTTTTTTTTTTTTTTTTTTTTTACTTAGTAAATTTACATATAACATAGTTGGTTTCGGTGAATGTGCAAGTTAACGTGCGTAATTTCTTTTCTACGGGTGTATGAAGCGCTACAAAAAAGTGAAATGTAGCCTGTCAAAACCAAAACCGACCCCCCCCCCCCCCCCCAAAAAAAAAAAAAAAAAAAGTTTAATCATGCATTTAAATATTTTTGCGGGTTCAAATTATAGAGTTATTATAATGTACTCTTGAAAAGGCTCTCTTCTCTGGCTAGGATGCAGGTTTAAACAATGGCGTGTCTACAACCCCCCCCCCCCCCCCCCCCCCCCCCCACACACACACACACACGGGCGGGTGGCGGAGAAAAGCTCACCGGAGAAAAGCTCACCGGAGATAAGCTCACCGGAGATAAGCTCACCGCAAAACCGGCAGATGCGGAGAAAAGCTCACCGGCCTTTGAGCAGATGCAAAAAAAAAGGTCACCAATTTTTTTTTTTTTTTTTTTTTTTAACTTAGCGGACTCTGCATCAATAAAAATCACTTATTAAAAATATGTCCTCTTTTTTGTAATATTCTTGAAGTTCATTGTGCATATTTACTAATTCCTCTCAAATTAATAATCAACCATTTTGTATATTAATGAAGCCGCAACGGGGGATAAAATCAGAACATCGTACACCGTTAAAAAAGACAACAATTTATCGACAGCTGGCAGCGCGCAGTCGGTACCTCTGTCAAATAAAGAGGTTTGTGCCAGTTTGTTCTTTGCGAGCTATTATGAATAGCGGTGTGCGAACCGTTTCAGCTCCAAATATTATGTAATGCCTAATAGATAAGTAGGTGTTTGTTGATGTAATCAGTGTCGGCTACGCTGTTTTACTTTTGTTAATTTGACTAACAAACCTTTAGTTGCGAGAACAGCTTCGTCCTGTCGTGTTCGTTGTCTTCGCTCCGTCGTTGTCGTCTGAGCGGTTTTCATCATGTATAACGTTTACCAACTCGCCCGATTCACTACCTTACAAAAGACTACTTCTTATATAGGTCACGAGTAACAACGGTGCCAGTGTGCAGCTCTGAAGGTCATGAGTGGCTCATTGTAGAAGGGCACTATCACACAAAGGCAACGTGTGGAAAATCAGCACGAACGGCTAGAAAATGAGCATGTCCGTGGAAGAAAGATGCATCGATATCCTACTTACTGTTTTATTCTGTTTTCGAAGGTTAACAAAAACTTCAAAGAGAATTTCAGGCACCGCGTTGTTGCGCATGCACTTTCGGATTTTCGGTTTTACAGTTTTGATTTTTAGGTTTTATGCAGATATTATTAAGTGTTCGAACATTTTCCTGTTCTTCAAGTTCATTAAGTTTCCAGTTAGGCAGTTAGGCTTTTGTTGCCTAGAAAGTAAGCCACAAAAAACACTCGCCTGCAATTATTAATTTGGGATAAGCTTAACAAATATTAAGAGAAAGGATATTTTCTTTTCTACAAAGCTGACGAATTTTAATGATAATAAATTGATATATGTTACGCATGATCCAACAGCCTCCATATAACAAGAAGAAAAAAAATCGGTGAGGTTTTCTCCGCATACGCTCAATGGCCGGTGAGCTTTTCTCCGCATTGGTCGGTTTTCCGGTGAGCTTTTCTCCGGTGAGCTTATCTCCGGTGAGCTTTTCTCCGGTGAGCTTTTCTTCGGGATTCCCCACACACACACACACAAAACCCACCCACCCTGCACGACCCACCCCACCACGACCACTGTGGACCGGTCACGGTGGACCCAGACTCCTGAAATAGTTCCGACACCTCTGACTAGGAGGACATGTGGTTGCCTGAAAATGATCACGAAGAGTTGTCCCGCGAATAATTCACCCCACAGATCATGAAAATTTGTGCTGACGAAATAATTCTCAAACTGGTTGATTTCTGAGTTGCACATGCAGCACGGCAATCTGAACATAGCATGCCGAAGTTCGTTTAAACGCAAATCAATCAATGAAAAAATTTCAATAGCTTTACTAACCATTTCCCCCCCCCCCCCTTTCCCCCCGGGCCAGATCAGTTATCAAGTTTACCAGAAACCCTCACCAGGCGAAAATTCTGGGTGCACTAATGTTACACGCAGTCTTTTTGTGAGACCTTTGATGTTTGTAATTGATTTCTATTACTATCTTACTCCTTACACAAAGTTCAATGTCAGACAAATTTAGTGCCATAACTCCATCAATGTGGGATGTTGAAAGAGCCATGGCACACCCAATACTCCGTTATTCTGCTGAGACTAGAAGCTCTGCCTTCAGCGAGAGCTTTCTGCCCTTGCTAACACAAGTGTGAATGCGCAGGCTTGTGCAACCAAAGCACTGCAGAAGCCGGCAAGCTCACGCTGAAGACGGAGCTTCTAGACTCAGCTTAAGGGTAAACATAGAATAGAACACACTGCGTGACATATTAACAAGGTACAAAAACATTTTTTTTTATTCATAAGTAGCTCTTCGCAACACAAAGCAACTGTGTTGAGCCGGGAAAGATAAACAATTTTAAACTTTATTTGTGTAACATGTAGTATACGAGCGAACACAAGCACTGTTCGTTTGCGTTAGCGTTGCATGTTGCACACTGCGCATTTGCGGAGCCCAAACTGCGGTCTTGGATTAGCAAATGGCATTGACACGCATGCGCAGCATGGTGTACACAACGCTAACACTAGCGCCAATACACAGCGCTTGTATTTGCTCCTGGGATGAGTTTTCCTGTCTATACCTGCATTTATAGTCTGTTGCAGGATAAGAACAGTGGGACAGGCTCCTGCTACAAATCCCACCACTCTCTGCATTTTAGCGGAGCAAATGCGGGAGAGGAGAAAACCACTAATCAAGGAGAGCCAATTGCTTTGTGGGATGAGCTTGCCCTACTATTCTAAACCTGCAACAGACTACAATACCTTTAAATTTAAAGTTTGTGTGTAACATGCTTGTATTATAAAACCGCATGTATATTAAGGCTCTCTTATAATCCGACAATGAGCGCAGCAAATGCGGAGTAGCGCATTTCATTGGCCGGCGAGCAGGAACTCAACATCTGCGACCAATCAGTATCTGTGTGCGCTGTGCTAGACCGCATTTCCTATGCTCGACGTAAGAGCATAACAGAGCCTTCATTCTTCGGCATGCAAGAGGTGGTCGACGATCAGGTCATGCTCGTGCATAGGAATGCTGGGTACAATCTGCTGTGTGAAGCACAGCCCGATGGTGTGGGGCCTTCGATCAGGACACTGTTTCAGGCAGCGACCATAGTAGATGTCATAGTAGCCCTTCCCGTGACCAAGGCGGCCTCCCTCCGGTGTGAAGGCAACTCCGGGAACCACAAGCAAGTCCAAACCACCTGGGAGCACGACAGTAGAAAAGACAGTGCACGCTTACTGCCCCATTTTGTTTCAGTACTATCGATGAATTGCTTCTGTTGCAAGCAGTAGCGTAGCCAGAAATAGTTTTGGGGTGGAAGGGGGGGGGGGGGGGGGGGGAATTGAGATGCGTATGTATATTATGGGGTGAGATGGATTTGGGGGGGTAGAGGGGGGGCTGAACTTCTCGCTATGCCACTGGTTGCAAGTTGCAACTTGCTCTTGCAAGTTGCAAGAGCAAGAGGTTGCAAGCAAAAGAGGGATAGCCAGTTTGTGCATGTATTCAGCTTTGAAAAAATCCTGTCACCCCACCATCGAACAGAGTTTCAGCACTCAAGTAAACAAACTCTCAAGATCCAGCTTTCCATCAGCCATGTTAAGTGAAGTTGCGGGCACTCTGATACAAACCTGTAAAGGATCGACCAAAAGAAAAAAGAGCAAAGACCTTACCAATATCCGACCACTAGTTATACCATACATCCACAAGACGTCGCACAACTTAAAAAATGTTGCCAATAGATACAACGTGCCCATGGTGTTTTCAGCCCCAAACAAACTGGGTAGAATTTGCACGCTGGTGGACAAGAACAATGACAGCAGGGCTTGCTGCATGAAAAACCACAACGTGCACTTTGTGTCTTGCATTCTACAAGTGGTTTACCATCTTCCTCTGTCCTGCGGGAAAACCTATGTCGGACAGACTGGGCGTTGCCTCAACGACCGCTTGAGGGAACATAAACAGTCTCTTCAAACCACCACTGGAAGCCACCTAGCCATCCACTGCAGAACCTGTGGATGTGATCCAGATTTTTGTGCAACAACTGTTCTAGCTTCCCATAAAGAAAAAACAACAAGAGAAATAGTGGAAGCCTTTTGGATAAGAAAGCTCGAATCCAAATGTGTGAGCCAGCCATCATTAACACTACAAGACAGCGAGTATGAGTTTATGGGGGCAGCTGCGCACAAATAGGTGTATGGTCAAGGCTTCGGAGTGCCGGCACTGGACATGCCTAGGACTTTGAGAGATTGATTTTCATTTTATTTTGTTTTGTTTTCCTTGTCAGCTATAATTGTTTTAGGTGTAATTTTATTTAATTCATTAGCTTTTTCATATCTTTCTCTTTTCCGATATATGTTCATGTGTGTAGTTTTCTTCCTTCTCCTTTTCATAGTAAATCGTCAGTTGCGAGTCAGCGCTTGCCTGTTCTGTCTTCCTTTTCTGTCCCTCTCCTTGTGCGCTGTTTAATTATGTATTGCAAGTGAGGTCTGGTGCTAGGGGCCTAGTCAGGTGACTTGTACTGTCATCTTTTTTCTCTGTATCAAGGGAATCATGTATTCTTGTCGGAAGTTTAAAATAAATCGAATGGAATATACATGCTACGCCTTTTTTCTACACCCTTGTTCTTCTTTCTACCTCGCCGATCATCTATCCAGCTGAATGCCAAGCCTTTGTTAAATAGAGTGAGCCTGGTCATAGATATTTCTTGTATATGATGAAAGAGTCATGTTTTATTATGATTGTTAACCGAAGAAACCACAAGAATGATCCCTTATCTCAAGAACTCTATATGAGGCCTTGGAAGCTGGAATATTTTTTCTATGTGGAATGAGCTCGACTGATGCATAAAAGAGGCCCAACTCAGATAGGCCCTATGTATATGCACATTTATTTGCAATGAAGCATAACTATTTTGAGCCTTAGAAAAAAAAATACTTCAAAGAAGAGAGTTGAGACGAGAAGCACCAAATGCATAACAGCACCCCAGCAATATTTTGTACCACATTTTCTTGCATATTATAAAGATGTTATTACAATACTGTTTATTACCTTAACATCACCACCAAATATCCTGTTCACCAAACTATGAAAACCATCATTGTGCTGGCAGAGAGAATGTAGGTTCGCCCACTTGGGCTTGATCTGACCGCCTCCCCACAAAATGATAGAGGTTGATGTCAGCGTAAACTTACACAGAGCTCAGACCTCAATCAGAAATTACACAAAAACTAGTCAGCTCATTTATGATACATTATACACAGTACTAACCAGTTATGAGGGCTTCTTCCTTGGGATCAAAGTGTTCATGTTGCTTGATGTTCCACCTTGTCAATGGTAAGCTTGAAAGCTCTTCCATGGAAGACAATTTTACCATGTCCATCTGCTGTGTCTTCATACTGGAAAGACACATCAATAGGTCAGTACCCACAATAAATTGCGAAATTCACTACTCACTCATAATTGGGTATGAAGCACTCTTTACCGTCCTTAAGAATCTGTCGAATCATGGGCTCGGTGGAAACCTCTGCGTCTGTGCTTATGTAGATGGAAATGCGGCTGCTTGACTTGTAGCAATTGTGGGACAAAAACTAGAAAGTAAGAAGACCATCAGGCATGGAAAAATGGACCTGTTAGTAAAAGTTACAATGCACTAAAAATTTAGTATAATACGACCTTATATTAATGGGATGAGTGGAAGCAGCCAAGCTCAAGTTCCAAAGAGCCAGTATTCTGTCTTATTCAAAACTTTTCTCAAAAGCTAATACAATAAATAAAAAAACTAAATAAAAAACACAGCGCTTGCCTTGTGTCTTTTTGTCCTTGTCCCAGTCGTGCTGTTTTTCAACATGAACTTTTACCAACTTGCCCAGCTATCTATCCTTAACAAAAAACCTGTTTTTTTTTCTCAATTTTTTCAACTTTTTATTGCAAAATTAAACTATGCATCGCCGTACACTCATTCTCCACCCTAGTAGTTTCTTTCTCTCCACCCCGGGAGAGAGAAAAATGAAAGACGTTTACAATCCCCTGTAACGCCGAATTAGATCGCAGCTCTTGAGGAGGAGGAGGGAAGGGTACTGAGGAGACGCAGAAAATGCACATCTTTGATGAGAACATCGCGTGTAAATTTGGCAGGAATTTAGCGGGGCAATTTTTTCTCCTAACTTTAGCGGGAGATTTCTTCCACTAGATTTAGCGGGGAAATTTTTTCCGCTAAATTAAGCGGGGAATCTTTTTCTGCTAAATTTAGCGGGCAAATTTTTTCCGCTAGACTTAGTAGGAAAAGTTTTTCCGCTAGATTTAGCAGGGCAATATTTTCCGCTAGATTTAGCGGGGAATTTTTTCCGCTAGTTACGTCACACGTCATCATGATAACGTCATCGTCATTGTCACAGATGACGTCATCAGTGACGTCACACGTCCCATAATGCACTGCGCAATATGCCGACGGCGATGGTAACGCCGTTCATGCCGGAAACGTTGCGTCTAAGAGCTGCTTTCTAAAAAAGCCCTCTCTTTCTTACCCCGTGTGTCCTCTGCTCCGCCATGTGGGCTGTACATAACATCCAGCTGGCATTCCAAACTCGGTTTAAAATCGCATAATTTTAAAAATTTCAAGCGCAGATGCGCAGATTTCGATATGCAAGTTATTGTGTAATACTATGCTCGATAAAAAGACTAACCACGTCAAAATGTGCTGTTACCTGCGTGTAAAATAAAAAAAAAAGAAGTATGAAAACTGTGTCAGAGTGGCCGGTCTGTCCTCTCCGGTGAAAAATAAATCCAGTTGCTGTAGCTTTTTTACTATATTAAGTTCGTACTGGCATAGGCCCTTAGCGACAATGACTGAAAGTCTGCAATAATAAATAAAAACATGCTCTCCTGACCCAATAGATACATTGGTTGAGGGTAGTACTGCCACCTGACTCCACTGCAATTGAAGTAATGAAACAAAGATATGCTAGCTGATCATTTTCTGAAATAAAACAACAGAGCACTTTTGGCTGATTTAAGAGCAGTCATAAATACTCTAGGAATGTGAACACAAAGGCAGCGCGAGCAAGGGTTCGATGTTCGGTACAGCCCACCGGTACAGCCCGCCGGTACAGCCCAAAAATGGAGAACGGTAACCTCCCGGTTTGTCGTCTGCTAGCGGAATCGGGCGCGTGCCCTCTCTCTCGTTTTATCTCGCCAACCTGCTGAACTTCCCGGGTGTGTGGAGAGGGCGCTGCGGTCGAACAAAATTGCGCCACCCAGAGAGCGCTAAATGGAATGGTCTAAACGCAGCGGATGCTACGAGCCATCGGAGCCAATCCAAGGCCGTGTGAGTGTCACGTGACCTTGGAGAGGGGCACAGCGACGCGCGGAAAGCGTATCACGGGCTACGTCCACAGAGCGTACTGATTGGCTAGGATAGCTCGTAGTGTCTGCTGCGAACAAAACGGGCCCTTATCCCATATAAATTTTCAGAAAATAATTTATAACTTCTGCATAAGATAACGTTCCTTGCTGAAACTTTTGCATCTTGTTCGGACCGCTAGTGCTACATTTGGGCGGAGAATGAGCGTTAGGCGATGCGTAATTTATTTTTATAATATATATATATATTTTTTTTTTGGTGGACATTCACATTTTTGTTTCTTTTTCCCCCATGAAACGATTTATGCTGCGATTTTCGCGACTGGGACGCCTGGTATCTGGAACCCAAAGCCTCTGCTAGGCAAGCTTCACGCCTTCCACGGTTCATGACGTTCTGAATCTAGATTGGTGAGATCGCCACCTTCATTCGGTTAGTTGTCATCGTAGATGGTTTCTGAATTTGGCTTTCCTAATCTACTAAAGTGACGATCTCACACAGCTCGTGAACAGTGAAACAGCTCGTCTTTCTCACCTTGGCTAATACTATCGCAGACTGTCGAAGTTTATCCTCGGCCGACATGCTCTGAAGTTTCTTCTTCATCTCGATTCGAATCGCATTTTTAGCTGCTCTCATTGAGCTCGCATCCGTAGAAGTCATTTCAGAGAGAGAACGTCGCAAGAGCTCGGAAATCCCCGTCCGTAGAGAGCGGAAGGGCACCTTGGATGTTATCAAAATCATCACAGTAGCCTCGGAAGACCACACAGAGCCGCCATTGCGCGTCCTTATTCTAACTTGGTCGCTAAGCGCTAAGCAACGAGAGAAGGTAGCTCGACTCTGCTGATGTATGGTGGCTAAATTTAGAATTGTGACTTTATGAGTCATAGTTATGAGTCGAAACTTCCACAAAAAACACAAAAACTGAGTTTCAATGCAAAACAAGTAAAAAACAACTTGGTTATTGAGAACAAACTGGTTAAAAAAGCAAATAAAAGTTTAAAAATATTTACGCCTTTGGTATATTTAGTTTCGGTTTCGGAAGAATGCGCTGATCCGAAAACGTTCGGTCGAAACCGCGAGAAATCAAAAATGCAAATTTTGTAAAGGTACAGTCGCGTCCTAGATGAACCTATGAGCCCAAAATAAGTGCGCCTAGAAGAATAAATTAGGTATTATTGCATAATTTGCACAATTATTTTTTTATTATAGTCTTCGGAACCAAAACTTTCCGGTCAGAGAAAAAGAGAAGGAGAGCAGGAATGATGCAAAACAGTGAAAATTCATTGGTAGGCCTGTCTCTGTGCTCAGACAGAAAATAAAGGAAGATTGCGAAAAGTTTAGCAACAAATCTTCGCGACTGAGGTGGTGGTGTCACCATAACTTGTAGCAAACTACTTTTTTTTTTTTTTTTTTTACCTATGGTTGTTGTTTTTGTAGTCCTGTGCACTTGAACTGAAGTACCCGCGCTACGCGCGTTTTACACGTCGTCGACGACGTGCAAAACGCGCCACAAGACCCCTAATAGATCTGCTAGCATTCTTTGTTCACGGCAAACGCTCTCGTACGTTTCAACTCCTCGAAGTGGAGCAATCAGGCGCAATCCTTTGGAGCATTGCCTGGAAATTCGAATAAACAAAAACAAATTAAAAATAACCAGACTCCTCACACAAGAAAAATACAGCTTGAAACAACAAATACAACGACGGCATCCGCACCAGGCCGCTCTTTTTTTCCCAAGAACTTAAGTCGTTCTCAGGCAATGAGGGAAAAAACAAAGAAAAACTATACAAAAAACAGACGAGAAGAAACAAAAATCTCGGCGGCGGTGGCGGTGAGGAGTCATCTGCTTGCTGTGGAAGGGGGAAACAGCGCGGCGTCCTTCACGTACTTCCGGGGGAAACGACGACCTCAAGCAACCCACGTGTGCGCTATCACGTGACAGCCGCACCCCGAGCGCAGCACAGTCAGCAGCGTTGTATCCCCGCCGTGCCGACCATAGAGATCATCCTGACTCGTTAAAGCAGTAGCAGTACAACCACAAGCGTGCTGGGCGGGAGCTTGCTCGGAAAGTGTCTGCGTCCGTACACCATGGGTGCACAACCACAACCAGGGGTGAGTGCATTTGTGAGCCGTCGGAAAACATGACCCAACGCACGCATAACTCGCCTGAGTAATGTCTTTTTTTTTTTTTTTTTCCTCCCTCTTTCTCTCTTTTCTTTTGGGCGCCCGACGGCCGTCTCTTTTCGGAACAGCAAAAACAACAGTCTGGTACGAACGGAACTTCCCAGGCGCACTTTACCCGTAAAAATAGCATCATTTTCTCGAGGTGCTACAATATCTTGGCGTACGCGATCGGTGCGAGGTGTATGCCGCCTACGGGCCGATTCATCCCGTACATACTTCAAAACTTCGTCTGCTCGCGATCTTGCGCCCGTACAACATTTTATCGCGGGGAACCAAAGCAGGTCAAATGTCGTTGAAACCGGTACGTGCGCGTCATGTTATGAATCAACACGGACAAATGTGTCGGGCGTTTTGGCCCATTAAACAGCAACAACCTTCACCGGTGCGTGATCCGAAGACGCGTTTGATCATCCGCGACGGAATAGCGTAAAGGACGCTTGCGGCACACGTCCGCGGTGGGGGTGGTTACGAAATCGTATATGCAAAGGAGCGCTAGATATTACAATGACACTCGGTCGTTTCCGCAGCAACTGCGTCCGACGATTTTTTTTTTTTTTTTTTTTCGGTGTATCCATTATCTCTTACTTCCTCTTTTCTAGGAGGTACCGCCGGCGTCGTCATTCGTCAAGCCCTGCAAGAAAGGAACGCTTAGTAAGATTGTCGGTCGCCGCTGGCTGTTCCTGCCGCTGTGGAAGGAGCGGTACTGCGTCCTCGACGACAACAAACTCTACTACTACGAAAATGAGGTATGCACACTGAGTTGTTGGAACACCGGATATTTTACTTTTTGCCACACGCCACACAATCCCGTTTGGCTCCGTGCCGAGCAGCGTGACTCTCGTATTGGCCGCACGAAGGTAACCCAACAATTTATTTGCGTACTTGGGTGTTAGTTGCACAAATCTCGGTGAGGTAAACTTGATAGCAGGATGCGTGTTTCGTTGGAACGCGGAGAGCAAGTGGTCTGGTTCTTGTACAGAAGTTTCAGTGATGTCAGAACAACACCGAGTTGTGATTGGCTTTGATTGGAAGGATAGTGGGTAGTCCTCAATCCTAGATGCCTTGAGGTCTACCCACTATTTTATTTTAATCAGCCAATAATAGCTCGGCGTTTTGATATTATTGCAACCCCTCTGCAAGAAGCAGACGAACTTGCGCTCCACATTCCCCTGGTTTACAAGGTGTTACATACTACTCGCAGTATGCTTAAAAATAGCCAGTGATATGATCTTAAGTTTATTTAAAAAATTAAATATAGTCTACCATATGTTTTTTTTTTTTTTAATTTAATGTATTTTTGGTTGTTATGCTTGTAACAGGAATCTTATGTTTGTAAGCAGAACTGCACCCTCCAGGCTTAAATTCCATATTACTCTATGTTGCAGACGAGCAAAGGAACCAACTCCAACTGCGGCGTCATCCATCTGGAAAATTTTGACGTCTGCGAGGAATACGAGAGCAAAGCAGTTCAAAATGCATTCATCATCACGACAGCAAATAGAGGATTTTTTGATGTACGTCCACTGTGTAATGTATTCAATAGTTCTAACAGGGTGGAGAAAAAAGTGTTTGCATCTAATCCCCTTTGGTTTTTTGTTTTTTTTTCTTTCCGACAGCCGTGTCACACCTTTGCGGCAGATACCTTACCCGAAGTATGCGACTGGATCGCAAACATACGTAGCAAGTTGAACCCCACAGTTCAAAAACGCACGTCATTCATCCGAAAGTCCCTTAGCAAACGACGGAAAAACCGACATTCCCTCGAAAAACAGGTAAGGGAAGTATTTAATCTCCAGTGACTTCTACACACTGATGTCTCGATAACACGTACATCTCTGTCCTCCCCACCCCAAATTGTCCATAATGCGAGTTGTCCATAATAATACGAGACAAAAATAGATGCATTTACCCAATTTGTCCTTGAAACCTTTGTCCATGTAGAGAGGTATCCATATTAATAGGGTCCGTATTAACGAGACGTGGCTGTAGCTGGTCACAGGTTGAAAATTCAGCAAATGCTCTGCCTCCAGCTCCAACTTACTGCCTTTGTTAAAGGGACACTGACAGGGTATCTATGCCCGCCAAGGTTTTTATTTGTACATTACATATGAGAGCCCAACTACCCAGAAAACAATTCGCGGCTCAAAATTCGTTTTTTTTTTTTCGTCCGGAAACAGCCGATTGGGAACCAGCCGGTTTGAGTCGCACTCACTCTCTTCTCCACGGCCATGTGCCATTACCTACGGTTTAGACACAACCACCAAATACAATCAAAGTCGTAGGTCATCGAAGGCACACACAGAATATTAGAAATAAAAAAAAAAATAAGATACCCATTTTTTGTGGCTTCCATAAAGCTGCAAATATGTTGATTGAAAAAAACGAGTAGCACAGCCACGTGACTTCTGCCAAACCTCTGCTCCTCTATATTTCTTCTTCCTCTCCAGTTTCGGTTTCGAGCAGTTGCGTTTTTTTACTTTATTAAAAAATATATGTGACTCGAGCAAAACACTGATTGAGTAGTCTTCTGGCACCATAATGAATCGCCTGGCAAAAAATTAAATATAATTTTTGGGGTGAGTCAGTGCCTCTTTAACACTTCGTCACATGCACAGCCAAAACCTGGCAGAAGGCAGTGAGCGCATACTGGAGGCCGAGCTTCTACCGAACTCCTAGCGTGCTATACATTATTGTAATTGGATGCGCATCGCTAACACTGGCAATCACCCCCCAGGCATTCTTTCATAATAATGGCATTCGCATATTACCCCGCCCCCTCCCACCCTACTGCCACTTCTTGTCTCCCAAGCACTTCCTTCGGCCATAGTAACTAGTAGACGAGTCAAGGTCGAAAAAATTCCCGTTAAGACAAAAAATCATAGCCAGTTAAATTTGAATTTTCAATGCCTCTAAAAGGTTATTGGCACTCTCGCATCGAACACTTAAAACTAAATTGCTTCTGTTATGTTGAAATAAACTATATGCATTGCCCAATTCCTTGGTTTTATGTAAATTAATTCTGCATAGCGTTTGCCATCCCGTGGAAACCAGCAGTCAAGTGATGCTTGATGCTGGGTAGCAAATGCCACAACTTCTACAGATGTCTACAGGATGTCGCCAGCAGAGAGCCGTAAAATAATGTGAAACTCGCAATTCACTGGCAGCCATAGCTGTGTGCGCGTGCTGACAGCGAGCTTCTGCAGTTGTTTTGCCACGTGCATTACGCACCATCGAATAGTGCCCGTGTATTTCGATTGCTGCAAGTTTGCTAGGACGAATCACCATCTAGAGGTAGTCACTCTTATTGACTAAAGCCCAAAAAAACAAAGTGCCAGCAAAAAGAAGCTTCTACAAAAAACACTTGAGTGCCCCTTTGAGGTCTTACCATATATAAAAAAAATAAACGCACATCAGTCACACCGTTGTATAAGACACACCGACAGAAATTTGGGGGTAAAAAGAATGAGACTTCTACACCGGGAAAACAACGTAAGCCGTCGGCACCAAAGGAGCACTTTAAATTGAGCGCTCCTGTGGTGCCAACAACTTATTAAGACTATTTAGCCTTACCGAGACATAAGACCAGCTCGTTTTGCTTTTCCACCACGTGGTTTGGGTCAGCTTGGTTCATTCTTTACCAGCTGCAAAATGTTCCCCGGCAGAGCCCAGACCCGGCGCTCGACATACCGGGCAAGGAGCCCCTGGAGAGCATCACCAAGAACCGAGCCAAGGGCCCCGCCGGGAGGAGACCGCCCCAGCGGAAGTCGCAGATGCCAAAGGTACCCGCACGGACTGTGCACTCACCGTTTTTGGGGGAGGACCGGTGCTCGAGTGGGTTAGCGTGCCGCAGCTTGGAGAACATGCGGGGAAAGCTTGTGCCGCAGAATCGAGGAAAATCCTCGGCTCAATCTGCCATCGGCTAGTTTCCACGCAAGAGAGAGTAGCGCCGGCGTGGGGGTCATCTAACCGTTACTGCGTCCAGGTTAATGGTTATGCTGCACCGTCTGAATTGCTCGTCTCTGAAATCCGCAGTTAACGAGCAAAATGACTCTTTCAGTGCGCACAGAGTGACGAGCATACGTCTTGCCCTATTGAAGGCAGGGGCACTGAGTGCTCCACAGCTGGCACAGACATACAACCTCCAGTTTTCTCCGTTTACGATGGTGCACTAGCGTAGTGGAAGGTGGTCGTATAGATCCCAGACTGTGAGAGTAGAACACCAAAAGGCGCGGACGTTGTGTTTGCACCGGCTGTGCTCCGAGCAACGTCACTGTCCGGGCACCCTTCTAGGAGGCTTCAAATGAGTCAACCAATATCACATTTTGTTTTTTCTAAAAGGCAGCGTCAAAAAACTTTTTGAAGGTGAATGCCCATGAAGTCTCAACGTTACAATCAATATTTTTCAGCCTGCAACAGTCGGTGTCCAGGATCATGGCCGTTCTGAAGTGCCTGTGCTGGCGGTACGAGAGGTCTTCGAAGAGGAAGAAGAAGAGTGAGTCATCATTCCTTGAGAGTTCTGGACAGCTTTTCGAAAAACAATCTGAGTGGCAACAGCCCTGTACAGTTGTAAGCCGTTTTTCAGCATGGCATTTATAATCCGTTCACCGCTAATCTGACTAAGCAGAGGAAGCTACGTGTTCGTTGAACTAGTCATCCGTCAATCTTTAGCCGCATGATCGTGCTTCCCCCCACACCCACGTGCAGGTGACGCGGTCCGGCGACGGAAGGCCGCCGATTGATTGTTCCTGCCGGTACCGCCCTTTCAGCTTAGGCGTGAACAGGCATGGTTGTGCACGTTCTAAAGCACGAGTACCACACTTGATCAGTGTTTCATTAATTACAAGTTGTGACAATCCTCATGAGACGAGAAGTAAACAGTTCTGTTCTCTTAAATTCGGAGCTGGTATCAGGCCTGCAAAGTAGTCGAGGGGCCCTACGCTACACGGCGGGACTAAGCGGGACCGGAACATTGCTGCCTGCCGAGATTGGTCAGCGCTGACCAACCACAGCGGGCGGCGATGTCCCTTTGTCCCACTTGGTCCCGCCGTGCAGCTTAGGGCACCAGCTGGTACCTTACAACTTAGATTATGTAAGTGTACGCTCGAAGTTATGTTCACCCAGTATACAGTTTTCTTCTTTTTTTTTAAGCTTTACAGATTCGTTTAGAAAAAGCTGTGAAAAACTACACTTATGCGGTTTGTGCAGCGAGTTATATGGCCAGGGGGCATAGTATATGGGGCTAATCTTAACGATCAGTCAGCTAATTAAGTAAATTTTGTTAATTAACTTCTAAATTAGCGAAAATAGGCATATGGCTCCAATTAGAAACTTGCTGAGCGTCGTCCAATGCCCCTAAATCTGTAACTTTTAGAAACACTTTGAGCGCGGGAGAAGCGTAGTAGTGTGCTAAAGTTACCACTTGTGGAGCAGGTACAAGGCTGGGGCTCTCCTAAAAGAGGGAAAAATTGCGCAAGCGCCTTACCGCAACCGCTAGCCTTGTACCTGCTCCACGAGTGGTAACCTTAGTGCGCTACTGCTCTTCTCACGCGCTCGAAATCTTTCTGAAAATGACTGAATTAGTTGTTTTCAATGACACTCAGCAAGTTTCTAATCGGAACCATTTGTCTATTTTCATCAATTAAAAAGTTAATTAACAAACTATTTAGTTAGCCAACTGATCATTACGACTACCCCCTATTCTATGTCCCACTGGCCGTATAACTCACCTGCATAAACAGCATAAGTGTAGCTTTCACAACTTTTCTAAAACAAACCTGTAAAGCTTTAAAAAAAAAAACACCCTGTATGCTGCTCTATGTTAATATCCCACGTGTTTTGTGGGGTTCCACAGACTTTCTAGTCTCAGCCTATCTATTAGGCATAATTGCAACTTTATTTCATGAACTCCTGCCCTCTAAGATATACAAAAGGAGGTATGTCCCACGGATATTGTCTATTAGGGTGGCGGAGTCTCTACAGTCAAACCCGTTTATAACGAACAGCAGGAACCGCTACGATCAGTTCGATATAGCAAGTAATTCGATATAGAAAAAAACATCTAGAACAAACTTCCACGATGCGTTTGTTGTAAAGCGAGAGCTTCTCTTTCCTTCTCATCTCTTCGCTTTTGCCTTGTAACAATGTGCTGGAAAGATTTTTTTTTTTTTTCATGCGTGCAGAGTTTGTTCTTTTAGCTTATCTCCCCTCCTGAATCACTTCTCTTCGTGGACAACCGTTTTGGGATGAAACATGTTTTTTTCAGTGCGTGCGTGTGGAGGGTATTTTTTAGCCTTTTCCCCTTCTGAATCGCTTCTCTTCACTCAATTTCGTTTGCAACTTGAGCTTTTAGAATTTTCTTTCTTTCCCACTTTTTTTTTTTTTCGGGGGGGGGGGGGGGCAGGCTAGAAGAACATTGTTTGCACGTTTTTGGAAGCCTTCCCGGGGGGGGGCTGATATAGCCAATTGGTCGCTCGTTATAAAAAGTACTTTTTACATGCATTTTTATTTAAATTTTTCGTGAGTTCTATATCGACAATAATTTGCTGTACATGGGTTTGTCCTAAAATGGTTTCACACTATATAAAAATTACATGAGAAAAAAGAAATTAATCTGGTGTGTGTCCAGTATTGTTTATATAAATATACATGTACAAGTATTAGAAATGTAACACTAAAAAAAAAAAGATGCCCTGGTTATGATTTGGACACAGGTATCTCACGTACCAGTTTTTTTTTTAAATTAAATACTAACTGTTCAAATTAAAAACAGTGGCTAGACGGCTTGTATTCAACCTACAGTCACTAAATAAGCTACGCTTTCAGAGTACCGCATTCCTTTTCTTTGGTATTTTGCCGACAATACAGTCTCTCTATTCAAAGATATTCTGGTTCGCTGCAGCATCATTGGACAGCAGCAGTCACGTGAGTCGCTATCATCATCGCGTTTTTTCAACGCCAGCTGCCCCAGCTACGGCCGCGGCAGCTGGCGCAGGCGACGGCTGCAATGGCGGCGCCTGACGCGCTTCAGACGCATAGTTTGGGAGTTTCGGTACTCTGAAAGCGTAGCTTTATTTAGTGACTCTAGTTCAACCAACGCATTCATCCGCATTTTCTCCCAGGACGGCAGACTCTGCCCTCAGAGACGAGACTGACAGGCCGCGGCCAACCTCCACCCTGCTCTACCAGTACAGTTCGTCAAGTGACGAGGACGACCAGAAGGAAACAGACGTAAACAAATCCGTCTCTGAAGCCATCCCCGAAGCCGCAGGCCAAGCCAAAGAAACTGAGTCTCACGACAAGCCATCGAGCCCCGTTGCTGGGAATGTTGACGAAGTGCAGGAGCGGATGAACAAGCTCAGGGAACAGCTGTGCTCGCACATAGACGACGCAACGATGCAGTCGCTGCTGAAGCAACTGGACTACTGTGAACTTGAGCTGCAGACTGCGGTGCAGGTGACGTATGCTCGTCTCCTTTTGGAGTGACACGGCAAAAAAGGGGGGGGGGTGTCTTTGTGTTGGGCATGTGTTGGGTAGCGCCCAGTGATTCCCCCCCTTGTTTTTCTGAAGGCACCCCCTTAATTCGCAAAAATTCTATTCTCAATGCCCCCCCCCCCCCCGCCGCCCCCCTAAAACTTTAGTTCCCCCCCCCCCCTAATTTCAATTCCTGGGGAAACCCCTGGCAGCGCCTTAGTTGGATCGCATGAGACGAGGCAGCTGGTTATTGATCCGCTCATCCGAAAGGTGCACTCAACAAGGTTGAAGGGCTGTGAATAAGATGGGTATGTCCGTTGGGGTCTTAATAACAATAGAAGATTCCATAGAGCTCTGCTGATAATATGCTTCTCTGTTAAAGTGAACAGGCTCAATTTAGTTTATCCTTTGAAACCAATGCATGCCACTTTGCAAGGGCCTAAACGTAAACTTTTATCTCGAAGTCAGTTTTTTGACGAGTTCATCCATCTCATTTCCTTACTTAATGAGTACATCCATCTTACTTAATTTCAGTGCCTGTTCAGTGCACCCTTGAGGATCTGGTCGCGCAGCGGCTATTGGGGAAAAGCGGCTCATGGTTTTTTATCGGTGTTGGCAGAAAAGTTAAAAGTGTACATATATAGGATAACTGGCTAGTACCTTGTTGCCTGTGGTAATCCAGACAAAAACACTTTAATGTGAATCATGTGACCTAACTTTTGTAAGGTCGAGGTCCTTAACGCTTACCATGTAAAGCTTAAATAGTCCTCGCATACCATACTAAAAGTTTTGTGAGATCGATGCGCAGAACCCTCACGTTCCTGTAACCAGCCAGCTTATCCTGAAAGCTTGATGTGCAAATCAAGCGAAATTCCTACTACAGTAAAAACTTGCCACACTAGGACCCCAAGTTCGAAAAAAGAGACCCTCTAAACATCTTCGGTCGGCTCTTTGGTCCGCAATATTTCCCCTTGCCGTTGTTGCACTCTAGCTTGCGACCAGCACACCGCCTCAAAGCCGCGCAGAATGCAACCAAATTTCTGTTTCCCGTTTGTTGCAGACGGTTCATGAAGTTCTCAACGAAGCCGCCGCGGCAGTTCTAGCGAAGACCAAGCAGGCCGAAACCGAAGAGCCGACGCCCGCTTAGTCTTCGAAAGCTTCGGCCGTGCACAATGCAATAGAAAATGGTGATGCGCCAGCGAGAGCGAGTCGTCCCACGAAGTGCCCCTTCACTAGTCCTCCAACGTGCCAAGCCGTCTCCTCGTACGAGAGACGCCTTGGTGTCGACGACGATCGCCGGCGCGGACGCTGCACCAAGCCCGCAAGAGTTGCAACGTCGACGGCGGTCAGCACTCTCAGAGGTTTATTTATAAATAAAGGCATCTGCGCCAGATATATATGTTGTACATCCGCTCTTGTTGTCGGGGTGACTCGGTGCATGACTGGAAGCTAGGAAACGACCAACGGTAAACACCAACTGTGCCGCACCTGAGCAAAATTTGCAAATACATAACCGAGAGCGTCAAGAAAAAGAAACGGGAGTGTAAACAGGGGCACTGCTGGCGCGCAAGTCTCGACGTCTCCCCGCGCTCGGAGTTAAACTCGCGACGGGCTGCAGGACCCAACTTCGTGGAAGTACGCTTCGCTCAATATAGCATGTAAAAAACAAGAAATAACACTAATATTCTGAGAGATAGCCCATTTAAAATCAAGACAAAAATTGGGCGAAAATGAGTGGGCAAAACTTTGGTGTGCTATTGAGAAAAGTTGAAAAAATTATATTTTTAGATCATTTGTCTCCTTGTCGTTTGTCCAACCTGCTATTGCGGCGAGGGGCAAATGAAGCAAAGATGACTGAATTTCCCAGTCAGCAATGCTGGCCTGTATCCTGCCATAGCTAGCTGCCCACATTTATGCCTAGGTCATCTTTGATTCGAACATTACGACTACTGGGAGTGGGCTATCTTTCGGTATTGAAAAGAAAATCTCAAATCGAGCCGAAAACAAGGTTGAGTTACCTTTCGGGGGCGGGTACATCTCTCGAAATTTTACGGCCAGTCTAGTTCCGACAATGTGCCTAGGCCAATGAAGTCGTCAAACACCAGTCAGTGGTGCAAACGCACCGCCATAGTATGTGTGGAGATCGAATAACTGCAGTTCAGTGGTCCTCGTTGTAAAACAATGACAAGGTACATGGGAGAAATTCTGTCGAAAGGTATGCCAGCTGTAATCCCGATTATTACAAGGTGGTCCATTTCCCAAAACGTAGGTTCTCATAATCGCAGACGGGATGAAAACTGCAGGGAGGCCTTTCAGTTGCCCCGCCTCCAGTGCAAGCTTCCTGCTTTTGACAAGACTTCAGTGCACACCCAATGCCTTCAGTATTCGAGCAATGCTGGGTTTTGCAACGTTGACACGGATAGAGCGCTTTCTTGCTGCGCAACATGCGTTAAGGTTTGGTTTAAGTGAGGAAGCGTGGCAGCACTCCCTGGTGGTTTATCCCAGCCCTCTTGACACGGGGACCCTTCCATTCGGCAATTTCAGCTGCAGAAAAACGTGCGACACGACATCCAAATGCAGAGACGAGAGCCGACATAAGAACGCACGCGTACAACTTCGTTCACCAGCTAGACCGCGCCCCTACATTACTCTCAAAGTATGCACAATGGTTTTATCTTGTGTTTTCTGATGGCATTCCGTCCCAGACCTAACGGAATGAACATTCAAAGTGAGATAACTGAAAGGTTGCATCGCTATTTTATAACAAAGCAAAATGTGTCCAAGAATACCTCCCAACACTCGTCCGTCAAGACGCATCTGTCACATTCTGGGCAAAAGGTATCTTGCCAATTAAAACAGCCACCCACGGGACCATGCCCGTTTCCACAAGCTGCCACGCAGCTTCCAATGGTGTTCTGAGCACCAAACCTAATTAGAATGATTCGCATGGAACCACGCTGGTTTACGTTTAGAACTCCCTCAAGGTGCGTCGAGCGAATGTGACGGATACCCAATACGGAGAGAACCAAAAAAAAATGGCATCGTGTCTTGGTTGCTCTTTTACTGAAACAAATTAATGTTAGATTACTGACAAAGCCTCCACTAGCTTCAGGGATCGTAAATTTTATGTTCACATAAAAGTGAAGGTGCAGTAATGTACCCCATTTAAGACACAATAAAAAAATAGCATAATTCATACTTTCACGGAACATTTTTTTATGTGCTCAACATAACAAAAAACTACACTGCATGTTTCTTTCCATGGAAGAACACGGGGTTATCAAAGATGTGAAAGACTTAAGGATGCCCTATAACTACAGCTTCCGATTCTCTTCATCTCCCCTTTAAATTGAGACAATTCGTGGTCACTGCAGCCACGCTAAGAAATCTGGTAACAAAATTCACATTTTGTGCATTTATTTTTTTTTTTACACTCAACTGCCACAGATGCGAGCGGCAGTAATTTATCAACATCCTCCTGTATACATCAACAACAACCAAAAATTCTGCATAAAACAGTGTGTGGGTAATTGGTAGGAATACGTCCTACCCCAATCCTCATTCGTGGTAAACTAAGGGCCGGTTCGCACACTTGTGTTTGAGTGCGACGCGTTCCATTGCAGGCTCTCGACACGCTGGCACCATCTATAGGGGAGCCCTGGAAACACTTCCAACTTGCAAATATATTGTTATAACTTGTTACGCAAGATTCTCTCGCCGTGCGCTCTAAGTAATTCTGACAATGCTATAAGCGTCTATTTCTCACAAATGGTGCATAGATTTGATCTTGCAAGTACTGTAAAACCTAAAAACTTCAGTCTAGATATACACAGGTAAGCGGTCTACCAGGTCTAACCAATTAGCCCCGAGATGTTTCGATGGCACCCTTTTAGGGTTTCCATCCGCGACGTCACGACTTGCGATGCTGGCCACTAGTCACCGGTTGCAACGGCAAGCTCGACGATGCGTATAAAAACGCGATGGAAGCTAGGAGCCGTCGCATTCTTAGATCACCACCGTCTAAGTTAGCAGTCTGACAATGTTCTTACGCCTGTCGTTCGGCCAGTCATGGAAAGCCCACCGCAGCGTCGCTTTTGGTCGCGCACGTTGCCAATAGATGGTGCCAGTATGTCAGTGTGTTGTAAAGTGGTTAGAAAGAAACTTACCACACTCGACACTCAAATGCAAATGTGGGAATCGGCCTTGAAACCGAGGACAGGCAAGCTCACACGGCCAAAACCATTCAAAGCGTCCGCGTACCGCCACGAGCGTGGATCCGGCCCCATACCGAGCGGGTGGTGGAGGAGATGCCCATCGAGATTCCGGCACGGCGTTTCCTGCCGGGTGTAAATACTTGTGGTCCAGGCGAGTGCGGTGGCGGGAGCGCGGCGGCTCCCGTGGCAGAAGGCACTTTTGTTGCGTGCAGCTCAATGACTTGTTCCCGGCGGCGTGGCGGCCACGGCTTCCCCGTGACGGGGAAGCGGCCTGGACCCTGTTGCGGCCCTTTCGTCTGCGAGCAGATACAAGAGAGAATCTGGTAAGGCACGGCCCGGGTCCCCCGCAACCGGGGCCAGTAGAGGTCCCCAAATAAGTTGCACGCAGGTTAGATGCATGAGTGACATCATAGGGTCACTGTTACGCAGCATCGGTGGTCCAGGCACGGGGCTGGAAGGCGGCAAGGCACGGTCTCTATCACACTCAACCGGAGCCAGTAGCGGCCCCCCAATAGGTCACATGCAAGCTACGTGCAAGAGTACCATCATAGGGTCCCATTTTTCCATAAAATCGGTGGTGAAGACGCAGGAAGAAGAGACAGCGAGGCGCAGCCCAGGTTGCTGAAAACATGAGCCAGCTATACTCCGTCTCATCCTACGATGGACTAAAGCCCAATGCTACAGGTCGCCGGGTCCAATCACGAGCCTGTTAGAAACCATGTGGTATATTTGCTCCGTCGTACGTATCAGTGCGCCAAGAAGCATCATATGGAGATGAGTTTTTCGTCTGCTTATCGAGCCCTCGCAGCAGCTCCGTCTGCTTGCTAATACTGAAGACTATGATATGATATGATATGATATATGATATTTATTGCACTTGGGAAGCAAAAATGTACAGGCGTGCTGGTGTTGGGGGAAGGCTGACGCCCATGCAACTAGTGTGCCCACAACACTGATCCATGCACTCTTACAATATATATACATTTGTACAAAATTGTGAAAAAACAAACAAAAAATCTAGTGTGATTACAACACCGACTTGTGCACTCTTACAACATGTAGAAGGCATTTAAACAAAATGGTGCAAAAAAAAAAAAAAGGAAGTAGGTAAATGATCTAGAAATAGAGGGGGAAAAGTTTTAAACACTGTTAGAGTGGTCGCGGAAGAACGTCTGAGCTACTTCCTTCGCCTCTTGTGGATCAGAGGCAATGTGTTCGGTGAGGTCTGGGGGGAGTCCCCTCCAAAGTGAAGCTGCCCGTCTAAAGCGATGGGGCAAAGAAAACCCGGGATCAGGACCAGTGGCCATTAAGAAATAAAGATGAGTCGGATTGAGTGTTTGACACGAAAGCGTATGTATGTATGGACTGCGTGCGAAAGAGAGATGTGGGTCCGGGTATGTTTTACGTACACAACAGTTGGATTGGATTGTTATGGCTAAAGCAAAATGACTACTATGTCAGTGCGATCGCCTGCTCACCGTCCTACTTCTCCAAACAGTTGACATGTTTACAAAATAAGGTCCAAGAATGTTTATAAAACTAAATACCATGTACCTTTCATTCACCAATAAAAAATAGTGCGCTATCATAACAGAGAACTCTATGCGTTAGATTAGTGCTCTTCATACTCTCCATATCGGAATTTCTCTTGCGCACTCTTTCGCAGTGCGTATGAAGCTTTTTCGAGGCAGTGCTCTGCCCGTCAGCCTTCGGGTCCTAGTTCATCGTAGGGTGAGACGGAGCATAGAAGCCCCCCTAGTAAGTTATGCGCGTGAGTAACGTCACACCGGGATGCCTTTTCCGTCTTCTGCCTCACAAAAATGCGCCGCATAAATAGATGGCAAATAAACACTGCACCTAAGACGCCGAGTTTCACTTGTAAACCATGTCTACAGTGGCTGAGGAGTGCCAAAACAGAAGGCCACAGTTATGAACACAATTTTTAGTGACCGATCAGAAGGCCCTCTCTTCCATGTTGAACGCAGGAAATGCTTTGCAGTATCCTTGCAGTAAAACCAGGGACCCTAGAAGTCACAAAGAAAGAACTTACCTGCAGGGCGGTGTGCAGAGGAGCCCCTAGTCGACCCCTCCAAAGGATTCGGATCCCTCGATGGCCTGCACCAATTTTTCACGCAGGTCTTGGTAGCTTTCATACATCGGGAGGTCCAGCCGGTTGAAGCTGCAGGGCCATTCAGATTTCCTCTGTTACTAAGGGTCAGAAGGCCACTCCAAAGCAGAAACATTGCTCAATGGTTGAATGGTAACACTGCTTCCTACTTTCGATTACAGCTTCTTTTTAATGCCCCTAAATCACTGAAAATCTTTACTTTTGAGCAGCAATCATTTCCTCTAAGGTTCCCAAACTACTATTCTAGCTAATGGAATTTCTATCTGCCTTGAACTGTTGGACAGAGACCATGGTGGAAGAAGAGAGAGGTGTCAAAACAAGGCCAGGAAGGGGGCCGAAATTCTATTCTGGCGTCACGTATTTCCCGGCAAAGGCACTGTCGGGTCGGGGTACGGCGCGCAGGTGCAGTCGCGTGTCCCGAGGCCTTGAAAAAATCTGGGCGAATGAGAAGGGTCCTTCGGGCTCCTGTCATGCTGCGCCATCTCACGGCGTTTGCCAGAAATTGGGGCCAACCTTCGACACACTTTCTCCATGGCGAGGCGGTGCCGTCCAGACACCTCTCTCTTCTTTCGTCGTCATGGGCACGGTCGAGAAAATTTGGGAGCTCGGGGAAATTCCCGAGGGTATTCTGGAGAACCCAGTTTGAGAAACCCAAGCCGTAAAGTTCTGCATGTGAGACACAGGTGGCAGAAAGACTAAATGTCTCTCTGAGAAATGCAGAGCATCAGATAAGAGAGGGGTTCAATACCACCGACACAGCTGAACTGCTGTAACCTCGTACTGGCGAGGCAGCCAACTATTTTGAACATCCCCAAGAAACGTAAAACTTGGAATTTAAATGAACGAGTAATGCAATGGCTACAGTTAGCAGCCAATTTAAATAAACGAGTAATGCGTTGGCTTCCGATTCCGAACTGCACCCCGCACACTCGACAGCACTTCAGGGATCGTCGCAGCTCACCAGGTGTGGGAGCGGGGCAGGTTGCTGGGGCTCCCCCAGCGCTCCAGCGTGAAGGGCTGCGGCCCGTTGCTGCCGTGCAGCTCGGCGAACCCGTTCATGGGCACCCGCGAGGTCCCCGTCACGAACTGGAGCAGCCGCGAGCGCATCTCGTTGCTGAACGAAAGCACCAGGCGCCAGAACCATTGCACCACCACGTGGTTGGCGTGGTAGCCGCCTTTGTACACCGTGTGGCGCCGCCAGTCGCGCACATCGATCTGCCCGATGCCGCACATGAGCAGCTCGAGCTCGTGCTCGTCGAACAGGCGCAGGAGGGCGAGCGGCACGAGCTCGTTGAGCCCCTCGAGGAACGCGTTCATCTGTGGGCGCACGCGCGAGGCAAAGCGCCACTGGATGACCAGGTCCACATAGCGTCCCTTGTTTTCCTGCGTCACCGCCAGGTCAGCACCGCCTGCCGTCAGCTCCCGCTGCTGCATCTGCCCGAAGAGGTCCTCGTCCACGGAGAAGCGCAGGTCGAGGTCGGCCGGGTCGTTGTCCATGATCCAGCGTAGGGAGTTGTAGTACTCCGTGTCCTGCGGGACGGCACATCACATATGCAATCTTGGGCCAATGTGGTTCCAACACAGGCGGTATATTGAACTAACACATGGGTTACGTTGAGTCATCACATAGGTGTTTTGGACCAACACAGGAGTAACACTGGACCTACACATAAGCAATACTGGGCCAGCATGGAAGTGATATTGTCTCAACAGGAGGACGACTTCAACTTTAGTAAAAGCAAGTAGACGGGCGAACTGGTTAAAGGAGCTGTGCAACGATTTTAACGTTGAAATAATCGGCATCTTCTACTTTTGACATTGTTCACCTTGTCACAAATGACAGAAAAGACACCTTCTTTCATCGAAATGTTGCGATTCCGCCGCGTAACAGCGAGGCAAAAATTATAATATCCCTCGACCTGCAGCTGCGAGTGGCGGCCATGAGGAACACGCGGTATGACGTCAATGGGGGTCTTGTAGAAAGATAGCAAGTTGTGCGAATACCTGCTCGATAAAAGGTAAGTTTTCTATAAATCTTGTCGTTCCAACATAAATATAAATGTGTCAAAACCCTGGTATCATCGACAAAACTTTTATTATACGGAGTTTTAGTGGCGCCATCTATCCTAGGTCCACAAAGCCGTCAGCTCTATCGCGCTACCGCGAACAGCCGCCAGAAGCCGGAAGGGGAGGGGGACAGGGCCGGACGGGCTGGGCCGAACCCGGATGAGACTTTCCTCCTTTCACCATATTGTTCGCGCTGCGCCCGCTAGCACGTGGTCACGCGGTCGCGAGCGGATGAGTTCTCGCTGCTCACTGATGGCTCTAGAGAGAGAACTTCACCAAAACCCCACGCCTACCCCATCAATGTCACTGCGCACGTGACCTGGAAGACGATGTACGAGTTGAGAGGTGGCAAAAACCTGGATCTTTTTCATTTTTTAAAATAAAAACTACGGTATCCAGGCAAAATCTGTTTTCTGTACTTCACTTCAGAAGTGTCAGGCATCAACTTCCACAATTATTTAAGCAAAGCCCTAAAGTTGTTGCTCAGCTCCTTTAAGTATAGACAAGGTAACTCTGGAGCGAGGGGACAAAAAAGGGACAGGCAGACATGACGCTCCAAACTCGGCTAAAGATTTATTTTGAAAAACATCCTTAAATAGACCCACAACAATAAGAAAAAAACCTTTAGCTGAGTTCGGAGCTTCGTGTCAGTCCATCCCTGTTTTGCCCCGTTGCTCCAGGGTTACCGTGTCTATCTTTAACTTTAGTGTTTCAGTTTCTGCAATCAGTCTCCAAAAAATGGTGATGTTGGGCCAAAACAAGGGTGATATTAGCCACACAAAAGAAATGCTACTGGGACAAACCATGTACAATACTGGGCCAACATATGTGCAATACTGGGCCAACAAGGGGGGTGATCCCGCACCTATGCAGGAGTAATATCAGCCCAACTCAGGGGTTATATAAGTCCAACATAGGGACAATACTGTGCACAGATTTGGGGCAATATCAGGCCGACACATGGATAATCTTGACCCTAAAATTTCGCTGAAGAGGGATCGTTAACAAGAACTTGGCACCCTTGACCAATAGAAAGCACTTGGCATGGGCCCAATTTGACCACTGAGCTCCGTGTCCTGGCTACATGTCACAATGTCGCAGGGCTCTAGTAAGTATATACTAAATTTAAAAAATAAAGAACTGAGAAGCAAAAAAATTGGCATGGTAACCTAGAAGCAGAGGGACAAGAGGACGCACAACACAAAACTCCAAACCCAGCTACCGATCTTAAACCAGCTTGCCAGTACTCTTGCTTTAGTTCTAAACAATTGGCCCGAATTTGGTTCGTAATGTCCGTAGTCAAGCTTCGAGCCAACCGAGGCTCTGCGGATCTCTATACTTGTGACGTGATGAGGCACTTCAGCCTCGGCATCACTCACCACCGACTCCATGTCCTTGATGGTGATAGGCTTGCCCAGCATCATCTTATAGAAAGGCCGGATGAAAAACGCTGCAGGAGAAAGCGTGCAAGAGCGTCAGTCATTAGAAAGCAGCCGTCTGCACGTGTCGACGAGGGCACACTCACCGTCCAGGAGCTTGCCGTGGTAAACCGCCATGCCGGCCATCCTCCCGATGAACTTGAAGTAGGACAGGTGGTCTTCGTTGCACATCCCCGAGCAAGGGTTGATCTGCAACGTGTAGTTGTCCCTGTGGAGCAGAAACATGCAAAACCTGGCTCATCGCTTTGCCACAACCTCGGAAACGACCCAAATAAAACTGACACAACGAGAGAGACGCTAGAATGACGCACGTCGGAACAAAGGATGTGGCTGCCAATTGTCTTGAATAATTTTCAATACCGGGTACTTTGTAGACTCTAACCAAACTCTTCAACAATGCCCGACGTTTCGAAACCGGCTCGAGCCCACATACAGTCAACCGTGATCAAGGAGGCGAGCCGGCTTCGAAACATCGGGCACATTGAAGAGATAGGTTAGAGTCTACAAAGTAAAGGCCCGTTCACACTCTTCCGATCTCTTAAACCTGGGTTCCTTAAAACTTCTTAAACCAGAGAACACACTGGCGTTATCTATTGGGAAGCAGTGTAAACTCGGCAGTCCGGCATATTTTTTTTTATTTCTCGCACATTATCCTTTCTTTCTTGGCTCGAAAAACTTTTGTCAATGTTATAAACGAGCCTTTCTATGGGTATTACGCACATCTGACCTCAGAAATCCCGCAAAACCTTCGCTCTTGTGAAATGCAGTTCCAGGGTCACCGCATAGATGGCGCCACAATGCCAGTGTGTTCCCTCATTCTAAAAACATTTAAGAAGATTTAAGAGATCTCGTCTCTCTCAGTCGTACTCGGTCGCAAGAGTGTGAACGGGCCTTTAGTCCCCTGTCTTATTACTTACCTAACCAGGCGGAGTTCCGTCGAAAAGTTTACTTTTATATTTTTAATACCGTAATTCTGTTCTCTCGCCCCTTATGGAAAGAATGGTAGGGTGCAAGCGGCGTATGCAGGTGCGTTGCGGTCGTCAGTGGCGCATAGAATCCCCAGTATAAAGGGGTCCAAAGAGCAACGATGCATCTATGTCGCTGGACCACGGAGTCACGAATGGCAGAATGAGAACGGCAGGGGACGTCTTTCGAATGCGCAGCCTCCAGCACGTGCTCCACGCGTTCTGGAGCTTTGGCTGCGTGTGCACGCTCGGGGTGCACAGGGCATGGAAGCGTTGTCTAAGGTAGAAAGCTTGCGCCGGAGACGGAACAAATGAAGGTCTTCCCCACCGCTCTCCCCTTGTCAATTACTGTAATCTGATAACACACTGAAATGAGTGCCTCCACTCTTAACAACAGTGAGGAAAAAAAAAAAAAAGAGGCAGCATCTCCACGTGGTGAATGATGTTGATTGGGGCGAAGCTGTCGTGGGTGCTGATGATACTGATTTCATTGTTCATAGGTAGTGCTGATGGTGCTGGTTTTTTTTTTGTTGCTCATAGGTAGTGCTGAGTTCCAGGTTGCATTTCGACGTCATTATTACTGCTTTATGGCCGGTGAAATGCAGAGCCAGTGGTTCTTCTAGCGGACCAGCTTGGATCCACTATAAGCCGTGGGAATGCATCTCCACCGCTTAAGTCAACTGTCCATGTCAGAAAGAGAATGTCTGGTATGGAACGTGGTTTATACGCATTTGAGCACTTGACCGCATCGCCCTCTCGTCTATAAACGTTGAGCCAATGCATGCAAAGTTTAACGCGATTATATACGCATTTGACCGCAGCGCCCTCTCCTGTCTAGACGTTGAGCGGCTGCATGCAACGTTGGAGCGTAGCATAGTGGTTAAGACGTCTGCCTCGTAAGCAAGCGGTCCTGAGTTCGAACCCCTGTGTGGGCATACATTTTTTTTTTTTAAGTGGGCCGATCCCGGAGGCAGTGCAATAGATGTGAGCACGGACGCCGGATGGAAAAAGCTAGACCCTAAAAAGCTTCGCCCCTAAAAATTGAAAAAATTGTGCACCCTTATTATTTAAGATTATTCGACGACCTCAAGTTCCCATAACAGCAATGCCTGCTTACCGCAACTTGACTATGAAGAAAAATGGCAGTATGCACGTCACACTGGTAGTGGGGTTTCAAATACTGGTAGAACAAAAATGCTTGCGCAGTAAAAAATATACCCTTTTCTGCAAACACGCGCTAGTATAGAGAGCTCTCTCCAAGGTCCCTCACGAGTTCAAAACCCGGAAAAAGCGCGGTGGTACACTCACGCGGCAGAGTACTCGAAAAGCCCGTAGTAGGGGTTGAACATCTCCCGGGAGAGGAGGTAGAAGAACTCCCTGGAGGCGCCCCCGTAGTCCAGCACCTCCTCCCCGTCAAACTCCACCCAGAGCTTGGAGCGAAGCCGGTCCACGCACGTCACTCCGCTCAGGATCCGGTACGAGTCCTCCAGGATCCGTGACCGAGACACCTTTAGCTCAAACTTGTTTGGAACATTGCCCTGTCGAAGGAACGCCGTCATGAGGGACGACCTTGGGTCCACTGTTGCTTGGAAAACTCCCGCAGGCACTTGCTCGCAGGAGCCAGCCCTCCGATTCCCAAAAGAATGCTCGTTGTCTCCAGCGTAGCGAGCAAAAACAAAGCTGAATGAAGCAGATTGCATTGTATGCTTGTGTCGACCAGTTCGGATTTGTTTCGTTTCTGCACATTAGGCTTTTGGGGTTGGTACCACTACTGAGTCACATGGTCATGTGGTTGTTGCCGCTATGGGTCACGTCAGAGTGTCAAACTGCAGTGTCAAGTTACGTAACGTCCGTGTCAGATGACTCCATGACATTACTGTGTCATCATGACATTGTGTTACATGACACACTGAGACATGTCACACAAGCTAAATTTAGGGGGAAATCTTGCTGGACGTCGAGACACATAAGCTATTTCCACCCTGTTTTCTCGCTAAATCCAGCGGACAATCTTTTCGCTCAATTCGGATCATATGTGACTCGGCCCCATCATCACTTTTTTTCGTAACCACATTTTGTGATACTTCATACATGTAAACAGGCCTATAAAAGCGTTCTGCATTACAACATGATGCAACTGCCATCTGAACCGATGTTCTGAAGACGCGTTGTAGAGTGCAAAGGTAGTGATTCTTAAACCAAATGGTGACAGGTGTTGGAGAGGAGAGGGGGTGTCAATTCCCAAGCATGTGTGCCAACTGAGTTGATCTACAGTAATGCACTAAGTCTTTTTTCACCGTTTATCTCTAAACATAGAAAGAAAATCCTTTTGTAACTATGAGTCACGTTATATTCAGCAGACCGGTCTTCATACACGAGTTTTGACAGCACGTTCAGTACCCAGATATGCCATTCTGGTCAGGCCAAGTTCCCTTACCGGCGGTTTGGGAAGCTTAGACTTGAGGTACTCATACTTGCTCTTGTAGTCTCTGGAGTAAGGCACAGCCTGGAAGAAAAACAAGCGGTAAGTCTCAGCCACGACCGCTCCAACCACCGGTTTTCGCCAGCCTCTAAAAACTTGACTCACAGGACCAGCGACGTTTGGGTTGTTGAACCGCGGGTCGTCCCACTGCGTGATCCGTGCCGCTAAAAGACAAACGTGGGACGTGATGAGGCTACTCCATATCCGTCGCGGAAGATGACGTCTGCCACGGTGGGTGGCTACTCACTGTGGTCGATGAAAAAGATCCGGCCATCCGTGTGTATCCGCTCTTCCCAGCCGTCCTGAAAACACAAACGAGTCCTCTTTACAACCAGCAATGAACTGCATTACAGTGGAATCTCGTTGATACGATTCGGCATAATACGTCTTTTTCTTCATTCCCGGCCAACATCCCACAGGAGCAATGTATCTTGATACGGACAATACAACCATATTTTTGCTTGAAATCGGATAATACAACTCCGAAAGCAGGTTCTCACGGGCATTTAAAAATTATGCCTTTACATTCCAGTATACATACTAAATCTAACTTTGAAACTCTAACCAAGCTTTATTAAAAAGCAAAAATCGCGACGTTTCGGAACCAACTCGGTCCCTTGATCACGGGTGACTGTTTTTGTCCCGCGGAACGGCCTGCCCACGAACCCGAACACCCCCGGGTGTTTTCCGGATTATCCCTCTTAACCCCAAAACGTAGCTGCTGGGAAGGGTCCCCGTCGACCGGTTTATGTTGCCACGTGTGCATTGAATGTGCCACAACTCCAACAGAAGGCGCCTCCGCCAGTTTTTCTCCGTTCCGAGGATGGAGCTGTTGTCAAGGTCGATGGAGTGGTTCGTCTTCTCGACGTGTTCGGCCAGCGCGCTTCCCTCCACATTTTTCTTCGCGATGTCGTAGCGGTGGCGCCGCAGGCGCTCTGGATAGTTTTTCATTTCCCCAACGTACGACGTGGGGCAGTCATTGCAGGGAATTTTATAAACCAGTTCCTGTGCCCTCTCCCTCAGGGGGCGATCCTTTGGCAGAGGGAGAAGGCCGCCGATGGTCGAGACTGGCTTGTGTGATACCGCTATGCCGTACTGTCGCAGTACTCGGGCGAGAACCTCGCTTGTGCCCTTGATGTAGGGTACACACACGCGGGTGGAGGGAGGGGGGGCGTCTTGGGTTGAAGGGGTGCGTCGAAGTTTTTTTGATCGTGCTTTTTACAAATCTAGCTGGGTAGCCATTCTTCCGCAGGTCTTGTTTGATCGTTTCGATCTCTTTTCGAAGGGTCTCCTCTGATGTGCAGACCGTGATCGCCCGTCTGACGAGTGCCGAAGCCACGGAAGACTTATGTGTCCTAGGGTGGCTTGAGGAAAAGTCCAGGTATCGGCCTGTGTGCGTCGGCTTCCTATACACACGGAAGTCCAGGCGGCCGGACCCTCTCACTGCACAGACGTCTAGGAAAGGGAGACAGCCATCTGATTCATGCTCAATCGTGAATTGAATCGCTGGCTCGATGGAGTTTAGATGTGTGTGGAGATGGTCGATCTCACTGGTCTTTACAACACAAAAGCAGTCATAGACATACCGCAGGAAACACACGGGTCCTGGGGAGAAAGTGTCCAGGGCTTTTCTCTCGATCGCCTCCATTACGAGGTTTGCCACAGTTGAAGATTTATTAATCATTCCTAACCAGACGGATGTCCGTCGAAAATGTTTACATTTAAGTATACATACTGGAATCAGAAGCTCGAGTCCCAATCTAACGAGACACGAACAGCCCGTTGCGCGGCCACAGCAGGAAAGCCACAGCTAACGCTGGGGTGTTCCAACATGGCCGCCCAGTCGGGCGTTGCCGTTCGCCACCAAGCAGAAAGTAGCACACTCTGGTTTCACGTGACTAGGTGTGCGTTGCGCCCAGTAGGTAGCGTTGGCGATGATGGCCGTGCTGCCTCTTGCACAATTTTTGCGTCTCCACGTATTTTCTTCCGTTTTCCGAGTATGCTGTCTCGTTTTGTCTGTTTGTTCTCCGGTGCTCCCTATTCATGGCTCTCATGGTATCGTTAACCACCATAACAATGTCAAGGAAATGCAAGCCGGTGTCTCTCAAAGAAAAAAAATGGACATTAATCTCCAAGGTCGAAGAAGACCCGAAGAAGAAGCGCGTAGACCTGGCACGCGAACTAGGCTTGCCGGTTTCTACTCTTAACACTACTGTCGGCAAGCGGGAAGAAATCCGCAACAAGGTGCAAGTCGTCAGCGCGAGTGTCAAGCAAACGAGAGGTGCGCAGCATGCACAGATGGAAGAGATCCTCGAGGCTTGGCTTAAAGAAGTATGAGCAGCAGGTGTGAACATCGACGGCAAAGTTCTCCGCGAGAAGGCCGATGAGATTGCGAGCTGGCCGGCCAAACTGCGGATCCTTCTTTTTAACTTTTAAAAGAACTTGTTTATCGATATTCAAAAGAAGAAAACCCAAACCAAAGTGACCGACTATTTCAAGGCTGCGGAATAAAAACAAGTTTCTCACCGGGTATGCATATATTATTACATTTTTGAGCTCATTTTGGATTATACGATTTTTTGGGTCTTGTGAAAATCGTATCAACTAGATTCCACTGTATAAGATGCTGCCACTGAGCTTTCATAGTTGCTGTGCCTTCTACAACAATGCCAAATGACAATAAGGGTAGAATAATAAGCAAATGTAGAGCGAATGAAAGGATTTTCTGCCACAGGTCCGATAAACAGCACTTACGGGCAGAGGACCGAGGTCGTCCATGGTATTTTGAGGACCTCCGGGGAGGCTGCCGTGCCGCGGCAAGTCGCTGGGCTTTCCCGTCCTCGGATCCACCTGCATTCAGAACAAGAAAGTCACCAATAAAGTCTTTGGTCTCCAGGGTGCCACTTGCCAAAAACAATGCGAGAAACATCATTTAAGTACAGTCGCCGACCGATTTTTGGGACGCCAATAATTCGGACTTGTTCGATATTTCGAACCTAACGGAGGAACCGTGACCTACCTGACAGAAATAGTGTATATTCACAACCAATGCTCCAGACAGCTTGAAGTCCGAAAGTTTGGTTTTTCGGACAAAATCGTCGCGAGCGATCAGCGAGAAGCACCATCGCGAAGCTGCCATTTTAGATTCTATGTTGGCTGCACATGACCTGTCTTGGTTTGGCGGCGCTACTCGAGTACTGCTAAGTCCTACCACTAGGTGACGCATGCTGCGACTTTTTTTTTTAACAGCGAAGCTGTTTATGGTTAGGGTTTCGTGAATTTTTCGTGCGCAGCGAGTTAAAACTCTGCTCGCATCGCCACATGCGCACGCTTTCCCCGTATAAAGGATTCAAAGTAAATAACCAAAATAAAGCGTTGACAAACGGGCGTGCAAGATGCCATTTGTTTTAGGATTTTGCTACAGAACAGTTACTGCTGCAGACGCCAGAACGTGCGGCGCAGGGAACACCGTTCCCTGCATTCTCCTTGATGCTTACGTAATTTAGCAATAGGTCTATTTAATAGATTAGTTGTCAATAGGCAACATTTTCAAGATCAGTAGACTCTCAGGTAAGTAATAAAGGTTTCTCAAAGGTTTGCCGCTGTGCGACCCGCATCGGATATGTCTACGCTCGCATTGCCCTCTCTTTGTCGTCATTCAAAGCGTTTGTGTGACCAGTTCCCTTTCCATCTGCTCTCCTGGGATGGCGGTCCCCTCGCGCGTGTCTACTTTCTGCTGGGTGGCGGTACCGTCGCACGTGTCTAGTTTCCTCCGCTTCCTCGGGGCTAGTCTGTGTCGTGTGCTAAACAGCTTCATTGGTCATTCACCTTCACAGAGTGGAATGGCTCACGATTTTTTTCTCTAGCTACGCATCACCATCATCATCATTGTTACCGTTTTGCTTTGTTCATTCCCCATTCTGCAGTCGTGGTCTTGCACCTCTCATCTCGTCTTGGTGAATCATGTTTTCAGACCGCGTTGGCTCGGACATCTTGTGGCCCAATCTGTTCTTCCACCGCCGCGAAGTATCGCTAAGAAGCGCGGAAAGTACTCAACCATAACGCAAGAAAAGAAGGCAGTGATTCTCAAGCCAATAAAAAGCGGCCGAACGCAAGCGGAGGCGTAACCTGAAGCAAGGCACTATTTATGGCTTTTTAAAGGGAGAATGAAGGCAATTTCGCATATCTTTTTGGCGATTGAACTGGGTTCCAGGCACGTCTCATGTCACGCTGCCCAAATTTCAGCCGAAACCGGCGCTTCTATGCCGCGCAAATCAATTAAACAGTCGCGGTAATAATCGTACCGGGATCGACTGGAGCGACGCCCCGAGAGTTGCGGAAGAAGCCAGGAGAAGCGGAGCTCACGTGATCGATTCGGGGCCAAGAAGCGCGACGTCACAAGAGACGCGTCAGCGATTGGTCGAAACGAGAAACGTGCCCTCGGTCACGTTTTGGTTCGCGATTTTTTAGGAATACTGTTCTAATTTCCACTTGAATAACCATGAAAGTATAAACCGGACCGAAAATGATTACTGAACCGTAAATAAAGCAGAATAATTGTTTTTTGCCTTGCCACGCTGGACGCGATGCGGGCAACAAATGACTATGGGCAAACAAAATAAAATAAAAAAGAACACGGTACTGGAAGGATTCTGCAAAATGGTAGCTGTAGATGGCTGTTCCAACAGTCGACTGAAACCAGTATTCGTTCGGGCGACGCTAGTTTTGTGTTCTTTGACGACGAAAAGAGGACGTCCGCGGAGAAACCGGATCCTGGAACGGCCGGATCGCTGCCGTTTTCCCCTCCGCGTCTCCCCCGCGTCCGTCCTTCGGCATGCGGGCCGCTGGTTGCCGGCTGGGCGGTCTCCGTCGGGTGATGGCAGAGGCCGCCACACACATACTCCCGTTCCGTTGGTGTTCGGTCACTGAACGGAAGCTCGAACTCGCTCGCGAAAGCGGCATTGCCGTCGATGTTGACAGAGTCGGCGAAACGACCGCCCCACCGCGCTGCTATAACCCACCACGGTAACCAAAGTCTCGATCTCCTAAATGCTACCGATACCGACTATTCACACCTGACGTCACTCCAACGTCACCTCCGTTTTCGAAGGCCCAGAAACGAGAACGGAGATTGTTCAGTTTCGGTTTCTTTACTTCTTTCGTAAGCACAAAAATATGCGTCACAAATGTCTACAAAAAATTGGGGAGCATGCTATGTTCCCAAGAAGCATAAAAACAATTTTAAAAAATTAAATAAAATTGTCTTCATTGTCCCTTTAAGCCCACTAAGAGACAATAAAGGCAAGTTTTTTAATCTACCGATTTTTCAGACTGCTTTATTATTCGGACGTTTTTTCGGACCCTGCGAAGTCTGAAAAATCGGCCGGCGACCGTACGCTCCCTTTCACTCTACGATGGGCCACAGACACTATGAAGCATTCGACCCAATCAGCACAGGTGTCACACGACCTTCGGGAAAGAAGCAGCGTCAAGATAAAATATCTCGACCACATTGCCACGATATCCCGAGAGATGGCCCACTTAAAATCAAGAGCAAATTGAATGAAAACAAGGGGTGGGCTAACTTTCGGTGCATTACCCAACAGGAGTTAGAAACTCGTCGTAGTCGGGTGAGGAGTGCCATATCTCCTAAAAAAACACAAAAGTAAGTTTATTCATGGTCTATTCACTCGTCATCAGATCCTCCGGATGAACAGCAGCAGTAGTACAAAATGTCAATCAACTCGTCACGCGTGCTATCGGATGTACTATACTCGGGAAAACATGAGCGGTGAGTACTGATGCGAGTCGCTCGTTGACCTTGCTGGCTTCCTTCCTGTCAATGATGGTAGAGATTCCTTAGGGCTGAACGACCCTGCCAAAACTGATTGTCAAACTCTTCGGAAAATTCAGGTCAACGTCAGTACAAGAAGCAGTCAAATTTTCCCTTTCAGCAAACCTGCCCAAGAATTATTCCTCGTGCAGCCTTCCATGGCCTCACTTGTTTTTGGTCAAGCCCAAAGTGGGATGGTCTCCCTTTCTAGATCCTCTGGGTTTTCAAACTCATCATTACAGGTAGGTGCTCCTGAGCCAAAGGGGACCATTGTTTGTTGTCATCATTGTTCGCTATCTACACAACGGAACTGGCATTCGTGAACTTAACAATTGGGAAAACGTATCAATGAGGTTGTACTGTAATTCCCTTGTATACCAAGTAAAGCTCAGTACAATGTGCCCTTCTGGCAGTGTCTTGAACCGACAAAAAGAACAACTCACCCCCCAAAGGATTAATGAGAAAAACACCACCAAGAAATGCAGCGGGAAGGTTCACTAACCCATGTGGTGGTCTTGGTGTTATGGTCTATGAAGAAGAGCCTTCCGTTGGGGGCCACTTGTAGGGACCAACCAGAGGGTAGCCCCTCGGGACTAGGCTGAGGACCGGTGACTGGGGGCCTCACACAGGCCTCCATGGGCTGAAAATCACGATAAGCATTGACAATACTTTCAACTTGTGAATCATTGCATGAACTAACACATACAATTCTAGAAAACATGGAAGTCCACTAAGAGCACCGCCACAAAACAGCAAGTTGTAAGCTGTGTTGATCCTTTTCAACACTAATCAGTAAAGCAGTTACAAAGCGCTAATGCAGCGGTTCTGAAACCTTTCTTTATCTCGAAGAATGCTTATCTTTCTCGATTGATAGCTGAGGAGTCCTCGCCAGTCTTAACATATATGCAATAGAGCAGCATAGAAGGCTACAGACCTTGTAAAAAATAGTGCGCATACCAAGGAGTATTTGGCACAGAGTTAGGCATCAATGAATGGCTCAGAACTTTTAAACTATGTAATGCTTAAGCTGAAAGAATACCTTACTTCGAGGAATGGAAGGCTGTAGAAATTTGGGGGCCTGAGGAACACACCTTGAGAACCCAGGGACTAATCCAAAGCGTTTTGCCCAGTGTTAACACAAAGCAACGTGCACCAATTCTTTGCCAGGTTAACAAAGCCTTAAATAAAGCGGCATGTTTCACATTAGAGCCGCTAAACATCTTGCAATGGCACTCTAACAGACTACAATAAAGCAGAATGATACGCCCTTCAAGGGACAACACATCACGTAGAAAACAACCACGAGAGAAATACATTTTTGTACGTCACAAGGTTCTAACACAACACGAAAGACACAGACAGAGACAGGAGCAAACGACTCTCCCACAGTCTCGCTCCAGGAAATCCCCGAGCAAGACTCGCAGCTCTCTCCAAAATGATAATACAGATGACGGGAAAACGATAGACCCTCCCGTCCCATAACCTGGTGACGTTGCGAGTGCACAAAACCGAGTCTTTTAAACTTCTCAACTAAACTGAGAACAGTTAAAAGAGCCATTAAAATGCACAAAATTTAAAAGCTAGGTGGTGAAGCATTGTGGAAGGTGGAGGGCACGCACTGAGGCGGAACAGCTCGAACACCTCTTGCAACTGCAGGTTCGCAGCTGCAAGACCACGAAGGGAGTTTTCAAAAGGTCAGACGGCAGACGACGAGTACGGCTGGACGCAGAGTAAAAAGGCAGGAATCGAGGCATTCGAGACGACGAAAGACTGATGCTCATAGAGGAGATGTAGGGCCTTCAACTGAGATATAAAACCCTGAGCTTTTCGAAACTCGTTCGGTGATAGGGAAAAAGTGATCATTATCGTTTTGAACATTATTTGTTGGCATATGAAGCCAGCCAGTTTCGCAAAACTTGGCCCCCGGTTTGAAACGTCGAGCCATTCAGGCACGAAACAGCCTCATGTCCATAGCACGTGGCCGTGTAGACTACGAGGTCGGCCATGAAATGTAAGCCGTTCGCATGCAAAGATGAAAACCATTTAGCTACGAAACAAACTGGCCATTCACAAAGCCTAAGCCATTTCCATAACATGTGAAACATCCCCTCTGATCAGTGCAATGTGCTAATACATTGAAAAAGGGCAGCAAAATGTCGGCCCGTTAACCGGGGAATGTAAGTGGCTTAACCTTAACCTCAAGTCATTTTTATGTGAAGTGTATGTACATTAGTAATACGCACCTATCTAAAAAACAAAACGTGAGCTTTTCAAAAATGAACTGTTGCCATTTAGCATAAAAGGTAAGCTAACAAGCATGAATTGCAAGCCATTTTGCCATAGAGCATACCATAATAACCGGAGTCGTCGCCAACCCTCCTACTGCCTAAAATTCACAAGAAAAGTGGGGTGGGCCATGTCTCGGTGGGTAAGCACAAAAAGTTGAGAAAAAGCTAAAAAACGCCCACTTTTCTGTATGTATCTAGCGCGGCTACACAAGAGATACATTAAACTCAAAACTCGAATTAGTTTCATTGTTTTATGCAAGAAATGCTTGTGAAAGAATGACTAAGAGTGATGCTGGGGAAGCGGGAAAGCCGAAGATCGCATTGGCAAATACATTGGAGTCGCGCCAAGTCCGGTGCCTTGTCAACCACAACGAGCAAGCTCTTACGCTTGCTTGGTTGCATACTTGCGTGCGCCTGCGCGCGATCAATGTGGATTGAGGTGGCTTTGCAGCGTGGCATGGGCGGCAACACGAACATGTCTGTGTGCTATGTTCCAGCAAATCTTCCATTTACCCATTGCCTTTGTAAACATTGCACAACCTTACCAACCGCAGTCGCGACGTTCCAGGAGAAGGAGCGGGTCAGCGGTAACGCTTATTTCGTTGAAGACGGACTTTGACCTTACACTCTACGGTTACATTCCGGGACATAGGGCATTCACCGACTTCGCAATCCCTGAATAGGTTACTGCTTGTGTTATTTCCTACTTTGTTTTTCTTGTTTGATCAAACATTTTTGTAAGCAAAACAAGGTTTCATTCTGTTATCTCCATCATTTTTCCTTTCGCACACATGTACTGTCGAAACCTATAACGAAGTTGATGGGAATGCGAAATCGCGTCGCTATATCCGCTTCTTCGTTAAGGGTACATGTTTATCGTGCCTGCAGAAAGCTGTCGAGGCTTCCCTGCACACGCTCTCTGCTAGATCGGAGTCACTCCTCGCCAACTGTGAGAAGTTACGATCGAAAGAAGGTCCTGCGGGCTACGTATGAACCGCTTCCAGAGCCCCATCAACAGCTGCAATGGCCGCCGCGGAGGACGCCGGCGGTGGACGGCATTCTTTAAGTTAATGTGCACTTCGTCGAGGATGGCGGTGCGCTTTTGTTTCAAGGAGATTGCCTTTGTCTTCCCCGTCGAAGTGCCGGCGGTGCCGGGAGTCGCCATCATTGAGTGTCGACGAATCAATGAATCAGTGCCTGTGTGAAGCTAGACCTTCGCGCAAGGAGTGACCACACCGACCGGCGACGTAGAAAACGAAGCAAACAAAGCACACATGGCACCCAGTTCGCCGCTCAAGTTCCGTGTTTCTTCGGTATAAAAAGCCTAAATATAAGAAAGGGGGCAAATTCTCGATCGCGGCTGCGTGGTTTGTGGGCTGCGTTGGCAAAAATGAGCTACAGCCCGCAAGGAGTCAAAAATGTTCACCGTCTACAATAGTGTCCGCCCCTCTGCTTGGTTTCCTCGCCACGCTGGCCACGAGACAACTAAATGCAGTCGCATTTGAGCCCATCTGCTCAGGAGGCGTCCGCCATTAAATTGGAGTTGCTCCCTCTCTCAAATCTAGGTTCTTTCCGTCGTCTCCATCGGTACGTCATAGGTACACTGTCGCCGGCGCTCTGAACGCCTTGGCACGGCACGATGCCTTCTCCACCTAAATGCAGAAAAGCCAGTTCCCAGATCAAGAGTGGGGAGCAGAAAACGATGCAGAAGCTGCCGCCAGCGGCCTTTGCAGCAATGTGTAGCAGTCAGTGAGTCGGTAAACTTTCAGATTTTGATTTTCCTTTCTTTAATTATCAGAAAATTTCTCTTCGCTATATCCGAGGTTGCCGCTCAATTTCCTTAGATAAAAACAGACACAAACAGATAGAAATAGTGTGAGTGGGAATGGAAAATCGTGCTCGCTTTGCTATAGCTGCTATTTTGTAGTAACCAACTTCACTATAAACGGTCTCGACAGTACAACTTCGGGGTCCTGGAAATCGGGCAGGAAATGCGTAAACAGAGAAGTGCCTTTCCCTCCTTCGTTTTACTTTGCCACGGACATACTCCAACTGTAAGGTCCGCAGCCACGTCATTCAGGTAGGATGAATGGTCGCAGATCGCGGAGTTGGCGTTGTGTACTTGTCAAGGTGGGCGATCATTATGCGTTTTTTTTTTTTATTATCAGTACTCGCCCAAAAAGTGGGGTGGGCAATGACTCAGGATATTAGGGTATGCCACTTTGCCATAAAGCATATGCCACTTTGCCATAGAACATTAGACAGCCACAGAGCATAAGCCACTTTGCCATAGACCATTAGCCATTTTCCCATAAAGTGTAAGGCACTTTTCCATAAACCGTAAGCCCCTCTGCTGTAAAGCTTGAGCCACTTCTTCGTAAACCGAAAGCCACTTTGCCATGGAACTTAAAGGGGCACTAAAGTGTCTCTTGAGTTCATATTTTTATGGCGATGGCTCAATACACGCATCCGAAATTACGATCACGTGTGGCCTTTTTCCCCCATTCTAAATGCAACCAAACAATGGGACACGCCCCATCTCCAAGATATCTCTAAAAAAAAAAGGGGCACGTCACAATGTTTAGACATGTTTCTAATAGAAAAAAAAGTCACACATGACCGTAATTTTGTGTTTTCTACGACGCTTAGGGCTCGAAGACAGGGTTTACACCATAAAAAGACGATCTCGAAAACACTTTACTGCCCCTTTACGCCATTTTGCCCCAAAGCGCAAACCACTCCCGACGAGCACGCACAGGCGGTCTGTCCACCAGAAGCCAGCCACACATCCACAAAAGACAGCCCACAGGATTGCAGAAACGCCGCCATCCATGGTGCAACGCGGTGGGGGAGGGGGGCATCTAAGTGCAACCTAGCCAACCGGACTGCCACGGGGGGGAGGGTCAGAAAATAAAAGACAGTGCATGCACCAGAGTAAACCGCCGTTGCGCATTGGACGCTAGTGCCGCCCCGTTGAGTGCCGTCGACTCCACCACGCTGTTCCTCTGCAACGGTACCACCTGAAAGAAGGGCACCGGAGGAGAGACCGCTGGTACCGGTTACCGGGAGGCCGTCGGGCGTCGGCGACGGCACCTGCGGCTCCTCGGGGTGGCTGGTGTCAGTGCCCGGCACCTGGTCCACCGTGTCATCCACGCTGATGTGCACCCGGCGCCGGAACTCCTGCGCCAGCTCCAAGCTTCGCTGGTGGGCCGCCGCTCCCTCCTCCCGAGTGTCGCTGCTGTGAACCGGGAGGGGACGCGCTCACCGCGAAGAATGGCAAACCTTGTAGCTTTTCACCATATTGCCGAGCGGTGCTTCGATGCTAGGTTTCACAATGAAGAATGGTGAAATTCTTTCTTCACACAAAGCACGCTCATTGTGAAGAAGGGCAACTTTTCTTCACTGAAATTGAGCAAGAGCATGCTCAAGATGAACAACTGCAATTCCTGCAATTCTTCCCTATAAAACAGAGTGCAATCATGCTCATTGTGAAGAACTGCAAAAGTTGCAGTTCTTAATATAGGGAAACTGCAAGAGTTTCAGTTCATTATGAAGCTGAGTGGTCCTTCACAGTTCTTCACTGTGAAACCAAGCAGAAGCACGCTCATAGCAAAAGACTGGAACTCTTGCAGTTCTTCACTGCAACTTTGCAGTTCTCCAAGCGAGTGTGCTCCCACTCCAATTGACAGTTTCTTACTCATAACCAAGCAGCAGAAAGTTAGAGTGAAGAGTTGCAACTCTTGTAGCTTTTCACTGCTCAGTTGCACCATTCTTCACTGTGAAACCAAGCAGAAGCGCGCTTGCCGCAAAGAACCGCGACTCTGGCCGTCCTTTAGCGTGAAGCCAAGCAGTCCCTCGCTGCACGGTTTCACAGTTCTTTCCTATGAAACCGAGTGGGAGCATGCTCATTGTGAAGATCTGCGACTCTTGCAGTTCTTCATTGCCGTCCTCACCTCGTCAGTGACTATAGTGCTCTAAAGTGGTCCCTCACCCCTGGGTGGGCCTCTCCCACTGGGTGGTGCGTGCCAGGTGGTTGACGTAGTAGATGCGCCCGCAGGCATCCTCCCTCTCCTCCCAGCCGGAGGGGAGGGGCGAGGGGGGCGTCTCCGTCCCGGAAAAGCCCTGGCTGGCTCCCTGGGGCACCTCCTCGGGGTCCACCACTTCCCAGCCCTGGGGGGGGCACGGACGACAGGCGAGCAAACAATGTCAAAGTTTTACGTTTTAAAGTTACTCAAAGGGCTGTCCATACAGGACAGGGCAGAAGCAGTGTTTTCTAAACTCGCGGCATACACCATACTCCAATACGCCTTCATTTTTCTTATGTTTGGGGGGGGGGGGGGAGTCAAGGCCTTTGCCGTTGTTGTAAGTCCCCCAATCCCCACAAAACAAGGGGAAGGGACGACAGCGAGGAGGCGAGAAGGAAAGCCGTGCTGTTTGCCTTTTTAATGTCCAAACTGAAGATGGACACGCGCGCCGGAAATTCACGGCATGTGCCTTGAATTTAGAAAATATGGCTTCTGCTGTGTCCCGTTACGACAGCCCTCGACCCGAGGGTTCGAAGCAATTTTCGAGAGATGTCTGCTATCAGCACCATACATGCACAATATTTGCAGAAATTGCTAGATGCCATATTTTCTTGGACACTTTCCGGAACCGGCATCTCCTTTTAAAATAACGTCGAGTTCAGGAACTTACACTTTCCAAAACCGGCATCTCCTTTTAAAACAACATCGAGCTCAGGAACTTTGGTCCCTTATACCGACCGCCGGCAACATATAAATGGGGGGACCCTGTAGCTTATTCGCGGGGCCCAAGAAATAACTTCCTCTCTCTTCGGTATAATCTAAGGGCACTCTAAATGCATAAAAATTATAGATCCAATGTAAAGTAATGGTGTGACATGATGTCACGGTCTAACGTAACATGTGACACCATGATGTCAGTTTCACATGATGTCGGGGAGTCATGTGATGACCGTCACGCCGATGACATCATCACGGTGTTCACATAATGTTTCGAATGCTTCTCTTTCCAACAGTCTGTAGCTTGTTTGAAGGGTAACAACCATTGCAACAAGGCATGAACTTGCAGCCTCGCCCTTCTACCCGACAGGAGAGTACGGGAGGAAGGAGAGACAGCACTCACCTCGTCGGCAGAGTGAGGAGTGCTTTCCTGCGTCGCCTCGTCCCCCTCAGCCAGGAAGGCGTGGTAGACCTGCAGGTGGCCCTTCACCCGGGACTTATTGCTGCTGGAAAGAACCATCCTCGTGTCACCAACCCCACATGCTCTCTCTGCTGTTCACACCTGTGCCTCGAAGACCAGTTATGGCAAAGTTGGCGGCGCACGCGGCTGAAACACGAAGGTGCGTGGTTCGAACCCCGCCGGCTTAGTTCCTTTACCAACCGGTACCTTTCTGGAAAGTTCTAGTTCATTCTCGGCTGTCGTCGTGCGTTCCCGTTTAGAGCCTTCCTGAACATAGCCCAAGCAAACTGCGCCGCTTCGGGGTTAGTCGCAATTTCGTAGCTGTCGCAATATGTACAGCACATTTCTTGTTTCAGTTTACGTTGCAAGTTTTCCCCATTAAACCTGTAGCTTTTCCGGTTCTTCACTGTCTCGTCGCTTGAGATCTGTGACATTTCACGGATCACAATGCGCCCCATCTTGGTTGTCCACGTAATGGAACTTCCGGACTTTTGTCGGCATTTATCAAAATAAATGTTAGATGCATTCCATCTGACCGACAGCCACAAATCAGAAAGAGCATTCAAAACAGAAATTGCTGAGGAAGTAAAAGTAACTCATTTTCTCTGGCCTTTGGGAAGGCAGAATAGGAGACCCGTCCTTTGTTGACTAAAAATAATTTTAATTTAAGTCCCTCGTTCACCAGCTTTGCCCAGTTCGACATAGTAATCAAAGGACCCGTAAACTATAATGGCCGACAAAGCTGTTGTTGACCGCTTCTGCAAATCCGAGCAGTTGAGCTCACCTACGCCTTCTCAGGAGATAATACTTGTGCGGTATGTGGCGCCCTGGCTGTTCCACCGGAAGTCCCGCCAGCGAGAGCTCCACCAGACCAAGAAAGTCATCACGAGTCTGCAGAGTGGACAACACGTCACGTGTTAGAAAACCGAAAAAGTACAAAAGCCACTGCCATCCGCCCAGTTGAACCCGACAGGGAGCTGTCATGTTGGTACAAAATAGCCTCATCAGGGACGAGCTAAGTCCATAATTTAGGGCTGTAAACACTAAAAACTGATCCGCACATTTGCATCGACCATGTCACACTGCACTACGCCGTGCAGCACAGTGTCTCCCCATTGGCTCGTAATAAGTGTCCCAAAAACAACAGCTCGACGCAAGCAGTCTTAACGAGGTGCAAGTGGCTGCAGTCGCACTCAAATGTAACTGTGTGAACGAGCTTTAAATCTCTCAAAAACACGACGGCCGACACTCAAGGTTGTCAGAAGGTTTCTATTCAATGTATGTTGCAAAAGCAGACAAGTCTCCCGATCATGAGCAAATTGATCGTATGGTATGAAATGTTTGCTCCATCAAACCTCCTTTGCCTTCAATTTTTTTCTGCTTTCTAAAGCTTTTTTTTTACCTTGTTTTTTAATTTTTATTTTTTTTAAGAGTTTCTGCATTTTGAGTCACTAGGAGTTTCACAAGCTATCTTTGTATAATACCATGGTACACCGAACGAATCCGTCTATGTTGAAATAATGTAATGCTCACTTAAAACTAATGAGCGCCCTTCACAGAACGGTGAAGTGGTGCCACCTAACAAATCACTGTTCAGCCTTTTATTTTAGTAGTGACAGAATTAATTACTACAAAATGACCCCTATTCCAAGAACACCGTAGACTCGGCTCCCTCCAAAATGTTGGCAAATTAAGAGAAACACTCACCAGTCTGTTTTCGTCAAACACCTCCATAATTATTTTGTGTTCTTGAGGGTCAACCTAAAAAAACGGCAAACAAAAAACAAGGTCAAAACCTGCACAAGGAATGGACATACAACTCGGATACAAAATGACTCAATTAGCCCAGCGGTCTTACTAGACTCTAGAAACAACTTCTCCAAACAACGCTGTTCCACATTCTCAAATCTCCTTGAAAACTCTGTATCCTCCCTGCCAAACAATAAACACAAACTTGATACACTGCTAACGCACTGGATGGTGTGCACTAGTTAACAAATGACTCGTGAAACACCGTTAACGGTACGTAACAATAAAACGAGCCTGTGCTACGTTCCCCGGACTACAGCTTACCTTGATCACAAATTCTTCATCCCACTTTGGATGTAGAGTCTGCCAGAAAACGAGAGAGCGTAAGAACCCGCAGAGAGATCTCCGAAAACAGAAATAAAAGCAACATGAGAAAGAAAACTCAGATCTGCTCGCACCTTTTTTTTTGTTTTGGTGTAGAGGGAATCCAAAACTGTGTAGCCATCCCCCTTTGCCTTGACCAGGTCAATCCGCACATAGGGATCACTGAAAGAGGGGACACGCCGTCACTCGACCGCGTACAGGAGTGCAACCGCTGCACACAGTTGCAAGAGTCACTAAAGGCTGGTTCAAACATTCGCGTCTGGGTGCACTTGAGTGCGTACAGTTCTCTTGTAACCCCCCACAACAAGGGGACACAATGGCAGACTGGTGCCATTCAGTCTGTCATTGTGTTCTTATCAGAGGCCATTGCCAGAAATATTAATATATCAAATGTATCTGCAAATGCATATCTGACCATGCAATAGTTGTTTCTGATTTATCTTTCCGGCAAAATACGAGCAGTACTAAAGTGTTTAAACGGTTCCGGGATTTCACTAGGGCAGATGATGTTGGCATCCTTGATATGTTAGAAGAGGCATTTGAAGAATTTTCTGAGATAAGCAATCAGAATGGTGTATGTGTTGATAAGTTACGACTTTTTTTTAAGAATGTTGTCTTATCGTGTATTGACCGATTTGTTCCGGAGCGTTCAAGAAATAAGAAGCAGAGTCCTTAGATTACACGAGATATTTTACACCTGAAACATAAAATATGTACACCGTATTGAAAGGTACCAAGCAATTTTAAAAAGTATGCTTCCTTCCCTTCGCCAACAACTACAGGTACTCAGGTGCACATCTTCCTCAGGGAAAACCCCCAGAAAATTTTACGCATATTTGACTAAAACAAATTTAGCTATCAAGAAACTTGGCCACAACGGGAACACGCTCACCGATAAATTGAGTATAGCAAGCGAAATGAATCATTTTTTTTTCTACTGTTTATACCAAGGATAATTTCATAATGCCACCATTTACTCATGACCATCGTAAAATTGGCGACTTAGTAGTGTCAGTAAATGGTATTTTTGATAGCCTTCTCCGGCTGGACAAAAAAAGTCATGCGGCCCGGACCGGATTCCTAACGCATTCCTTCACAGGTATGCGGAATGGAGTGCAAAGTATCTTTATGAAATATACTTTTGCAGCTTAAAAACTGGCGAAGTTCCAAAAGACTGGAAAGTAGCGAAAGTTGTGCCTATTCATAAAAGTGGAGATAAAAAGTGTGTTTCGAATTAGAGACCTGTCTCGCTCCTGAACACATGTAGCAAAGTTCTTGAACATTTTCTGTTTAAACACATTGTACCTTTTTTAGAATCTGCAGAATTTTTGGTAAAAGACCAATATGGGCTCCAACGTGGTTACTCAACCCTTATACTCAGCTTCTCCACACATTCCATGATTTTGATGCTACAGTGGATAACGATGGCCAAGTGGATTCTATCTTCTTAGATTTTGCGAAAGCTTTCGACAGGGTGTCGCATCGGAAACTACTGTTCAAACTTTAGCAGATACTCGATAACGATTACCTTTTACGTTGAGATGATTCCTATCTTACGAACCGTCGACAGTATGTGACTGTTGGGAAAGCGGAGTCTCTGGATTTGCCAGTCATGTCAGGAGTACCCCAGGGCTCAGTGCTCGGTCCTTTGTTTTTTTTTAGTGTTTATAAATGGTCTGCGTGTAGATAAGACCGGGATTCGGTGCCGTCTTTTCGCCGACAACTGTGTTTTGTTTGCTAAAGTGTCATGCACTTTCGATCAATTATGTTTGGACAGTAGCCTACAATCTGTGTTTTCCTGGTGTCAAGCATGGCAGATGGATTTGAACGTAAAAAAATGTGTGCAAATGACAGTAACACTAAAGAAGTCTCCAATTTTGTTTTGCTATTCTATAAACTCAGTGCCATTAGAAAATGTCACTTCTTATAAATATTTGGGCATTATCATCACATCTACTTTAAGCTGGTCTGTTCACTTACAGAACATTATCGCAAAAGCATATTGTAAACTGTGGAGTCTTCAAAGGACTATGCGACATTGTACCCCGGAAACTAAGCTTGTTGCGTACACTACTTTGATTCGTCCATTATTGGAATACACTGACATTTTATGGGACCCGTATTCACAGTCATTGATTGACAAACTTGAGGGAGTGCAAAAAAAAGGCACTGCGATTTATATATAAAGCATATAGCATGCATACGTCTGAGTCATCCTTTTATGCGTTACCCGGATTAACCCAGTTATCGACCCGCAGAAAACTGAAGTGTCTGAATTTTTTGTATAAATTAATACACAATAAGATTGGAATGAAGTTCGAAAACGATCTGGTGTACAATCTTAGTTGAGTCACACGGCAGAAGCATGACAATCTTCTTCGAGAGTTTCAATGTAGAAAAGACATTTTTAACTACTCTTCCTTTCCGAAAACTGTCTGAGACTGGAATGGCCTGCCTCACAACATTACAGGCAGTGCCACCTTTGACTCATTTGTCAGCGCCTTAGATGGAGTTTTAAATCCATTTGACTAATCATTTGCCAAGTGTTACCCCTGTTTATTGGGAAGCGTTTGCACTATATGTCTTTTACTTTTTCTCAACTATGTTTTTTGAAGCCATGTATAACTAGAGCTGTGCTGTTGTATATGTCACATATGTGCTCACATGCCTTGGCCCACAAAAGTAGGCCGGCATTATTATTCAAATAAATAAATAATAAATAGATAATAAGGTAGCTCCGGAACTGCCCATAAGTAAACTGAAATCGACGCACTAACTATGAGAAGCGGTCGCTCTCAACGTTCTCAGAATTATTTAGGGCCCACGGTAAAATAATGACGCATCAAAAATGATGAAAACATGTACCCAGGTCGAAAGCGTTCCACGGTCACCCGAGAGATGGCGTAAACGGTTACAAGGAAAGGCAATGCACTTGGGCAGTGTCTGAACCGGTCTTCAATGTACACGAGAGACAGTAAAGCTCAAATAAAGGTTCTCGGTTGCTTATCTGCCCTCCCGGGATGATGGTGGATCCATACTATAATCATGTTAGACTATTGAAACATGCTATGTAAGGGGTAACGAACATGGATCTGCACTATGACCCTGCGAGATTATCACAGATCTATTCTACGATAGAAGTGCAGTGATGTGATTGGGGAGTCATTTTGGATCGGCTCTCAGAGAAATCAAAAGTCAATCCTGGAGCAGCAAAAAGAACGCCTGGAGCACGAGCGTGCACTTCATTTTCATTCGTACTACTGCATGTATTATGTTAAGATTAATGTGTCGGCCTGTTCAACTAAAAGGCAACGTCTACTTTGCCTTCTCACTCGCGTGCAACCCTTTGTTAGCAATGATTGCGCAGCAGGAGCGATTCCCTCAAACACAAAACTAGCATTTAGTAGCGTGGAGAAGCACCAGGCACGGTAACAGGAAGATGACTGATTAAGTACAGCACAAACTGCGATGAAAAATTATTTTAGGTACTGAATCCCACTGAAGTAAGCTTAGAACACAATAATTTTGAGCACCTAAGTTAATGTTTCCTTCAAGTTCTAGAGGCTCTAAGAAAACTGAAATTTATAATTCAGGCAAATAACAAAGAACTTGTCAATTCATTGTGAATAACAATTACATTTTGCATATAGAACTACTACATAACAAACTTTGCAAGTGAACAATTAATATGCCTTCTTAAAACAATTTCTCTGAACTGGTTCTTCCCCAGCTTCCATCCACTGCTTCTGCCAATTTAGTTGTAATTTACTTACACCTATATAAAAGTGAAAACTAAACTAGACATAAAAAGTAAACCTAGAAAAGAGTGCATATAAATTTTTTTGCATTACCGAAGTACCCTTGCTAAATCTTGAATGGGAAAAGCTACCACCAGGATATCGCAGTCTATCATATATACAAGCCGAAGTTGTATTCAGAAATTATGTCATGCCTGGCTACGGAGGAGTGCTTTCCCCTTAGCACACTAGTGCACTGCGGAGAAGCAAATGAAGCAAAATTGCAAATTGCACTGCCTTCCCCCCACCTATCGCTTCTCTGCAGTACACATGTGCACGGTGAGAAGCACACTCAATGAAACTTAGCAAGCCGCCAGAGCAGACCACAAACATGAGAATTATTGCGAAACTTCCGAGTACAGTCATTCTTTGGTACGAAATGCAATCAAATAGCATGTTTAGAGTTCGGCATTTTCGCTTTTTATTTAAGATTTGGCATATTTTTTTCGGTTTCTATTTTAAACGCATATTTTCCGTTTTTATCGGATACAGCTAAATACGTCGTTTTTTTTTTTCCCCGGAAAATATGCATTCTGGTTTTAGCGTTGCAGATAACATAAAATGACGTAAAATAGCAGGAATAAAAATGGCATGTTTATTCATCAAACTGGAACAGGGATTAAACAACATGCACACACACAAATACAAGCGAGATATTGGTCCACACCCTTCTGTTCGGCGTTGTCGCGCTCAGTGCCCTTCTGCCGTCGTCTGTGACATGTGGGCTTTTCCTTGCTTCCTGCAGGCCCGCGTGGGCTCTGTGGCTCTTTCCTATCTTTTATTATGTGGGGATCAGTATTACTTGAGTGAAATTAAGTTTTGCCGCAATGTTGGTGCAAATTCCTCACATGTAGGTAAAAGGGTAAGCACTTTGGTGCAGTTAGGAGCAAATCATGCAGCAGTCACATCGCTGGGAGTGCAGTTTTTTAGACTTACCTAGCACCGAAGATGTCCTTCTTCGCCAAGCTGTGGCCTGCCACAATGCGGAGCCGGAGCAATTTGGTGTGCCCGGCCTGGTTCGCATTTTCCTGCAAGACAAGCAGTAGCATGCATCTGCTGTAAACCGATCTGCCATGCAGGATGTTTACTAGATTGTGTATTGTCTGGTAAATTAAGCAGTTGCCTGGCATCCTGTGGTGGTGTCTGTTCAGTAACGTAGGTAGTAACGTGCTGTGCCCCACAGTGATAACATACAAGCAACAAAATTAGAATTGCCACCTTCCCTCAAAAAAACAAAAAAAAACAACAAAAAAAAAAAAAAGAGACACCATTTTAAGGGGGGGGGGGGGGGAGGGGGCATAGTTATGCGAGATTAAACTGGTAAAAAGAAACAAGCAGTGTTGACAGTCTTAATTGATACAGAGGCTCAACTTATTTTGACACGAGTTTCCCAAAGTGAAATCCATTGACACAGATCTATAATTATTACATCACAGCACATGTAAGTACATGAATACACAACACTGAACTTAATAACATACATAGATGTATACCATTAATTCAAAATTAAAGCTCCAAAAATAAATCTCTCACACTCATCCTGTGCAACAGGTGGAGAACCGATTATTGCTGTTTACATAGAAATGGCAGCGAATTAAATAATGTTTCAAGTAAAAATGGCTCCAAGACACTGAGCATGATACTGGGCAAGCAGATTTCGAGCATAAACCTATTATTTTCAAGAACTGCTGGTTTTGGATGTTTTGGTAGTGAACGCGGTTAAAGATCATGATCACTGGCACGAGCCTATGGCTTGAAAGTTTATGGTCACTCTTAAATGCGTTTAATGCGAGCATCTCTTCATACCTCTCGAATCATGAGTTACAAAAGGATTGTGTCCTCGAATTCAAAGTGATGTCTTGCTCGCCATTCTCTGAACTCCTTCAGTAAATCGCAAAGACTCGCTACGTGCTACACTGAATCGTAAACACGCCTGCTTACCAAAAGTGATGTCTTCTTTGAGGCTAAGTAAACAATTTCGGAGACCAGGACATTGTATACAAAATTAGCTTAAAAATGCACCATGCATATGCCTACATACTTGATAACACTGATGGTCTAGACTATAATTATAAACAACCTCCCCTCCACAAAAGAAAAAGGAAAGAAAATTGCACTTGGGTAGCTGAAAAAAAAAAAGGCAAGTGACAGCCAGTTTTAGATACGGATTGACAACCGGCCCTTTATCCAAAAAACCGACCGTGCCGGTCAAAAACCGGGCAGGTGGCAACCCTAGGCAGAATGGCCCCACATAATGTGTGCAAAACAGACGACACTTGATTTCTGTCGGCCAATAAGTCCTGATCCTAAGATCAAGAACACTCGCTTCAAATCGTTTGATGGGTTCATAGATATGCATCAGGAAGTGTGCTATGAGAGTTTTCCAATGGCCGTGATCTACTGGTTACTATTCAAGCTAAATATAATGTCCAGTGCTCTGCAAAGAGCATTGGGCATTGAGTATTGGACACAAAGAGCTAACCACAAGTGAATTAGAATCAAATCTGACAGATCAGAATAAAACAAAAAAATCTCGCCACAAGAAAGCAATCTTGTGTTCAGCAACACAGTTGCAAAAGCAAATTCAGGATTGAGTATACAGACAAGTGGAAAGGAAAGACTGCATGATGAGTGTAATGACATGCTGAGAAGAGAAATGAAGCAGATTTAAACCAAATCTAAAGAAACAAAATTCTTGAACACCAATAACCTAGCAGGATAAAAAAAAAATCGCAATCAAGATAACTCGTGAGAACACCAAGTGATAAGTAAATGGTGGGTTTCGTCAGAAAAAGTGATAGAGGTGAAATGAGGGGATTTCCAGGTTGTGATGGGGAGATCAGTGAAGCAGCCAATGTTCCCGGTAAATCAAAAAGATAATTTTAAATGAAGCAAAGCACCCTTGGAAGCATACAGGATCACAAGGTAAAAAAGAAAAGCCCTAACTATAGAAAAAAGAGCTTTCTCAGAACTAAGAGATTATGATGACGATGAATAAACGGCACAAATACAAGAGACATCTCCAAAGTAACCAACAATTTAACTAAGTGCTTGAGATTATAATCAAGGAGACACAAGCTAAGGCTGGAAAAGCAATCAGCCCACATGAAGAAAGGCGGAGGAAATTTACAAGCAAATGAAGTATAAATGGAAATAACAGAAACAAGCTACCATACTAGTTACCATGCACAGTACCCCAGACTACGAAAAATTAGTTTGGCATGACAAATGTTTTAAGATGAGAGGAATCAATTAAGATGGAGGAGCTAATTAGAATTTGTGACAAGGAATGGAACATGTGCTGCAGTGTTCAGTAAAGATATATCTAACACAGTGGTTTCTCACTGTGCTAGAACCTCTAAGCAAGAATAAGCAGACAGGAACATGAAAGATGTATATACCCATAATAGCAGCCTGAAGCTTGCTACGTGTGCCCAGTTATAGTTAGAGAGGAAAAAATTCAGCAGAGACACTTAAGACTGTTCACACGTAGGAATGCTTTTGCATTTCTACACGTAGTGCATCCCTACAGGCAGTGTGCCACGTCTTCCTTTTTTACACAGCGCTCCGGCGGTGACATCAAGCTCCCCCACTGCGCAGGCACGGCGAACCTCGCTGGCTTCACAACGGCTTCCGTGACAAAGCATTTGCGTTGCTGTGCTTTTCTATGCGTTTTATTTCAGAGGCGCGTCTGCTTTGACCTTGAGTGCTCCACCGGCTTCTGTGAAGAGGCATATGCGCTGCTGTGCTTTTCTTTGTGTTTTATTTCTGAGGCGCGTCCGCTCTGCAGCCAATAAGAATTTATGCGCCGTTTCGCTCGGCCAATGGGAATTTAGGTGCCGTTTCACTCAGCCAATGGGTACAATTAGGTGGCGTTTCGTACAGCCAAGCGGTATTTAGGTGTCAATTTTCGCTACTACAGACATCAGATAACGCCACCATCGCTCCATGAAACAGTTAATGCTCTCGCATTAAAAAAAAAAGTCAAGGCCTCCATGATTCATGAGCAAGTAAAGCAGTTGGCAACTCAAAGAAGCCATTTTTATGTTACTACTAAAGGATTCATGAAGTGGCACTTGTTCCCGGAATGCTACCTACTCAACTGCATATCAGGCTAACAACTCTCTCTCCCATCGAATAAAGCAGCCAGAGGAGAGCTTTGCTTGCTGGCAGAAGCCATAGAGAACAGGTTGAAAACATGTCAGCTAGGTGCCACAAGTTACCACCCAATGAAATGTGTACAGTTACTACTATGCATCCACCCATTCATGTCTAGATGTCACTACGGTCCACCACTTTTTCTTGCCCACCTTCACTGCACCGCTGGACCAAGGCGATGGATAGCGGATGAGGTAAAGTAATTACCACTGATCTCTACGACTATTTGCTGGATCGCACATCCTCGCTTGGTCGCTGCAGCTCAAGAGCGGCCACCGGATGGCCATCTTGGGACACGGAAAATCAACCTTTTGGAGCGTTGCGGAGCCTGGGCGGCAACATGTTGAAGGCACGTTTTCTGCTCAGTTGTCATTGTTGCCGAAGAAATTTGTTTAAACGTTGTGTACACAGTGAGAATTACCTTTGAGAACATGTGGAAATTTTTACGAAAGCGCAGCACCACAGGAAAAAGGCACAACTCGTCAAATGCAAGTCTTGCCGGTCTCTCAGCATGATCAAAGCTTCCTTGGCATGCCGAAGTGACGCGTCTCTGCCTTCGCACGCGTGGATAACAATAAAGAATGGACGCCGTGTGGATTTGTTTTGTGAGTGCAACGTGCGTAAAGATGTATGTGCCCTTAGAGCAGCGTTTTGCTTTACTCTTAGGAAAGTATTTGTAACTTGTAGCACTCGTGGTCCAGAAACGAGCTTGATCCAGTGGCAAAGAAAAAGGGGTAGGGGGTACGACGATGACGACAGATTGCAGACAACCATATGGGCCGCGTTTAAAAACATTTCGATCTCGCTGTTTCATACTTTCGCATTCAAAAACCTATTTTCCTCCACAGCGTTGCTCTATTTTAGGGTTGTGCGTATATTCGAAATTTAGAAAATAACACACTGTTCGATATTCGCTTCGAGAAGAACTGCACTATTCGCGTTTTTCGAAGTGTTGATTGCGGCAATTCGCCCCGTTGAGTGTGCTTTTTACCGAACACCCGTGCACTGCAGAGAAGCAATACCTGTGGAAGCCAGAGCCGTATATGTAGAGAGTTTGACCATTCATTGGGAAGTATAGGAGACAAATGAGGAGGCGCCATTGGCTGAAAGCAGGCTGGGCGTGTTCCGGGTGTCTTCACAAATTCGAATGTGGGCAACCAGAAGCCGGAAATAATACCCTGGCGGTGGTCGTGAGAAACAAACCTAACAAGTGCATCGGAGTAACTCTCGGTGAATGAAAATATGGTGCACGTGATGTTTCAATCACGGTTATCCAAAATCATGGTGGAAGAGTGCGACTACCGAAACAATCGACATAATCTGTACCCCAGGCACCAGGGGCCAGGAATCCGCCGTCCAAGCAGTCACACTCTGTCCGCGCAAAACGGCGTTGAGCGGCCACATCCGTTTCTTAGATCTTTCTACACGATCTTGATCGAAACATCATGCGCACCCTATTTTCAACCATGAAGTGTTACTACATTTAACTCTTACGCTTATTAAAACCATTAAACTATGATTAAAACTGTTTCTCGCTAGAACCGCTAGGGAATTCGTTTTCGGCTTCCGGTTGGCCAAGAGAGCATGTCGAACCCTCTTTCTGCGTCAGGTGCACGCCCTGGCTCTGCCCTCGCCCTCCCATTGACCAAACTCTCTCTACACACAGCTCTGGCGGAAGCGAGCTTTACGGGTGTTGCTTCTTTGCATTACTTTGGTGCTCGGTAAGAAGCGCACTCAACGGGGTAACCCACCGCGATAAACACTTGGAAAAGTATGAATATCGTAATCGCGTGCTTGGAAGAAAAGCATGCATTCAAAGCGGAATGGTGCACGCGTGCAGACTGTATATGAAAATAAATGGTAACTTTGTGAATGTGTATATCTACATTGAAGTAAAAGATTCAAAATTAAACTGACTGTTATGCAAGAGTGTACTATGTTAGGCAGAGATGCCTTTACAACCTGCGTTCATCATGCGCAATTCATTCTTTTTTTAACTCAAGATTAAAGAAAGAATATTTTATATAGCAAGATTTGTAAATTCACTCAATTGGGTACAGTTGGCCATCTCTATAGGATTCATTTTACGTCAAATCCGTCGTTTCCTTGCCGTCCCAAGACATTAGACCTTCTGAGGTCACAGTTCATTACTATAGATAGATTAAACTTAGCTCATAAATGAACAAGTGGAACAACCTTAACAAGTTTAGGTGGGTTTTCATCTATGCATTATGCAATGGTAGTGAAAGGCATGAAAAAACTATTCAATATTCAAATTGAAAGTATTCGGCCAAAACCACTATTAGCACAAGACTACTCTATTTGTGCTGTCATGTGATCCATTCAAGTAGATTTGGAACATAGCCATAATTAACCGTGCATAATAGCAACCACTGATTTTTTTCCTTTATTGCTAGCAACTCTCCAGAACAGCTGGGCGATCCGGAAGACATCTACACGCGACACACCTTCAATACTTTGCCACGGCATCGATCCTTGATAAGTATCCAAGCATGCGAAGGCACAGAGACGCAGCACTTCGCCAAGGAAGCTTTGATCACGCCGCGAGACCGGCAAGACTTGCATTCGACGGGTTGTGCCTTTTGTCCTGCGGTGCCACGCATTCAAAAACTTTTGTCAGCTGTTCTCAAAGGCGATTCTCACCGAAGATGGTTTCAAAAACCATCTTCGGTGAATGACAACGAACAAGTAGAAAACGCGACTTCAGCATGCTGCCACCCAGCCTCCGCAATGCTCTAAAAGGGTGATTTCACGTGTCCCAAGATGGACGTCCGGAGGCCGCATTCCCAGAGCAGGGAAGCGCGATCCAGCAACTGTCATAGAGATCAGTAGTAATTACTGAGCCAGTGGGCACCCAATGGTCGCACAGATCCAACAGTGTTGTCGTTCTGCTCAGCCAGACATTCCGCGGAGAGCGGACTGCGTCCAGGGAGCTTCAGAGAAGGCAGGCTGCCGCCTATCTCGCTTCTTTATCCACCCAGCGCCGTAAAAAGCTACTCCCATGGATTTCGGTGCAGAGATTGCAGTCTTCTATCTCGCCAAGTTCCCCCCTACCCCCCACCTCTTCCTCTCTGTTTTTCTTGTATTATTCTTTCATATCTTCTGTTGCATATTTTATTAGAAGGCACACTCTTTGTATACACAGGTAGTGGCTTACCTCAGGAGGTACAAGCCAAAACCCAAAGGAGGCAACAAATCACAAATTTGAAGTGCTGGTGCCTCAAAGGCTTTGAGTGAAATCGGTTGTTCGTATCTGGACGAGACCAATCAAAACTCAGCAACATAAAAACTAATTAGTGTAGGAAAAAAAATAATAGTCTGACCAATATTTCACAAGTTTCGCGGCCTCTTACCACTCGCTAATCGTACATTGCACTTGTAAGCGCGTAGGGTCGGTACTTGGGACATTACCACTTAAAAACAAAAAGCATACTTTAGTGACTATAAAGCGTTAAAGCATGGATCCAAAGATAAAGGGGACACCAGCGTTCAGACTACCAAAAGCTACGCGATACAGACACAGGTACGGCGGAATGCCTAACCACGATGCTGTAATCAGCTGAAACGACCGAAGCGCGACGCAGAGGGGGTACGTCGACCGAGCGTTTGAAGCGCTTCATATGCCTCAGATGCTGGACGAAATGACAGCCGAAGGGCCTTGACTTCCAACAGCTGTAGTGCGCCGTAGATAGAAAGAACGCGGGTTGTTGACGAACCCCTGAACGGGTGACGACGATGTGTCCTTGCCCGTAAAAAGCGTACCGTACACTACCCCGCCCCGCTCGCCGCCTCGTACTACAGACACCACGATGCCGCGACAGCCACCACAGAAACAAGTCCGGTGCTCGCGTCAGCTTCGTCGCACGGTGCACACCACGGCTCGAAGATCGATAGAGTGCGTCTGAAAGCGACTGTTTGGTCGCTTACCTCCGCAGAGCTGCCGTTTTCAGTGGCCGCGTCCGCCATGCCATCCGCAACCACCAGCTTTCCCGAAGTCGCTCTGTTTTTCTGAGGAGTCCCGGCGCCCGACTGAGATCGCAGACCTAGGAGCGCTGTGTTGCCCTTTAACGGGGCTCGGGTCCGGGTTCAGACGGCCAAGCGCATCACCACATTACGCTCGGGGATAATCCTAGCACCTCCTTCGGCTTGTGAGCACAAATTTCCGTGTAGCCATGACGTATTTCCGAAATGAGTGCTCTGCCCACGAGATACAGCAGCAACGTTGCCCAGCAGGCAACAACAGCAGCAGCTGCTGGGAACGCCTCTCCGTTGTAGGTGTCGCGGAGACTGTAGACACCGATTTCAGGCGCCGTGCAATCGATCAGGGCGGCTAATCGAGGCTGGAAAACATTGCACGACCTATAATTACGAGTCAAGCAAGGTTTCAGGGTTCTCTCTATATATCATAATTGTTTTTATGTATAACGCGCTGAGCAGCGTGCTCCGTAGAACCCGATAACGAAACTAGTGAACGCTAGTTTCGTTATGTAATTCTTATAATAACAACGTGCTCGAAACTAAAAAAAACCCGTAAAAACAAGTATTTAAAACAAATAAATTAATTAAAAGACTACGTATAGCATGAGCTGTACTCTTCAGTTCGGCCAACGTTGAGTTCTGCGCTTCTCGATTGCAAACCATAGACACCATAGACACCATAGAGTTGTAAACGACATCGTTAACATCATCATCATCATCATCATCATCGTTATTATAATGGCGTCGGGAACGCTGAGTCCGTTCGTCTACTGGGCGCAAAATGATAGCAAAATTTTCCTCAGGGTGGACCTCAGAAACGTCAAGGCAAGTTGCACGAAAATATAGACTTATCTTTCATCGTGCTGATTTTGTTTACGTCCTGTTTAAGCGAGTAGTTGTGCTAACAATCTACCGCATTGGTAACGCCGGTGTGTATCTCAAGATTGCGATCGTAGTATGGCTGGTATGGCCCGATAGTGTGGTGTCGGCAATCTCTGCGGTATCTTTCATCAAGAAATCCTTGGGACAGGGGACTCAGCCTAACTATTCCGCAGGTTAACGTTAAATGTAGTGCGTCGATGCACTTGCGAGTTTAACTGGAATAGACGCCCGTAATCTGATGGCAAACGCAACTCTTGGTGCAGACCTGAACGTAACCTTATAAAAAAAACACCAATTCTACAAATTTTTTTTTCTTTTTTAATATTTTTAGGAACTTGAGCTGTCTCGTCTCCGTATTGAATTGTTGGACACACGTAACCTAAGGGAATTCTTGGGCACTGCGAACGCTCCGATTGCGGTCAATCGAACGTAGGTAAAACTTTTCTCCGGCAATCAATTCGTCCTGTGTGAAACGACCAAAAACGAGAATAAAAACAGTTACATAAAAAATACTTCCTAGTGAAAGGAAAAATATGCGACTTTTTTTACGTGGTTAACTTCCACCAGTTCGTCTGCGTTCTTCCTTTTTGTATGCTTGTTACTTTCAAGATTTTCTTCCACGGATACACTCAAAGGAGTTAACATTTTGAATGTGTATTAGTAAACAGAATATAAAAAAAAAAAGCCAATGCACTTTGTTTTTATATATATATATATAATATCTTATATTCTTGTCATACATTGCGAGGCATTTTATAGTTGCAGTTATAGGGCCTCCCCCAGCTCGAAGTGTGACCACAACCAAGGCACCAATCCACTGCTCAAGAAAATTGGTTATCTGTAAGAAAGGCCATAGAAATCGATTGCGAGTGTCAATAAATCCCTGGCTGCATTACCAAAATGTCAGCTTCCCTGAAATCGGCTCTGTGCAAGTTCGCTGGAAGCATGTGCTCCTGGGTGGCACTCAGTTGGTTAAACGACGTTTTAGCAAACGCCACCTTTTCATCAAAAGACACTTTAGCGAATGGTCGGCCACCGCGAAGCGTCGTTTTCAGGTGGGCCACGTGGGTTAATATTTTTGTAATGAGCCGCCGCAGACTGCCTCCGCGAAGCGGCATCAACGCAGCGTGGGGGGTGGGCTAATGCGCGCCCCCGTTATTCGCTGAAACATTGGTTCGCTCAAATGGCACTGTTTGCGATAACGTCATTTGCTCATGTGATCGTTGTTCCTGCCCCAGGTGCCGAGCATTGAGGCAACGACCCACAACCTGTCCTTCTGCGCGTATGGAGTCGGTGCCAGAGGGGAAGAGAAGTACAGCTTCACGCTAGACTTCTACGCCCCGGTGGAGCCAGATGTAAGCGGCAACACTTCCACACATTTCAAATACTTGTCATAAGCAGCCTATTCATGATTCGAGGAATTTTCTACAGGCCAAGTACAATTGCCAAAGATAATAGCGGCAGCCATCTAGCTTTACAGTATGTTCAACCAAGGTTTGGTGGCTCCAAACAAAAAAATATTAGACATTTTTCGCTCCAATCCATTTATCTCGGAAGCTCTGTGCAGCATTGTGGAAGGCACGACCATGTGTGCTCAGATTTTCACAGTTGGCTTTGCTCAATGCGTGCTTTTTGTGCCATGTAGTCTAAATAAACTTCTCCTTTTTGTTTTGCTGTCTGATACAATACAGTCTGCCCACAAGCTCCACTGAAACGAAAGACGGAGCAGGCTGTGATGGCATTTTAAATGCAAAGACAAAGCATGCAGCTTAAGTTGGCTAACGACGATTATCGCAGTCAAACCGATGCAAGTTTATATTCTAGAACCTCTGTATGTTCACACACATATGGAGGTTCATGCACATACGGAGCGCACAAAAACGCGGACACTAAAGAGACAAGCACAACTGATGAGCACTCACTGTTTTTAATTATGAATCCGTAGCAACTGACTTAGTTCTCAACACTTCCATATATTCATTGGGACTTCAAGTCACACCGCAAAACAGGCAAAGTTGGATATTGGAACTATTGTTGAACTGTTTTCTTTTTATGCATTTAATTTCATTTCGAGAGCGTGTTTTTGTACCTTCTCAATGCTAAATATCACGCTAAATATGCCAGAAATACTCAGGTCCATCAACAAACGTTCGTTGGATATCGCGACTATTGTTGAGTTGGATTCTTTTTATTGCAAGCAATTTCGTTTCGAGAGCATGTTTTCCTACCTTCCCAATACTAAATATTGCATGGCTCAGAACTACTCTGCTCTACCATAAAACGTTGGTTAGTGGGAACACTGAAGCGCTCTGAAAAGACTCCGCAGGGGCGCTCGACGTTGCTTGAACGGTGCCTCAAACAGAATCTGTCGAACGCAGGACTGTGAGTACCGAGTGAGCGATCGCCAGGTGGACGTGCACGTGCGCAAGGCCACGGCAGACTACTGGCCCCGCGTGCTGGCCGAGGCCGCTCGCAAACCCGCCTGGCTCAAGATCGACTTCGACAAGCTGCAGACGGAAGACGACGACGACGACTCGGAAGAGGACAACAGTCTCCGCAACTTCTACGTAAGACGGCGAGCGGCATTACGGTAACCGGAACGCTTCCCCAACCGGTGTGTCCGCCGCGTCATCGCGAGTGGTCCCTCGATTTTCACCAGGCTGCGTTGCAAATGCGTCGTGCCATCGCTGGCCGTGATCCCGGCAGCGGCAGACGCCTGGTCGCACTGCGGCAATTTAGCGAGCGCCTCGATGGCGCGAGAGAAACGTTGAGAGACGACCCTAGCAGGCATACGGCGAACGACGGCGTGGCCCAATGTTTTTGTGGTACTGGTAGTGGCTCGGGGCATTGGGTTTGTCACTACTCCGAGAGTGGGCGGCCATGGGACGTGGACACACCAGTCGGAGACACAGTCCAGGCATTGTGGCAGGGCGCGGGACGCCCCCTCGGCTCACGGGACGCGTGGCGCGCAGGAGGAGAAGCTGGGCGCAGTGGACAGGCCGCCGTCGTCGTGGCGGGCGAGGCGGCGTTTGCAGCGGAGGACGGAGGAGTTCCGCAGGGTCTACCTCTTCCTCTACAACTTGTTCCAGTTCGTCGGCTTTCTCTACATCTTCCTCGTCATGCTCATCCGCTACAGCCGCGACGGAGACCGTGAGTGCCCGCCAGCATTTTGATGTAGCAACTCGTGCTATACCCTGTTCGCGATACAAAATACATAGGTGTGGACGCCGTGCATGTTGCGGCTGCCAGATAAAGTCCTCCCATCGCCTCGGTTGCAAGCGGCGCCACCAGGTGGCTCCTTGATATGTGACTAATGGCAGACTGTTGCGGACCCGGTTTCCCCTGCTTCTCTATGGGAGACACGCTTGTTTTTAAAGTTGTTTTCTGGGTGTGCCTTGTCATGTAGAACTTGGCACTTGCTCTACGCATGTTGCTTAGACACTGACCCTAGCTTCGTGCCTCAAGGGCAGCAATAGCAGTTTCATGAGTGCCTCGAAGCTGAGAGATCTCTGGCGCAAAGTTCAAGTCAGTGTCCATTAAGGTCAGAGCAGACGCTCCGAGCAGAACGAGCGCGCACCCTGGTGCCATAAAAATAACACCTTTCTTTTTTTTTCTTCAGTTACGTTTTTTGACGGCAGAGACGCTGTCAGCCGAGGCTGCTCAGGCGTGCACCAATAGGACTATCTGCCCGATCGCCTCGCAGCATTCACCTTGCTGCATCTCCTCACCTACACCTACTACGATCTTACACCAGGCACGTAGCCAGAAAAGGGAAGGGGTCCGCGCCCCGCTCCCCCCGGAATCTTCCATTTTGCTGGGACCTCCTCTCCCCCCTCCCCCTCGTACAGCATTTTGTCATGGGCGGCCCCCCCCCCCTGAAACAAAATCCTGGCTACGTGCCTATCTTACACCATGACTTTGTTCCAGATTAAAGATAGCAGGTCACACCCCTCCCACAGAGCTTTTTGCTTACTATAATTGGTGGTTTTCTTCTCTCCTCCTCCCCAGCATTTTCTATGCTATAGTGGAAAGTGTGGTGGGCTTTGCAGAAGCGTGTCCCGCCCGTCTTAATTTGCAAAAGACTGCGGCAGTAGAGGGCCTCGTAGTGCCGTCTTCATTCTTTCGAGTGTGTCGGCCATATTTGTACCAGTTAAAGACACTCATTATGAGGTCATCCTGGCCATGTTTTACAGCCATAAATTGAAGGTAGGCTAATATAGTTTGCTGTCTTTAATCGACTTGACTTTAGCATTTTCGCTTCGTTACAACAACTCAATGCACAGGACATATAGAGATACTTCCAAACAAATGCACACGAGGGAGGCACAGTGGTCATGCGGTGACACACCGCACCTTGGAGCACGTGAAGCAAAAGATTACTTTGCAGAACTCGGGGTGGTTCAGTCTCTACTCCTGCCCGTTTTGATCCGGGTAAGCACCATACCGGTACAAAGTCCTGCGTCGCTAAACTGCGTAATATGCGTTGAAGACCCCAGGCTAGCAGCGGTACTGTACTGGCTTAATTTCTCATCTACGGCGGACAAACCAGACGCTTGCTGGTGGCCGATTGATGTCCTGCCGTCTAAGCATGCACAAAACACAATTACTTTTACGCATGCAATGTTATACCAGGTAAGTCGCATGGCAGCGAGTGGAAGTTCGGAAGTGTGGTCCTCGATAATGTACTGTTACCGTATAGCTACAAGCGTTAATCAATAATGCAACATATTTTTTCTTTTTTTGCTTTCTTTTTCATGTCAGAGCCTCTTTACATAAGGGCCGCACAGACTCGGTTTGCTGTTTGTGCCACCTCAAATACAAGCGTAAGCACTCTAAATCTGAAGTTGCCGGTGGAGCAGGTAGTGTTACGTTTGTGCTGCATGTGGGCGAGGACGGTGTTTGGCATTGGTTTTAGCATGTCTGGGTGATACGAGGCTACGGTAGGCTTGTTGAGGGTTAAGAGAGCAACAGGACAGTGCACCCCTACAAAAGGTCACACTGGGTATTGGTGGTGGTGCGGGGTGCTTGCTAATCTGGTATTCAGTAACAGTGAGAAGAGGCTGAACATGGTGATTCCAAGCAGTACACAGTTGTTCCAGTGAGATTAGCTGTGTCAACCTTGTGTTGATAGTTCTACATCACTGTGAAGGTCCTGAATATGTGTCAGATTTGTTTGTAAACTTCAGCAAAATGTTGCCACCTGATTCAGACATTTCAAACTACTCTATGCTCCATTCGCCGCTAAGCTGGCAGTACAATGGGGGCTATGTGCCTGCTCGACCAATCAACCACCTCCTTTTCATCACCTGGCCCCGTTTTGTGGAAAAAGAGACGCATGTTTGGTTTGGGAATACAGAGCTTCCGTCTCAATGTCAGCTTAAAGACCGACGACCAGTTCGCGCCTTCCACTTTTCTCCCGCTTCCTCCTCTCCCCCCTCCTACCCTGTCCACTGTTGCCTGTTGCCTCCTCCCCCAGGGTGAGGAGGATCTTCTCAGAATCTCGTGTCTGGTCGTTGGCCTTTAAGGGGTTTAGCCGTCCCACTGTCAGCTTAGTTTTCGACACGAACATTGGGCCGAGATTGGTTCTGTCTGTGATACCTAATCATGGTCTCCCCGTGTGGCAGGCTCCATGGAGGGCACCTGGGAGGCTGTGGGCAAGGCCATGCGCCTGGTGATCCTCCTGCAAGGCCTGGAGATACTGCACCCCCTGCTGGGATACACTGGGGGCAGCGCACTGCACCCTTTCGTGCTGGTGAGGCACCGGTACTCTCACCACCGAGGTCTCACTCACCGGAACGAAAAGCGCTTTGGTTACCGCGGTCACCCGAGGGAAAAGCCATGGAATGGGTTCCTATTGTGACTAGAACTACTCTTTGGCAGGGCCACTAAATGAGCTACGCCTTGGAGTAGCCACACTTCAGCCATCTCGGTGCCTAAAATCATTGCTGCCGCTTATCTGAAGCTTTATTTGAAATTGCAGAAAGCGCTTTTCCGTCCCGCCGAAATATAAAACAGTCCGGGGCAGTGCCAAACAGTATCGCCGAGCTTCCCTACGCCATATCTAAAGCTGGAGAGGTCGAATTTTTTTAATTGTGCCGATCGCCAATTGCACCTGCTGTGCACCAGGCATTACAATGATGGCGCCCACAATAGCATCGGGGAACATTATGCCCTAAGTTTTGCTTATAGTAATCGGTAGCTCTAGACTTCACTGTGTGCTTGGTATTGCAGAATGTAAATCTGGAAAAGGGGTGTCTACGACTGCAATGCAGCCATTGCAAGAAAGGAGATGCAAGGAGAGACCAACCGCGACCATAGTCGCCGAGAGGACGAGTAGGGCAAGGTGTCTCTTTTGGATGCCCAACCTCCGGCACACGCTCGTTGGTTTCTGTCGCATTTTGGCTGCATGTGCCCATCGAAACTCATGAGACGAGTCGCGTGTTATTTAACGTTAAAAGCTTGCACTGAAGGCGGGGCAACTAAAACTTGCCCTGCTGGTCTCATCCTTTCGGCAACTAGGGACAGAAACGAGTCCACCTAAGTGTACCGCGTTCGGCCTGGTCATAGCTCGACGAGTTCGCATATTCTGTTCTTTCCTCTTTGCAGGTGGGTGGTCGCATGCTCATGGTGTTCGTCATGATTGACGCGGAGCCGCGCATGCACACCAAGCCTGCGGTGTTCGCCCTGTTCGGCACCTATGCCCTGGTGGAGCTCTTCAGGTGGGCCGTGGTCCCATCTCGGAGAGGGGGCGGAGCCTCACCCCGTTTTCCGCCCGTAGGTACCCCTACTACATGCTGCGGACGTACAACAAGAGCATCGGCTTCATCACCTGGCTACGCTACACCGTCTGGATTCCCCTGCTCCCCCTAGGATTTCTCTGCGAGGGTGAGAGCGCGAAGACGGCCATTGCTCGCCCGCATAAACATTGGGCGTAGGACGAAATTGAACTGCGTTTATACTGTGGCAACCAAGGAGACGCCAGAAAGAAATTTAAATGCATTCTAATCCCACGAATGAAGCCTAGAGGCCCGAATGTGCAGTGTGTTTTGAGCGCCTTCCCCGGTGGGGCAACAAAGATTTTGTGGCAACAAGGATACATGTATACCAGTCATAACCCTGCTAACCGAAGCCGCTCCGTTAGCACAGGAGACAGTACCGGAGTACCTAGCAAGAGGTCATTAAATTGATTCTCGTGGGGGGACACAGTCTACTGTAGAGACAACTGGCCGTGTTATCACATTTCGGATACAACACTTCATGACGCTCTAGGCTTGGAACAACCTTAAAGGCCGATGTACTGTCTTGGTTTTCTGCAGGGAAGATAATCTTAGCGCTCCCCTCTCCTAAGCTGCAAGGGGAGCCAAGTTGGGGCAAGGTGAAAATTGGAGAGGGTACACAGTAGACTCTCATTAATTCAAACTCTAGGAAGCCACGAATTTTGTTTGAATTATCAGAAATTTATCTAAATTTGATGCAAGATAAAATTATGATTTGCCATATGAATGGCCACACATACTACAAAGCACATATTTGATGATTTCCTCTACATACCGTAAAATACTGGGCAAGCGCCCACTCAAAATGTAGAGATAATTGCGAAAAAATGGGGGATGGGCGCTTGTCTGGTCATCAATTTTATATACTATTGATGTACTGTGCATATTTTCTCCAATCTTTCAAATTTGGGACTGGGTGCTTAGTGTGGAACGGGCGGATGCGCGGTATTGTCACGGGTGGTGACCAAAATAAAAGGAAATAAACGGGAAGAAATAAACGTTTAATGTGGCGAACTTGTGCCAAAAAAATAAGGGAGAACAAAGATAATAACAGAGCGTCGCGGGCGTCGAAGTCGGCGTAGCAGCACAGTCGAACGCTGGAGCGAAACTGACTCCGGCTTGCCTGCGGAGCCGCTTTTGTACACACGTTGGCTTCTGGAGCATTCGACGTAGAAGGTTCGACGCGTAGAAAATTCTGACCTCGAATCAGCTAGACGGTTCTCGATTTTACCAGAACATCACATTACAGTGTTAACAAAAATGCATAGCCGTGGCCAGGAATCGAACCCTGGCCCTTCGCGTGGGAGGCAAGCGCGATAACCGTTAGGCTACGGCCGCGCTGCCTACTTGGCGCGCGGCATTACTCCCCCCTTAAAAAGTGCATCGCCCCGATGCATTTCAAAACAAAACAAAGCACATAAAAAGAACGGTAAACTAAAGAGTCACTTGAAACACATAAGATTCACAGTCCTATCGAGCGTAGTACGGCTTCAGGCGCACGACGTGGACGACTTCAGGTCGTGGTGGGCGGCGTGATGATGTTCTTGTTCTGTCGGGCATCACCTCGTAGTTCAGCTCGCCGAGGCGACGAAGTACCTTGTATGGTCCAAAGTACCGTTTCAGCAGTTTCTCACTGAGGCCGCGGCGACGGATGGGCGTCCACACCCACACCCTGTCTCCGGGCTGGAAGTGAACGTCCCTGCGACGAAGGTTGTAGCGGCCCGCGTCGACGCGTTGCTGGTCTTGAATCATGAGTCGGGCGAGCTGGCGGACTTCTTCGGCACGTTGAGCAACCGCCTGGGCGTCGTCGCTCTCATTGTCAGATGGCTCATGGGGCAGCATTGCGTCCAGCATGGTCGTTACCTTCCGACCATGTACCAGCTGGAAAGGGGTGAATCCAGTGGTCTCCTGAACCGCCGTATTGTAGGCAAACGTGACGTAAGGCAACACCTCGTCCCACGTCTTGTGCTCTACGTCGACGTACATAGAGATCATATCGGCGATTGTCTTGTTGAGTCGCTCGGTCAGCCCGTTGGTCTGCGGGTGGTATGCAGTGGTTCGACGATGGCCGGTGCCACTGAGACGTAGGATCTCTTGCGTCAGCTGGGCCATGAACGAAGATCCGCGATCTGTAATCAGAACTTCGGGTGCGCCGTGCCGGAGGACGATGGACTCGATGAAAAACTTGGTGACTTCCACAGCAGTCCCTGAAGGAAGAGCTTTCGTTTCGGCGTACCGCGTGAGATAATCTGTAGCGACGATGATCCAGCGGTTCCCCGACGTCGAAGGCGGAAAAGGACCAAGTAGATCCATTCCGATCTGCTGGAAGGGTGTAGTTGGAGGAGAAATGGGCTGCAGAAGTCCGGCCGGCCTCGTCGGTGGTTTCTTGCGTCGCTGGCACTCGTGGCATGATCGTGTGTATAGGTGGACGGTCTTGGGGAGCTTCGGCCAGTAATACTTTTCACGAATACGGGCCAGTGTCCGGCTGTAACCAAGGTGTCCGGATGTCGGGTCGTCGTGGCAGGCTTGGAAGATCTCCTCTCGAAGGTCACTCGGGATTACCAGCAACCACGGTGTGTTGTTGTCGCCGAAGTTCTCTTTTTAGAGTACACCTTGTCGGATGGCGAAGGTCGGCAGTACTCGTGAGAAGACACGTGGCACGGTACTCCTGCCCCCTTCCAGGTGCTCGATTAATGCGCGAAGCTCAGGATCGTCCCGTTGACGTCGTGCCATATCGTCGGTGTTCACTGCTCCTAGGAAGCACTCGTCGTCATTGTCGTCGCTGCAGCCGGAAGGGGTTTCGACGGGGGCTCTGGACAGGCAGTCGGCGTCGCTGTGCTTGCGGCCTGACTTATAGACCACTGTCATGTTGAACTCTTGTAGTCGAAGACTCCATCGAGCAAGGCGTCCTGACGGGTCCTTCAGGTTCGCAAGCCAGCAGAGCGAGTGGTGGTCCGTGACTACACGGAACGGGCTCCCGTACAAGTACGGACGAAACTTTGTTATTGCCCAGACGACCGCAAGGCATTCTTTCTCAGTCGTGGAGTAATTTTTTTCCGCCTTGGACAATGTCCGACTTGCGTAGGCGATGACTTGCTCGATGCCTTCTTGCACTTGGACTAGTACTGCGCCCAGTCCCGCGTTACTTGCGTCCGTGTGAATTTCTGTTTCCGCATCCTGGTCGAAATGTCCAAGCACAGGAGGAGTCTGGAGTCGTCGTTTCAGTTCGTCGAATGCCTGCTGTTGCTCCTCGGCCCATTCGAACTTCTCGGCGTCCTTCGTGAGATTCGTAAGTGGTGCGGAAATCTTTGCGAAATCCCGAACGAAGCGTCGATAATAGGCACAAAGTCCAAGGAATCTTCGCACGGCCTTCTTATCTGTCGGCGCTGGAAATGCCGCGACGGCGCGAGTCTTCTCGGGGTCTGGGCGGACGCCTTCGTTACTAACCACGTGGCCAAGGAACTTCAGTTCGTCATAGGCGAACCGGCACTTTGACGGCTTGAGTGTGAGTCCGGCGGTCTGAATGGCTTGAAGAACAGCTCGGAGTCGTCTCAAGTGCTCGTCGAAGTCAGCTGAAAATACTACGACGTCGTCAAGGTAGACGAGACAACTCTGCCACTTCAGTCCTGCCAGTACGGTGTCCATGACACGCTGGAAAGTTGCTGGCGCCGTGCATAGTCCGAAGGGCATCACCTTGAACTCGTACAGCCCATCCGGCGTGACGAAAGCTGTCTTCTCTCGGTCCCGTTCGTCCACTTCGATCTGCCAGTAGCCGCTCTTCAGGTCCATCGATGAGAAGTATCGAGAGTGGCGCAGCCGGTCTAACGTGTCGTCGATGCGGGGAAGTGGGTAGACGTCTTTCTTCGTCACCGCGTTCAGCTGCCGGTAGTCCACGCAGAACCTAAGCGTTCCGTCCTTCTTCTTAACCAGCACGACTGGAGAGGCCCATGGACTGCTTGAAGCTTGGATGATGTCGTCATTCAGCATCTCTTGAACTTGCTGATGGATCACCTCCCTTTCCTTAGCGGAGACTCTGTACGGCGATCGATGCACAGGGCGCGCGTCGTCCTCGGTAACGATGCGGTGCTTGGCAACCGCGGTCTGGCGCACCTTCGACGACGTCGCAAAGCAGTCGCGGTATTCGGCGAGGAGGTTAACCAGCTGACGCCGTTTAGGGTCCGGAAGCTTAGGGTCAATGTCGAGCTGCGCTGGCGACGTACTGTCTTGCTGGGGCGGCGAGGATTCGTCAGTAATCGCGGTGATTTCGGCGGGGTTTCGGAGTTTCTCGACGTGGCCCACGGCTGCACCTTTCGTGAGGTGTTGCGTTTCGTTTCGGAAGTTCGTCACGAGGGCCACAGTCCGCCCATCCTGAAGTTCAGCTACTCCCCTTGCGACGCCTATGCCTCTTCCCAGGAGCAATTGGAGGCTTCCCTCGAGAAGAACTTCGCCAGAGGAAGCTTCATCGATCCCGACAAGTACGAAAACACTCGACCGCGGTGGTAGGTTTACGTGGTTTGCGAGGACTCGGACCGTGGGTGACGTCGCTTGGGGTTCCTCCGCTGGTGGAGCAGGTTTTCGTAGCGTCAGCCGGTTTGTTCCGAGGTCGATGACGGCGCCATACTCGCAGAGAAAGTCCATTCCGAGGATAACGTCCCTCGAACAGTCATGCAGAACGACGAACTTGACAGGGCACGTTTCACCGTGGATCTCGACGCGAGCAGTGCATCTCCCGACTGGTGTGATGAGATGTCCTCCGGCGGTTCGTATTTGGGGTCCTTCCCACGGCGTCATGACTTTTCGAAGGCGGCGGGAGAGCCTCCCACTCAGGACTGAGTAGTCTGCTCCGGTGTCCACGAGTGCCGATGCGTCGTGGCCGTCGATGACGACGTTTAGGTTGTTGGACACCGTTGCAGGGGCGTCGTAGCGATGCGTGACGTCGGGAGAGTGGGAGCGCTCCGGCGTTCTTGGAGGCTCTTTACTCGGGTCGTCTTCGGCAACGGCACCTCCAGGCGTTGCCGCACTTAGTTTTCCCGACGGGATAGGGGGGACAGGCTGTCACGGCGCGACCGACGGAAAGGCGACGCGGAACGTCGGGGGGATGGAGAACGGGAACCTCGTGGTGCGGTGGGCGCTGGTGACGGAGGGCGACGGAGGTATTCTTCGATGTCCCTTGGTCGTTCTCCAAAACGAGGTCGATGGTCGTTTGGAGCGAATCCTCGCAGGCCGAGCTGGCGGTAGGGGCACCTCCGGTAAACGTGGTCAGCCTCCCCGCAGTGGAAGCACACCGGGCGTCCGTCATCCGTGCGCCACACGTCGGTCTTTCGAAGTCCACGCTGCTCTTGGCGCGGCGCGTACTGCGGCGAAGAGACTTCTCGTTGGGGTGCAGCTGGGTACTGCCGAGCAATAGGAGGCTGCGGACGACGAACAACGGCGGCATAGGTCACAGCTGGTGGTTTCGGTGCGGCGTCGGCGAGAACGTCTGGCTGGAGCGCTTGCTGGACCTCTTCTCGAACAATCTCGGCGATCGAGAGTGAAGCTGGGTGTTCGGCGGAAGGTATCAGCTTCTTCAGTTCTTCACGGACGATGTCCCGGACTATTTCTCGGATCCCCGGAATATTTGTGCTGAAGGCGCAGCTTGACGGCGTGGGTGCAGCGACGGCAGGAGCTCGGTGGAAGTGAGCGGCTCGTGCTTGCAGGGCCCGTTCAATGTTGGTCGCCTCTGCTACAAACGTTTCGACGGTGGTCGGCGGGTTGCGGACGAGGCCTCCGAAAATGTCATCTCGTACGCCTCGCATCAGGATCCGCAACTTCTTTTCGTCGGTGGCTTGAGGGTCGGCGCGAGTGACCAGGCGCAGGACATCCTCGACGAAACTGGTGATGGTCTCGTTTGCGCCCTGGGTTCTCATTCGAAGAAGGTCCTCGGCCCTCTCCCGTCGATACTGGTTTGTGAAAGTTCGCCTCAACTCATTCTTGCAGGCGGTCCACGAGATCAATGATGTCTCCCGATTCTCGGACCAGTGCCTGGCCGTTCCTTCGAGCGCGAAGTAAAGGTTCTGCAGGCGCTGGTCGTCCGTCCATCGGTTGTGCTGTGCCACCCGCTCGTACTGTTGAAGCCAGTCCTCGACGTCTTCGTGGGCGTCCCCGTGGAATGGCGTCGGAGTCCGGGGTGCGACTGGCAGGTAGATGAAGGCAGGAGCGGCCGGGGTCTGTGACTGCTGGCCGTCCATCGTCGGCTTCGTCGGCTGCTTGGTCCTGGGTGGCAGAAGTCCGTATTCCGGGTGCAGACCTTGGGTACGGCGACTGGTCCGAGTTTCAGGTTCCGCGTCGAGTGGTGTTCTCACCGGGCTCGGAATCGGGCTTGCACTGCGGGCCCTGGGAGGGGAACGCTGCACGGGCATGCGCTACCCCGCACCTCCACCAAGATGTCACGGGTGGTGACCAAAATAAAAGGAAATAAACGGGAAGAAATAAACGTTTAATGTGGCGAACTTGTGCCAAAAAAATAAGGGAGAACAAAGATAATAACAGAGCGTCGCGGGCGTCGAAGTCGGCGTAGCAGCACAGTCGAACGCTGGAACGAAACTGACTCCGGCTTGCCTGCGGAGCCGCTTTTGTACACACGTTGGCCTCTGGAGCATTCGACGTAGAAGGTTCGACGCGTAGAAAATTCTGACCTCGAATCAGCTAGACGGTTCTCGATTTTACCAGAACATCACATTACAGTGTTAACAAAAATGCATAGCCGTGGCCAGGAATCGAACCCTGGCCCTTCGCGTGGGAGGCAAGCGCGATAACCGTTAGGCTACGGCCGCGCTGCCTACTTGGCGCGCGGCAGTATTCTACTGATCATAAGCAGGTATGCCATACAAGAAACATTTGTGAAATGTGTGACGCAAGTTTATTTATCCCTTGAAAATGTTTATTGTGGGCTGATCCCTTGAAAATGTTGTTTATTGTGGGCTGTTAAGGCCCGTTCACACTCTTGCGGCCTCTTAAAACTGGGTTCCTTAAAACCTCTTACGAGAGGACACAGTGGCACCATCTATTGGGTAGCAGTGTAAGCTTGGCGGTCCGGCATATTTTCTATTTCTCTCGCGCATTATCCTTTCTTTCTTGGCTCGAAAAACTTTTGTCAAGGTTATAAACGAGCCTTTCTTATAGGTATTACGCGCATTTGACCTCAGTAAATCCCGCAAATCGTTCTTGTGAAATGCAGTTCCAGGGTCACCACATAGATGGTGCCAGAATACCAGTGTGTTCCTTCGTCCTAAGAAATTTTAAAAAGTTTAACAGATCTCGTCTCTCTCGGTCGTACTCGGTTGCAAGAGTGTGAATGGGCCTTTAGGCAGCACATGATAGCTCAAAACAAAATTAAGTTTGTTCATTGGGCCAAGAAGTTGTCTAATGTGAACTAGGGGACCCATCATCGATGAAAACGGCCACCGCTCGGCAGTTTTCATAGCAACTTTGACCTATGCCATGGTGCCACGTCACAGCGTCCGCGCAAGTTGCTATGGAAATTTCCGCGTGGTGCCCGTTTTCATAGCTCATGGTGCCCTGCTTGAGCCCCGTTGAGTGCGCTTCTCACCGAACACCGGTGCACTGCAGAAAAGAAACACCCGCGAAAGCAAGCTCCACGGGTGTTGCCTTCCTGCAGTGCACCGGTGCTCGGAAAGAAGCGCAATCAACGGGGCCGCGAAAACAAAAAGTATGAATTACACGCAAATGCCGCTCGAATTAAGCGGCTTATGAATAGTACATTAAAAACATTGTGGGACAACCAAAATTTTGAAATTTGTTTGAATTGACCAGAAGTATGGCATATCCGAGTTTGAATTATCGCGATCCTACTGTAGCAAAGGAGGAGGTAAGCAAAAGTGAAACACTCAAATTATACGTCGCCCTTTAAAACAGATTTCTTGTTAGGAACAGACACCATTCCGAAGGCGATTGCTGTTTAACTATCGACGGCCAATGCTTCGTCCAACCGTTGCTGTTGGTGCTTTTGTTTTATGCAGGCACCATCATCCTGCGCAACATCCCGTACTTTGAAGAGACCGGGAGGTTCAGCGTGGCCCTGCCAAACGCCTTCAACTTCTCCTTCCACCTGCCATCCTTCCTGCGCCTCTACCTGCTCATAGGAATCTTCCCAAGTAAGCCGAAACCCGTTTGTCCCTTGCCCGACACACAATCCACTCGTAACGAGGCTGCAGTTGGTGCACTGTCGGAGCAAAAACACTCGAGGACGAGGTGGCTCGAGTCCGGAGTTTAGAACACCGCACATACCTGAAAATGGTTTGAGAAGTGCCGGTATCCCAAGAAAAAAAAGAACTCCCTCAACAACGGCTGCTGTCGGTGCGACGCAGTGTGGCTCAGCTATGACGAGCTCCCAAGTCTCGCGAAACGTGTTTTTCGTGCCGGTAACTCGTTTCAAACGGATCGATGTCTCCACGTGATAGGCCCTGTTTACAATTTCACAGTTACCCTCTATAGAAATAATGTGTGTTATATCGGCTGCATTGTATTACCACCATGCACCGTTTTTTCTCGAAGAGAAATTTTGTATGCAGAGTGCAAGTTCGTCTGCTTCTTACACAGGGGTTGCGATGATGTCAGAATTCCGAGCTCTTATTGGCCGATTGAAAAAAATAGTGGGTAGAGCTCGAGGCATCTAGCATTGAGGTCTACCCACTATCCTTTCAGCCAAAGCCAATCACAGCTCGGCGTCGTTCTGACATTGCTGCAACTCCTGTACGAGAAGCAGACGACTTGCTCTCCCCATAGTGCACCGTCATGGCACTCTGCTGGTCGCTTCTGGATCAATCACCCCGGAAATTTAAAGCAGCGCTTCACCAATCATGGTTGAATCAGTAGTTAGCGATTCCCAAGAGCAAGGGTTTTCAAACTTGGTTTCTAGGAAGGGTACCCTAGAGAATTCTCGTGGATTCCCTGAATTTCCCAATTTCGTGGGCAGTCCCTCCTCCCAAATTGTGATCTTCCAGTTTAAGCACCTTTTTGGCAGACCTAAGCCACTCATTGATACATAACTATGAGCCGTACACTCCTTAGTACTATATTTATTCGCATAATGAATGCACTTCCCACAACAGGCATCAGTATTTCAACTTTTTTTTTCCAGTCGATTAATTTTAATGAACGCATTTTCAATTTTCGGCTCCGTGAGTCTCAAACTGCACCCAACTTAGCCAGCACACCAAGCCAATTTTCTTTTGCCACCAAGCGGCCAGGCCAAGCCAAGCCATTCCGCTCTTGTAATGGCTGCGAGTACGTAGTCGCAGAAGTAATCAACCGTGAAACCGAGTGGCGTGCACATTTAATGAAGCTGGGGTTGAGAATTGCCCAGCCCCGGACATGCTTCACCGATCGAATGCATTGATGTCAACAAACACGCCAACGTCTGTGGTCCGCTTTCGGACAATGAAATAGTGTAAGTGGTTAGGCCAAAGAACAGTCGCATCGCTCCACATGCTGAGTGAGCTTCGTAGGGCACTTTCGTTCGGCAAAAAGCAAGCCGAAAGCGCCCTGAAAAAGGTTAGCAATTTGTAGAGCATGGTTACTGTGGCACGCCCCCGACCAGCCGTGGGTGCGCCTCTGTCAGTGGAGACGTGCCACAGTACCCTGCTGTGCCATATTGGCACCTAAAATGACGTTTGTGCAAAGTGTGTACAGTAGCCAACCGTTTTTTCGGACTCCGATAATTCTGACTTGTTCAATATTTCGGACCTAAAGCAGGGGTGGAACTCATGAAATGTACTTGGGAGCAGCCACGGGAGCAGCTGAAACAGCTGTTTTGGAGCATGTTGGGAGCAGCTAAAACTACATTCTGGAGCAGGCTAGGAGCAGTTCAGATCAGTTTGCATTGCACTTCAGCTTGTGTCTTAGACAAGCACGGGAGCAATTTCAATTGTGCTTAGGAGCAGAGATGAACATCAGTGGTTAGGGACCCAGGCAGATGGGATAACAGTGTAATAGATGCGAAAACTTGAAACTTTGTGAGCCTTAATGAGAATCAAAAAGCAAGTACTCGTATGTTTCTGAAGATAGCGTCCTTGATATTTTCTGAGTGGCTTTCAGACGCTCAAGATGCAAACCAGCACTGCTTATCGCACAACCCGCACGTGATTGACATAGTAATTATATGTGCGAACCACGTGAAGAGTGTAAACAACGGACATGCAGTTGCACGGAGGAGCAGGGCAACAAATTTCAAGTTTATCCTATTGCGCAACTCGATATCGAAGCAGCAGGCTACGATTAACGAAGTTATTGTATTTGAAGCGATAAGCAGGAGCAAGGTTAAAGTACGCCGAGCAGATAAGTAGAGCTGCTGGCCGGCAAGGTAAGAGCTGCTGGCCGGCAAGGTTTCGGATCGGACCGCGTTTCAGTTCTATCGAATCACGATTTATCTTGCGAGAATGTGGTTCCAACTCCTAAGGATGAAGTACTAAAAGGAATCTTTTGCTCATTTGCTTTCGACTGGATGACGTCCTGATCCCGGGCCGCAGAGCCTCATGCAATCTGATGCTTAACGACTCGACCTCACCTCGGCCGACTTGCCCTACCGCTTATGGTTGAAGAATAACAATCCAGTCGCAGGTGGTGTAGCGCTTAGAATCCGAGTTTTTTTCGCGCGCTTCCGACTCGGGATAGACAGGGGGAATAAACATAACAAAGGATTACAAGGCCGACCAGGCTAATCGCCCTCATTGTTGCCAATCGAGTCGATAGAAACCGAAACTAAGACGAAATAAAAAGTTTTTGGCGCACGTTTTGCGATTTGGCGCATAATGGCGCGAGGTATTGGCTGTGGCGCAGTTTCTGCAACATGGCGCAGGATGGCGCAGACACATGCGTCTGGCGCAAAATGGCGCAAATGGCGCAGCCGTTCCACCCCTGTAAAGGAGGAATCGTGACTTGCCCCATAAAAATAGTGCATATTCACAATGTTTCCGACAGCTTGAAGTCCGAAAGTTTGATTATTCGGACAAAATTGTCACAAGCGATCAGCGTTCGGAAACACCACCGAGAAGCGGCCATTTTGCTATGTTGGCTGCAAATGGATTGGCTTGGTTTGGCAGCGCAACTTAAGTACTCCTGACTCCTACCATTAGGTGACGCTGTGCTAACCTTTTTTTTCCATTTAGCTGCACGTCATCATCATCATAATTTTGCTTTGTTTCCTTCTATCCCTTCGCGATTCCATCCCAGTTTTGCTGCTTTTGTGTCGCCAGTCGCCATTTTGCACTCGTGGATTTGTGCCTCTCATATTGTTCGGACAATGGTGGCTTGGACGTCATGGCCCCATCTGTTCTTCTGCCGCCGCGATGTGTCGTTAAAAGGACACTGACACCCCCCAAAATTTTTTTTTTAATTTTTTTGCCAGGCGCTTTATTATGGTGTCGGAGGACTCCCCAATTAATATTTTGCAACAGAGTAGCGTATTTTTTTAATAAAGCCAAAAGACGCAACTGCTCGAAACCGAAACCGAAACCCGACGGAGGTCGGAGGGGTGGAGAGAAGAGAGTGAGTGGCGGAAGCCACGTGACTACACGCGACCGTGTTTTTTTTTGTTTTTTTTTTCTCCTTCCCGTAGCAGACGACATGCGGCGTACCGGAACTGTTCACCGAGCGATTCTTTTGCAGTTATGTATGTTCCGCTCGTTGTTCTGTACTCCAAGATGAGTTGTTTCGTACATTGAGGAGTTGGAGATGAGTAGTGAGTGCCTGTGGTGAATTTTGATCAGCTCCGAAAAGAATACACCCAAGATGTTGCGTGAAGAGCTGGCTCACATGCCCTGCGTCCGAAACAGAAGTGGCATTGTGCGACAGAGTTTCCGAAAGATCAAAGGAATCGGGACCAATGGCTGGCTGCAATTCCTGTAAACCATTTACGGGCACCTCGGAAAGCGGACGCTACCTGATTTATATGCTCCTTGCATTTTGTGCAAAGTGATTACATTGAGTTCGCAGGTGTCAAAAAGGAAATCCCGTACCATTTAATTCAGCGACGTGTCGTCCAGAACATTTGTTTCTTCAGTGATAATTGTTTAAAAAGAAAAAGAGATGTAGACATCAAGATATTTAAAAAAAAAAAAAAAAGGTTTCACGGGGGATTGAACCCGGGCCTACCGCGTGTGAAGCGGACGTCTTTCCCACTGAGCTACTGGGGCATAGTGAAACTGGGGAGTCTCTTTCCTTAGTAATAACTCAGCCGATAAACTGTAAGTTGGAAAGTTTGCTGCCGATTTTCCTCTAGCAAAAGCACTCCCGGGTCGAAGTCGGGATGCCCCGCGCATTGGCGACATTCTCACGTTGTAAAGAAATCGTACGCGTGCATATTCAACTCGAAGTAAACACGTCGTGCTTGACGTTTGCGCGAGCGATGTCTTCAGCCACGAGAAGGGAGCGACGGCTCGGCGACGTCTTCGTGCAAATCGGCTTGGTGATCGGGCGTGTCGTACGGGATGAATACCAGTTCTTTTGATCAGTCCCACATTTCTTTTTTAAAGGCAGACAAAATTCCCCGGTACCGCGAACGACAGTTCTGAAATAGAGGTCCCACGCCCGTCGTCCGCTGCCATCGCCGTCCCTGCGAGTCCCACGATACGCGAAACGACGCACACACAGATGACACAGATTGCTTCCGGTTGTCTGTGGAACTTTTTTTTCAATCAACGTATTTGCAACTTTTTAGAAGCCACAAAAAATGGGTTTCATATTTTTTTCTATTTTTAATGTTGAGTGTGTGCCTTCAGTGACCTACGACTTTGATTAAATTTGGTGGTCGCATCGATACCTTAGAAAACGGCCCGTGACCGCGGAAAAGAGAGTGAGCGAGATTCGAACCGGCCAGCTCTTGATCGGCGGTTTTCGGGCGGAAAGAAACCGAATTTTGAGCCGCAAATTCTGTTCTGGGTAGTTGAGCTCTCATATGTCACGTACAACTAAAAACCTCGGCGAGCATAAATACCCTGTCAGTGTCCCTTTAAAGGGGCCCTGCAATCATATTTAAGCATCTACCTTTTTTGCGGTTTCCACGTCTCTTGGGGTTCGGGCAAGCCAGCGGGCACGGAGAGAGTAACTAAATATCAGTTCATCATATTTTAACCGGATGACGCGGAAACCTCCTACACCGACGGGGGCGACCTGCGGTACCAAAAGTGCGCGAAATGTGACGTTTTTGGTCCTGGGCTTACTACTGGTCAGAGCCGCTAAAAGCTTCTTTTTAGTCGAAATACGAAATATAAGTGGCACGAACCGTTTCAATTATTTATAAAAGTAGTTTTTGTTCAGTATTTTAGATCAGAAAAGAAACAAATGCAGTTTATAAAGTATGGAAACAAGAAATGATGCGTCGACACACCCACCACCAAGCGGTGGAAAGGGCAACGCATACTAGAAAAGAGTAGTGGGATCAGGCGCCGACACGGAAAGGTCCCGAATGTACGCGGCGGCGCTGCGGTCGTTTACAAACTGGAGGATCAGACCACCTCCGAGCGTTCCGAAGGCCTTCAGCGAGCAGCTTTGTCTTGCGGTTTGGCCGTTTCGCGGTATGGCAGCGCGAAGTGGCTCCTATTCTGAACTGATATTTACCCCGTGTTTGCTGTCGTTTGTGGCCAATGAAGTGTCATGCCGAATTAGTGTTTAATCGCGCAACAAATGCAATGAGAGCCGCTCTGGCTGCCCGCTGTATACAACCTATCCAGAACACGCTTTAGTGGCGCCCTCTCGTGCGGTCGACATGGAGTGCGGCAGCCGTGGGCGCTCGCTGTGCTCACTATCCCTCCTCTAGTTCACGGCCACTCAAGCAACCAAGGACGTCATGAAGGAGGTTATTTTTTGCTTGTTTCTGTCATTTTAATTTGCCTATAACTTTTAAAATAAAGCGAAATTCGAGAAAAGAAAAGTTTCATTAAGTTACTACGGCCAGTGCACTCAGGTTCGGTGCAAATTAAAAGCTAGTAAAAAAGTGCTTGCAGGGCCCCTTTAAGAAGCGCGGAAATTACTCAACCATAACGCTAGAAAAGAAGGCCGCGATTCTCAAGCTAACAGAAAGTTGCTGAACACAAACAGAGGCGTAACCTAAAACAACGCACGCAGGCGTAACCTGAAGCAAAGCACTATTTACGGCTTTTTTAAGCCCACTCGGAAGTAATAAAGGCAAGTTTTTCAATCTGCTGATTTTTCGGACTGCTCTATTATTCGGACGTTTTTTCGATCCCTGCGAAGTGCAAATAATCGGTCGGCGACTGTAAATGCAAAAATTTTATTCCGCATAATGAACGCACCCCCCAAATATGTGGCAATTTTTCGGGAAAAAAAGTGTGTTCATTATGCGAGTCAATACGGTATGTGCATTCCACTCTTGACAAGGTCCGTAAGCTTGTGCACTGCTTTGCAGCACCAATGCCGAAACAGGTTCCTCGACTGCCATTTGGGGCAGACAGAGGCTCTTCGAGATCAAAAAGTTCGAGACATCCCGCTCTAGAACTCGCCAACGGCTCTCCATCGACGGGCAACCTGAAAACAAGTGCTCTACAATAATACTCGACGCCCCTAACCTAAGCCTAAAAGCCCCCCTTTCCATTCCAGCCCTTGCCTTCATGATGTCGCACATGTACCGCCAACGCAAGAAGATGCTGGGGCCCAAGGACAAGGAGGACTAAAAGCCAGTCAAGCAGCAACCTCAGGGACAAGAAAAGCCATTCATCCAAGCGGCAGCTAGTCTTCTTAACCACATTCCGCGTGTTTTGTTTCGTTCGGTTTCATGTTCACCATTAAAGCCAAAGAAAACGCAAGCCAGTCTCTGCCTCACTCCCAGTGTATTCACAGCTTGAACCCGGACGCCGCTCCCCTCGGCTGGTCCGGCCGCGGCTTCTTCTTCGCCACAGCTATTGTGGAGGTCACCCGGTCTTGCAACCGCTCAAAGAACTTCTTGGACGAGGAGAGGCTCTTTTCGGCACGCTTGTTCTCCTTGCGCTGTGAAGAACATAGATGGATTACGGTGGCACATCATTTTGGACTAAAAAACAAAGTCGGGCACAGCTGCACTTGTTTGCAGCCAGATGATAATCGGTTAGTTTGCACACGACCTGGTCAATCTGAACTGCTCGACGCTGGCTCACACACTTGCGTCCGTTTACGACCGAGTCCTTGTGATCTCCTACGACGAGAGGACATGCTGGTGCAGTTTATGAGGTGGCCCTGGAACTTCATCTCGCCAGAGCGAAGGGTTTGCAGTGTTTGCGAGATCAAATGTACATACCATTTAAGAGAAGTGGTTGTTTATAACACTGTCAAAAGTTTTGCGAGCCAACAAAGAAAGTATGATGCACCATAAAAATGGGGAATATAAGGAAATCCCAAGGGCTCCACAGCTACCCAGCGGACAGCACCAGCGTCTTCTGTTGTGAGAGAATGCGGGAGGTTGTAGGGCACTTGTTTGTAAGCAGTTGCAAGTGTATGAACCGGCCCTTTACGGTCAAAACTACACATACTATGTTAAATGGACAACTGCGAATGCTACGAACCGTCGGAGCCAATCCAGAGTTGAGAATGTGCCACGTGTCATACCAGCTAGGTGCAATGACACTCTGAAGGCGTTGGATCGGTTACAACTCGCAGCGTTTGCCGCAAGTTATCTGGCTACAACGAATCCATTTTCGAAAGTACTTTTTAGATTGAACCATTATTAGTAACTTTACGACGCAATTGAGTTTAATGTGTGGCTGCTGAGTAATGAGTACCATGTTTCCCGGTGTATAAGCTGTGTTCTTTTCTCCCAAAGTTTTCGTCGGTGCAATGTATGTGACGGTGCCGCTCCTATGTGTTTTGTTTACAAGTATGGTATCAACATTTACGACGGGGGAGGAGTAGCGGGGCCCCCGCTGGCAACCTGCTCTTCCGGCGGTCCAAAGATGGTCTGAAGCGTGGCAGCAAAGATCCGCGGCTGCAGCGACTCCGCATGCCATCCTTTGCCGCTCTCTTTAACTACATAGTCTTTTTGAGAGTTCCTGCTCCCTCTTCCGCAAATATTGCAATCAAAATATGCGTATGCTGGCTTACAAATGCAGTGCCGCCACGCCAACCGCACAAGGAAGTGCAACTTGAATAGAGACACTTTCAGGCAGCTGTGCATGGGCGGCATCATAACCGACCTTAAGTTTTTTACTTTTATTCCATTTACTTCACTTCATCATTGCCACGGCAGGACAGGTTATTGCCACTTTAGGTGCAACTGCATCCTTCTCCCCAGCATGGGCCTTTGTGAAGGTTCGTCAACGCCCGTTTCAGTGGCTCGGCATCTTGGCAAGACAAGAGAAGGTCAGTAACGGCGACTCAATCTGGCACGTGTTTGAAGCGTCTATGAAGACGGCCATTTATATGGGGTTGTGACTTCTACAGTGGTGCTTTTCATAAACCATTCCAATAATCAATAATCACCTTTTGCATACTGCCATCTACTAGACTGTCGATCGCGTTCTGAGCATGCACAGTAGCTCTCCTCTGCAAAAATATTGGAAGCCGCAGATGCGCCCACAGTGGCAAGCCTGGGTGATATGCGCCGGAAACGTTTAAAGACCGGAAAATATGGTAGTCCTGGCAGCTGCTTAAACCAGGTCTTTATGGCAGCAGAAACTTCCCTAACGGTGCGACATCGAAGAAGCAGGGAAAACTCACCCCGCCTGCCCTGGCAGGCTTCGCCAGCTTGGTGTTGGCAGCCTTGACCACCTTGTCCCTGGCCTCCTTGGCCTCGCGTTGCAGGGGCGGAGCCTTGGCAGCTGCCCTGGCGGCCGCCTTGGCAGCCCTCCGCTTCTGAAACGCCTTCTTGAGGCGCCGCTCGCGCAGCCGCTGCGTCCGCGTCTTCTCTCCCGGTGCCATGAGCTCGCCCTTCGTTTTAGCCTGGGACAAATTGCAGATTGATTATAGTCATTTCACACGTCTACCATCCGAGGGTGGCATTTGCCTTGGCCATTTATTCTGAAACCAGGTTCCGGGGAACACGGGGCTTCAACCTGGGTTCCCCAGGCTCAGAAATTTCCTCGGCCGGACCCTGCCCCTAGGCAAAATGTTTTTTCCAGTGCCGCTCTGGGCCACTCGTTGATGCAGAATTAGAAGCCAAACTGTCCCTGGTAAGTATGCACATCATAGATTACTGCTTTACTGCATCAATGACGAGACTGGGAGCGGTTCCTCTGCTAGGACTTTGATTGAGAGAGTGGTTCCTCGAAATAGGAACGTTTAACAACCCTTTGGCAAATGACACTTGTCCGAACGAAGCTCTGCTCACGATTCACAACAGAATGACGTTTTAGCGAATGGCGACGTTCGTTTTGGCAAACGGTAAGAGAGCTGGTTTTGAGGATGTAGTTGCTGGCATTATGCAACGTGTGCGTCGTGCAGCGGTTGCGTTATGGTTTCACTCTGGTTCGTTCGAGCTTCTCGGATTTGTATGAGCCGAATGCAGATGAGATGGCAAAAACGGTCAACCATTTACCCTCGAAAGTCGACTATCATCAATATTGACTAGGCACCGCAGTTGCTCTTTACCCATGCACAAATCAGGTTTCATCCTAATTTTAGGTGGCACTTGTGGAATGTCAATGCTGGGTGACACTGTGTTTTACCCATAGAGGAAGGGTTCTATTTAAATGTCTCACCCACTGAATCACCACTCACCTTGACCTCTTGGGGTGCCAGCAGAGAGGCGTCGCTCACCCCGATGGGAATCACCTCTTCCACATTGATAGAGGGAAGGTTGGACACCACCTTCACCTCGGCTGCAAGCTGCACGAGATTTGGGAATCGGGCATTGCACTACAGGTGTGCACTTATGCAATCACTAAAGTGTGATGCACATTTCAAGACCCGAGGCTTTGAGACAGAAGTAATTGTGTTTAAAGTCAGACTGACTTTTTTGTATCATACAAACGTAAATACCACACAAATTTAAATTTTACTGCATTTAGAAAAACATGCCACTTAGTCGTTGTGTTTACACAGTGACATTGATGCAAGAATACTGATAGAAAATGGGAAGGGACAACAGAAAAAAATTTAGCCTTCCATAGGTATCTAGAAGCAGTTAGTCTCTTGCACTGGAGAAAGTGAAGCAAGCATAAGATATAAATGCAATGGGATAACCGACAAACCAGTGTGTGCCAAAAATAAAGATTCAGGCACACGAGCCACGTTTTCAGCTTCCAAGATCCATCGAGTTTAAAGGCCCTTGAGATATCTGATTGGGATGGCTGGTGGTATCCTTTTAGAGCCCTGCTTAGCTACAAGCCTGGGCCTGCACTAAGTTGGCTGAACCGGGTAAGCACACTTACAGGCTTGGGCATCATGTGGAAGTTGGACAGCGCGTCCAATTTGGTGAAGAGGTCGCGCATCGCCGCACGGATCTCTGCGTGCGCCGGTTCTTCCTTGGCCGGAGCGTCTGCGTCGCCCCCCTGCTGCTGCTGCTGCTTGTCGAGGAACTGCTTCTCGTAGACATCCGCAAGGCTCAACTTGCTCTTCTCGTGGTCCAACGCGACGCGCCGACGCAGCTCGAATGGCTCTTGCGTCGTCTGTGTCTTCCTCTCCACGTCGTCCCAAGCCTTGTCCTTCACCCTCTGCAGAATTACATCCTCCAGGCAACGCGTGGTTTCCTCCGTGATTGCCGCCGCTGTTGCACAGGGATGGTTGAGACCTCAATTACAAACCCTTTTTGTTTTTTTTTAAGGCAAAGTCTCCTTCAGGGTACCCAATGTTCTGAACATGATTATGGTACATCCTAACTTTTTAGTACCACTAAATTTTAAGAAAAAGGAAATCATGTTTATTAACATTTAAATCAGTGGTTCCCAAATGGGGTTTTGCAAAGCCATCTTCAACCACCCCCCCCTTCCCTCTTTTTTGGAGAAATTTCTTTTTGCTGGCCCTGTCTGGTGGTGCAAGCTACCGCCCGTTATGAAGGGTACAGGCATTACATCTATTCATCCATCCATTCATTATTTTACTTGATGCTTCTTGCTTCTCCTGGTGTTTTCCCAAAAATATTATTTTGGTGGTCCCTTCCACTCTTATTTAAATTTTTATCGGTTTTAAATCGGTTGTACCCCCCTGGCGGTGCCGATTGAGGAACTTTATCTTTCCGTCTTTTTACATTCCTCACCCTATATTATGTCTATAACAGCAAAGGGATGCCCTTTTCACACTGCAATTAGCTGTCTTATTTTATACCCCCCCCCCCCCCCCCCCCTCCACCGCTGGCATGGGGTCCCCCACCACTTTGGTGGGTCTCCGAGGGGACCCCAACACATCCATGCTCGAGAACCATTGATTTAGATGAAAAGCCTTGTGTTACTCTTGAATTTAAGGATGACTGCATAGAGTGCGAGTTCACTCAAAGCTCTAACGGAATTGGTGCTAACTTGAAAAGCCAGAATCTGGTACCCAAGTATTTTCTAATGGCCAATTCGTCTGGGCCCGCATCGCACCGGTGCTGTGCAGTTAGTGGTACACGGAAGGCTAGAGGGGAGAGGGGAGCTTCCCTCCCTCCCCGCTAGTCTTTTGTGTACTAAAGTGGAAAGAGTTTACTGCACTGGACGGGGCCGGTCCGGGCCAAGACGAATTGGCCATAACAAAGACAGAGTTTACAGAGATGTGGGCACTGCAAATATTGCACCAGGAACGCATCTCTGACTGTTGTGTTCACTGCGTTTTTGATTGCAGTCCCTTAATTTCCTTCCAATGGTGTTTGACTTTTGTCATGCTGTTGCCTGCCATGATCTTGGCAGCGGCAGAGCCACAGAGATGGCTACAGCAGACCCTTCTTCTGCTGTAGATCGCTCTCCCATGTTACAGTCCACAGAAGCATCAGGAGCAAGCAATTGAGACACCGCAACAACGGCAACACTCGCATTTGCTCGTCTTTCTTGCCCAAACTTTTACCACCAACCACCGGGATCACGACAGCTGAAACCATGACATGCCAGCTTCTGTGACACCATTTGTCGCCACTTCAAGACTAGAGCACTATATAGCTCCTACGAAGCAGAGTAGTGCAATCCTTTGAACCGCGTGTTTCACCGACAACATGGCCGACACAGCAGCGCAGCGCGAGTCACGTGGTACTCAGGGTTCCAGGAGGCGGCCCACATGGAGATAGACTCAACACGGCTGATTAAAAAATAAACGTCAAGTTCACTCTTTTCGAAACTAGTCTGTTGTGAAGTTGGTAAAGCACTAAACACTTTATCAAAGTTTTCATAATATCAAATGCGTGTGAAAATTTTGAGAAGACAATTTCCAAGGCAATGGCGTTTGAAGCAGACGATTTTTGTACGCAGCGGAGATGGACTTTCTGGGTTGGCCGGAGCAGGTCACGTGGACAGTGCGACGTCTCCGTGACGTCGCCGCATCGTCTGCTGCGTAATGCCGCTCAGGCAATTTTTTTTTTTTAAATTACGCCGTTACATGGCACGCAACTGAGCGCAAATTATTCTAAAATGTTTCTTTATTATGTCAAAAACTATTGACGTTCCGTACATACCCACAATATTGAAGAAACAGCGAGTTTCTCACCTTCCCCATGCATTTCTGATCGGAGTTGGAACCCCCGGCATTCGCCGCTAGTCGCCGAAAGAGGGCGTTCTAGATTGTGCTACTCTGCTCCGAAGGAGCTATATAGTGCTCTATTCAAGACCACTTTCGACGCATGTATTCACTGGCGGCCATAGCTGTCTGTGTGACTGCTGAGCGCATACAGATGGCGAGCTTCTACAGGTCTTCTACAATGTGCACTCCACACCATTAAGAGTGCCGGTCTTAGCAGCCTATTGATGTGAGCTCGTTCCGAGCATGCAATCTAAACAGAGCCTTCAAATATGATGTCCAGCAAATATCCCCTAGAAGATGCTAAACACATCAGCCGAAGACGCGTTCCAGGTACCATACTACATAACTAGTGCCACCATCTCTAGAAAACATTGTTTTATGGCAACAGCCGTTACTTGCGAGGTTTTACGACAGATCCCATGGTGTGTTTCATGCAAGTTGTGACCGCGCAAAATTGATCCTCTTAATATAGCGTAGAACTTTTCCCTGACACCAGTGGACACCTTGATGACATCACATCATGTGACACCATGTCATGTAGCATGATGTGTGACATGAAGTCTTGGCATGCAATACCATCACACCACCTGACGCAATGATATCTGGGACACTGCAAGGAACTGGGAAATTTTTTAAAGGAACATCTAAGGCTTCATTTCGAGGTAAGGGCAGCTGGGCTCGGATGCAGTGTGGCCTCGTACGTACGTTGCCGCGTGGCGTGCTCGAACATGAAGTGCTCCTGCAGCAGGCTGTTCTCGGGCCGTCCTTTCGCTTCCACTTCTCCCTGCAGTCTCCACGTGCGAGGCTGCAGGTTCTTCTCCTCCAGCTGGTGGATCCGCTTCTTCAGCTGCGTTTGTTTTCACACGCTCCGTGTGTTAATCAGCTTCCGGATGCTACACTTCTGACAAAACTGGGGCAAAAGGGCGTTGTAAGCTAGGTGGCGCAAGCTGCCACCTGTTACAAGAGAGACGGCTACTGCCATCCAGTGCCTTAGAACAGTATTGGGTGACACAAAACATAATGCACTGGCTATGGAGAGTACAGTGCACCAATATAGCAAACATGTAGGGAAAACTACCGCATTTATAAATCACTGTGCAAAGGCTAGGTTACTTATCCCAATCTGTTGGTAGAACAAGCATAGTTTTAAAAACTGTGGTTTCTGTTATATGTGAGTTGCACCGCATATTTATCAACAGCATGTAAGCCTGAAATAAAAGGAGCCTCCATAAAAGTTTTAAAAACAGTACTAAGATATTCTTTAGGGCCTCTTTTACTTCTTGAAGCTCTGGAGACCATGTTTGAAAAACCAGTTCTATTATCTTACAACAGCGAAGGCGTTTATGGCTAGGGTTCCGTGGATTTTTCATGCGCGTCAACAAAAACTCTACGCTCGCACCGCCACATGCGTACGCCTTCCCCGTATAAAACATTCAAAGTAAATAACCAAAATAAAGCGTTGACAAACGCGCGTGCAAGATGCTCGTTGTTTTAGGCTCTTGCTTTAGAACAGTTACTGCTGCAGATGCCAGCACGTGCAGCACATGCTACGCCATTCCCTGCATTCTCCTTGATGCTTGGGAAATTCAGCAATAGGTCTATTCCGTAGATTAGTTATCAGTAGGCACCATTTTCAAGATCAGTAGACCCTTAGGTAGATAATAAAGGTTTCTCAAAGATGTGCCACTGTGCGACCCGCATCGGCCAAGTCTACGCTCGCACCGCCCTCTCTGTATCGTCGTTCCAAGTGCTTGCGTGCCTAGTTTCCTTTCCTTCCGCTCTCTCAAGGTGGCGGTTCCATTGCGCTTGTCTACTTTCCGCCGGGTAGTGGTCCCGTCGCACGTGTCTAGTTTCCCCCAGCTCCACGGGGTGGCGATTGTCGTTCATGCAAAATAATAACCACCGATCAAGGAAACAATAAATCTGTGTGTATTTTTTGTCACGACCACCACCGACCAAGACAATAAATGTGTTTGTACCTTCGTTAAAAAGTTCTGTGTCACGTCTGTGTCGCGTGCTAAACAGCTTCACTGGTCATCCACCTCCACAAAGTGGAATGGCCCTCGTGATTTTCGGATTCACACTTAGCTGAGGGAAGGTAATTGCCCCAGCAAAATGTTGGCTGCTCTTCTGAAATTCTTTTAAGAAGTACCTCTGAAATCTTCACCCCCCTGCCTGTTTCTTGCCTGCACCAAGAAAGACCGCCAGCAATGACTCAGCTAATTGTTATCCCAGGCATAAGTAATCATGTAATCAATGATAACATAAGGCAATGTAATTTGCATTGGTGTCCTGTCCCATTTCTTCTCTAAATATTTATAATTTTTGTCAACTCTTTATAAGGGGTAATAAATATGAAGTCTATCAGGGTGAAAACTCAGTTACTATTAGTTGGGATAGTGATGATCATCCTAGAAAATATGGTGAGTGAAACTGACTTACAAATTCTTGACCTTTTTCGAAAGACGATTTGTCAGTACCGCCTTGTTCCGTGTCCAGCGTTTCCGAGTCGGCAGATCTGGGAGCAGCAAACGCAGATTTTAAATAATCAATGTCAGTCTCTAGCCACCTGTTTATTTGCCCAGATAAAACATAAAATAAAAAAGTCGTAAATGTGAAAATTGCGTTCGTAAAAAACCATGTGCACATTTGGTACTAAAATAATGTTAGAAAACAAAGCTTGAAAAAATTTAATATACCACAATTAGTAAACGCAGCTAAAACTCACAAATTCAAGACTGGCTCCCGGTGTTGTTCTTTCTGCTATCTATTATCGCACGAGTTAAAACCTGTGGCTTGACTAGCACCGAGGAAATGCCGCAGAGGTATGAAAAGCAATCTCACCCTGACGCCACCCTACGCATCAGCTCCTCTATCCTGCCACCTTCAGAAGGGGGAGGGGGATCGAAGAAGTCTTTGTACTTGGCTTTTTGACCACCCTGCCAGAAGAAAAAAAAAGTTAGGACAATTACGAAACATGACAAGAGCACTCTAACAAGCATGAAAGAAGCGGCACTTTAATAAAATAACCGTTTAATTTTGGAACTTAAATATATGTACTATGTACTAGGTGTTTAGAAAAAAAAGGGACCCGCCTTTTCCCTACCGCAAAAATAAACTATGGTTAGTAAAACACTTAGTCTCCGCTCAAATTTAACTCAAGCGGCTGGGGCTGAGTGTCAAAGTTTTAGAACTTGCCATTATCTGATTCTAAAGTGATTTTAGAAAATTTTCAATAAGAAAATGGTGGAATGTCACTCATAGAAATGAGTGACATTCGCTATTGGGAACGGGCCCCAGGACTTTTGAATCGGGTATTAATAAGTGGCGTCTTGTCCCAACTGCTATTGCTACATTTTAGCAAAGTCTAAGCGTATGGCAATGCAAAGTTTAGTTTTGCGGTGAGAAAAACAAGTATGTTTCTTCTGAACACCCTCCCGGAGCATCAGAATTAGAATTCAAACAAGCACATATACGACATTTAAAAAATTAAATCTATAAATTGCTCTTAGAAACACCTATCACAGATCTTCCCCAGAAACCGTCTTCTTCTTCGATGAATTGAAGTGCGGTTTTTTTTACAAATGAACTGAATGGAAATGTTCCAAAGACCAGAAGCATCCAAACAACCCCTTCCATCTCTGGAACCAAAACTAAAAACCATAATGAGAGCTTGTAATGCATGTAGCACATGTCACCAGCAGGAATGGTGAGAAATTGTTCCCCAACAGCTACCTTTATAATGATATGCATTACATATTTTCTGTTCCCCCTCTGGCCATCAAATTCACAAAACTTCATCCAATGATATTGCATAAAAATTTCCGCATTACCTTTTCGTCCTCATCATCGGAACCGAGTTCACCGAAATAGTCAATGTCGTCTTCCGAGTCGCTGCCGTGTTGCTCGGGATCTTCCTGATCTGCAAACGCCTCCATATCCGCGAGCCGAAAGAATGCATCATCCACGACAGAACTCGGTCCACTTGAACCCGCCGCAGGACGTCGAGCAGATGCCTCTTCGGCCGCTTTGCCCTCCCCTAACTCGTCGTCGTCCGAAGCATCTTCGTCCGTCGCCACGTCGTCTGCTTCTTCCGCATCGTCGACATCCTCGTCTGCAGATGCAGCCTCTAATTGGACCTTGGATTCTCGTGGCTTGTCGAGCGCCACGCCGAAGCTAAGCGAGGACCGCGTTGCCACACGGGAGATGGACGCGATGCATTCCTTGACCAGGCGTGCGTTGCGCAACTCCAGCTGCTGCCAGATCTGCTCGTCGTCGAAGTTGTCGATGACGAGGGAGGGGAGTTCCGTCTTGAGGGGCGCCCTCTGCCACTGGCCCAGGGCGTCGTACAGGTCTTTGGTGAGGTGCTTCATTGTCTCTGCCACGTCTGGCTGCACCCTGCGACGCGATTTCATCATTTTTAAGCCGTGCGCACAGATGCCATACTCTCTCTCACCTTAGAATGGACCGCAGCAGACGCTACGACCTGTCCCCGATCAATTAATCGCTGTGAATGTATCGCGTGACTATGCACCCCCGAATCGCTGCATAACTCCCGAAGGTCACGTGACATTTGCACGGCGCTGGAATGGCTTAGGTGGCTCATAGCATTTGCTACAGCTCACCGTTACAGAAAACAAAGTATATGAGTGATTTGTATGCCTCCCTGCCTGATCCACAGTTTGCCATTTTCTCGAAAGATTAGAGAACAGAAAGTTTTCCTTGATTTTTCACACTTGTGCCAAAAATGTAAAATGTACCAGGTCCAAAAAAAATATTATATCACTTAGTGACTACTAGATGAGCCCAGTATAGGTCAGAGCAACCATGCAGCCTGCTTTCCTCTATTATCTGCAAAAAACAATGACCTATATAATGTGATGTGCAGTTTATGACATGGCTGTTTTCTTGCAGGTCTGCCTGGCAAGCGTTTGCTGAATGCCATGCATTTATATGCATAATTGTTAAATTATCTCCAAGCAACTAAAACAGAGCAAAGCTAGTCTTTCCTTGCCCCTTAGAATGCACGTGAATCGTGCCCACAGCATAATTTGACACCGGTACCCACAGCAGCGTTGAGCAAGGAATGGGCTGCAGTAGGAACCAATGTGAAATAGAACTGATCAGAATGTTGGCAAGACTTACATACAAGAAAAAAGCCTGCGCAGTCGCTGTTTCTCCCTAAACTTTTCTTCACATAACGATCAATTGTGTTATTGTGATTGGAACGAGAAACACATGATGATTACATGAACGCGACATTTTTGAAGGAGCCGCGCTTAAAAATCCGATGAACAGAGAACGAGGCTTCAGATAACATAACCCCTGCCCTGAAAGAGTCTGCTTACTCGAGGAATGTCTCCGGTTTTTTCGTGCATGACGAGAACGCGTCGAGAAGTGTCCGCATGTTTGCTTGAGTCGTCTCCATAGCCTCCATGCCGTCACATTTCGTGGAGGCCGCCATCTTCAAAAAACGGATTGAATGGAGAGAGTGTTACCGCTGAACGAATGAATGGATAAATGTTAATGGCTATTCTCTTTGTAATGGGCGGTAGCTTGCGCTACCTAGCCTAAGTCTAAAAAGACAATCAAAAAGACGCTGTTGTCACCTTCTCAGTGTGTACAAATGAACAACCGAAAACTCATGCAAGTCAAAAAGGTGCATAAAGCCTATGGAAGTGAGGTTTTGCGTGGATAATAACGCCATGAATAAATTGCGTCTTAATCAACATATGATTACTGCCAATGAGGTGTGACGTGTAACTGGGGTCATTAGAAATCTTTAAAAAAATATTTATTTTGTTTTTATTGCATTTCGTTTTAATTAAAGTATATTTAAAAGTTGTGTCATAGAGTTTTCTCAATGTATTCTATAAATAGAAGAATGAGGTGTCGGAATCTCTGTCTTTGGCAACTCCTGTCACCAGAGCTACAGAGGCTAGAAAGGGTTTCCTAGTGTCGTCAACGCGGCCGAGGAGCGGCAATATTTTGCGATGACGCGGGCAGGTGGCGCTGCTGCCTGCAGGCGCGCTGTAGGGAGGCCTCCCTAGGCGCGCTGTCGCTTGGCGGTAGGCGCGCGATTTTCAACGGGAGACGAGTCTCCAGATGTAAATGTGTGGCTGTTGTAGCGCTCGCTATCGTTTAATCTTCACGCACACACACATATATATGTATATATATATATATATAAAGACCACTTCCCTGCGAGTCTTGCAAAACCTCTCTGCTTCGGCGGGCGTTCTCCGCAGCGCGCTTGAGACAGACAGCGCGGAGCGGTACGGTCAAAAGAGAAGCGCTTGAGTGTAGTTTCATCTGCTGCACGCGTTCGCCTTTTATGTATGAAAGGTTGGAAGTAAATCGCTAAAATGAGATGATGACGAGAGTGTGTGCAACATGGCATTTATTTTTATTTTACTAATCGACCGTTGCAGACGCCAGCAAGCGCAGCGCGTGTAACAAACAACCCCTTCATCTCCTCATTGCTTGGGAAACGAATTAAAGGTATATTCGCGCAAGCAAAGGAAAAGAGCATACAAACTTGCGAATTATCCACAAAAAACATCACAAAGCTAAATGTCTATTCCAGGTCTTTGTTCGCGAAAAATTTATTTGGTGTGCTCTGCCTCTCCAGTACCGCACTCCGGTCCTCACCGGCATCGCCTCATTTTGAGCAATTTTTGCTTCTCCCTTTGGGAATCTCGATCCTTGTTAACAGCCTTAGCAAAGAAATGCATCCTGGTCAGAGCATAGAATTTGATGACATTTGCTGTGACCAAGCGCCCATGCTCACTGCAGCCAACCTCCTGCAGTGCATGCCCCTGAAGGAAGCGCAGGAAACAGATCATGCTCTTAGCGTGGAGCTTGTTTCTGGTAAAGAAAACAGTGAAGGCGTTTTCCAGTCTGGTTACGAGTGCCTCCAGTGGTTTTGAAGGGTACAGCAAACCCCCATGATCGAATTCTCTCGTCAATGAGGCGTTGCCATTGCACTCAGCCTGCAGGGGCAAGACACTCAAGCAAGATGCACATTCTGGGCACGGGAATTTTTTGAGGGACTTGCGGACAACGTAACCCGCTACGTAATATATCAGCCGACTGTCACTTCTTTTCTCGACACAGACGTGGTGGTCAATCAGGCTACTGTGCTCTTTTAGCACAACTGCGGCATGAGCCAGACTTCCCTCGTCCAACAGTTCATCAACGAGTGCTGTTACACGAGCAGCCTTTTCTTTTCCAGCATCAGATGGCTGCAAAAGTGTGGTTACAAGCTCAGCTGGCGAGTTTCCATTCTTTGGTGGTCTTGCAAGGCTGTAGAAAGTTAGGTTGTTAATAATGACCAAAAACTGCTCAGGGGAGGGGTGGTCATTACATCCAAAGGATTGTCGCACAATCCCAAAGATGTTTTCTAGTTTATCTTGACTAAGGTTTGCAGTCAACAAGTACTTGTAGTGCACTGAGGTAATCAGATAGTCCAGAAGTGACAGTGTGCTCTGTAGAGTCACACGGAGTCCAAGGGCAGTCCCTGCGCTCAGGAATCCACCACCGTGTTGGGCAGCATACTCCTCCCATTCACTTAAGAAGGCAATGAACTTTTTCAAAAACTGGGCACTTCCTGACTGGGCTCGAAGCCCCTTAGACGGGACCCTGGATGACATCACGAAAATCAACATCTCCATCAGCTTCACAAACTGCTCTGTTGGCTCCGTTGTTCTGAACCGTTTTTCCAAGTCACCTTTATAAAAGAAAAGCCCTTTCAACACCTCTTGACTGAACAGTTGAAAAGCCAAATTCACGCGCATTTTTTCAAACGCGTTCGGTTGTACATGTGCCTGTGTTATGTGTGGCATCACTTTCAGTGTCAATGCTTCCTTGTCCCTTTTCCATGCCTCTTTGATGACATCAACATGAGCATGACCACATGGAATCTGTACGCCTTTTGAGACAAAAGTATTCCGCACGCATTTGATCAGATGAGGAAAATCAGAGATGAAGTGTAGGCTCCTTGCTGTGTCGACAGGATGGGGAACCTTGCAGGTGATTTCCTTAGACGAAGCTGCACAAGTAAGGAATATCTGTGAATAACAGGAGATAAGCAAGAAAAGCCTTTCACTGTGATTCTGGGACGGAAATTATCCACCTTTGATGCCGAGCAGCTTCCAGAGACAGCGATTCCAGGGAGCACCATCACTTGTCCAGAAATCGACGAGGAGGCCAGAATTTTCAGCCAGTATCGTAGCCTCCAGGAGAATCTTCGAGAGGACAGGCGCCTTTACATTGCCTCTGGAAGCAAAGACTCCGAGGATTTGTGTCCACTTTCCTGCAAAAATAAGATGTTTCACTGTGAGAAATATAAAAATGTAAATCACGGCTTAGGCATCACTGAAGTAAATATGTTGTAAATGACATCACAAACTTCACTAGGTGGACTAGGCTCTAGGATGTACAACAACCAAAAAAAGGCGTACAATTGTATCGCCGTCACGACATACTTATTTAAATTAACTTGCCTTTAAAGGGTTGAAATACTACGACGAGGCCGTGGTCACTCAGTGCTGTCTCGTTGCTATCCTCCATGAAAGGACCGAGGTCAACGAAGCCACTCAGTTCGCCAGACGCCGTCACATTGATGTTCTCGGAGAGCTTAATCTCGTCATACACAAGACCACCATGGCGGCTGAACTCGTCCATGTCTTGAGTTTTCTTTTCCAAAGCTGAAAACACACTAGTGTTGAAACCAAACGTGCTTTTAAATCCCTGCATGTGTTTGTCCAGGCATGATTTGCTCGGCAAGGCAAGAATCTTGTGTCTTCTAACATACTCGTAGAGTTGGGGGCTTCTCATGCGCATCAAAATGCACTCCAGGACCCACTGCATGTCGTACGCCATGCCTCGGCTTGATTTTCTGGATGCCGCCTCAAAACAGGTTCTTACAGCAAGACGCTGCTTTGGTGGGAGGCTCCCGATTTTCTCCTCCAAAACTGAGCTGGAAATTGTTTCTGTGACTGCCCGAAGCTTTGCAACACTTTCTTGGGCTTTTTCTAGCCTTTTTTTCGCCCGGAACAGCTGAAGGGACTTCCTGGCAATCCGTTGCTGAAATGTCGTTCGACGTTTCTTCTTGAGCCTGTACGTCTGGTTTTGGATGAGCTTTTTTGTGTATTTGCATCGTAAACAAGCTCTCCCGTCAGGTGTTGTCACACAGCAGTTTTTTGCGAAGTGCATGGAACCAAACTGGACACACTGACCAGCTGCCACTGGCTCAATTTCACAGCCTGGGCAAAGAAGCAATTGCTCGGCCTTTTTCAATGCCCCAAGGGCGTCATCTCGTCTACTTACACAAATTTCTTCGACTTTGATACCTCGGCAATATATGGCGCAAAGGTATGCGCTCCCCTGTGCAGCGGTGGCTTCGGCAGATGCCGAGAACGTAACGTGCTTTATGACACGCACATCGTCTGATTCCATCCTGGCGTGCCATCCAAAGCACAATGCCGTTGGATCGTTCGATAAAATGATTCTGCTGCAATACATCGAGGGTGGCAGAATGTCGCTGAACGGGTGCGTCTCCGGCGCTGGTTCTGTACAGGCATTTCCAGGATCACAGTCATGCGTGGATCCGCTTGCAGCCCTGCGTTTCACTGGTGGGGTACCACGGTCAGCGAGGTTCCTTTCTTTCCTCTTTTTGGGGACAGGCCTTGTCAGATACGAGGGGGCGTCGGGGAATATCGTAGGGACGGCGTCGTCGGTGAGCACTGGCCGTTCGCGGTCCAGCTCGACGAGCTCGCCATTGATGACGTGCTTGAAAGTTTTTTCTATGTAGCGTTCATCAAAGTGACGGGAACACACGACACAGGTTTCGTCGAGAACTTTGTCTTCTCGCTTGATATTCCTCGCCCATTCTTGCCGACGAAGGGGGTCGACTGGAGCCCGGAACAACGATACTTTTTCTGCAGCCGATTTGTAGCCGCCTTTGCACAACGGCACGAAGCAGGTCCTACCTTTCTTCGCCGGCATGATCAGATGCATCCAACACACTGACGCATGACACACCGTTGGCCTTTCGTTGTGCACCGCGATGTAATCCACAGATCCGCACAAACAACAAAGGAAGACCCTCGGACGGCTCGGTTCTGTCACACGGAAAAATGTGCTCCCGCCATTTTTGCCCGGGCCGCCTACGGGGAGAATAGCGCGCCTGCTGGACGCAGCGCCACCTGCGCGCGTCATCCAAACCGGTTTCTCCGTGGCCGCTTGAAAGAGCGTACGCTCGGGACACTAGGAAACCCTTTCTAGCCTCTGTACCAGAGCGCTTCACACGTGACCTATTTCAGATCCCAAGATGGCGGACGACTGGGGTGAGCATATGCGGCACGTCGTCTGCCTTTCTCATATTCGCGATATTTCCCAAATTCTTCCGAGAAGTCTGAGGAGCGGCGTCGACCTAACTGACCCCGGTGTTTCGTTCTTACAGAGAAAGAAGACTACGAGCCGCCGGCGTTCGTCAAAAAGCCGGTGGCTGGTGACAGATGGGAAGGCGAGGACGAGGACGATGTGAAGGTATACTCGGTTCATGTGCGCATTTCTCGGAATCCTTAGGTCGCGCCGCTCGGATCACGTTTCTCCGGACGTTAATTAAGTTTTTTGCGATAAAAAAAAAGCTTTCGCAGCGCTCTGCCAGGCTTCTAGTCAACCGCTAGAACTTGGTAACCACAAGCGCGCTTCCATCGGTAGCCCGGCGGAGTTCCCGAACCACTTGTGACTACATGCTACGGCTGTAGTTATCTTCCTTTTGTCTTAACGCCGTGTTTGCCGTTGTTAATCTGCCGAAAATCACGAGATGTCGGGGGTAGTGTTCCCCATAATTTAGTTCTGTGCGATCAGGAGTGAACACGTGCTGGCGACCCTTTTAATGTGTTTGTTTGTTTGAAGAGTGCAGGGCAGGTAGACTCAACAGTTGTACTTTGTCTTTTTACTTTAAGGACAACTGGGACGATGAAGATGAAGAGAAGGATGCCTCGGCGACTGCAGATGGTGGTATGTAAAACGCTTAAAATTGAACTTTTCCCCCCACACACGAAAGAGTTCTACAATCACCATGCACCTAACACTCATGAAAATGCCCAATTACCGTAAGAGCAATTATATCTTCAGTGTTACAGGTGGCAGTGCCTCGTTTATGCGCGAGGAAAGTGCATGCTTTATGTGCAGTGACTTTCTGAGCAATGCACATCTTTCGTTTTGGAATTTCGGGGCACTACTGGACCAAGAATTCACAGAACATTTTTCTATCCCTCAATTCTTCTATCCGTCTGAGTTAAGGGTTTTTACCTTTAATTTACGTAAATCTGATGCAGAATCATTTGGATGGAAACAGCAGTTGTATTGCTGCAATGGTACTGATTACCCTGCCAAAGCAGGGTTTTTCCTTCTGGATGCTGCTGGACCCAAACAGAACCCTACCACTTTGCTGCAGTTCGCTTGTACAGCTCGACACTAAGCTTTATCACCCACGGAAATGCTGCGCAACGGCACACGCCACCACTCGTTTTTACTGCAATTGTGAGCAAAATAGGAGACAGTCTGCTATCACATATTTGCGTTGTCCTTCCTTGCCAGCATAGACCGGGAATATCGGGAATTGTCAGAGAAATTTTAATTACCGGGAAAAATTGGGGATATTGTCAAAAAGCGAGCCCAGTAAGGGAAAATGAGCCGAAACGCCATTGAGTGCCCTGAGCAAAGATGTGAGGGCTTCGGGGCAGAAGAATAGGCAATAAATTCTGCTTAGAGCGTAGAGTGTGCTACCCGATGCAAACAAATCAACATCAACAACAAATCAAACCAACAAATCCAGTCCAAGCTTTGGATTGGATTGAGGGCACTACACTAGCCTAGATTTAGTTAGAGCTACTAGATTTAGTAGCAAATGAAAAGGCCGCAGGCCCCAATCCAATCCAAGCTGAAAATATCCGAAAGTTGCATCTGGCTGCCATGCTGCCATTCGGTGATTGACGTGTGTGGTCGAGCGTTGTGTCTTCATTGTGTTTTCGGAAGTGGCCTCTTCACTGACAATGTCGGCGGCAAGAAAGTGCTCGTTTAATTCATACTGGACGGACCCAAATATTTCGAATATGCTAGTTGGATTAAACCGGTGCAAAATTATCCTTACGGTACTCGATGCCTTGTGTGGTAATGGTCTAATATATTTTATCGCCTCTACAGTTGTCAGGGAATTTCACAAGAATATTTTGCTAGACACCCCGATAGACCAAACCGCACAATGTAAGCCTCATATTCAGTGCCGAAGCACACTCCGATTTGTATTGTTTGTTCATCCTTGCCACATGCATGTTGCTCCAGTGCTCAAAACACTTTTTTTTTAGGGGCAAAGCTCCTTAGGGGCTAGCCATGTCCGTTCGCCGTCGAACGCACGTGCTCCTGCTCGTGAGCTCATGTGCTCCCGTGCTCGTGTAGGGAAAAAAACAACAACCGCATCTCCACGTGGTGATGTTGATTGGGGCGAAGCTCTGGTGGTGCTTGCCTGCGTAGACAGTGAGCCGCAGCATGCCGAGCCTTTCGTTCGTTTTCATTCATGTCAGAAAGAGAATGTGTGGTATGGAACGTGGTTATATACGCATTTGAGCATTTGCCCGCAGCGTGACATGGATGAAAACGAACGAAAGGCTTGGCATGCTGCGGCTCAGCGTCTACGCAGACAAGCACCACCAGAACTTCGCCCCAATCAACATCATTCACCACGTGGAGATGCGGTTGTTTTTGTTTAATGTTGCTTTGCAATATGACAGCTTGACTTAATCGGATGTTGGCTCCCATAACATGCGTTCCATAATGTAGCGCATACTTTAGGGGGAGGAAGATAAATCATTTAAAAATATTGTACCTCTATCGGTACCGCCTGGAAAGGCACAACCGATTTAAGGCCGATTTGAAATAAAAAAAATAGGGTTGCATGTCCACCAATGGTTATTTTTTTTTAAATTAAAAAACAATTGAAGGGAAGAATAAAACTAAATAGTAGTTAAAGCGATATTCTAGCTAAGGGCAGTGGGAGCGGGCCTTAAACCAAATGCACCCAGCATGTTTTTGTTCGAGTTCACCAATGCCGTGCTGCGTCTGTCGTACCTGCAGCGCCGTCCATGCCGGTGGCAAAAAAGAAGAAGCCCCTGGCGCAAATCATAGCAGAGAAGGAGGAGAGGAGGAGGAGGGAGGCAGAGGAGAGGAGGGCGAGGGAGGAGGCCAACCGGACGCCGGAGGATGAGCAGGCCGAGAAGCTCCGGCGGCAGCGCATGCAGGAGGAGGCAGACCTTGAGCTCGCCAAGGAGGCCTTTGGTGCGTATGCCACTGTCTGCCACTCCTTCCTTCACCCAGGAGATTTTTCTTACCTTACGTCCGTCACCACCACTCGCAGACGACTCACAGATGTCACCACTTACCGGAACGTCCATGCCTCGAATGTAGTGCGCGAGGCTACCATTTGAACCGGTTGCGATGCTTCGTACGAAGCACGGACGTTCCGGCGACCCACAGCGTGAGCAGACGTAAGCTCCCCCAACGCAAATGTAAGCAAACGCTGCTGTGCGAGTTGGCCTTCACTCTTCGAAGGAATGGAGTCAGAGTTAGTCTTTGAAACGGCCCACGACGTTAAAATATGCCACAGGGGCCGACCGACGGATCAGTTTTCAACACGGGAAGAAGCTTGTGGTGCCATAATGTTTGGAGGTGGGCTAGTCGGTGGTGCGTAGTAAAAATATAATTAAAACGGTGCAAAAAAAACGCAAAGACAAGGCGAAGGGCCACAGACACAGTGCTGACTCATGACTTGCTCTCTTTTTCGTTTTCTTAAAACACATCAACACAAAGGAAAGAGAAGAATTCCACATGTAGGAGGGACATCTTCACTGTCATGTGCCATCCGAAAATTTTTTAACAGAAAGTACCATTAAAAAGAAAAAAAAAAGTATAACTATACATCGTTTCACCTCAGGTCTGAGCAAGCCAAAACTACAGTGCGAGCCCCAATGCTCTGTACATCCCCGTCTAGCATGTGGCCTCATGGAGTGTGGGCACCATTCTAAGCAGCATGTATGCGCTTGTGGCAATGGGATCGCTCCCACGAAAGCTGAAACAAAGTATTAAACAAACATGCCCAAACTACGAACAAACTCAAACTCTTCACTGGATAGCATAATTGACTCTGAACTGACACAGAGATTGGGACCGTGTCCCTTCTTCTACTTGTCCTTGTGTTGCTTTTCTTGTACCGTTTTAATTAAATTGTGGCACTGTTTCGTTTTGTTTTGGCGATATGCATGTGGTAGATTCTGGAACATCAGTAGGTGGTTCGGATATGCTAAGACAATGCTATAACTGGAAAAAAAAAAAAAAAAAAAAACTTCACTTAGGCAGGGATGGTGAAGGAGCATTGGGAGCTTGAGGAACCCATAAGGATACTCTGGATTCCGTTCCTAGAAATCTGGTTTGAGAATCTAGCACTACAGCCTTGTTATGTCAGAAGCGTTGGGTCCACCTACCGGTCGACCCAGCCCGAGAATGACACGAGCCCTTTTGCAGGTCTGAACCAGCAGGAGTCCGACGGCATTGATGCCCTGCAGCCCCAGACCAAGGAGGACTTTGACAGCCTGCGAAAGGCACTGGCCAACAAGCTCACATCCTGCGAGAAGTCTCCCCTGTATGTTGCCTTTCTCGACGACCTCCTCAGGGACCTCAGCCTCAACAGTGAGTAAACCTCCCCTTGTTAATGCGCGAGCATTAGTAGCCATGCGACGGGAAAAAGCTGACGGCGTCCGTTTGAGCACAAAACAGTGGAAAGAGAAGCGTGCCACATAGAGAGAAGGAAAGTAGTGAAGGACAGTGCACGTGCTGATGCTGGGACAAGTCTGAACTTGCGGGTGTGCGGAGTGCAGATGCCTTGGTTTGTGCTACAAAGTGGAGTGTGAACGAAGTACTAGCACTGGTCCAAGTACCAGGCGGCAAAAAAAAGGAAAGGAAGATCCATTACTAGATCCTTGGAGAATGCGTTAGCATGACCCTTGGAAAATGCCAGAAATGCCCCCCTTTGAAAAATGCTAATGCTGACCCTGTAACAAAGCCAAAAAGAGGCAGCAAAAAATAGAGGATGCAAAAGAGAAGAGTGAAGGGGTCAGCGTGAGCGTTTCCCAAAGGGGGACGTATGTGGCGTTCCCCAAGGATCATGATAATGCATTTTCTAATGGCCGGTTCACACAACGGATTCATCACATTACGACATGTCTGCGCTTCGTCCGTCTCCCAAGCGCATCCACACGAGGGAGACGACAAGCAGACGCCAGCAAAGACGGACCGAACCTGTTTGCCACCGCTCAGTGCCACGAAACATCAACATTGCACCATGGCATTGTTGTCGAGGAGAGAAATTTATGTTTGCTACCACAATAAAGAATCATATGCCACTGTTATGTACAGATTGAGACAAAACACCATGCAAAGTGCTACTAGCTTTACTAACCCAAGGCATGACAGTGACACAGGCATGGTCCTGGTCGAGAAGGCTTTGGCGTAGAAGCGACGAAGTTTTGGGCTTGTGGAGGGGCGTTATGCCTTCACGCACTCCGCACAACACTTGAGTACACCACAGCCACAGGAAAGGTCTTGCCCGGTGAAAGGGACACGAAAGAATTATTGCGGCGTGCTAAACGAGTTTTGACTGAAGCTTCTTGACACAGACTTGGAGTACCAAAACGTGCGTGGCATCAGCCAGACAAAGTTTCTGCAGTTTCTTTCACACGTGGAACCAACAATCGCTCTACAAAATGAACCTGCGAATGCACAAAACACAATGATGCACCATTTTTGTTTTAATCGTTCAAAAACAACAAATAAAAACAAAAACATTGTACCATTGCCTCATTCTCCTGCCAAAAATGCGCGAGTGAAAAAGCGCTCAACTTCATCAGTCCGCGGACAAGACGCGGATCGCAGGAATTGGTGACATGACAGTCACGGGATACACGGTCCGCAGACGAAAATCGCAATTCGGTCTGTTGTGTGAATCGGCTACAAGGATCCATCTATGGATCTTCCTTTCATTTTTTTTTTTCTAGCACACGCATTGCACAGATGTTTCAAGCGAGGATATTTTGTTGTTTTTGCGTGTCTGCGAATGCCTCCGGTATTGGCAGTCGCAACAATTAAACTTTGGTTGTAAAGCACGTTCCAGACCAAACTGGATTGCGGGTCCTGGAAACCGCAACGGTTCGTGGCCCCTGCTACCCACGTTGGGGGTTGGATATATCTAATGTTTTGGGAACCCTCAATGGCCGGCGGCATTCCTCCTCTCCACCCGTCACTCCAAAAGAAAAAAAAAAACCACGTGATCACCCCCTACCGGGCCCCATGCGGCGGCTAACTCGGCTAACACATGAAGACAGTGTTTGGCTAAATGTAGTGTAGCATAAAATAAAGTGATGTACATACTCGGTAATAAAGATCCAAGCTCGTGTGCGAGGCAGTGTGTATTGCTCAACAAAATGCGTTAAAAAAAGGATGAGGGTGCTCTTTTCTTGTCAAAATGTTTGCACTGGTTTTTGTTTATGTAGATGTAACACAAACATTGACTAGATGCCTATAATATCACAGTCTGTGGTATTCTTGTGTAGCATAGATTCGAGATATTGATGCACCATGAAATAGCATAGCTGTCACATCTATGCCGTTTCATACTAGGACATTTTTAGACACGCTGCATGCAAATGCTGAGAGGTTTCCGTGTTTGCTGCCTTGCAGTGGAGCCAGATGACCTAAAGAGGCTGTCTAGCTCCCTGAATGCTGTGGCCAATGAGAAAGTCAAGCAGCAAAAGGTATGTACAGCCGGCTCTATCGGTTGCATTTGCAGGGCTGGGACACACCTAACCAGTTTTAGAGCAACTTGTGAAGCAGAAAAATCTGCAGATTGAAGCAGCTTAGGAGCAGAAGGAGCAGAAAAACCACAATTTGAAGCAGAGGATAAAAAAAAAAAAAAAACATTTTGAGCATTTTAGGAGTAACTGCAACATCACTTTAAGAATGTATCTTAGCCAGTTGTACTATAAGTTAGAAATCAAGCAAACTAGGCTTGTACTAAAAGTGTTTGGAAGTAGTATTGAATAGAACTTTACTGTGAAATATCTGGAATTGCACACAGAAAGATAGCTTTTTTTAGAAACAAATTTTGAATAAAGGTGAAGCGGCACTACCCGGAAACATTAATGCCAGATGCTACGTTGCATCATGCATAGCATGTACGGTGTATGATGCAACAGTATGATGGCTAGAATGTATACATTGGATAGATGGATGAATGGATAGATATGGTTGAACCATTACGAGAACCACTCGGTTGGGAAACTGCCATAGAGCCTGCTCTGAAAAAGTGGCACCGATCCGTACTCGAGAATTGAGCTAATGGCAATTGCATCGCCACCATCCCTCCCGTAGCGGCCACTCAAGGAACTGCACGTGACTTCTATTTTGGCTTTAATCGGCCATTGTGGCGCCGAAACAGATACGGTAGGGGTTTCAGGGGTGCTACCCCTGTCTCCCAAGTGGACGCGCTGCAAATTATTACCGAAGTTAGAATGCGCCTAGGTCGGGACGTGCCACCTGAAACCACCGCTGACACATGGTTGTGTAAGAACAATATTAATTGTGCCGCAAAACCTTGCAAACTAAAGATTTTCGAAAAAATCATGCGCCCTTCATTTTGTACAAAATTTCAATAAAAGTTACTACAAAAAGTGTTTTTTCCGTTTGTTTTTACGCAAAAACATGTTTTCTAAAAGTTCAAGGTGACCACAGTAAAGACAAAAGATTAAGAGTGGCGCTGTTGCCGTATTTAGCTCGGTCTTCATGGATGCCAGCGGCCCAAGTCTCAACAACAACCGAGTGTTCTAGTGACGTTGGGTTGAACTAAGAAATCGGTCATTGGCGTGTGCCATCCGACAATGGAATAGCCAAGGTTGTCAACCGAGCTTCCTCTTTCCGCTAAATCTAGCGTATCTTTGGCGCAGCATAGTACAATTTTGGTCAATTCCACGCTTTTGGCGCCGCTCGGCACAGAAAACTAAAGGTATCGTGTATCAAGATGGCACAATGGCACGCAATTGGCACAGCTGTCCCACCCCTGCATTTGCTAGGACTTGTGAATGCACAGTGGATCCTTTTGGTGCTATGCTCTTTCATACCAGGGTCGAACAGAGATACTCTAAATGTATTCGGAAATACAAATGCTGGGATACATGACAAAGACAGCTAAAATATTGATACTGATGCACATTCATACATTTGGAAATACAAATGCAGGAATACAATTTGCTGGAACAATAATACTCACATTTTGTTTAAAAAAAAAAAAAAAAACTTCTTTGTAATGGGATTATTTGTATAACCGGCAAAAAGTTGCTATTTGTAAAACAAATGGAAAAACTTTGTGCTACATATTTGATCTTCTTATATAGTAGCTTTAGTAACTTTTCAAATAGCTCATCGATCAGCCGCTGCCGATTCGAGCAAAGGGTCATGTTAACGAAAGGGATTAAGCGCTCCACAAGTTTCAACGAACACGGGTTTATACTAAAACAAATGAAAACTGCTTTCACAGTAAAAAAGTATTAAGTCATGCAAATCTTTTTTTTTCCTGTTTTTAATGTATATGAAGACCACCCTTGGAGGCGGTAATAGGTAGGCTTTGTTGACAGGGTTTGTACTTGTAAGGTAGAAAATTAATCATCCAGTGAAAACAAAAACTCATACTAACAGTCAGGTAAAGATAAAAGTTGAACTTGGGCGTTCTCGAGCCCAAAATTATTTTCGCGTAAAATGGACCTTTTGGCGAATATGTGCTGTCACCTAGACACGCGACTGGGTTCGAGACTAGGTGGCTAGAAAACAATGCGCGCTCAAGGCCTCTCCCACCCAAAACGTCAGCCACATCCTGTTCGCCCATTGAGCCGTTGTGGCCTAGATACGGCTCCCCCAAACTCGTCTTATACAATCTTGTGCGCAACAAAGACGAGGACAGACACAACAAGGCGCCTTGTTGTGTCCTCTTCTCTGCTTTTGTCCTCGTCTTTGTTGCGCACAAGATTGTATAAGATGTCAAACCAACTCGCCCAAACAACCACTCTTCCCAAACTCGTCTTTGTCCCCATGGTGGGCTATCTTCTGCCCCGAAGTCGACACAAAGAAAATATCTTCCCTTTCTGCTCAGCCCAAAGGAAGAGAGAGAGGGTACTAGGACCATTTACTCTCGAACCGATGTTTCTACAAAAGGTTCATGGCCATTTTTCTTTTAACATAAATCTGTGGAAACTAAGCAAGTCTTCAGTAGGTTGGAAAGACTTTCCATCCATAATGCAGTGCAGGTCTCCTTTAGATATATTGCATGCCTCCGAAGCAATGTCACAAGAACCTCTAAATTTGTTTTATATATACCCAAATATCCCCGAAAGGTCAGCATCCTCTAGTCCCATGTCGGTACCTTTTCTACAGTCACTTCAAGACGCTGCCTTGGAATGAAATTAAATAATATTCCTTTATGTGATGATCCGAAGGAGGAAACTTTTTCCTCACCCTAGTAAATGAGACTGGGAGAGCAATGTGCAGTTGTAAAGCTCGTACCCACAGCGCCGTTAATGTTTTGGTTCTACAAAAATAGTTGCCCAACTGATGCACTCCGGGAGACATACGTTATCTTTGAAAGAGAGGGAAAGCCTCAAGGTCCCATTTACTCTACCTCAAGGAATACAGCCAAAATGTATTCTGATACTGTAATACAGATACTAATTGAAAAATTGTATTGCAATATTGAAATATAAATACTAAAAGTGCTTCTGAAGTACTATCATTACATAAGGAGGTGCAAAGCCAGGTATAAGCATGTTGCTTTGAACAATACTTGTGCCCAATGAGTGTGCAGCAGTGAACTGGGTTTCTGGAACATGTTATATATATTTCAAACTCTGGGAATGCAGCAAACACAACTCGAGCTTTTAACCCTGGTGGTATTGATGGCCCCCTGCACTGCTTGAAGGCTGAAAGTAAACCAAAATTAGAAAAAAGTGATGTAGGTGGGGTCTGCCTCTAATGAAGCCTAATGAGCAAGATACACAGATACTGTGCTAAGACACAACTCCAAGCAAGATTGTTGCTAGCAAAATCTTTGTGCAACACTGCTACTCCCCTAAAATTTCTCGTGCAATAGGCAAACCTGCGCACAAATGTCTTTGGCTAAGGCGGCATACTTCCACGTTTGTACTACAGTTACTTGCACATTGTCAACGAGAACCAACTTTTGTTTTCTTCACCTTATGGTGATGGGCGCGGACAGCTATTCAACTTTAATTTCATGCTCTCAAAGTCATATCTCTAGTGCATAGTTTCGAGGTGAAGTGTCTTAGTTGTGTTTTAGGACATTTTGTTACTGAATGGCCAATGTCTAGCATGTGCTGACTTCATTGCCTTTATTTTGAGCATGTCTCTTGACGAGAGAGGCCCGTTGCTTCGGTTAATTTACACTTTGACGACAATAGCATGGTGCACTATCTGTTCTAATTGTTTTATCACCAGAGACCTTGCGTACCACAAGCGCATCGTTGCACTCTTTGAGACGAGGCGCATGCGAGCATTGCAGCAATGATTGTATGATCATTGCTGCATATGCATAGAAGCAGCAATGATTGTATGCACTGCAAACTGCAGGAGCAGACGTGACAACTGCACCATATCTAAAAAAAAAAATAATAAAAAAATATTTACATTTTAAAAATTTGGGGGCACGGCTCTTCCACGAGCACGACCCTGTCCCTTCAGATTGGGTTTCAACTTGCTTTCCGGATTTCCCAAGCCGCACAGTTTTGACAACGTTACGTCGTGGCCACGTCTGCTACTTGAGCTAGTGGTCAAGCAGTTGTAACCTATAGTCGGTGACAGGTTAAAAATGCAGTAGGTGCTCCGCCTTTGGCCCCTGATCGTAGGCCTTCCACCAGACTCTGGTCGCTCGCAACGAAGTGTCACGAAAGGCACAAAGCTTCCGATCGAGCCGGAGCATCTAGCAACTGTCGTTCACTATAGACGCTTGCAAGCAGTCGCACTTCGAAAGCTAGTCTGGCCACCGTGGATGAAAAACGCTTTGTTTGGGCGCCAGTCTAGAAACCATAAGTATGCCTCGGACGAGCTACCCACACCGGCTGCGAGATGGCGGCGCCCAGAGGCTGTACTTGCAAACGTCTATAGGCAAGCGTGTTGTTCCCGGTGTGTGTCTAATGGCCTCTGCCTCCCCCCTCGCAGCTGAAGCACAAAAAGAAGGGCAAGAAGGGGGCGAGCCTGCACGTGGGCAAGGACGACGGCCTGGATGTAACCCTGGACGACTATGGAAATGAATATGACGACTTCATGTAGTGCTCACTAGCTATTTATCCACTCTTGTTTATACTGCAATAAAGAATGGGGCTTTTCTAAGACAAATCCTTTTGCCGCACCTGTTTGAAACACGAAACGACGCTTATTCTGGGATGACACCTTCAAAGCAGTAGTCGTTCGTTCGTAAAATGTGGGGACTTGCACCGTAAAATACCGAGCGTCTGCCCGTTCCACAATAAGCACCCACCCGCACAATTTTGTGACATTCGGAAAATATACAAAGGACATGTCTTTACATATATTGTTGACCTAAGGAGCACCCATCCCCCATTTTTATATGACTAGCTCCAAATTTTAGGGGGGCGCTTGCTCGGGATTTTACGGTGGAGGAGCAATGCAACAATTTTGTACTTCGAGTAAATACTGCTTAGAATTATTCTTCGGTGTTCACAAACTATAAAACATGTTTTTTTTTTTTTTTTTTATGCAATGTTAGTTGCAGGAAAAGTGAGAAAAACAAGTAGCGCTTTAACAACACCGCCTAGAAGATAAGGCCGTAGTTCTGACATTTTTGCATCACCAGTGAAGGCCAATGCTGGACACAGATTGGAAACAAGTGTTTGGGTCAAGTTTGAGCCGAACGTTGATGCAGTCGTGTCCAATCTGTGGCCAGCGTTAGCCGTCGCTGATGACGACATCTCTGTCGGCACTACAGCTTTGTTATCTGGGAGGTGTTGGTTCACACCCTAAACTCGTAGCCAGAACAAGTGGCCACGTGATCTGGAGCCGATTATATGCCACCAAAGTTTATTGTAGCCGCGCACTGGGGTTGGCAAAGCATAGGGCACGCGCCGAGTTCCACGGGTTGATGAAGTTTGGCTATTCCCGTCACTGCAGCGATTGTGCACGAGTCGCTACCCAAATGCATGGCGAGGCTTCGATCAGGCATAGATTGTCACAAACTCAAATGGAGAGCTTGCGCAGTGCTTGTGTCCGCTGCATGAGTGGTATTTAAATATTGTCGCCGCGGGGATCACAAAGCTTGATGACGAAATCCAAGAGACCTCATTGTCGACAATGCCAACAAATCGATCCCCAAAACTTCATCATCAAACTTTGCAAAGGAGAGACCAAAGAAAAACGTCCGCTTTTATCCTTGGGATTACGCGGCGGTAAAGAAGCTTCTTGGTCGGTGGCATTGCGTGCCAGTATACTTGGGTCCCACAGATGCCAGCAAACTTGTGTAAAGTGATAAACATTCCTACTCAATATCATTGCACGGCCCCCTTGAAGGGGACACTGGTCTTGGAGCTTTTCTTCTTATTTCGTGATCAAGCTCAATGAAACTGCACAAGCTTATTCATCTTTTTGTGCCGATTTCAAATACTATCTGCCATTTTCTCAGTACAATTGTCCTCAAGGTAATTAAAACTCGCCTGCCTTTGTTTGGAGGAACAATAGGGGAAAAACTGCTCAACAAAATATCTTTAACATATGGCTAGATGCTATGAAGTGTAGACAATACAATGTTGGAAGTATTTTTAAGATTAATCCATATAGTGAATTTACCAGACGTTGAAGTTCAGTGCTCAATGTGTGGCTAACAAGTAATGGAACAAAATATCAATTGAACAATTTCCTAGACCTATATTTAAAAATCTGCTCTCCCCATTGTGTGCTTCACATATCTAGCTACATGTCTCAAGGAAAAGCTATATTTCTATTTGCCCTAGATGTTGAGATATCCCCTCCACAAAGTTTCAACAAGTCCAAAAATTGTGTTTTGTGAAAACAATGTTTCAGAGTCAACTTCAACGCACATTCCACCTGCATAGGCATTATAAATTGATTTACAGCTCAAATATTCATCCACGAAATTAGAAACCTGGTAGATTCAGAGGAAAAACAGCTGTAGAGGTCAACATCACCATCTTCAAAAGAATGAAGTTGTAAGAAAATTTTTTGGCCCCAAAGATCCACGTCCCCCCTGAGCAACGAAAGCCTCATCCCATTATGACGCGGGTACCTTTGTGCTACCGCACAACAATGTCATCCCGCTTGACGAGCTGTGATTTTTGCTCCCTTCACTCCCATATGACACCTATGCCATGAAATAGACGACACACTATTTTCTCAAGAGCAAAGGGACTTGGAGCGGCTCAATGACACTTGCGGGCAGAACTTTTTCTGCATTCTTTACTTGACGCCGACTATAGACTATTGTAAATCTGCTTGAATTGTCTTTTTTTTTTAGAAAGAAAAAGGATTGCTAGAGTAAACAGAAGGTAAAGTCACAATTGCACTCAAATGGAGTACAAAAATAAACTTTCATTATATGCACACACACACAAAAAAAAAAATAAACAAGCATAACAGCACTCTGTCGTATTTGTATGAAAGAAAGATGCATGTAGCAAACATGTAATAAGACGAATAATTCAAAAAAGCATATAGAAATAGACAAAAACATGCCAAGAGTAATCCTAGTATTTGCTCCAGTTAAGCGTGCCTTTGACTACCTTTCAAGCAACACTGTCTAGCCGCAATCTGAAACGGTCGCCGGGCATTTATAGGTGCGTTTTGGCGCGGGCGACGCTAGCTACCCCAGCTATGCTTCTGGAATACCTTTCACAAGCCCGGTCGTCACGTCCGCTGGTCGAGGTAGTCTCGCAGGTAAGGGTGTGCCTCGAGAGTCTGCGACGCTAGGCGTGCAAAGCCTAGTTTCTGGGCCAGCTGCAGACGAGACAGCACGCACGGGAGACGTTCCAGGAGCTTCTCAAGCGCATCCCGACATTTTGCGTTTCCGGCCGCTTCGTTCTGGTACCTGCACGACAGAGGGTACTCTGAGGGACACCTGGGTTCCCAGGAGCCCGGTTTCAAAGCCCATGTGCGAGGGTATACCCCCTACTGAAGTAAACTACCACCTTTTTTTTTCTTTTCTGTTCAGGTTGGCTAGCACATTCCCGATCATTGGTGCTGTTCGATGGGTTGGCTTGTGTGCCCTTTCTACTCGAGTGGAGCAAACTACATAAAAGGAAATTGCGGTCGAATTTCAATTTATTGGTAGAATTGTCGTATGAAGAATTGCATTTTACGAAGAATGCGGCAGATACTAACTCCAGCTTCGGCCTTTTACACACGCAATGTTGTGTCTGGCATAGCCACGTCCCCCTTTAGCACACTTCCTTGTTTTCTTTTCGTGTCGTTCTCGAAGCTTTTGCAATCTCGGAGTTCTCTATCCTGCCTTTCTTTTCTTTTCTTTTCTTTATTTCTTCCACACTCGAGTTGCGTAACTGGCAGACCTCGCAGCGCAGGTGTTTGGCAGCTGAATAAAAATATTGTATATATCGTCAGTTTTCACACTACAAAGTCGCCTAATGTTTTCACGGCAGATTAGCGCAAAAGAAAAGAATTGAGTTTGAGGTAGGAGTTTACATTCTTGACCAACATAAAAGCAAGGAAAGGGTCGATTTACACTGCGTTGGAGCTTACCGACATTTCAACTCCATGGCAGCCATGCAACGAGCAGCGTGTTTATGTGGAGAAAGCTAGACGTATGACTTGTCCGACAAGGTCCTAGCCTCTGCTGCACTGTCAGCTCGGCGGTAAATGGAGTATATGGAGCGGATGAGCAACTCACCTGAGTGCAAGCTCGTGTGCGTGCTGAGAGGTGAGCTCGCAGACGGAACAGAAGTCGGCCAGGTAGCCCCAGTCGCCGTCCAGGAGCACCCTGCTGAAGAGGGCCGCACTGTGCCAGCCCTGCAGGCCGTACGCCTCCGCCACTATGTGTGCCTGCAATGTCACGCACATCTCGTGCAGCAGCTTTCGTCCTTTTAATGCAGAATGTGCTGTGGGGCTGGCTTCCCCGAAATGGCCGCAACATTACGATAGAGCATTGCAACAAACTGTCACAAAAAACCATTACAATAAACTGTCGCAAAAAAACGCCACAAAAAATTCATGAAAAACCATTAGAAAAACCATGAAAAACCATTAGGTAAGAAGCGCACTTAACGGGGTAACCCGCCGCGATATATAATATCGTAATTGCGTGCTTGGAAGAAAACCATACATTCAAAGCGTGATGGTCAACCCGTACCGACTGTATTTGAAAACTTTGTGAATGTGTTTATCTACATTGTAGTAAAAGTTTCAAAATTAAACTTTTATGCAAGAGTGTATACTATGTGAGGCAGAGATATTTTTACAACCTGTGCTCATCATGCGCGATTTATTGTTTTAACTTGAGATTAAAGAAAAAATATTTTATATAGCAAGATTTGTAAATTCACTCAATTGGTTTAGTTGGCCATCTCTACAGGATTCATTTTATGTCATATCCATCGTTTACTTGCCATCCCAAGATACCAGACCTTCTGAGGTTACAGTTCATAAGATAGATTAAGCTTAGCTAATAAATGAACAAGTTAAATAACCGTCACAGGTTTAGCTAGGTTTTCGTTTAAGCATTGTGCAATGGTAGTGAAAGGCGTGGAAAAACTATTCGATATTTGAATCGAAAATATTCGGCCAAAACCACTATTCGCTTTGAATTCGCTTCGAACTTAAAATACACTATTCGCACAAGACTAGACATAATGAACCGTATTGAAAAACTGTCGCACACTAAATTTGGCGGGCGAGACATCCCGCACCACATTTAGTGGGCGGTTGTCACGTGAAGTCGTCAGGTGATAGTGATCACATCTTCCGTGTGGCAAGGTCATGTCTTCAGCGTGACGTGGTCACGCGACGTGATCAAGGTGATGCGAGCCCGTGACCATGATGTTAGCTATGGGAGTAACATCGTGGCGACATCATGGTAGCCGTCATCGTCCCACTGGATGACGTCCCGCGACGTTATCTCATTAGGCGAGACGGACGGAACGGAGCAGTACATGGCAGAACCTTTAAATTTGAAAGCAGCCGCACCGTCCAGCCCGCTTTTCGCCGGCGCTCTTGCATCAACCATTACCGCTTTGCACAAAAGTATGCGTGTAAAGCTTCACTGCTTTGCACCAGCTTCTTGGAGACGCAGCTAACGAGATGAGCACCTCGGTTAGCTTAGTGGGCTCGGAAGTTTGCTGGGGTGGGTGCTTAACATGGCATTTGCCTAAATTCCAGACGTAGGAGGTGGGCCCTTATCGAGACAAAGGCGATGCTCGGTACTTTGTGGGTGTGTACGGCATACGAGGAAGCCTCCGAGAAAAATTTATTTTGGACGCTCGTGGGCAACGCCTTGTCACTGGAGGCTCGTAAACGCTGCTGCAGCAACCACACGAGCAGTTTCCCGTTTGTCCCTGCAAAGGCGCCCCCCACATCCTAACCCGAACTAGAGAGAGAGCAGACGTCCTTACCTCAAAGAAGTTTGGGTGACGTGCCACCTGCGTCATGGCGGCTGACGGCTCCAGGTTGATGAGCACCAGCTGTGACGCGAAGTAGCGTAGCTGCAGGGCAACCAGCTGTGCCTTCCTGCCGCACGACTGCGCCCGCAGCAAGCACTCCGCCTGTGGCCGAGGGTCGCAGAAAGAAAGTTCTTGCCACGGCCAGTGCCTTTTGGGCAGCGACGGTTATAAAGCACATTTCCTGTCGGCGGTTTAAGGGTGCGCTTAGAGCGGTACCTATATGTGGGAAACGTCTCAGGCTTGATTTCAGGGAGAACAGTGACCACCTCATTCGCTTTTAAGTGTGGCCTCAATTGTAGCCTTATATGCTTGGGGACATCAGCCACTCGAATTTCACGAACCTCCACCAGCATCACGCACCTTGACGTAGCTCTCTGCTGCGTCTGCCAGGTCTTGAAGCACCGTTTCCAGTGCCCGCTGCTCTTGGGGACTCCATGCCATTGGTCCTGAGATTCAATCGGCTAATTAATTTCTCGATTAACATGCCCATCAGGTCAGCAATCATCAGAAACATTGCTGGTTATTTAATATTTATTTCTCTACTAATTTATCCACACTCAATCCCGCGGCCCCATTTGGGGCATTATGGCAGGGAAAGGGGTACAGAAAGAGTTGAAGAATGAGCATGCTGAACATGACAAAGGAAATCTAATCTAATCGCTTATGGTACGAATAAAAAGTAATGGGCGGCAGTGTGATAGTTTCAAGCTTGAACAGGTGATCTATTTTCCGAGACAGATAGTGTGGCGTCGTCGGGTATTTCCCTTCCAGATTATTGTTTGGTCATGCAAATTAGGTTTTTTTTTGTTGGGCAGCTAGTTATGGCCACATTGTCGAGCAACAAAGCAGAAGTGCAAACAAACCGTCCGTGACGAGCTTCTTCATCTTGGTCAGTGCGGTCAGTTCGAGGCTCTCGGCAATCTCGCGATGCATGTTGAAGTTGAGGGTGAGCATCGAGTAGAGATCTGGGTCGGTGCTGGCGCGGTGTTTCAGGTAGTCTAGAAGCGCCACCCGCAGGTAAGGCACCTGTTGTTGACACAATCAAAAGGGAAACGAGAAAATTTACATCCCCATAAATAGAAAGCGACACAGAATATGCTCATGTCGTTGCCAGTTTCAATTTCAACCTGGATATGCACCAATGAAACTATGACATGACCGTCAGGCTCAGGGCTAAAAATGCACACAGCGCAACACTGACATACTCTGAACGCGACATCGGCGCTTTTCTGCATTTTACTCAAACAGAGTATTCACGGGCATCAAGCTCTGTCGCTTAGAATACTGCCCTAAATGATAACTTTGAAGACACCAATGTAATTTGAAGAGAAAAACTAAAAAAACTGGCAATTGCTTCTTTACGTTAACAATGACATGCTTTGTCCAAAGCACAACGCTGTTAATACATACAAGCGATCGACGGCTCTTTAGCTTTTTTCTTAGAATTGAATAGCTTGCATAAAAACCACTTGAGGGTCAAAAAGTACTCATTTAACGCACTAACTTAATCGGTAAAGTTTGGTGCCCATCGGTACTTTGCCGGAGCAAAATGCTAGAAAGTGCTGATGTCATGTTTGCGCTGAAAATGCAGAGCGAGGTACACACATGGTAGGAATTATCTCTAGCAGCTACTGACAAGGCATTTGCAATATTTTCTACCCTGTAAATGGAACTGTGTAATCAGTTGAACCTATGGTCTCTATTTAAAGCTGTAAAAAATGTCAAACTCCCAACAAACATTTTTTTAAAGTGCCTGGGTGGGACATGTATGTCACAAAAAAAAGTTAATTTGCACCAATATAACGTGACCATGAATATAACGGGAGGGCAGATTTTGATGACTTCAAAAATAAAATAAAACATTATTACTATTATAACGTGAGCCGAGGCTGTGTAAACTTTACTACTATACTGAAATCTTGTAAGGAACACAACTGTGAACTTAATTTCTGCATTGTTCATGCTTTTTTTAAAAAAACTGTGGTATCTTTACCCAATGTACACAAAAAACAAAAATCTTTTTTTTATTTTTATTAAAAATTGTGTCATTTTTGTCATTTCTATTCACAGCTGCGTGAGAGACCTTTGTCCCTCTTGTTACCCTTCTCCAGGGATTATTTTTGTGACATAAAAGTTGTACTATATGCTTCACAAAAAAAAAAAAAAACTGCTATTATTTTTTTTGTTTTTAAACTATACTTTTCCTCGGGGGGCGCAGTGTTTATTTGATGTACTCTTATGTAAATCTTCGAAAGATTTGTGTATAAATTTGAAAATCTACATGGCTACCTCTTTCACTGTCTCAAGTGTGCCAAGTAAGTTTCAGTACAAATAAGACTAATGGCTAAAACGTCTGCCTTTTGGAGTACTTCCCTCCATTAAAAAAACCGTCTGTTTGGAGTCTAGCGTCACTTTGAGCATCCCAGACCCCACGCGCTTTTCGGCTTCCCTGGCCGAGTGGGACGTACCTTGTCCATGCCCCGCTGGAAGAGCAGCTCAAAGTGGTGGTTCTGCAGGAGCAGGTCAAAGACGTAGGCCATCTCGCTGTAGCGCGCCATGCCAGTGAGCAAAGACACGAGCAGCGAGAAGTGCCGCCCCGCAACCAAGCAGGGCGTGAGACGGTGGCAGCGGTGGAGCACCCGCGAGATGCCCTCCATGCTGCACGCCTCCAGGAAGCAGCTGTGGGCGCGCACGCACAGCTCCACCTCCACAGACAGCGCTGTGGTCGGGAGAACGCACAAGCAATTGTGCTGTGTGTATCAGAAGGAAGCTAATATGCCCCAATGGGCGTCTGGTACTTGTAGCATTCCGTCTGTGTTTTTATGGCACGGTAGTTTAATGTTTGCGCGCACTGACCCAACTGTCGAGCCCGGACGATGCGCACCCTGTGTTGTAAATATCAGTCTTGTTTCAACCTCTGACCTTTGCGTATGTCTCGTCGTTTGCTAGGTGGGCTCGCCCAATCCCAAGCCGCCAACATTTCTTTGTCTCAAGCGTGACACAACGTCAGCCTTCTTTAATTACTAGAAAGCCTTCGTAGGCTCTGTCTTTTTTTAGTATTTGAGGCCTCTCTACAATACCCTCCGTGGTAGATGAGAAATTTTATCAGTGCAGCACAACTGCTAGCCCGGAGTCTGATACAGGACTGCACACCAGTGTGACACCCATCTAGATGGAAAAGGGCAGGGGTGGATATTGGGCACGGGATCCTTAAGTTCTGCATAGCAAGCTGTGGGACGGTGGTTGAGGCCGTTTGCGCTTCGCAGTTATGCGAAACCCACCGTTCCCCCTAAACTTTAAAAGACAATCAAATGTGCAGATCCTACAAACTCGAGAGGGGTCGTAGAATCTCTAGTAAATCTGTTACGCCTGCCTGTACAATTCTTCCTGTAACTTTTGCAGACAAGCATTTGAAATGCGCTTTAATAGAAACAAGAGGAAGCATTTGAGTGATAAAAAGACTAAACATATAATATATAAGGTTGCAAGTAATAAGCACCAACAATATTGTGAAAGCGGTCTGCCCCTATTAAAAACAGCAAGGAGAGCCAGTTGATGACGATGATAATGTATTTATGAAGTAAAGCATATGCCCTCCTGCAGGCAACAGGTTAGGAAGCACACTCCGCAATTATGCTGACCTGATAACAGTGTCGTTGCATGTGCTAACAACAAAGAGACGTTGTGGGAGACCATATTTCACCACTTTCAATGGTAGGTGCGGAATAGAAGCCAGTTACCGAGCGACTAGCTTCGAAGTGTCGTGCGTCGTACCTTTGGGGTTGCTGCTCAGAGCGCGCAGGTCGTGAACCCTAGCCCTGAGCAAAAGGTTCCCCAGTAGCGAAGGGTCGGGGCAGAGCTCCAAGGCCAAGTCCCACACCTCCAAGATGCCCGCTTTACTTGCAACTGGGGGAAAAAGAAAATGAGTCAAAAACTGCAAGGAAGTAGCGGTTCTTTTTTGTTTTTTTTTTTATCTCAAATTTATTTATTTGTGCGATCAATGCAATTACTTTAGAAAGTGTAATCTGCGTCGCACTACTCGGACAGTGTGCCAAAGCCTCCCTCGACCTCATGTGCCGCGAACACAAATCCACGTTTCCTCTTAGTGAAGTTAGATATATGAAATAGAGGTAGTATATTTTTTTTTAAAAACTGATGTGTGGAATTGATATATAATTGGATGCCACCTATTTTTGTAAAAATGGAACTCTTGTACATACCTCTAGGATACTCGAAACGAATTGCTAATTCGGTGTTGCAACATAGCTATAGGTTTATAGAATACCACTGAAGATAATCAAGTGTTGTTAAACCTTTCTAGCACAAATTTCACATGTTATGAAAATGATTTGACTCAACACATTCAGTTCTTCACTTTTGATATGGCTATTTGATTAATAATTCACCTAAGGACTGGAGACCCAAAAATGATAAATTGGTCAATTTAACTCTCACTACTCTGCAAGTGTTTGACAGTCATGTGGCAATTTAGCAACACCCTTTGGTCCCGAGGGTATATGAAAACGATGAAACACTGTAGTCGAAATCGCTATGCAGACTGTCGTTAACATGCGATAGCATTTTGCACCGACTAGTACCATGTAAACATTTCTTCATTTAACTGCTTAGGAATATTTTTCGTCGACATGCACGAAGTCTTCCAACACCCTTCCACTTCCTGCAAACGGGCCTCCCGTGACCAGCCAATGAATTTTGATAGAGCATTACTGCGATCCAAACTTTTCTCTCTTACTATATAATCATAATATGGATATAATTAATACTAAAACCCTCGCTAACTAGATTTGTTGTTCAGAATCTAACGTGTCAGATCACATTCATTGGTCACATTACTCCCTCTGTATACCTAATTTGCTGCCAAGAACATCAGAGAACAAATCCCGAGGCAAAAAACACAAAAATAACAACCCGCACCCCGCGAGTAAAACAAATGTTGGTGGCAGAGCCGACCTGCGTTTCCTCGGATAGCGTCCATGGCCATGTGGAAGAGAAAGTTTGCCACCCGGTCGTCCGGGATCCCGAAGACGGCCACCAGTTTCTTGGCCAGGGCAAAGTCCGCAGAGCAGCACTGGCGGGCGCCGTCCCTCTGGCCAGACGCCCGCTTCTGGGCCTCCATCTTGGCCAGGCTATGGCCCACCAGGTTGCCCAAAAGGGCCACGGGGTCCGACTCCAGGGCCAGGACCGAGTAGCTGCACCCCAGGTTCTGCCAAGGGATGACACAAAGTTGCCATGTTCCAAAATTTACTCGCTCTCCCTCTAGGGTAAAGGTTTTGCACCGTAGTGTTTGAAAACCTACTAGCGTCTAGTGTTGCTCTATCTGTCTCGTCATGTGACACGATTCGCCGGAGGAACTCGGATCCATTCGAGTGAGATTTGGAACACAGCCAGTGTGAATTCGCGCGAGGGAAGTCGGACAAACTATAGACGCTTTGCAGCAGCTACGCATGGGTGCAGCAGTAACCAGTTTTCACTTTCCGTTTCTTCTCATTCCCGTCCCTCTGCTTCAGCACTATGGTAACACGACAGGGCATTGGCCTTTTAGGCACTACCGTATCCTTACCTCGAACGCAGGCTTCCGTGTATGCTCGTCCACGCTCGCTTCGGTGGCTGTATATCTCGGCGAGACACAAGAAGGTAAGCGATGGCGGCCCTAATCTGGCGTATTTGTAAAGCGCCTATTCACCTTTTTCACAAGAGCGCAATACGGAACCCACGTGACTCAGAACGAAGGGAAACGAAAAATCTCTATAATATCTCTAACCCCACAACTAGATCTGAAATCGTCTGGAAAAATTGGCACCTGCATGCAGCGATGTGAAACTTTTGTCGAAGGTGTATTTTAGGGTAGGTTTTAACTCGCGAAATTTAGAGGCTTAGCTCCCTTCCTGTGCCTGACCGCCATCTTGATTTTTGGTTCCAATCCGAGGAGGAAGGGCACCCTCCCTCCCTAGTCGGGCAGAATTTTTCCTGTATCCGTGGGGGTCACTTGCCCGGCATTTTACGGTAACGCCCTCGCCATGGACAGTCAATGGTGCACAACAACGAAGACGACCGAGTTGGCGAGGACTATGCTGGCGGCGCAGCATCTCCCAATGTGTGCACCAAGCAGACGACGGCGTCATCTGCTCGAAACTGAGTATGTCATCTGTTCAACGTGTCCGTTGGGAGATGCCACCACAGGCGCAACCGTTGTTAACTCGGTTTTTGTGTTGTCATTTGCCAATGACCATAGCAAGTGTGATGGTCTTGTTTTTTGCAGGAAAAAAGTTATGCCTCGAAAATTGAATTTCACAAGGTAAAATCTGTCACTAAAATACATCTGCAATCAAAAGTTTTGATTGCTGTGTCTAGGCGCCCATTTTTCTAGCCGAGTTTAGAGGGAGTGCAGAGACTGAAAACACCCCATGTGGAGCGCTAATTCGTCTGCTTCTTGAGCAGCAGTTGTGGTCACGTCAGAACGCCGAGCTCCGATTGGTTCTGATTGGAAGGACAGTGGGTAGACCTCGAGGCAGCTAGCATTGAGGTCTACCCACTATCCCTCTATCAGAGGCAATTGGAGCTCAGCGCTCTGGCATCAGTGCAACTCCTGCGCAAGAAGCAGACGAACTTGCGCTTCGCATACATATAGATCAGGGTTCCTAGGGTTCCACCGGAAACGAAAAGACTAATCAAATGCGACTTTGGCAACACTATCCAGATTCATTTACACACAACTGTACTTCAAGAAAACTCTGATATCACTGCCGCAGGATGTCTAGCAAATTATTATTTTGAAATTCCCCGACTTTTTCAGGTTTTCCCTGACAATTTCAGGTAGAAATCCCTGATCACTGTAGAGACAGTTAAATATAAAAGACTAATACAACACAAGGCATTGAGCATTAAGCACTGTAAGGATCATTTTGCACGGGTTTAGTCAAACTTGCATCTTCCAAAATATTTGGGTTCGTCCAGTCCAAATTAAATGAGCACTTTCTTGCCGCCGACATTGTCAGTGAACAGGCCACTTCCGGAAACACAGTGAAAACATAATGCTCAACCACACGTTCATAACCGAATGGCAGCGTGGCCGCCAGATGCACACTTTCGGAGACTTTTGGCTTAAGGCTTGGATTGGATTGGGGTCTGCGGCTTTCCTATCTGTTACTAAATCTAGTAGCTCAAACTGGATCTAGCCTAGTGTTGCGCCCTCAATCCAATCCAATCCAAGGCTTGGACTAGATTTGTCGGCTGTTCCCTTTGCATAGGGTAGCACACCCTACATCGGGTGAGCAGAGCCTACACTCCACTCTAAGCAGAATTTATTGCCTATATTTCTGCCCCCAAGTCCTCAAGTCTTTGCTCAGGGCACTCGATGGCGTTTCCAGCTCATCTGCCCTTACTGCGCTCGCTTTTTGACAATATCCCTCATTTTTTCTGGTAATTAGAAGTTCCCTGACAATTCCCGGTTTTTTCGGTCGCTAGACACCCTGCTGCCGCCTCAGTCGCAACCCAAGCAAGGAAAAAATTACTGCATCTCCACGTGGTGAATGATGTTGATTGGGGCGAAGCTTTGGTGGTGCTGATGATACTGATTTTATTGTTCATACGCAGTGCTGATGGTGCTGATATTTTTTTTTATTGCTCATAGGTAGTGCTGAGTTCCGGGTTGCGTTTCGACTTCATTATTACAGCTTTATGGTCGGTGAAATGCAGAGCCAGTGGTTTTTCTAGCGGATCAGCTTGGATCCGCTAGAAGCCGTGGGAACGCATCTCCACCGCTTAAGTAAACGGTCCATGTCGGAAAGAGAATGTGTGGTATGGATCGTGGTTATATACGCAGCTGAGCATTTGACCGCAGCGCCCTCTCGTCTATAAACGCTGAGCCAATGCATGCAAAGTTTAACGCGATTATATACGCATTTGACCGCAGCGCCCTCTCCTGTATAGACGTTGAGCAGCTACATGCAACATTTCATCCAATACAGAAACCCCAGCTCTTGAGTTACTATCACATCTCAGAGCCCCCTACTCGTCCTGCAGTCGTGGCCGAGCGGTTAAGGCGATGGACTAGAAATCCATTGGGGTTTCCCCACACAGGTTCGAATCCTGTTGACTGCGTAAACATTTTTTCTTTTTTTAAGAAGACAGATGGGATGGCACTCGATGTGAGCGCGGACGCCGGACGGACAAGGCTAGACCCTAAGGAGTTTCGCCCCGAAAACAGTGGTGAGCATCTCTCACCAGTGAAAGGGTGAAGGTGAGCAGCACACGCTGACACAGCTGCTGGCTCTTCTTCGCTGCTCTGGTGATGCGCTCCAGGAGTTGGAGTGTCTTTCTCTCCGGTGAGTCCTCGCCACCTTCCAAGGACTTCAAGTCCACAGCAGCTGAAGTCGAAAAACAGACCTGCAGCTATGTTTGCTGTTCGAAGGTATTATAAATCAACTACAAATTCTTTGCGAGACTGTGCTTGTTGCAGCACTCTGTACTTCCAGACAAACAATAGCAATTTTATATTTAGACTCTCTGGTAAATATTTGTGAGATATTTAGTGTATATTACTAATCATTCCATCTCTCTATTAAAGCCACTGGCTAGATCTGAGGGTAAACTAATAAATAATTATATTGCAAACAAATTTATTTTCGCAAGCTTAATATTATGGGAATTTCAGAAAATGTGGGTTTCGTGAACATTTCATGGACACAAACATTTTGTGTTTTGCAGTGTTAACATGGAGGCGATACATTCATGAGACCAATTTGCAGCCATATTTTTTAAGCCGCAAAATTCGGAAAATTTAGGTCTTTTGCGGTAATTCGTAAAAAAAAAATAGGCGGGGAGGATTGCTCACACATAGATGCAACCACTGAAAGCCTGTGGGCCAGAACTGGTGCTGGTTCGCTGATCCGAAGTTGGATTCGTGGATCAAGGTTGTCGAACGACTGCGTTCCTTGTGCTAGACGGATGCATGTCTGGACAAAAAATTAAGTTACATGTTATTTGCATGAAAAGGCCATCACACAGGAGAGTTAATGAGCAAGAGAGTACTCATAAATAGGAAGATTGTTGCATCCACAATTCATGTTTAATAAATTGCAAATCTGCGATAATGAAACAAAATAATCTACGGACGTCTGACAAAGCTTACAAAGAGAAAAAAAAGTCAATCGCTAGGAAGCTCTTCACTGTCCACAAACTGTCTTGCTTTGCTAAGTCGCTCCTTGTGCACAGTTGTAAAAACATAGGCTGCATGTTCGGTCGTTCTGCCAAACATGTTTAAATGCGGTAGCTTTATAGGGTGGGTTGTGCTCTTAGTTCGGGTGGTGCCTAGGGCAGGGTTTTGCATGGAAAGAGATAATGCCACACCATTGCCTCTTTGTGAAGCAGCACGTGCTTCCCTTCAGCACTGCCCAGATACAAAGCCTTTGCGCTGTATTTTCTGGATTACCAAGAGAGGGGAAGTGCACTTTCCTGCCCTTTTCACTCCTCCTCGTTCCACGTGCTCTTTCTACACCACCTGTTTCTGCTCCTCTCTTTCTTGTCTTTTCCACCCCCCTCCGTAGCTGTCAGCCGCATACTCAGCTTTCATGCTGATGACCGGGATTCGATCCCTAACACCGGTTTCTATTTCTTTTTAAAACGCAGCTCTTAGGTGCTTGTTTCCAGGGTGAGTGGCATCGGCGTTGCCATCGGCATCAACGTGACTGCGTGCGTTGCAATATGGGACGTTTCCCCACTAAAGCTAGAGGGAAAATTTTCCCACTAAATTTAGCGGGAAAATTAGCAGGCAAATTTTTCCGCTAAATTTAGCGGTAAATTTTACCACTAAAATTAACAGGGAAATTTTCCCACTAAATTTAGCGCAGAAATTTTCCTCCTAAATTTCCTCGCTAACTTTAGCGGGTTAAGTTTTCCCGCTAAATTTAGCGGGGAAACTGATGTCACGTGACCTCAACACCAATTCAGTTTCCCCGCTAAATTTAGCGGGGAAAATGACGCCACGACTTTGTGTCAGGTCACCCATGAACAAATTCAGCGGATGGAGGAGAGGAGGAGGAAAGAAGGAGAGGAGGAGGCAGAGGAGAGGAGGGTACGGAGGAGGAGGAAGGACGTATCCTCCCCTCCATACCCTCCCCTTCTCCTCCGCAAGAGCTGCGCTCTAGTTTCGCATTACAGAGATTGTAAACATTCTTCATTTTTTCAATATCGTTTAGCGGTCCCAGACTAACCAACCTATGCCTTTTGTGCTTACGCAGACCCCGAGGTTCGCTTTAAAAACCTGCCAACTCTCAAACTGATTTACTTTCCTTTGTCTCAACCTATGGCCTAACAAATTGTATGATGTCTCATCCAGGACATTCGGATGGATTAAGTGTTGTACTAAAAACAAACGCATCACATCACTGTAATGTTACACGACTGCTAGCTTCGTGCAAGGCAACAAAATCTCCCTTGTAGCCAAAAAGAAACAACAAGAAACCCATGTTCTTTGCTAATTTCTTCAGCCCTACAGCTATAAGAGAAACCAATTGCAAATGTTGGCATGGTGCAAGGCACCTGCTCATGGGTGGATGCACAAAAACATAGTCACGTGGCAGACTGAACGCAAGAAACAAAAGGGAAAAGTTTTGGAACTGCACCAGCAAGAGTTCCAGGTCGCTTGTGGAGCAGCCGAACAGGAAAGCCAGCTGGCAAGCCTTGCAGAAGTGGCCCCGAGACAGCAGCTCGTCAATTAACTTTTCCGTCGCCGCCACTTGCTGCAAACATACAGGGCACCTTTCTACACCATTCTTGTGTTTGGGGCAAAAGAGGCGTGTAATGTCACATGCATTATATACTTCAGCAACTGTACCACATATGCACCTACAAATTAACATTGTTTTCCAAAGAGACAGAAAAAGTGAAGGTGAGGCAGCGGAAAGTACCCCAGTCTCTCATAGCAGTTTTAACTAGGGATGGGCGAATATTCAGTTATTACGAATAGCCAATCGAATTCTGTTCTATTTGGCATTCGCTTCGAATTGAATTTAAGTATTCAACAATATCAAATTATTTGACAATATAGAATTATTCGACCTTTCTAAATACAGTCAAACCCAACTATATCGAAAACCCATTTACATTGAGTTATTCCTTATATCGAACAAGTTTTGTGCACAGTAATGTTACAGTGATAATATATAGCAAAAACTATGGTTGCATTGAACAAAAATAGCAGCCGCTACCGATATATCGAACTGCCAAGAGTGCCGTTTTTCTCTGCAAGCAGGCTTTCCCCCAATGCGGGCGGCCGCGTTGGGGGAAAGCCAGCTTGCAAAACACGCTGGCTTTTTTTTTTTTTTTTTTCGGGCGGTTGCGTTGATTGTTTAGAAGAAAAGAAAGTATATCTTTCGCAGTGTCTAGGGTTACGTCCGACGGAACCCGAAATAAAAATTAAAGTTACGTCCGACGTAACTTTACGTAAGGATTCGAGTTACGTCCGACATAACCCAATATATAAATTAAAGTTACGTCCGACGGAACTCCAAATAAATATTAAAGTTACGTCCGACGTAAATTTGCCCCAGGGTTTCGAGTTACGTCCGACGGAACCCAATGTGAAAATTAAAGTTATGTCCGATGGTACTCGAAATAAAAAATAAAGTTACCCCCACCCTCTGCCCGTTTCGACCTGGATGAGTTTCGTACTGGCGTAGGTCGTGGTACCGGCACGCGTTCGTGTAATTACCACTGGTTAGCGGTTGTACTGCACTGGCTAACTTTCTCATCTAATGCTTCTAAAGCCTGGTTTAGACAGTTCCGTTTGACTGCGTTGCGGCTGTTAGACACCGGGACATCTCTGCTGCTTATATCGCGTGCCAAGATGATTCCTTGAATTGGATTCCACGCTTCATACGAAGCACAGATGTGCCGGCGACCCGCTTTCGGTTCTCGACGCAACGCAGATCAAACGCACTCAAACGCAAGTGTCTGAACCGGCCTTCAGGCTCGCAGCACACGTGCTGTGGTTTCCATTTTTAATGTTTTTCTCTTCTTTTGTGCGTCGCGTCTAGGAAGTGGTTTCATATCTAAAAACAAATCGAACGAGATGAAAAAGGAGATGAAAAAACGAGAAAAAAAAGCATATGTAACGTCCATTGAACCCACCGGGCCTACGCAGCCTCTACATACGAGGAACACACTCCAACCCCCTCAACAAACCTGGAAGTACAAATACAGCCGCGATTTTGACCAATTTATCAACGCTGCATCGGACATCATGCAGAAGTATTTATATTTATTTTTATGTTTACATCGTGTTTCGGCCACAAAACGTAATATGCAATAAGGTTCCGTAGGTTACACGGGCCGTAACTTATTTCCGTCGGATGTAATTCGAAACCTTAGGGTAAATTACGTCAAACGTAACCTTAATTTTTATTTGGAGTTCTGTCGGATGTAACTTTAATCTTCATACAGTGTAGACCGCATATAACGTATGTCTCGGGAGTCGCGAAAATCCGCACTATAAGCGGTACCGCACTATAACCAAAACATCAATTTTTCAGGCCAAAATACATGCCATGAGACAACTTACCTTTGTAAAAGAATTTATTTTATGTTAGATGAAAAAATAAGCTTAGTTTGAGGAAAGTCTTTATTTCAATAGACTAGCACAGTTATGTCTCAAGTGTGTCACACATTTTAAAAGAAATTAGCGGCTTTTGCCTGGCGCAGCCTTTTAACGGCGTCGCGGGTTGCGGACGGACGTTGCGAGCGTTCAGGATTGCTAACCCTAATCACTCTTCTCCAAGATAAAAACGCGTGAAAATTCGCATCCTTCATACGTACGCGCCAGTAATACCTCGAACTTGAGCACACGCATGAAATGCGCCAAATAAGAAATCCGGGCGATGTTCGAGGACACAAATGCTTAGAAATCACCACTGTAGTCGAAGTAAACAAACACGACGACACGGGCGTTTCTGCCGTCTTGAGAGCGCCGCCACGACATCGCCGCACGAGTAGGTGGATCTTTCCTTCTAGTACGTGCTGGGTTATCATAGCGACACACAACGAAAATTCAGAGTCAAGGATAGCGCTTTTACGCGGAACGATGAGATGCACGCCGTCTACGACGACGATCACAACCGACGCCATGTTTGCGGAATAGAAGCAGCCGGCCGGCCGGCCCGCGACTGGAGGAGAGGAGACGCGCGCGAACACTTCTCCTCAACCTGCGATTGGTCTGTCGTTGCGGTTGTTTGTTTCTTTGTTTCCAACGCAGCGGAGGGACGCACGCACGTGAACGACTCGTGCGTGCGTCCCTCCGTCGCTATGGCAACTGAAGCCTCTCTCTTCGCTTCTCCCCGTGTTTTCGAGAAACCTCCTTGCCCCGCGAGTGCAGCTTGCGGCTCGCGCCAACGCTCGCGCTGTCAGCGCCGTTATCTAGTGTCGCACAGGGAAGCGAGCTCGCTGCTCCGGTCGTCGGCGCGGTCGGCGGGCTGTTCCAGAAACCGCACTGTAACCGGTATTTCCCTTCGCGCGCCTGCATTTTAAGCGGTATGTAATTACATGGAGTTCTATGGGAGGTGAACCGGTGGTTTAAAAAAACCGCGTTATACCCGGTCCTGCACTATAAGCGGTTACGTTGTAAGTGGTCTATACTGTATTGGGTTACGTCAGACGTAACTGAAAACCATGACGTAACTTTAATATTAATTTCGGGTTCCGTCAGACGTAACGCTAGACACTGCATATATCTTTTGCAAAAAGAGCGGAGGGAGGGTGCTCCGTGCTCCCTCTCCCCGCTCTGTCTGCAAGTAGACCGTTTCCGCTGCGCGCTAAGCACCCGGATAGCGCTCCGTAATCCGCCACAAGATCTTGAACTTTGCAAATAAGGCTGGCGGCGCGCATGCGCAGCTGCGGCATTTTCTTGACGGATACCGTAGCGGAAGAGAAAAACGGTCTACTACAATTCCCTATTTTTTCTTCCAAATTGACGTGACCGCCCAGAGAAAAAAGAAAAAAAAAAAAAAAGCCAGCTTGCTTTGCTAGTTGGCTTCCCCCAACGCAGCCAACTGTTTTAGGGGAAAGCCAACTTGCAGAGCAAAACGGCGCTCTGCAGGAGAAGGTGCTCTCGTTGGACGTGCTCCGTGCTCTCGGCATAGTTCGGCGCTAATGCACGAATATAGAAGGCAGCGGCCTCAACATCTTGGAGTCCATCGATAGCATAGAAAAATATTGTTATCGCGGATGCAATGAAAAAAAAAAGCAGCAGAAGATGCAAAACTACTTCATTGTGTAATATTTCAGCAGAAAGTGGATTTTTGAAAGTCAAATTCATTAAAACTTTTATATCGAATTACCCACTATATCGAACTGGTAGACATTTTTTTGCAAGTTCCATATAAATGGGTTTCACTTACTCTGGCTTGCATTAACGGCCAGGTGGCGCAAGCTTCCGACCGTTTCGACCCCTTCGTGCTACCGAACTCAGTACACTTGAAATTAACAATTACAGCATATCTAATACCAAATAAGGGCAAATATAAAACTATAGTTTAAACGTATCTTGCGGTATTTTTTCCTTGTACTATTCGAACTATTCGATTCAAAATTATTCGATCAAAATCACTATTCGCTTCGAATTCGATTCGGACCCAAAATCCTCTATTCGCCCATGCCTAGTTTTAAGGCATGATTAATTTCCAATTAGTATATAAGTATACTTTTTGGGGTTCTCAATGTATTCACCTTGTCCCAAGGCATTAGTGGCAATACCATACTTTTCTCCAAAAATTATGTTATCAATAGCATCATTGTAGTCTAGTTAGTCACTTCATTCTAATTATTTTTAACCCATTTTGAAACCAAGAGCTGCTCATGAAGAGGCAGTAATTATTATAATCATAAGAACATTTCAGCTAAACAATAAAATCTACACCAAAACTACAATGGTGTCATATTTAGCATTATTTTAAGAAGCCTCCACCCTGCTGCATGATTGCAAACATTGTAGTTATGTGCGAATAATGAATTTTGAGCTCGAAGTGAATAAATTGTTTTGGCCAAATATTTTTTAATGGAATATTAAACAGTTCCTCCAAAAATTTCTACTATTGCACCATGCTTAAACAAAAACCAAGCTAAACTTGTGAAGAATGTTCTCAAGCTTCTACTTGTCCATTTGTAAGATATTTAAATCTAACTATATCTATGGAAAAGGCATCAGACAGTCTGACACATTGAGATGGAAAGTATACGACAAAGTTTACATAAAACTCAACCTATGCGGAGCACAAGTTCGTCTGCCTCTTGCCCAGACGTTGCAATGATGTCAGAAAGCTGAGCTGTTATTGGCAGATTAAAAAAAAGGTGGGCAGACCTTAATGCCTCTAGCATTGAGGTCAACCTACTATCCTCTCAAACAAAGCCAATCAAAACTCGGCGTTGGTCTGACGTCACCGCAGCTCCCACACAAGAAGCAGACGACTTGCTTTCCGCATAAAGATGTCCAGCTATGCCCAATTGAGGGGATTCATTAATCTTATTTCTTCAATCTCAAATTAAAAAAAAAAACAAAAAATCACGAATGATGAATGCAGGTTGTTAGGGCAACTATGCCTAACATACTCATGTAGATATCAATGTTCACCACGTTTTTATTTCTTTTAGATGCACAAGGCGCACGCATGCACCATCCCGTTTTGAGTTTGCCTTCCTCCCGAGCACACGTTGCAATATTCATACACTGCCAAGTGTTGATCACGGCAGGTTACCCCGTTGAGTGCGCTTCATACGAAGCGCACGTGCACTGCGGAGAACCAACACTCGTGGAGCTTGCTTCCGCAGGTGCTGCTTTTCCGCAGTGCACCCATGCTAGGTGTAGAAACGTGCTCAACAGGGCTAACCCGTCACGTTCAACACTTCGAAAATTGTGAATATTGCAGTTCATCTGAAAGTGAATATTGAATTGTGTATTATTTCAAACTACTATTTAAAATTTTGAATATTCACACAACACTAGAATATCATCTATGCAAACATAATCACGAAGATGGTTGGAGTTGGCGGGAAGAACCTAAAAGGAACTGCCTGGAAGGAGTGGAAGCTGACGTTTCGCTGAAATTGGCGTTCTCGACAGAAGGAGCAGTCTCTCAGAAAAATTTCGGCTGTCAGGGGGCGCCTCCAGGAGGTTACTATACAAAGAGAAAATCTTCACTATAAATGGTTATAAGTGGATTGTGACAACAGGTGACTATGACTGGATTGGGACTACAAGTAGCTACAACTTGGCTGTCATTACAATTTTTTTGTGAGGCTACAACAGCACTGTGACTACAAGTGGCTACAACTCGATTGTCTACAAGTGACTACAGTATTTGCACGAATATAACGCGAGTTTTTTTTTCGAAATTACGCGCTCCAAAACGCACCTCGCGTTATATTCGGAATCGAGTTCAGCCACGAGGCGCGCGAGTCTGGAGAAAGCCAGAGGAGAGAGCCATCCCTCCGGCTTAATGCAAAATATCCGGCGGGAAAAGAAGTGGGAGTGTGGAAGGGAATTTATTAGCTATTGGGCCATGTGAAGGGGCCGAATAGAATACATAAAAAAGCATTTTTATCGCTTTTGTGTTTGTACAACGCGCGTACACCGCTGAAACTCAGCGCACGCGTGCGCCATGCAAGAATGCAGGCACTGGCCAATTCGAGCCAAGCCAAGGAGGGCCAAGTCAAGTCAACACAAGCCAAACTAAGACTGGCCAAGACCACCAACCCCGTTTACGCAATCGTGCGACACGAGGCATTTGTTTAGGCAGTGGGACCAGAACAAGAAATGTGATCGTGTATCGGATTCAGCAGTCTTTTTTCTGCCTGCGCATTGTTTAATTTCTGCTCCAGAGCGATCTGGTGTTTGTGTGTTGGTGCTTCTGCTTCGTGCTTTGTTTGGATTGTGGGCTGCCGGGGAGCTCGCACGGAAGAAAAAGGAACTACCAGACACTCTCTCTCTCTCTCTCTAAGCTGGTGCCGTGCTGCTGCTTATCTGTGTAGTCGCCAAGTGGATTGTAAACAAAAGAACCTGAGCAGTGAGGATGAGCGCAGTCAAAACAAACTGATATTTCTTCTATTTCCATTGACTTTTCACACCTGCTATGCCCCCGAGTGCAAGAAATTGGCGCAGCCTCGGTTCGCGTTATAATAGTAATAATATTTTTTTTTCTTTTTGAGGGCATCAAAACCTGCCCTCGCGTTATATTCGTGGTCGCATTATATTTGTGCAAATACGGTACAACTCAACTGTGACTACAAGTGGCTACAACTGGATTTTGACTAGAAGTGGCTACAACTGGATTGTGAAGCTACAAGTGGCTGCAACTGGACTGTGGGGCTAAAACTCGACTTTGACTACAAGTAGCTAGAACTCAGCTGTGACTATAAAAGGATGACTGGACTGCAGTGTCATGGCCACTCGATTAGGACTCCCCTTGGGAGCGGCCTGCCGTATGCCTCACTCCGCTGGTGAGAGCGATAGTTCTACTTTACCCCGCAGCGCCAGCCGTGGCGCTCGTTATCGGTGAGAGATAGAGTTTCTTTCGGGGGAGCATATCAAGGAACTCTATACTTCGTTTCACGTTAGCATGTACTTGCTAGCCGCGCGTGCTAAAAGCGCGAGATAGTTGCTTCGAAGGAAGCCTTGGCGGCTGCATGAGCGCTCGTGCAGCGAGTGCTCCAGTCAAGGCATTAAAGGTTAGCCGCTCCCGCTAGCATGGCGTTCGCGCTTAGTCCATGCTAAGGTAAGACGAAATATAGTGAGAGAGGAGCGGTACGCCCGGCCCAGCCCAGTGTGGCTATTTAGATTTTTTTTTTTTTTGTGAAGCCGCAAGTCTCATTTGAAACGAGTGCCAGATTGCATGAATGATGTGACAAATCTGTGTAGAATAAAAGCACATGATTCTTTCTGCGAAAAGCTCGCTTAACTGCAGGCTGCGCGTTAAAGCTCCAATCTGCTGGCAGTATGCTCGCTGTGGTAGGCGTCTCGGCCGTAAACACACATCAGCGGGCAGTCCATAAGGTGTGGAAGCACAGCGCTCCATAGGACCTTGCAAATCCTTCCACAACCATGAATCTCTGCCGACTGTACAGCCTTCTCGACAAAGGTGCAGACAAGCTTGCACAGCCAGACAGCTTCAGGTCGTGGATAGCTGAGTCCTCCTTGGTCAAGGCTAAACATGCCCTGATATGCTCCATCATGTGATGCCTTTCCCTTAAGTTGCGCTTGCATTCAGGACACGTCACCTGCAAAGTTTAGCGGGTTCTACACATTAGCCTTCCTTGCTTTCACTAAGAAATTCTTATTGCTTGGCCAGGTTGAATGTTTCAGCTAATTACTTTAAAATTACGACAATTTCTACAAATAAAAATGGTTACCTTTTGTTCGCAAACGAAGGCCAAGTAGCCAGCCATGTAAGTCAGAGGTGCGAACTCAAGTCCGGAAGAGACTTCATTGTACTTCATCAACTGCAGGATTTCCTGTTTCACGAGTGGAGTTGGCACATTTCATCGCCGTCTGGCACTCAAAACTAGAAAGCGCATTTACATTTCCGGCAGCTTTCAAAATGCCAACACAAACCACACACGCGAGCGCAGAGTGACACTATGATATTTTCGCCAAGCACAGCGGTGCACAGGGGGGGGGGGGGGGGGGGGGGGGGCGAGTTTTGCTGCCTTCCGCAACCGCGGCAGCGCCTCGGTATCGGCGAAGCCAATGAGAGGCAGATATTTTATCTGGGTAGCGGAGCAAGAGCGCCGCCTTCTCTATACTCCGTTTCACCTGATGTTGTACCGCAGCGAAGGCTGGAAGCGCGAGCTCATAGCGTTGACAGCTGCCCTTACTGCACGAGAGCTTGTGCCGCCAAGATCTGCCCCAGAGCAAGGAGCTCGCGCTTACAGCCTTTCCTGCGGTACAACTTAAGGTGACACAGCTCACAAGACCACTCACCGATGTGCAGCGCCCCCACGGAAAATGGGAGAAGTTCTCCTCTCACGCGCACTCTCTTGTTTTCAGAAAAACATCGGCAGGCCGCACCAACAGGGGGGATCGAGTGGCCGTGGCAGTGTTGGTGGTAATGCGTTACAAGTAAGAATGTGACCGGTAACGTGTTACTTTTTTTGGTAACGTGTAACATACTCATTACTTTTTCAAGATAGTAACGGGTAACATACTTATGTTACCTATATCGGATAACGAATACCGGGTTTACGTTACTCATTACTTTTTTTTTCCCAAGACCTAAAGAAATTACACTTCAAGTCATGTAAATTTTTTCGTTTTTTTTTTTTCGTTTTGTTTTTTCTTACGAGTATTTAGGTGAAAACGTAAAAAAGAATTAGCTTCAGTTTCTGCAAAAACATAATGTTTCTTGAAATATGGCGCTTATGCATAACTGTAAGCCAAAACAGTAAAATGTGTTCATTCATAATTAAAATCTTTTAGTCTTTCCACTTTGGTGAAGAAGGAAGAGCAGCAGAGCTGTAGCTTCTGTTCTCGGCGGTGGCTTTCCAGGCGAGTGATCTGATCTTCTTTCGAAAGGGAATCTGAAGCACTCAACGCAGTGTAACTTGAGGCGATAGCGGCCTCGCAGCAGTTATGAAACCATTCGCACAGCTGCGCACTTCACCGCTCATTCCGTTCCCGCTCTTCTTCCTCCGAAGAAATATTGCCACGATCTACAAGCGATGGCGGCAAGTAGGCAACCAGCAGACACAACACTCTGGACAGCTACCGCCATCTATGAGCGACGGCGGCAACCAGAGTTTTGTGTTCACATTTCTTTGCGGGGGACACGATCCTGGGGAAACTAGCCCTTAACAGCTCCGCTGTAAAAAGTAACGCAAAAATAACATGCATTACTTTTTATAGTTAACGGTGAAAGTAACGCATTCCTTTTATTTCGAACTAACTTAGGGCAGTAACGCATCACCTTTATTTGCAAGTAACGACCAGCGTATTCCGTTACTTTTCTTCGGTAATGCCAACAACACTGCTGGACTGTGGCTACAAGTAGCTACAACTGGATTGTGACTACAGTACGACCACAAGTAACTCCATAGGGATTGTAGCTGACACCGACTCCTACTGCACCTGCGAGTCGTCCAGGGTGACGCAGGCTCCCGGGCTGGGAGGGGGCTGTGCAACCAGGGGATCTGGCTTGGGGTTCGCTTCGAGGGTTGGCTCCGCCCCGCTGCGCACACACCATAGCCACACCCGCGCCTCCCAGCGCTGGGCCTCGGGCGAGCCCCAGGCAGCGCTGCGGCGCAGCCACTGCAGCGCACGGTGCCCCACCTCGTACAGTTCCCGCGCACCTTCCACTTGCAGCGTTTTTCCCTGGTGCAAAAGTAAACAAGCAAATCCGTCATTCTCACATCTTCAATGTCAGTCATCTAATATCCTGCGATCTCATTTATTTCCCCATACACGAAAATAAAAGAGGCGATGGTAGGAAAAGTTTGGTAACCGTCCCAGGAAAACGAATAAAGTCCAGCTAAGTTGGATTAGAGAACTGGTCCCAGCTAGAATCAGCTGCATCCAGCTGGATTAAATCTCATTTCCAGTTAGATCCAACTGCACCAGATCCATAATCGAACTCCAGCTAGGCTGGCTTTCACTTGGGCCTACATAAAAGTCAGAGATATCTCAGTCATTTCAGCATTACGCCGGTTTTTAATTGGGTAAGTGCAGTCAATGGCGGTTTTGGAAGGGAGCAGACTATGAGTCACGTAATGGATTCTTCCACTCTTTTCCCATTAGCGGAGTGAACGCTGGAGAAGGAAACAGCCAATCATGGCAGGCGGAGAGCTTTCTGGGAGGGGCTTGCCCTGCTGCCTAAACTTGCAACAGGCTATAGGCATTTCAAGCCGACAATGAGAGATTACCCAACCTTGAGAAAGTCGAAGGCGAGTGCAGGATCCACGAAGTTCTCTTGAAGCACTTGGTCGCAATCCTCCCAGAATGTGTCATTAGCAGTGGCAGACCGATCTTCGAACCTCAGTTCCAGCTACAAGAATAAAAAAAAAAGAAACACACAAACATCTTCTGTTTCCCGCCTCTGCTTGAGCCACCTACTGATCGTAGAAAGTACAGATTACAGACTATTGGAGAGGAGGACAGACCGTGACGCCCCAAGCGGTTAACTTTACAACTACACGGATGGGGACAACAAATACAATGACTCAGCGCTCGGCCGACATAACCGAACGCGGCGTCAGCGTTCGGCTGGAGTTTGTGTTCTCCGGTGAGGGGGAGGAGGGGCTCTTTTGTTTCCGCTACGGCCTGCATGAACAATGCAGCATGCACGGTCCTAGCTCAGCACTAAAGCCGAAGTGGGTCAAGCTCGCATTCTCTGAGGATAGATCCGGCACTTAACGTCGCTTCGTCGATTGTTAGTATTTTTTACATTAAACTGTGCCCCGCGCTCTATTGTAGAAGATGACATGGACATGCCCATAAGGCCTGTCGGCATGTGCACAGGCCTTGTGTTGAGTAAACACCAAGCGTGGGGAAAACAAACGGGTCAGAGCGCCCCCTATAGTTCGATCTCCTGCCCAATACAGTACACCCTCATTCACTCGAAGTCATAGAAACTAGGAAAAGTCAATTTGAGATAAGCGGAGTTTTGAGATAAGTGAGTTTCGAGACAATGCACTGATCATGCATTGTGTGAAAGGAACCCTTCCAACAATTGCACCAATATCATGACACCCACAAGGCACGGTATGTGGTATGTACGTGGTGCCGTGGGGAGAAAAAATGACTGCAACAAAATTACCAACAAGCAACACACAAAATTTGACAGCAAAACCAAAAAGCAAGAATACAAAAAAAGAAAAGATGAAAGAATTTACCAAAAAAATGAAAGAAAAGGACAAAGAGCGGAAGATAACGTTGAGCGTGAGAGAGAGAGAAACAGCGGCACCAACCGCCAAGCCCTATCGGGAGACAAAAAAAAGTAAGACAACAAATGTCCTTGAGGTGAACGCTGATCTAAGCGTTGCTGCGCTCATGACACGGGACTGTTCTTTTTGTTGTTGTTTTTTTGCGCATTGTCGTGCAGGCACAATGATGCACAATTATTTTTTCTTCTTTTTTGTGGGTTTGTTCTTGGGTCGCTGTTCCTTCGTCAACCAATGTTTCAGCCACCAGTGCATTCTTTGCTGTGACCAGGCTGTACTATTTTTTTTTTTTGTGTGTAATTTTTGTTGTTAAAGGACACATGCAAAGGAAAAAAACATTTTTTTTAAACGGCTTAGATGAAAAAAGGATGCCATAAAACGATTTTACAATGAAGGAAAAAATTTTTAGAGCTATATTTACGGCGCAAAACGAATTTGTAGTTGGCGCCCGCGGGCACCGCGGAAAAGTGGTCCGTATTTATCACGTGACTGGTCTTTATTTATCACGTGGTGCTAGCGCTCTTTCGGAAGCTTCCTATGGCCTCTAAAAGCAACTTATTCATCTTTGTTTGAAGTATAACAAAAAAACCAAGACGAATAAGTAACTTTTAGAGCCCAAAGGAAACTCCTGAAAAAGCGCAAGCAGACGTGATAGACCTGTGCGCCGGTCAGACGACGGCGGCGGCGGCCCGAAGCAGACGAACTTGTGCGGCGGTGGCGACGGCGGCTTGGAGAAACGCGTTGAAGCGGCGTTCGCACAACGCTCAGCGTGCGGCGGCGACGCAGCGCGGCGGCGCGCGGGCCTACCACGTGACCAGCGGCGGCTCCCGCGAGCGCCAACTACAAATTCGTATAGCGCCGTAAATATAGCTCTAAAAATTTTGTTTCTTCGTTGTAAAATCGCTTTACGACATCCTTTTTCCATCTACGCTGTCTAAAAAAAATGTTTTTTTCCTTTGCATGTGTCCTTTAAGTATTTGAGATATCCAAGGTTGGTCTTCGACACTTTTTGAGATAAGTGATGAGTAAATGCATTGTGCCTATGGCAGTTCATTCCACGACAAGGAAATCTTCCCACTTCACCGGTATTTCGGGATAGCCGAGTTCGAGTTAACGAGGGATTACTGTAATTCACAAACTATGCACGTTTGAAGATTAGAATTTTACGTGCAATGCGGACTGTCTACAGGTGTGAACTACATGAAAATATGTATTCTTCCAAATTGCTCATTATGACGAGGAAAGACAAGTTTCGTGAATGACAGAGTATGTTAATGATGACTTATGTATGATACAAGACTCATTGTGAGATAATAGAGCAGGCATTTTTCAAGGTGTGCTGTGTGTGAGAACTTTTCACAAGGAAACTATGCACCAAATGCAAACTATGCACCTGCGGAAACTAAGCACCAAATGCAAAACTATGCGCAGGGTGCGTACTATGCACCAAATGCAAACTATGCACCGGGCAGAAACTGCGCACCAAATGCAAACTATGCACAGGGTGCGTACTATGCACCAGCTACGTGCTATATATGCACCGAATGCAAACTATGCACCAGATGAGGACTATGCATTGGGTGCAGATTATGCACCAGGTGTGGACTATGTACTACATGCAAATTATGCACTAGATGCAAACTGTACGCTAGGTGCAAACAATGCACAAAGTAGGGAATATGCACCAAGTGCAAACTATGCACCGGGTGCAAATTACTCGTCAAAATCTTTTCTTTTTCTTTTTCTCTAAAATTTGCTCGTGCAGACAATACACTGGGTGTGGACTACAGTCTAAAATATGGCAGGCCAGACACAACTCGCGTGGCAGTTACAGACCTGCTGGAGCGCCACGTCCGCTAGTGGCAGTCCCGCCGCCCTAGCCAGCGCCAGCGCCTCCTTGAAACGGCCCGTCTGGTTGAGCTGCGACACCAGTCGTGCCAGGGTGGCTGCCTTTTCACCCGGTTGGCCCCACAACGAGCTCCAGTCAAACTCATGAAGCAGGGACGCCGGACTCAGAGATGCGAGGAGTTTGTGGAGGTGCGGCATCTTATCGCCCCCGTGAAGCTCGTCGCAGAAGGCCGCAAGGGCTGCCAGGTCGAGGTGGGAACGGCACAGGCCAAAAGCGCGTCCCAACAGACGCTGGGAGGTCTCACGTAGCCAAGGCAGAGAGGTCAGGCCGACCCCTGGTGTTGAAGCGGCTTCCATCTGTTGGGAGGAACGAGTGACAGATGAAGCGGGTAATTCGAAAGTTTTAAAGTGCGTAAAATCAAAATGGTAACTGGCTGTGTCTGAAGGGGCTACACTTAACTCGTACCAGGGTCAAAGGTGGTGAAAAAATAAACATGCAAATAACTCGATTTTTAACGAGCATCCAGTTTTTGCAAATTTTGCAACTTGAAATATATTGCGAAAAATCTATCACACCGATATATCACCCCATAGTAACAAATACATAACCTAAAACTCCAAATCACAAAATTTTGTTTGCCTCCCAAATTTTTTGGGAGGCGTGGGAGAAACCCACGCCTCCCAAAATTCGCAAAATAATCGAGCCCTTATAGTATGTGTTCTATTTTGATGTTCCTTTTGCATTTGTTTTGACAAAGGACAGCTAAAGAGAATGGAATGCAATAGATAAAAAACAAAAATGTAGGTCCAAAATACTTTGAACAGCCCATATGCAAAATGCACAGCGCCATTTAGCGGGGTACCAAAAAGCATGCTCCGTCTCACTAGTTGGCTTCAGCGCTGGCAAGGGCCAAGGCGCAAAAGCATAGTTCTGAAGAACCCTTCGTTCACACAAGCACTCGTGCAGAAAGAGCGTCTTCACTACCCTTGCCAGCTACCCAAAGCCAAAATTCGAGCTAAAGTGTGCGTCCACCATGTTGGTTGCAGCGGGAAACCGGCAACCGGCGGGACGGCGGGCACGTACATGCGCAAGAGGAACGTAAAACAGTACTAACCCTCAGCTCGCATGTGTGGGTGAGGATCAATGACAGTGAGCAGTAGGCCTCGATCGTTATCGACAACGTTATGAAATTGACAAACAGCAGACAAATCTCGACGCAACAAAGATGGCAGTGCGCAGAGTGTTGCCAGACGTTCGAACAATTTTGCACATGGTCTACATACAAGACACAAGACATGCACAAGACGATCAGCAGTGACCCATCGAGTGGTGTCACAATGGCTGGTCTGTATGACGATGAGCATTACGTGTAGACACCTTTTAGATGAAATATTAAAATCCAACCAAAAATAAATTTTATAAAAGACCCAGTAGCAAGAGCAAAACATCTAGTGGGATATTTATATGGTCATAGATTACACCACATCCTCTAGCCGCAGCTAATTTTCTTTAGCATTTCATAACATTGCTGCTTATGCAGGAGCTACTGTAGAATACCGTGCATCCGCCCCATTCTACATTAAGCGCCCATTATCAAATTTGTAAGGTCTGAGAAAATACGCACAGAACATTTATATGTAAAATTGATGACCGGACAAGCACCCACCCCCCATTTTTTTCTATTATCTCCAAAGTTTGAGTGGGCGCTTGCCCGGTATTTTACGGTATGTCCCAAGCCAATGAGACAGATTAATTTGCCTATATGACAAGCAAGAGAAACCAGTTCAAGCAACAAGCAGCAGCCAGGGACTTGCCTTGGTGAACTTGCGCTTGAGGCGCTCAAGGCACTCCTCGGCTCGTTTTCGGTTCCGCTCCAGAAAGAATGCGACCAGGAACTCGACGAGTGTGACTAGAGGGCTTCTCTGTTGGTCAAGACACACCAAACCGAACATAAGGTGCTCAGATGAGGTTGCACGAACCAAGCAAAACAGAGTGAACCACAACGAGCAGGTATGTTAGGACCTGAGGTTTTTTCATAGCCTGCACTATTGCTACAAAAGGTGCCATTTATTTCAGTGTAAAGAGTATCAGAGAGCTCAAAAAATTATCTACAGTATTAGAGTGCACAAAAGAGAACTGTCAGTACTTTCCATAGAAAAATTGTATATACTACAACGTGAAGCTAAAAAAATCATGTGAACTCACCGTAAGGTTACTTTAGAAGTAGAATAACTCAGAAAGTAGAGTTACTTTCTAGGGCGAATTGTCTCCCTGACCGTTTGAGTTTCCTACTGTCTCCAATGCCCCTCAGAAAACAAATCACCAAATCACAGAAGAAAGTATTGCTATGGCAGAAACTAAAGTAGTCTGCAGACAGGAGTCATCGAAGGACCGTGGAAGCACAGGAGAGGCCACGGCAGGGTTCCTTTTGGCACATCCAAAAGGCACTTTAAATGCGTAGCATTTATAGGATCTTTGGGGCCTCATGGTGTGACCTCACACCACGATGTCACGTGATGTTACCTTGGGTCATGTCATGAGACTCCACGACGTCATAATAAAGTGCATTCTCTCTCTCCCTTTATAGTGTCACATAACCTCATGGTTTCACGTGACTTCACAGTGTTAAGTAAAAAAAATGATTACTCAAGGGTTTTCTCTCCACGACTCTTCATCGTTCCAGCAGCTCGGTCAGATACCAGCTCTTGCGAGGACCGTGACGTCATTGGCGTGAAGTCACCATCTAGGCTACTCTCTAGGTACATACATGAAAGCAACAAGGGCTAGCCTTTCGATCACAACAAAAGCTCACAGGCTGGAAGAGCTGGAGTCCCAGGAGAAGAGTCCGCAGTCGGCCCCTCTTGACCACCGCCTCCATCGTCTGCTGCAACTCCGCCAAGGTGAATTCGAGGCGGCCGTCTTCGGGCATCTCCGCTTCCTCTCCGCCAGAACAAAGTTTGAGCCACAATGCCAAGCAGCTCCCCAGGGGGGCATCCTGTCCGGGAGCACACATAGTTAACACCCGCTCTTGTAGCCGCACCTTCGAGCTGGTTCACACATTCGGGCTTGAGTGCGACTGAGTGCGTTGCCACAGCTTGTGACATCTTACTACGAGAGAACCCACTGGCATTATCTATCGGCTAGTTTTACGGCAGGAAACTACGAGCCCTCAGAGGCAATCTTGCACCGCGAGCGCATCTGTGTGACTTTGGGATCAAAGGTTCTCGATCCAAAGTGATCTCATAAAACGAGCAACTCATATGACACGAGACTGTGACTCGAGCTCAGTGCAAAGGGTCGGCTCACGGGGCAGCAGCCGGCAATGACGCAGGGTGTCTGGTGCTTCAGGACCACTGCAGCACGCAGCAGGCTCTGCCAGGCCATACCCGAAGACCCAGGCATAGTTCCACCGCTGCAATGGCACTGCAGCATCAGCTCAACGAGGTCCGTCGAGTAGTGCGGTTCTGCGTGCAACCGCAAGAGAGCTCGAATATGCATCCAGCACTAGAGCTGACATTCAAATTTCGGCAGTGTTGGGTAAACTGCATCTAAAGAGTACTAGAAGTAATGTACAAAGTAAGTGAGAGGTCACGCACTTTAAAGGGGTACGGAAACGAAAATTGAAATATTCAAATTTCGATCGGAAATGAGTCAGGCATGACAGATAATAACCGTAAATGATAATCGCACATTTCTATTTTGAACGACTGGCTATATTTTTCGTTCCAAATGTTGCACTCGAGCAAGCGCTCAAAGAGAAGCGAACGGAGAGCGCGATGCGTCATGGGATATTTGGCGCAAACAAAAACAGAAAAAAAAGATTCCCCGCATTCGTGACGTAGCAAGGCAGGCATGGTTATGAGCTTAGGCGTTGGTGGCGTTGTCAGTGCTACGGGGGTGTCAATAGCGTCGACGCGTTACAACCGAGCCTTTCAAAGTGCTCGTGGGGTGACGAGCGTGTGACTGGCCCAAGAAACACGTAGCTTCCACAGCACTGTTAGCTTAGGGGTGAATGGGGTGGGGAAAGCAACTTTTGTCCGAGTTTTGAGCGACGGGCTCATCGAGCAAGAGGGGAGTCCCTCCTTTCAGTCGTCTTGGACTGTTCGGTACAATGTGCAATTTGTGAGTTGAGGAGGAAAGCTAAGAAGGAAAATGTTGAAATTCCAAAGAGCGGCACTGCTCTGATGGAACTTGCTATGTCATGACTATGTACCAAGTTCCCCAACGTTGCTAGGTTACCTCCCAACCAAGCTCCACATGCATCCACCAGTTGCACATTGAAAGATTGTTTAATTAGCGTTAAAATTAGTTTTCTTGTGCCTTTCAACAAAAGACTGGTATTTTTGAGGTTATGCTGCAACATGCAACACATTAAAGCTAAAATATGAGCGCTGGAATTTCGTTTCCGTACCCCTTTAAGTAAAGTAGCAAGTACACCGGGCGCAATGTACTTGAAGTAAAGTGCCGGGCGTTCCTGAGAAAAGAAAACCATGTTTCTTGGCCCGCATAAATAAGCTATATATCGCAGAATGCTCAAATTTCGTGACAATGTGACGCTAGCGGTTGGGATAGGATGCAAAAGTTTGAGAATATGACATTATCTGGATAAAAAGAATAACCAAGGAAGACGAAATTTCTCTATAAGCCCACCTAAGACTCTAAACAAAAACTGACTATGCGGGCACTTGTGGGATTGATATTAGTGAAAAATGCTTGTCAGAAAGAGAATGTTTTCTTTCTCGCTGACAACTTTTTTCCCTCACTGAATTGTATGCTACAGGCACTCACAATGCCATTCCTTTTTTTGGCGATGTTAAACTTAAGTGGACGTCGACTCAGAAAAATCTAGTCTTTCTCAATTATCTTTTGATCCACATAACGTTATGTTCTCAAACTTTTGTGTTCTATCCTAACCACTAGCGTTGCAATCTCACAGAGTTTGAACTTTCTTTGATGCGTACAGATCACTTATGCGGGCCGAGACACACGGTTTGCTTTTCTCGAGAAATTCCTGTAGAATAAATGCAATGTACTTTTAAAGCACAAGTACTTGTTAAGACAATCTTTCACGATGCCCTTTCATACCACTATACAGTATTCTTAAAACTGATATGCATTGCCTTGGGGGTAATCGGGGATGCATCAGTTGTTTTTGGAAATGGTGGCGAATATTGGATAATGTCAAGGCTGTTTTACACTTGCTGATAAACTATTTAAAACAATCAACTTATGAGGCACATTGTATCAGTCTTGTAGCCACCATCACTTCACTCGGAGAAATGACCAGACGACGTCTCGAAACGTGATAGTGCGTTTTCACATGACAATACGCCATTTTTTTGTTAAAGGTTGACGAAACATAATTTTGTGATAAAAATTTAACAAGATCAGATTTGGAGAATGTACTTTGTAGTCGGGAGATGTACTTTCCTCAGAAAGTACCAGACAGATACTTTAAGGAAAGTACAAGAACATACTCAGAGAATGTGCCTCAAGTGAAGTAGAAGTTATCTTAACCTACTTAAAGTAGTACTTTAAACACAAGTGAAGTAGAACTTATCTTAACCTACTTAAAGTAGTACTTTAAGTACAAGTGAAGTAGAAGTTATCTTAACCTACTTAAAGTAGTACTTTAAGTACAATGTACTTAAAGTATATTCCAATGCTGAATTTCAAATTCATTGTCTCTCCAACCAGTTAACTCAAGCTGAGATATTTCTCACGTACACGACAACACTCTTTCCTTTGCTAGCTAGAAGAAAGGCTAATCATCACACGCACATAGTACCGCTTTCATTGTCAAAACCTGCCAAAACCATGATTATTACTGCAATTTACACATCGTTGTGACCTTTAAGGCTGGTTCGCACATTTCCATTTGAGTGCGATTGACTGCACTGCAACCACTTGTCCGACGAGAGACCAACTGGCGCTATCTATAGCAGGGTCTTTAAACACGCGGCCTGCGACTCGCGGGGACGTGGCCCCGAAGTATCAAGTGGCCGCAAACTTCCGTTCCCATGTCTCGGGCGCTATATGCGTCAGAAATAATGGTCTCATGCCGTTAGTTTTTTTACGCTTAAAATGTAGCTCTACACTTTAAACGTGGCCACATATTTTTCTCTATTCCATTTCCTTTGGACTTCTAGAATGTGTGCTAGCTGAATACTCGCGACCTCTCGTTTGGCTTGTAGATGCCTATAAAAGGCAAGGTCTAGAAAGTAAAAGGGTCTTTTGCGTCGCCTCCCACCCGGCGCGTGGTCTGTCTGCCTCTGCCCCTCGGCCACCTCCGCTCCCGCAGCCCTAGTCTCGAGTGGCTAGGTTCTGAACACTACAGAACTCAGTATTGTTTTGCCTTAATTTTGCTTTTGAGCTCTTTCTCACGTTAATCATCCATACAACAATCCCACTGCTATGCTACAAGCGCAAGCTCTTTAGGACTCAGCCTGGCTGTACAAACTCTTGCTCACTAGGAGCCACTTGAAAAGATAAGCTTGGGTTTCTAGGAATCGAAAAATACAATTGAAATGCAGGAATTGCCTAATAATGGTGCGATAAAAATTATCAGGCAGGCAAAAACCGTCGTATGAAACTTTGTTTTTCTTTCAGGAAACATTGAATTTGATAATTCCCAAAAAAATTGGGTGACGCAGAAACGAGTGTGTGCTTGCTCTTTTGTTCCATTGAAAAAAGCAAGTTAGTGGTGCGATGTATTGTCAAATTTTGTCACCAGATCAGGAATGGGCCTAATGTAGTCACATAAGAAAATCGAAGCTAAAGATGCAAGCTCACAAAAAGCGGAGAACACAAGGTCCCTTCTCTAGAAAGTCTCAAATGAACCACTGAGAGACTTGCTGTTCCTTTTTGCTGTTCTCTTTTTGTCCTAAATCATAATCCCCCCCCCCCCCTCTGCATTGGCCCTCTATCTTTAGGGAGTGGAACATGTGGCCCCTGCACTTGAATGAGTTAGAGACCCCTGATCTATAAGGTAGCTCTGGAATACCTTTAATCTCAAAATAATTTATGTACCATTCTTCTGCCGTTTGCTTAAAAACTTCTGACAATGTTATGAGCAAAAATTCTCATAAATAGTGCATAAATTTGATCTCACAAATACTGCAAAACCTGTACCCTAGGTAGCTGATGTGCTGATCTGAAGTTCGGAAGCAGTTACGAGCAGTTGCAACGCGGTCTCGACCACGCTCGAATGCTAATGTGCAGGACACCTTTTGAATGTTGTGAACTTTAGTATGCATAGTGGCAAATTTGAGAGAGTTATTCGGCTCAGCGAGTACTGTATCAGAATGAAACATTTGTTCCCAGTGTTGCACATTTTTGAATACTGTTCCGCAAGGTTTCATAGGTTGCCTAACATGTTCATGTTTTTTAGTAGGTGGCGGGTGAACCAAAGGGACGTTTTGTACTAGAGAAAGGGTAGATGGCAAATAAGGAAGAGTGCCGTGAAGGTAACTGAAGAAAGCAGAAAGAAACGTTTCTTGGAGAGGTGCCTCCATGTAGCGCTCTATCCTCTATCTTCTCTCTATGTGTGCGCTAATATCGTTTGGATGCCTCACTTCTTTCGTAGTAGCATATGTGCAGGCTCAGCTTGAGGCCTAAGATACTAACCACTAATAAGAGCAATAAAAAAATTTTTGTTAAAGACTGGATGTTTATGAGCCTTTGAGCACCCAGCATCATTCAAAATATTTTCCAAAATTTGGAAGAAATGTACCGGTGTTAAGGGCAGCAGCACCGTCGATCCCTTCACTGCTGCACACTGACACAGCATCTTGTTCAGCCGCCGATTCTGTAATGTTACATGAGGATAATGTTGAATACTGTACCTCCTACTAACAGTGATAGATCAGACCTCTAAGGATAACTCTTCCTTGCACCAATCTAGCCATTTTTCTTGCCAAGGACGCTATCACAAACTCATATTGGTGCGTCATACACATGCTCAATGCATGACCAAATTAATGCAATTTCAATCCAGGTGAAAAAGTCAACCAATCATTACTTAGAGCTGCAAAAATAAGGCTGCCTTCTCATCCAAAGGAAGCTGGAGCAATAAAAACATTCACACAACCAGGGGGATGCTATTACTGCTACGCCATCTTTTCAGCAATGCATTAATGCTACACCAATGCATTGCAAAAATGCACCACTTCTTTGCGGTGCAAATGCAAATGTGTCATGTGTCAACAAAAATTATGTCTCAATGTAACTGCGTCCTACACCAAGCTGTTTGACGGCCGATGGCTTTGTGATTCAACATTTCTGCACAAAACTTCAAATGGTCCCACTGACTTGACACATGATCCATTTGCTTTACTGGAAAGATCAATGGGCTGGCTTTGCCTTCTCACTTTAAGAATGAGCAGTTTATTATGCCAGTTACACGGCTACAACTCATGCCCAACAAGTTATGCGACTCACAACATTAACTGTTTTGTTTAAAGGAAGTTTTTTTACACAAGGTTTGACCCCAGTCTGGAGACATTCACCTTCTACATACAGGCAAACCCATTTATAACGAACAGCAGGAAACGCTACGATCAGTTCGATATAGCAAAAAACATTTACAACAAACTTGGACGATGCATTCCTTGTAAGGCGAGAGCCTCTCAACCTCTATCATCACTTCCACCTTGCAATAAAGCGCTAAAAAGTTTTTTTTTTTTTTTTTTTTTAGCTTATCTCCCCTTTTGAATCACTTCTCTTCGTAAACAGCCGCTTTGGAAAGTTTCTCTTTTTTTTTTCCTGTGCGTGCGTGCAGTGTTTTTTGTTCGTGGCTTGAGCTTTTGGAATTTTCTTTCTTTCCTAGAATTTTTCTTGCGGGAAGGGATAGGCTAGAAGACGATTGTTTTCACCTTTTTTGGAAGCCTTCCCGGGGGGGAAAAAGTCCGATATAGCCAATATGTTGTTCGTTATAAAAAGTACTTTTTACATGCATTTTTATTTAAATTTTCCGTGAGTTCGATATTGACAATAATTCGCTGTACGTTGGTTCGTTCTAAACGGGTTTCACTGTATCTAACATTTGGTAAACCAAGCTTTTCTTGAATGGTACATCTAGCTGTTGTCAATACTCAACATGCTCAATGTTCCATTGGTTTAATTATTAACTGAATTCTCCACAATTTCTAAAGGTTACACCCAGGACAAGAACTGCAAGGCTAAGTGAGATGCAACTGCCGAATATGTTCTGCACATTGCATTACTAATTGCACAGGACAAGAACTGCAGGGTAACTGCAGAACACATTCTGCACATAGCTTTAACTGTTCTTGTGCACTGCTACCAGGGAGACTTGGTTATTAAATATATTAACCGCAACATCCAAAGAACTTGAAACCATGCCTGGAACATAATGACATGTAATAAGCAACAGCTAGACACAAGACAGCCGCTGTGGCACCTCAATGCCAGGCATCGAGGTGCAGACTGTGAGGACAAGGATCCACCTTTTTCAGCAGTACGAGTTCGAGAGAAAATGGATTTGGTACCCTCTTTCTACATATCTAGCAGAGAGAAAAGATGGCTTCTTTGTATCAGCTTTGGGCCCAAAGATAATCCAAAATGGGGACAAAAGTGACATTTGGGGAAGCCGTACCTAGGTCAGAGCGTCCCAATGAGCCAAGCTATGTATTTGGATTTGAATTAACCAGAAATAGAACGAATGAACAGGTTGAAGAAGCTAGTGAGCACACTGTTTTCTAGCCACCCCCCCAACCTCAAACCCAGTCGCACACCCAGATGGTGGCACCTACCTATTTGAAGAAACAGGGATTACCTGAAGGGTCGTGCCCCCTAGTGGAGGGATCCTGAAGTCCAATGCGTGCATAAAGAGATGCCCGGAGGTCCCGGCGGTGATGCTTGCTCGGCTGCAGGGAGCTCACTACTGAAAGCGCCTTGCTCAAGTGCTCACGGAGGCAGCCATCTTGGAAGAGCTGCACTAGATCCAGCACCTGCAATAATCCCACGCCACCAAAAATTGGCCACATTGGTACCGTGCTACCCAACCGCATCTATACTCCGTCTCACCATAACTTGGCAATTGGCGAAGGCTACAGACCCCCAGTGAGCAAATGGGCACACTGGAGAGACGCGTGAATACTCTGTCTCGCTAGCTGTATGCAGTGCTGTCGAAGCCATGGGCAGGAGAAAGGAGAAAGCTATTCTCGTATGACTTTTCAGCGAAGGGTGAATCTCCGAGGGGGATGAAAGAAATGCCCGAGACACAGAAAGGAGCTACAGCCCGGGTACACGGGGAGTTCCTTCTTCCCCTGTTCTCCAACTGCTTGGGTTATGCCCTCGCTCTGTAGCACTGGCAAGGGCTGTTATGTGCTTTGCCTCTGTCGGTTCGATAGGCTCGAAGGGGCAGTAGCCTTTGCTCTCTGCGAAATTATGGTGAAACAAAGTAAAGACTTTTACCACGACACCTAAAAAATCTTGTGGGCAGGCTAGAACACTTTCACCCTCCCCTAAATTCAATATGCCACTGGTACTCAAAATTGTTTCAGGTATCTTCCTCTAACAAATTTCCCATAAATACAAGCAATGTTATTTAACTATTCTTTAAAAAGAAAGAAAAAAAAAATCCCGCTATTGCGTGGGGACATGTCCCCGTAGAGTGCTAAAAAAAAAAGGTTCTCACCTGTGTCCTGGGGCACTGAAGGAGCTGTGCCCAGAGCAGAAAGCCGAGCCAGTCGTTCGCAGCTGCGCACAATCGCAGCGCAACGTCGGGCACCTCAAACCCGTGCTCAGTTGCAAACCGTAAAAGCAGCAAGATTCCGCTGCTGCACTTCTCGTCCATCCTACAAAGAAGGAAGGCCGTGAAATGTTCGGCAACAAATTAAACGAGTCAAAAGAACACAGAAGTCCATATAACTAGGGTCAAAAACATTCAGGGGGGTCGTGAGGCGACATCTCAGGACCCGAGGAGTAAAGCACAAAGACCCGAGATGTTTTATTGGTCATGCAGAACAGTTAGCGCAGTATGATGTTTTTGGCGAATTAACTATTTTCATCAAATAAATCAAACATCACACAAAAGATGGCTCATAAAAGTCAACAAAGGCTTCAATAACAAGCACTTTGTTTTCATATTTTATAAAGAAGAAAAGCAAAAGTCTTAAAAATAAAAAAAAAATAAAAACATTGCAACATGCACAATTATTGCTTAGGAAAAAACAGTGCCCCATCGTAAAGAAGTAAATCACGCATTAATTTTATTTATCTATTTACGCGTTAAAATGTGCTCACGAGCTATATGCAAGAACATTTTTATCTGCTTACCTGTAACTACCATCTTTACACGGCTCTAACGTGCACTTTTTCGGCCAAAATCGGTGCCCAAAACTACGTGCGCGTTACAATCGAAACCAAAACCGAAACTCCAATACTCGGTATAAGGTGGCTAGCCCCATCGCCATCGTGACAGTCTGTTTTAGTTGGAGCACAAGGTAAGAAGATCCAAATCAACAACAGGGGTGATGCAAAGTGAAGGGAACGCACGGTGAGAAGGACGCAGCACCCGTCAGCTGTTCTTCTAAAGCAAGAGTTGCCTGCAGCAGGACTTCCTGCATGGCGTCCTTGCTTCGACGAAGCACTCTCAGGATGTCGCCTGAAAGCCAACAGTCATTTCGCGTTCACATCCGGCTCCTCAAACTTTATGTTCAATAGATGTTACGTTTGCACAAGTTAAACAAAAGGATGGTCACAGCACTCGAAACATTATTTTCAGGTTTCAAAATATCATACCGGAGTTAGGGGGATGCAAATACTATTCAGGATTTCAAAGATATCAATCAAACACCATTTGGTGTTCATTTGGCTCGTAATGAATTTGCACCATTTGAAATATTCCAATAGTGCACTGCAGTACAGTGCGACGCCAGCATTTGCAATTCTTTTATTTATTTATTTATTTATTTATTTACATACTACCAATTCCATCTGGGACTGTTGTAGGGTGGCACAAAACGAACACAATACAAAATGACGAAAGATTCGCTACACACACTCAATGAAAGTTGTATGTTAGTCTATGTCGACAGGTGCACTTCAAAGTTGATCAAAAATAATTCTATGGTAGCAGAATTTACGACGTTTTGTGGCAAATTATTCCGTTCATTTATGACTCGGGGGAAGAAAGAGAATTTAAAACAATTATTGCGGGACTGTGCGTTACACACACAGTTAGGAGTTGAACAACAAGTTTTATCGCCAAGTTTGGTTCCCACAGAAGCACATATTCTGCCATACTATTGTAGCAATCACAAAGAAAGGTCCATTCCTAGAAAGCCCCTTATCCAATATCGGGAAATTTGTGCAACGAGGTGGAGAATGCGGGTTTCAACAACAGAAATTTCTCCATTGGAAACAGACCTTTTTCAAAAACCTGTCGAGCAACACTGGCGGTCGCCACTTCTCGGGAACAAAGCGCGTGGTACGGATCCGAGTCGTCGCCAGACGCCGACACAGTGCTCATTCTCGACGCGAGCTGAGTTCAAGACGAACACTGGGGCAGCCCTTGTGTCCAATAGGTGTCAAGAGCAAGTGCCCAAACAACGGCGGACTCAGAAAATTGGCACGGCAACTACTGGATGGCGTGCACTTTTGAAAAATTCGCGGAAGGAAATAAAAAAATCAGGAAGTGCCTGGGGCACTTACTGAGTCGACTTTGGCAGCCAGGAGAAGACGTCAAAGCCAGCCGAGTTGTCCGGAGTGTGACTCGGAAGCTGCGAGTATCCATGCCCAGAATCTCTGCAAAAGCGACACTCGCAGCAACGGCGCGGGCGTCGTGGGGGCGTTGTTCCGCCAGCCGCAAAGCTCGATGACAGGCTGAGCGTATCCTGGCGAAGATTAGTGAAAAATTATGCTCTTAGTGTTGCATCGTTAGTACACTTTCCAGATATTTAGCGAGCAACCTGTGGAAAGGGGTGTTATTTAGGTATTTGTATGAAAACGTATCTGTAGGGGTAGAGAGAAAAGGAGAGTGGGAGAAAATATTTGCACGCTCTAGTACGAATATTTCAGACATTGAAAGTGTTAGCAATGAAAAAATAAGAATGCAGGCAAGCTGGGGATGGCAAACCTCAGCCCGAGTCGAGGCAAAAATAAAGTAACAAATGTATGCGTACCGTCTGAAACTCGGTAGCCAATTTATTTCACAACCTCCCCACGAAATAAATTACGGTAGATGCAGAGTTTGAGACAGTGCATGTGTATACAATCGCTACCTTATCTTTGGCTTGTCTCGGCTTGAAGTATGAAAATCAAAAGTGTGCCGCAATATATAATTTTTTTTTCTTTGATTCCTTGACATTTAGTTGTATTCAAGGAAAAACGCCGGCCTTAAAACTAGCTTTTCTTTTTACTTTCTTTATTTTTCCGGATAGGTTAATAGCAATTGGTTTATATGAGTTCCTTCTCTTGCACTTTTCAAACGTGCGATTAGTTTAAAGATGCATAAATTAGTTTTAAAGATACAAAAATAAAGCCTTATTAGGTCTTTCTAATTACAAGCTGTTAAAGCCCTTTAGAAAAAAAAAAGTTTTTTCTCGAGTGCTAATTAGGGAACAGATAATAGTGAAACTGGGCACCGTGCCGCATTTGCCGCTAGCCGCCAGGCACAACATAGGCGCACGGCGCTGCCTTTTCTGAACTGACCAGACTAGAGAGGCACAACGCCCCAAGAAAGTGACGTAGGAATGCCAGCACTGGTTGCTATGGATACTGCCGTGCAGCGCCCGTCTTCATCGCTCATCTGTCCCCTGCCATATGGATTGGCAGCTAAAGATCTGCCATGCACTATGAAGCTATTTGAATTCCTGTAGAGATACATCATCATATAAAATTGTCTAATCATGCCAAAAACTCTAATTATAAACCATAATACAATCATGTCTCGTTAATATAGATGCCTCCTTTCCCTAGAAGAATCATCCTTAGTGCAAATCGTCCATAATGACGAATCGGGGTCAAAACACACACATCAACAGGCATAGGGGGGAGTTCCCTCCTTCCCCTCTTCTCCAACCCAAGCAGTTGGAGAAGACTGCAGGCAGTAATGATCCGTGTTACGAAAAAGACAAGAGCTCCCACCCATGAGTACCCTCCGTAGCCGTGGTAACATGGAAACGTTTTGTATGTTTTTTGTTGTTAACAAAAAATTATAGGACACTCAAGACTGCTTACGTGTAAGAAGGCGAAAGCATTATACAGTGTAGACCGCATATAACGTATGTCGCGGGAGTCGCGAAAATCCGCACTATAAGCGATACCGCACTATAACCAAAACATCAATTTTTCAGGCCAAAATACATGCCATGAGACAACTTACACTTGTGAAAAGAATTTATTTTATGTTAGATGAAAAATAAAGCTTACTTTGAGGAAAGTCGTTATTTCACCTGACTAGTACAGTTCTGTCTCAAGTGTGTTACACATTTTGAAAGAAATGAGCAGCTTTTGCCTGGCGCAGCCTTTTAACGGCGTCGCGGGTTGCGGACGGACGTTGAGAGCGTTCAGGATTGCTAACCCTAATCACTTTTCTCCGGAGATGAAAACGCGTGAAAATTCGCATCCTTCACACGGTACGCGCCAGTAATACCTTGAACTTGAGCGCACGCATGAAATGCGCCAAATAAGAAATCCGGGCGATGTTCGAGGACAAAAATGCTTAGAAATCACCACTGTAGTCGAAGTAAACAAACACGACGACACGGGCGTTTCTTTCTGCCGTCTTGAGAGCGCCGCCACGACATCGCCGCACGAGTAGGTGGATCTTCCCTTCTAGTACGTGCTGGGTTATCATAGCGACACAACGAAAATTCACAGTCAAGGATAGCGCTTTTACGCGGAACGATGAGATGAACGCCGTCGACGACGACGATCACAACCGACGCCGTGTTCGCGGATAGAAGCAGCCGACCCGCGACCGGCATGTAACGCGCGCAACACTTCTCCTCGACCTGCGATTGGTCTGTCGCTGCGGTTGTTTGTTTCCAACGCAGCGGAGGGACGCACGCACGTGAACGACACGTGCGTGCGTCCCTCCGTCGGTATGGCAACTGAAGCCTTTCGCTTCTTCCCGCTTCTTCGAGCAACTCGGCTCTGGCGCAACTGCCACGCGAGTGCCGTTTGCTGCTCGCGCCGTCAGCGCCGTTATCTAGTGTCGCTCAGGGAAGCGCGCTCGCTGCTCCGGTCGTCGGCGCGGCCGGCGGGCTGTGCCAGAAACCGCACTATAACCGGTATTTCCCTTCGCGCGCCTGCATTTTAAGCGGTATGTAATTACATGGAGTTCTATGGGAGGCGAACCGGTGGTTTAAAAAAACCGCGTTATACCCGGTCCCGCACTATAAGCGGTTACGTTGTAAGTGGTCTATACTGTAGCTTACAGGAGAAATGTTTTTGAGTAATGTTTCTACACGTATTAAAGTTAAGGACGACGTCCTGGAGATCGATGCCAAGTATGATGTCTAGGACGACCTCTAGGACGACGTCCTGGAGATCGATGCCAAGTATGATGTCTAGGACGACCTCTAGGACGACGCTGAGGACGATCTCTCGGATGATGTCTAGGATGACGTCAAAGACGACGTCAACAATGACGTCTAGGACGACGTTGAGGATGACGTCCTAGAGGACGCACCCTCAATTAAGCGTGAGTGTAAGTGGTGCTTGCTGGATGATACATTTTTATGGCCATCTTTTGGGCACAACGCCGCTTTTTCGCGTGATGAGACAAGTTAGGTCGTTCTAGAGGTCTAGGATGACCTCAAGGACAACGCCAAGGACAGCGTCGTCCTTGAGTGTACGATTGAGCAGCGTGTGCAGTTCAATCGTATTTTTATGGCCATATACGCCGCTTTTTCGCTCAATGAGACAAGTTAGGCTTTCATCTTAAAACATCTTTCGGTGCGCAGGTCTTATCGCAAGAACTGCAAAGGACGTCCGGGTGCACACTGTTACCTCTTGGGTTCACTGATATCTCAGGGATGTTTCTACAGTAAAACCCGTTTAGAACGAACCCACATACAGCGAATTATTGTCGATATCGAACTCGCGGAAAGTTTTAATAAAAATGCATGTAAAAAGTACTTATTATAACGAACAACACATTGATAATATCAAACTTGTCCCCTCGGAAATGCTTCCAAAACCGCGCATACAATCGTCTTCTAGCTTGTCTCTCCCCCACCGACTCACCCCCCCCCCCCCCCCAAAAAAAAAAAGAAAATAGGAAAGAAAGAAAATTTTTAAAACTGAAGCCACAAACAAAATTGAGCAAAGAGAAGCGGTCCGGAAGGGGAGATAAGCTAAAATAACAAAATCTGCACGCATGCAAAAAAAAAAAAAATTTAGCGCGTTGTTACTAGGCAGAGGCGAACAAATGAGAAAGAAAGAGAATCTCTCGCCTTACAACGAACCCATCGGGAAAGTTCGTTGTAACTAATTTTTGCTATATCGAACTACTTACTATATTGAACTGATCGTAGCATTTCCTGTCGTTCGTTATAAACGGGTTTGACTGTAGACCTTTTTTCTTTTTCAGAACTGGGGTATTGTTTTTTATAATGAGACAAAAAGGCCTGTATTTAATCAATTTGACCCCAAAAATAGGTGTCCATGGTCTAGACTGCGGGTGTCTAAATTAGCGGGGCAAAATTGCATAAGAAAAAATTGGTCGCCGAAAATTTCTTCTAAATGCTAATCATGTTTTATCATATTAACCCTTTTCCTACAATGGAATACCTGGGTTCGTCCATACTGTTTGTACTGCTCCCCCGAAGACGAGCTGGGCTCGTCCACGTTGATTCGGGCTACAATACGCTACCAAAGACGAACTGGGCTAGTCCACGTGTTTCTAGTTAGCTTTGCCTTCGATAGATGGCACTTCACGGAAAATAAAAACCATGTAGATCTCTGAAGTTGGCAGAAAAGCGTTCCAACACAGGCAAAAGGGGATTTAAAAATGGCGGCTTCAACTTCTGGTCGCTGCGTTCATAGTGACAATTTTGACTCAATATTGGGGCAAAAACAAAGATACTGTGACGTCTCTTCAGATTTGAAAGTCGAGGAAATGAATCTCTCATCAAACAGCAAGAGCGAAGCAACTACGTTATTGGATTCTAGTTCAGAGAACTCCGATAGGGATCAAGACATTGTGTCGGCGTGTCGGCATTGGACTAGAATCAACGTAAAAAATCCCTCTCCACGCTTTGCCTTTACTTTGCGTGCAAGGTGATGTGAACTGTCTGTGGTACTGCTACGCTTGGGCTGAACGTCCGTGTGCAAGGCGATGTGAACTCTCTGCGGTAATACAGTGAAGCCGAGCTTTAGTCCGCTTTTCTTTTGCAGTGTGTTCAAAGATTTCTCATATACGTAATAAAATTTTTGGCATTTGGTTTTAGCCTTTGTATTGCATATTAAATTTATAGGGCACAAAAAAAAAATCTGCATTTTCAAATTGTTTTTTTTTTTTTTTTTTTTTTTTGTGGTAGGCAATATACAGGCTCCATAATGAGTCTTGAGTGCAATTAACAGGCTGATTCATACAGTCAAACCCGACTATGTCAAACCCGTTTACATCGAATTATCCCTTATATTGAACAATATTTGTGCACAGTAATGTTAGTAATAATATAAAGCAAAAACTATGGTTACATCGAACAAAAACAGCAGCCGCTGCCGATATATCGAACTGCCAAGAGCGCCGTTTTGCTCTGCAAGCTGGCTTTCCCCCAAAACGAGCGGGCACATTGGGGGGAAACCAGCTTAAAGAGCCCGCTGGCTTTTTTTTTTTCTTTCTTTCCGAGCGGCCGAGTTGATTTGGAAGAAAAAAAAAATCTCTTTTGCGGATAGAGAAGGGCGAGGGTGCTCCGTGCTTTCTCTCCCCGCCACGTCCGGCGGTTGACGCGGCCGCCCGGAAGCAAAAAAAGCCAGCTTGCTCTGCTTGCTGGCTTTCATCCAACGCAGCTGCCTGCATTAGAGGAAAGCCAACTTGCAGAGCAAAACGGCACTCTGCAAGAGAAGGTGCTCCTGCTCGGACGTGCTCCGTGCTCTCCGCATAGTTCAGTGCTAATGCGCAAATATAAAAGGCAGCGGCATCGGCATTTTGGAGTCCGTCGATAGCGTAAAAAAATATTGTTATCGCGGATGCAACGAAAAAAAAAGCTGCAGAAGATGCAAGACTATTTCATTGTGTAATATGTCAACAGAAAGTGGATTTTTGAGTCAAATTCATTAAAACTTTTATATCGAATTACCCGTTCTATCGAACTGGTAAACGTTTTTTCGTGAGTTCAATATAAACGGGTTTGACTCGGTAGTACATTTGAAAACAGTCCTTGTGTTCTGTGATGTGCTTCACGTCGGCGCACTCGGGAGAAGGTGATGTGAATAACAAACTCGGCTAAAAAAATGTTGCAGAATTTCTAAATGTTTTGCATTCTGTGACAAAACCCAGTTTGTCATAACTCCCTTTCCATTCTATCCCATTCCACCTGTCCTGACTGAACGGTGTGTAAGCAAATAGAAACAGCAGAGGAAGCTGAGAGTTCTGTCACCTTTTGGTGGAGAGAGATCCGTGCAGAAGGAGCTCCTGCGCGAGGAACTTGAAGGCAGCCGCACAGGGGCGCCCCTTGTGGAGGTAGTAGGGGAAGCTGAGCTCCTCCCGCAGCCCAAACTTGTCGCGCAGGGACGGCAGGGAGAAGTGGGGCATCAGCGACCCGCCAGAGTCCACTGCAAGCACCAAGCCCCGCCCATTTCCTTTGTGCAGCAATTCAAATTTGGGGGTTTTCACTTGCTGAACCAACGAAGAGCATCTGGCGTGCCCCAGCAGAGGAATTCATTTCAACACTTCCCCGAGATCTTTCGATGTGCAACCAAAATCTCGGTTACACGAGCGCCTTCTCCGTGGTATCGTCCTCCGTCAGATTGCGGGCAACTCGGACAGTATTCGGACCTGCTACCTGGGGACTCGTCGGCCGGCGCTCTACCTCAGAGACACCGAGGCGGCAGAATTGCGATGGTGAACAAGTCTATGAACTCTCGCGAGTTCGTGACACGGTAGTAAATGATTTTGGAGACTCGATGAGTTCATAATGTGATGGCAAACAACTTCGTCAACTTTGTGTTGGTGGGGACATGATGGGATGAGTTTCTTGCATAGTTAAACTTCGTAAAGTGAAGGGGTGTGGCTTTTCAATGTCGTTGTGTCTTGCGATGTGATTGCGAACAAATCTTTGAGAGTGAGATTTGGTGGTGCGACGGTAAACGTGTGCATACCAAAATTCTGACCCATTGGATCTGCTATGCAATGTGCTGTTTCAAGAACCTAACTCTTGTCGTGACACCTCGTGTTTATGAAGGGGGGAATTCATGGCCGAATTTGTTGGTGCACCCAGCTTGGAGCACGTTCAGCGAAAGCTTCCACTACAGAAGCTAGGCATCCTAAGTTTAATCTCCGCCCCTGTCCGTTTCTACCTGGGTGAGCACTGTACTGGCGTGCGATAATGTATCTCTATGTACTATGGGGTGCCTGCTGAAGACACCAGGCTAGCGGTCATACTGCATTGGCTAAATTTCTCGTATACAATTGAACCTCGATTTACCAAAGTCGTCTTTTGAGCGAAAAATTTTGTTAAATTGCGAATTTCGTTGGACCGAGGTTTGTTTTTAGCATTGCTGTTGGTCTTCCAGGCCATCGAAACCCTCCAATTGCCTCACATCTTGCAAGTGAGAGTTCACAAATAAGATTCCACTACAAAATGTGGCAGTAATAGAAGAATGCAATTCATCAACCTTCATATTGTATGGTTATGGGAGCAGTGCCTAGCACCACAGGAGAGTATGCAGTCGGAAAAGCAACTGCAGTCAGGAAAGCAATCACTGGTACTTATAGTAGCCATAATGCTGTCTTTCAACTTCAAAATCGTAAAAAGCGAAATCTGCGAAATTTCACACTTTTCGGCAAACCGTCTTTTTCTTTTCAGAATTCGTCACTTCAGCGATTATTTTCGCCTTAATGTCGAGAAACAGAACTTTCCTTTTGCGCGGTGTACCACTCATTGTTACAAAAAGGACACAACCACTTCCAGCACAACACTCGAGGCACGAAACAATTTTTGTTGTTGCAGACGCGCAAAAGCTCTAGTTCGTTGGGCATAGGTGCATGTAGTGCCAGACTTTTTTTTTTTTTTTTCCTTGAGAGGCAGAGGCTACAAGGCCACTCATTATTATCATCACCACCACCACCGGTGTGTACTTTTTTTTATTTTGTAAAAAAGATAATGAATGCACATTTTTATACTTAGTTTTAACAATAAGGTTTGTTTTTGTTACTTTTTTTTCTCCTGGAGGTTGCCAGTATGTGGATGTGCGATTTCCAAAGACCTCGTTAAATTGAAACTGTGGCGCAAAAGTACTTTGCTAAATCGAGAGATAAAATACACTGTCCTCAATGGAAGCAAGATAGGGAGACGAAAAAAATTGTAGAGCCCTTCCACTTCACGTGAAGATGGAGGACCAGCAAAGCTGTTTTAATGCGAAAGCATTAACTGTCTCATGGAGCGAGCCAATGTCATCAGCTTAGAAACCACGCCCAACGGCTCTTTTACACCGCCTCAATCCCATTGGCTAGCACGCATCCACAGCCAACGGCACCTTTTACACCGCTGCAATCCCATTGGCTAGCGCGCGTCGATCATGCTCCCATTCGCCGGACATGCAGCACAATGGGGTGGCCGGTCGTTGAAACTGACGCTGCGCATCAATTTCAACGACCGGTCACCTTATAGCACTGCGTATCCGTCAGTGCCCAGTCAGCGCGCCAACACGCGTAGAGCAAGATTGATGTACATGCTTTCGCATTCACAACTCATAAGAAGTGCTTAGGTGTACCTCAATCTTTTTTTACGACATCTAGGACAATGCCTAGAGGACGACGTCTAGGACGACCTTGAGGATGACGCCTAGAGGATGACCTCGAGGATGACGCCTAGAGGACGACATCAAGCACAACCTCGAGGATGACTTCTAGGAAGACCTCAAGGACACCGCCTAGAGGACTATGTCTAGGACGACTTCTAGGATGAAATCCATGACGACGCCTAGGATGACCTCTCGGACGACCTCAATGACGACTTCTAGGACGACCTGGAGTATGACTTCTAGGACGACTTCAAGGACAACGTCTAGGACGACCACTCGAACGATCTCAAGGATGAGCTCGAGGACGACTTCTAAAACGACGCCTAGGACAACCTCTTGAATGACCTCAAGGACTTCCAGGACGACCTCGAGGATGACATTGAGAGGACAACCTCTCGGACAACCTCAAGGACGACTTCTAATAGACCTCGAGGACGATGCCTAAAGATTATAACAGGGGATCAGGACCTCACTATCTAATAATTCCAAGGAAGGCTGACTCACGCTGGTTGGCCCCTCTTTTTATTTTTATTTATTCCTACTTGCCACAACCAATTCTGTCAACATCCACGGACGCATTTTTTCCCAGAAGATCCTAGCACATAACAGCTTCGCTGTAAAATACTGTTAAATCGCGAATTTCGTTAGATTGGGATTCGTTAGATCAAGGTTCAACTGTACAGCGTAAACCAGTGTCACCACGCCTCAAAGCCATACCTACCTTACACAGTCAAAACATGAATGTCTAATTTGCTTTGCTCCGACTCACCCTGACAGGCGTTGGTGGTCTGCCAGGCAAACAGGCCCGCTATCTCAAAGGGGGTTCCTTTCTGCAGCAGCTGGTACAGAGAGATGTCCTGGAGGTCAGCACCCACAACAGCCGGCTCCAATATCCTCGGCACTGCGCTGCCCTTTGCTGGCAGGCTTCGAGCCAAGGATACAATGGCACGCTCTGCCTTCGCAACATCTGAGTAGTGCAAATAGACATGATGAAACACCGGTATAATATACCGTATTCCAAACGCTTCTTGTAAAATGTAAGTACCCAAAGAAATTACCTTCGAAATTAGCATAGTCGAGTTTATCTGAGACTACACTTTAGAGAGCAAGATTAAGGTTCGAAAAAGTGTGAATAACAACAGAGATTGGTTTAACGTATAGTAAGATTAACCTTCAGAGAAATCTGAATAATAAAAGAGATCAGCTTAACATAGTAAGAGCAACGTTCAGAGAAATGCAAGTAAGAACAGAGATTGGTTTAACATAGTAAGATTAATGTTCAGAGAAATCATTATTAACAACAGAGACCTTATTAACACAGATGTTTGGGAAAGAGGCTTCCTTTCTTCAAATAAAGGGATGACTCTTTCCAAAATTCTTTTAGTGGATTTAATATTTTTGGGGAGCTAGTATTTGATGAAATGCAGATAGAAAATATTATTTATACTATTCAGAAAATTGCACGAAAGAGTCCACTTCATTTTCCCATTTATATTGCATCAAAGAATCGCATCAAAAAAAGATATTACAGCTCACCAGATTAATTCTTCTTTTAATTCTTCCAGCTCATTCTATAGTGGACATATGGATGAGGACTCGCATACTTCACGCAATATATGCATGTTCAAAAACGTAAATCAAAACCTTGTCGCCGACACAAAACACACTTTTCAGCCAAGACACTTCCAATACATTAGCAAGTGCATGTTCCCAATATCGAATTCTTCAGTAAATTAGCAAGTGCATGTTCCCACTATCGAATTTATCTTCAGTACATTAACAAGTGCTTGTTCCCAATATTCGACCCATCTCTATTACATTAGTAAGTGCATGTTCCCCATATTGGACCCATCTCAAGTGCATTAACAAGTGTGTGTTTTTAATATCGGACCCATCTCCAGTACATTAGCAAGTGCAAGTTACCAATATCGAACCAGACTAGCAAGTTTGAAAGAGAAACCTTGTGGGTCGTCCAGCCACTGCCAGTGATCCCGAAGTGCCTGGACAAAGCAGCCGTTGCACTGGGGGCACAGTGGAGGAAGCTCCGGCCTGGAAAAGGCACATTCACCAAAGGCACACAACCTGTAGCGTTGGTTATCTCGAAAAAAGTATTACTAACCTTCTAGTCAACAAAGTCGTCACACATAAAAGAAACAATTTCCCTTCGGCAGACTGTTGAAAGTCTGTATGGTTTGTGCTAGCAATATATGAATGACACAATCAACACATCTCACATTACCTCCGAAATTTGACAGTATTGACAACAGTGAGATTATTCACAGGTTGGCATTAGAGTAAGATGTAGCACAAAGTGATTCCTCTGCTGCAATCCCTTGGCAGCCATCTTGGAAATGCAAGATATTTTATTTTACTTAGAGGTAGTGTACATTTTTAAAGCTTACAATAATTCGAAAATTCTGTTTGCTATTCAATTAATTTGGAGCACACTTTTACTGTTGGGGGATCAGTGGCCGGGTGCGCTAGCGCACAGCAGCTCAGAGCACGTGGAGCGAAAGCTCACGCTGTATAACCCAGGGACCCTGGGTTCAATCCCCAGCCCTGCCCGTTTCGATCTGGATCAGCATTGTACCGGCGTGCAGTCGTGTATCACTGCTTTGTGATGCGCGTTAAAGACCCAATGCTAGAGGTTGTATTGCACTGGCTAAATTTATCATCTACAGCTTGAAGACAAGTCGCCCTCTGAGGCAGACTAAGTTCTAGGCTATATAAACATACACGCAACCCCCCCCCCCCCCACACACACGCACTTGTACTGTTAGAAATATATTCGAGTTCTACGAATATTATGACGTCTACAGAATTAGCCATTTGCTTGCATCAAGCTTCACTGCTTCGCACCAGCCCTTCGCGTCAAGCTTCACTGCCTTTCACCGGTGTGTTAGGAGAAACGACTTCACTGCCTTTTACCGGTTTTACCGTTCACACTCTTGCGACCGACTACGACAGAGAGACGAGATCTCTTAAAACTTCTTAAATGTTTTTAGAATGAGGGAACACACTGGCATTGTGGCGCCATCTATGCGGTGACCCTGGAACTGGATTTCACAAGAGCGAAGGTTTTGCGGGATTTCCGAGGTCAAATGTGCGTAATACCCATAAAAAAGCTTGTTTATAACATTGACAAAACTTTTTCGAGCCAAGAAAGAAAGGATAAAGCGCGAGAAATAAAAAACAATATGCCGGACCGCAGAGTTTACACTGCTTCCCAATAGATGGCACCAGTGTGTTCTCTGGTTTAAGAAGTTTTTAGGAACCCAGGTTTAAGAGGTCGCAAGAGTGTGAATGGACCTTTAGGAGAAACGGAAGGCCTGCTACCACTTCGGTTGGCTCAAGGTTTCAGAAATTTGCTGGCTAGAGTAGGTCAGCTTCCTCTGGCAATGATTACTGTTCAATTTCTGATTTTAAACAAAAGTGCAAGAAAAAAAATTATCATGCTATATATGCAAATTAATAAAGGAGTTATCCCTTTCCTTGCCATGCATGTATCTGAAATGTTTCTCACGTAATAAAACAATTCCTTTTCATAGGTATGTTTTTTAGAAATTATTTCTAGCCATGATTTCTTTCAGTCAGTTCATATTAAAAGCAATATACGGTACCCATATTCAAAAATTTGCTATTTAATTTGCAGTGAAGTTTCAATATCTATATTTGATTTACAATCATAGATTTGATATTCACATACCTCTACTTTTTATATTTTATACAAATATAAACCTATAAATATAGAACTGTCAGCCTATTTCTATTTCATTTGGAGCCAGCAAGGGACAAATTTCATGATTCAGCTGGGTCAAGCTGCACCAGTTCCATAATCCAGCTCGGACCAGCTGAAACCAGTTTCATAATCCAGCTGGAACCAGAAGGGGCCAGTTCCCTAATACAGCTGGATCCAACTGAGAACCAAGCTGAATCCAGCTGGGACCAGTTTCATAGCTCAGCTATATCCAACTGGGACCAGTTCTACAATTCAGCTGGACCTAGTTGGGACCAATGGACAATTTTCTAGCAACGGACGCCGTCTGTGGAGTGGTCTGCAAACTACAAATGAAGGGCATCCCGACATGCCTCTGCCCATCAGAACACGCTGGCATTGTACTGTTATATCGGTTTCACTGCCTCTTACACCCCATACTACCGATACTCCAAAAAGAATCGTCAAAATAGACGAAATATACACACAAAGATAGGTGCCGACAATGTTGGTCGTACCCGCCGACAATGGTGACAGCTTTAAGCAAGGCCAAGGGAGAGGGTGTAAGCATGCGCAGAGGATTACTAAGAAAAGGTTCGTCGATCTAGATGGATCTAGTAGGGACTGGTTCCATAATCAAGTAGGGACCAGTTCCATAATCAAACTCGAGACAAACAAAGTTTCGCACGGATTATTTTTAAGATTTATATTTAAAAATATGTCCACATTCGCGCAATCGCGTCAACTGAAGTGCCCATTCCTGGCGAGCATGACCTACCTGAGGTCCGTGAGAAACAGGTACAGGAAGTGGTGCAGCCTTTCCCGGAGGCAGTAGTGCACCATGCGGTGCACAAAGTCCTCGGGGGTCACGGGGCCGTGGCAGACCCTGGCCAGCTGTGAGGGCTTCAGGCCAGACTCCCCCATGAGACCCAAAAGGTCCCCAAAGTCCTCCAGAACGTCCTCGTGTATCTGGCCACCCCTGCAGCGTAACAGAAGCAACGTCGACGGAGGGACTTGCAGAAGGCACGTCCATCCGCTCTTGTGAACCCTCACCCTGTCTCAATTGGCGTGGGTATTTCGCTAGTGTTGTAATGTGTTGTCCCATGTGCGTGCGCCAGTTTCAGAATCCACAAACTTCGAATGATGCTCCAAAGCTCGAGCATCCCAAAAGGGACTACGTATAGTCAAACGCGTCTTTGACCGAAATTACACCCGACACCGCCATAGTTGCAAACTTTTCTGCTAGCTCAGACCCCTCTGGTTTCCCACTAGTGTGACAAAGAAGCCTCACATGATGGGGTAGTTTGTCAAAACTGGTTTCCATAGAAGTTTACCCGACAACAAACCCTAGTGGCACGTACCGTTGGCCCGAGTTCTGAATGGCAGGTATGGCTAGAGATCTCACCTTGCCAGCGCAGCCAACAGCAGACGATGCACGTGCGACATGCAGGAGGACGCCTCAAGAGCTTCGCTGGGAAGTGGACCCGACAGGGCACGCTCCAGATGGCCGTGCTCCAGAAGTAGACGCCAATTGTCGCCTCCAAGCTCTTGCATATCTGAATGTGGCGATAACAATGAGAAAAAAATGTAGAACCCTTCCACTTCTTGTGAAGATGGAGGACCAGCGAAGCTGTTATCTTCACGACATCTAGGATGATGCCTAAAGGACGTCTAGGACGACCTCAAGGACGACTTCCTGGACGACCTCAAGGACAACGCCTAGAGGATGATGTCTAGGATGACTTCAAGGACGACTTCTAGGACAACCTTGGAACGACCTCGAGGACGATGCCTAAAGGAAGACGCCTAGCACGACCTCAGGGAAGACGTCTAAGACGACGTCTAGGACGACCTCAAGGACGTCTAGGATGACATCGAGGACGACCTCAAGGACGATCTCAAGGACGACCTCAAGGATGACTTCTAGGACGACCTCGAAGACAACTTCTAGGATGACGCCTAGAAAAATTCAGCCTTTCCACTCTGGTGAAAACCAAAGTGGAAAGGCTGGAAAGGTTACCACCATCTATGAGTGACAGCGGCAACCAGACAACTGGCAAGCCGGTTGTCTGGTTGCCGCCATCACTCATAAATGGCGGTAGCTGTCCGGAGTTTTGTGTTGACATCTGTTTGCCCGCAGAAACAATACTGGGGAAACAAGCCCTTAACAGCTCCGCTGTAAAACTAACGAATGAACACATGATGATAATTGGGAGCTTGTTATTTGGTGTGGAAAACCAGTGCAAGGTTTTGGTACTGTCACACCCAAAAACAAGCCCAATCCTAAGTACAGTAATGCAGCAAGAAATTCAGTTAGGTAGCTTAGCCCAGCTAAAAATTCCCATTAAATCCAATTGGAATTCCAACTGGTTTTAACTGGAACATATTGGTTTTAGTGGGCTCCAACTGGGAGCACACTGGCCAATGGGTCTCACCAATTGGAATTATTTTCCCACTTGGAACCCGAAAGGGTTCCAAATGGTTCCCGTTGGTTCCCATTGGCAGTGACCAACTGGACAAGACACTTTTTGTGTCTTGTCCAGTAGGACAAGACACAAAAAGTGTCTTGTCCTACTGGACTTACATCTTCAGTACACTGTTGACAGTCCAGAAGCTATTAGATATATTTGAGATGACATTCTCTGACCTCGGCTGAGACAAGTTGTTCACCTCCAGAGGATTTGCTAAATTTAGATAGAGCTCCTGATGGGGAGAATGTGTAACTTCTGAAGCGAACACATTAACTTATTGCAAAAGTATGCATGGCACAAGTAAAAAAAAATATGAGAAATACGATAAGCTAAGAAAGACAACTGTTGTAGAATGCAACAGTCCAGTAAAATAGTGAACTCATCTATGCACGCACAAAAGAAAGCCTTTGCCGAGATTTATCACAAATCTGATCCCATCTTCAGTTCCTGTCCACAGGAACTATAAAATAGCTCATGTGCTTGCATGTATATGCCCTCCTTTTACTTGTCTCAGTCCCACTGCATGTTAGTAGCACCACAGTTTAATCAGTATTATGGGAAACCAACCAGCCCATTGTCAAATTTCGTTTGCTTCTAAGAACTGTGGATTCAGTGCCCGCACTATTATGAAAAGAGCTGGAACAAAAGCAACAAACTCTACAGACCCAGGAGAGGCGAGCCGGCACGCCCCTCGGCCAAAACTCTGTCCAAGGTGTCGGCGTCCCAGTAATGAAGCCAGGCAGGCGCCACTCGGAAATAGGGCGACTCGTCCAGGAGCCAAGTGTCGCCACCTGCCTTCGGTGCCTGCCTTGGTGGCAACTCCGCCGGTTTCAATACCGCCACAACAAGCTCAGAAGCCTGTGGAGTGACCAACCTAAGCTGCGCTCTGAAAAAAAAAAAAAAAAAAAAAAACACCGGCAATTAATAAGTTCAATTAAAATGCACAGACTGCGCGAGCATGTCTAGAAAACAAAATACAGTAAAACCTCGTTATAACAAATTTGAAGGAGCGGTCGTAATTATTTCGTTATAACCATTAGTTTGTTATAGCCAATGTCCATTTCTTCCCACTATAAGCAAGCAAGGGGAATTATGATTGCTTTGTTACATCCATTATTTTGTCATATCCCATTTTGTTATAACGAGGTTTTACTGTAAATAAATGGGATTGTCAAAACCTATTCTTCATAGCTTGCAAGCTACAACAGCTTATAGTCATATCTTGTCCCAGGAAAGATAGGGTAACTATAAAATTATTTCACTGCGAGTTAGTAACTTATTGCTTTGTTCTTACCCATTTTAAGATATCACTATTGCCAATTCGGGAAGTGCCACCTTTGTTCCAATACACACAAAAACACCAAAACTTAAAATAATGAAATTCATCACTGACATACAGTGAAACCCATTTAGACCGAACCCACATACAGCGAATTATTGTCGATGTTGAACTCGCGAAAAATTTAAATAAAAATGCATGTAAAAAGTACATTTTATAACGAACAACATATTGGCTATATCAAACTTTCTCCCCCCCCCGGGAAGGCTTTCAAAAATGTGCAAACAATCATCTTCTAGCCCGTCCCTTTCTGCAAAAAAGTATCTAGGAAAGAAAGAAAATTTTAAAAGCTCAAGCCACAAACAAAATTGACGAAGAGAAGCAATTCAGAAGGGCAGAAGCTTAAAAAAAAAAATACTGCACGCACACACAGAAAAAAAAAGAACTTCATCCCAAAGCGGTTGCCTATGAAGAGAAGTGATTCAGAAGGGAAGATAAGCTAAAAAAACACTCTCTGCACGCATGCAAAAAAAAAAAAAAAACTTTTTAGCACTTTTTTACAAGATGGAAGCGAAGAAATAAGAGCGAAAGAGAAGCTCTCGCCTTACAACGAACGCATTGTGGAAGTTTGTTGTAAATGGTTTTTGCTATATCGAACTACTTGTTATATTGAACTGATCGTAGCGTTTCCTGCTGTTCGTTATAAACGGGTTTGACTGTACATAATGAGAAAAGTAAAGGGTGCTTAGGAGACAAGAGATTGCCGTTTATCACACCGCCAAAATAAACTGCAATGCCCAATGCTCAGTCTGTGCACAGATGTAGCGCTAGTGCTAGGAGTTTCCTAACATACCGTTATCCGACTCAAAATTCAAACGACTTTATGACACCTTCAATGAGTAACTGGTGGCTGATGATACCCAGAAATACAAGGAGGTGAGGGGCACTTGCTACTAAACCAATCAGAAAACGGTATGTTCTGAAACTTTGGCATCTGGTCTCAACTGCTAGTGCTATATTTGGGCAAAGAAGACCAAGTGTGTGGCAATGTGTAGTTTAATTTTTACTCGAGAAAAATTAGTGCTCTCTGACTAGACGATGCCAGCATGCTGCATCCAATCCAAGTCAAAAACGTCGGTCTGAACTCCTCCACGGCGCTCACAATGCCCACAGAGCTTAATGCTCACCGCTTCTGCGAGGCCAACCAGGATGCCTGTCCCACATCTTCCTGGGGAAAACACTCTTCGATGGCCGCCACTTTGTCGAGAAGACTGGAGTCCGCCTCGGTCAGGACCGCCATCCTCACCAGCTCCCGTCTCAGCACCCGCCGAATGCGCCGGTCGCGCGACAGGAGGAGCAGCTCCCGCATCTTAACTCTGGCAAAGAACCCCTGAAGTCCCCAAAACGGAGTGTTCAAATTGCACGGTTTCGTACTAGAGGGTGTCACACTATGAACTGTCACACGCTAGGGAAGGGGCCTCAAACACGCTGCCCGCAGACAAGCGGCTGCGAACTCCCGTTCTTATGGATCGAATGCTAGAAATGGCATGTGCCATAATGATCTCCTGTCGCCGATTTCTTTCTGCTCGAAACATAGCTTTGCTCTTATAACGCATTCACATGCTTTATGCTTTTTTGCTCTCATTTGCCTCGTGCTTCGTTTTATTCTTTGCTTCCCAACTTTGAAAGCGACAGCTTTACAGGCAGCACTTTGCAGAGATTTAGAGCTCATCAGCTGTCGTCGCCGCTGTGGTAAAGATCATTCTTCTCTCCCCTCTTGGCGAGAGGAGGGGGAAGTCGAGTCTTCCCGTCGGCCGCGTAACGAGAAAAAAGAGGGGAGCCCTGGCGTCCTGCCAGTAATGGTGCAATGAGGGGAGAGCCTTCCTGTTGTCTGCTTCAAACAGTTGCTTTTAAACATCACTCGCATTATACGAAATCCCACTTTGGCAGTATTCAGTTGCTACGCGTAAGGTTGGATTGTCTTAGCAACTTCCACGGCATTTGATTTCACCGTAACATCTCTACTTCTCAAACCAAACTCGTAACGTAAAGCTCTTCTACTAAAACTCATTGCATTGCAGCCACCTTTCTTGCAGGAGCTTTGCATTGTTTCTCTGCTTGCATTCCCCTCTCCCCACTCATCTCTCAGCATTAACATTACCCCCTCCCTTCACTGCTCAATGTCACAGGGAAGACCTACACCTTCCCCTGCATCGCCACAGCCACGCACTCTTCCTAATGGCGACAGCGATATGAGGCTTGCATACACCAAGCGAGCGCTCACCCGTCCTAGTTCACGGTGGCCACCACCGTGAATTGGCACACGTATGCTCTGCCTCACTTCACCCAATTCACGAACCACTAAGCACTCGTGGTGGTCGTCACGGGCATCCGCGACGCACACCACGACGCCAATGAGAATTGACCGCTTCGCACCTTTGTCCTCAGGCACGCGACGGCACCATTTTTGCCCGCAATGCGTGACCGTGCTACAGCCACCGCTTTCATTTCTTCCCACATTGTGGGCAAAAAGTATGCCCTTTTCTTTGTCGCGTTAATCACCCTGTATCACAATTCAGCTACTAAGCTACAAGCGCGAGTTCTTCGCTTGAGGACGAACTTCGGCTGCACAAACTCTCGCTTGCCAAAAACAACCGCCAAAGATAAAGCTATGATTTTGGGATTCTTGCCTTCAGAAAGCATCACCATTAAAATACAACTATTTTCTTAAACTGCTGCCATAAAAAATCATCAAGAAATAACTGTCATATGAAAAGTTTTTTTTTTTTCGAGCCTTGTGGAGTTTGAGTATTTCCCGAGTAAATTGAGCAACGCGAATGACAGTATGCTTGCTTTTATATTTATTTAAAATATACACTTTCGTTAGACCCTTGAAATTACATTTTTGCTTTTTTTAATTATTTTAAAATAAAAGAAGCGTCACACAGATTGCTCTCTTGTTCATTGCAATCAGTGGCTTGAAGAGAGTGAATTATATATAATTTTGCTAGGCTTTTTAAGTGTGTTGCCCTGCCTCACGTGCGCACAAGAACATGTTTTTTTTCTGCATGTACATTGCATCCAGAGCCTAAAAAAACAAGCTATATCAAATCTAACATCAGATTCATAAAGAGAAGATTAAGCACCATAAATTGTGAAAACTTCATTTTGATATTGTAAATAATAAAAAAAAAAAATTGTTTCCCCTGGCGCATGTTTCCTTAAAGGGAAGCTGAAGCGGTTTTAAATATGTGAAAAAATACCCGAGCCTGGTTAATTAGACCTGAGCCACCACGTATATCGTATTAGTTTGGTCATTTTCTGCGCGAATTAACCGGAAAAGCGCCTTCAAAGTACCGCTGAAACCACGCCTCTCTGAAGCAGAGGGAAAGGGAAGAGAAGAGGAAGCCCGTCAGCCGACGTCGCAAAAGGTCAGGCTGGAGGACCCCGCGCGGCTGGCCGCGTGCTTCCCTCGTAGGCTGCTCTACTGACTTTTATAGCCGTCGCCGTAGTACCGCCACATAGCGCTTGCTTTTACCCGTTGACCGGTCGTGATTGACTCAATTGCCTGACCTGTTGCTTGTTCTCTTGTTTGTTTAAGGTTTGCTGAATTATTGTGGCGCCAAAGCAACTGACTCGCGCTGTTGCACCATGCTGTATTCATGTGTAGCCGTCGGCTTGCACGAATGGCGCTTGTCGCAGTTGTTCTTCCCGCTTACCGCCCTTTCCCCCACACCGAGTTTTCAAAGGGATGGGCTCCCGCTATGCAAACAGACGAGTTTATGCAAGCACCCTGTTTTCTGTTCGGAACATGTTCCGGACTGCGCATATGAAAATAATGAACGTATGGGTTTGGCTCTGAAGAAGGCTCGCCTGAACCCGACGCTCTGCCGAACATCTTTGAAGGTAAGAAGGCAACTCGGCGCATTAAAAGGCACACGCAAATGGAGACGACACTAGGTAGGAATTATAGGTTGACTGTTCAAGAAAAAAGCTGTGTGCAGTGTACTGGAAAAGCCGCGATCATGTAGCCGAATAGTGGGCTTCCACTGGCTCTTGTGTGTTAACCGCCTTATACTAATGTTTTAGTTTTGGTTTGTTTTTATATCGTTGAAGTGACCATATTTCTCGAACCAACTCCATTACCCAAGATTTTTTTTTTTATCTACTCCAATACTTAGTTATTTGGGAGACTTTCACGGTGCAGCTTGTTTTAGCATGGACTTTTTTTACCGCTGCTGAGGTCCACATTTGAGGTCCACATATTTTCAAACATAAATATAAATTTTGTTAAATTTTCCTTCGATGGGTACATACATATTCTCTTCAGGAGTGCTTTTTGGAGATACAAAGCGTGTGACATTCTGTTGTGAACTGAGTTCTTTCTTTCTTTTACAAGTAGAAATGCAATCGGACGATGATGATGCTTGGAGGTGGTCTAATGCAGTCAACACATATTGGGAGGTGTGTGTGAATGTAGAGGCCCAGGAAGCTTTCACGAATTCGACATCAAACTGAGGGCTGCCGGGCACAGATCTCCGCTTTTTCTAAAGCTGTAATTGCGTAATAATTGGTGGCAAACAAATAAAACGCAGCACAGGGTACCGCTATCACAAGGATGGACCTACTGCACATCGATTCACGTAGTACTCAAGTACATCGCGATGGCAGAACGACTACCCTGTCTCATCAACAGTCTCATCTCAGGGGAAGCTCTCCTGTCGTTCCAAGCCGATTATACTATCCCTTCAAACCACTTCAGCCTTGGTGAACAATGCAGCCTGCATGCTCAGCTCACGTGTCCAGCAGCTGCCAAACATGAAGGCCGATGTGTGCCGAATTCTTGTCCTCTGACGATCGTTTTGGGGAGGGTCACGCCAATCTGGCTTGACGCATCCAGTCAATAGCACTCTGTTTATTGTCAATGTTTGACGTTACAATAAGCAGCAGCCAGTATGTTCCAGAACGTATAAAGCCAGCCATGTCGCGTCGGCGCAAGCTGTTCCTCGTGTCTGCTCGTATTACCGCGAAGGGTCGTTTTTCTGCTTTGCCAAGGGCTGGAACGCGTCCTTTGTCACGTAGAGGGTCCTCCGGACACATTCCCCTTTCGGACCCACCAAAAGAATTTGGAATAGTCAGAAGCCGAACCCGATTTACAAGAGCAGAAGCCTCGGCGCCCGATTACTTCCACAAGCGACGGAGCAAGCGAGGGTCGAGACGGACCTTTTATGATGTAATGCCGCGTCATGCGTGACTAGCCAATGGCGAGCCGCTGCGGCGGTCGCTTCAGTTTCCTTCGCTTTTTTTTCGCGTTTAGTGACTAACTTGGGTCAAATGGTTGTGATATTTGGATTCAGCAGGCACCAACACGTCAGGATCGACCATTAACTCATTTTTTTCGAAAAGCTATTCAGCTGAACACAGACATTAAGCAACTTCTGCATATATGAACAGTAAGCAGCTAAGGAAACTAGGCATAGCTTGAATTTCTTGCCCCAACTTGCAAATCAGACCACCAGTAAATCACATGACACTAAAATAATTTTGGTGGATCAGCAGTTTTTGATTAATTGGGCAGAAATAAACAGAAGAGAAATACCAACCATGTTTTCCTCACCACAATGACGAACTACCCATCACCGAACCCTCAAGCTTTGTCGGAATAGAAAGCTAGCCATTGGGATCCGATTTCATAACTGAGCGTATAAGCTTCAAAAATACAAGAGCGTGAATAGCGTCTGATTGTAGGAGTGGGCCATTTTTTCACTGAAAATTTCCGGACATCGCTCATAGCTCATATAATGCCCAATTCTGAATCTTAGCACCTTATCCGAATCTCTAGAGCTACGTTCGGGTGAAGACTGAGCTGACTGAGCATTCGCCTACAGTTTATTTTTGTTGTAGCAGCATAGGTGTGTATGTTTCAAGCTTGCCACTTGTTTTGTGTTGAACACAAACAAACACATTGCCACTGCATAGCACCTTCCAAGCGTTTGAAACACTCTATCATTCAATATGACAACCGCAGAGCTGATAAAATGATATATAAAATGGTGTGCTGTCGTAAAAACATCACTTGGTAGGACCGCGAACAAGTCGCCGGCGCCCCATCTTGCCCGCGCTACTGCTCGGGGAAGCTATGCCAGCGCCACACAGCGGCATTCGCTTCGAAGACCTCACGGAGGGCACGCCACGTTTGCCACTACACCCCTTCTAGAACAGTGTACCCAAAGCATAGAGCGGGTTATTAACGCTGTGGCGCAGCTCAGTATAACGTCTCCGCTTCGCACGCAGCGGACCCAGGTTCGATTCTCGCGGGCGGTGGACAATCTTTTTCAAGGATTTTGCAGCACCAACGACAGACGCCCTACGTCGCCAACTACAACATCAACAGCATCAACAACTACTACTACTACAACGTCAACTACTACAACTACAACACCAACAATGGACACCATTTCCAGTGGTGAGAAGAGCCCACAACAACTATTGCAGTAAAAGATAATAGCATCTTGTGTCAGCGATGCAAGGATGACCGCCCCGAAGCAGCCCGTTACAGCTGCTTTTCTAGATGCGGTCAGTTCGGGAATGTTTTGAACCAGGACACAAGATGACAGTCAAGAATAAGCTGGAACTTTCTTGACGATTGCAGTCCTTCATGCGGCAGCCGTGTGCATTGCCAACTTTGCCCCGCACAGTGGCTAAGTGATAAGATGTTGTCCTATGGCGAGTCACATTGATGTCATACATAATGGGATGTCATAATATCAGGTGTCACCACAAATTACGTCATGTTATAGTATGGGGCGACGCATTATATGGTATCGCAATACGAGGTTTCCGACCATAAAGTGTCGTTATAGGATGTCCCCCTGTGCAGTACCACACTACAGGACATCCTACTACGGGGTGTCACACAACATGATTTCACACTATGGGACATGTGTGACACCAAAAGGGGTGCCGCACTTGGAAAAGTCCGTGCATTAAGTAAGTTTGAAAATCAATAAAAGGCCCCTGAAAAGAAAAAAAATTTTTTTTTTAAGCATGTCAAAAAATAAATTTTATGCAAAAAAAAAAAATTTTTTAGTGCAATATCAACGGCGAGAAATTTATTTTAAATTCTGCGCGGCAAGTTCATGAAGGCAAAGCCGATCCACCTCTCCTCAACACGCCCGAAACGCCAAGAGAAAAAACAAGTGGAAAGGAGGTGACTGCCAACTAAATTGTGTCTCGCGCTGTCGATATTGCTTTAAAAAAGCTTTTTCGCATAAAATTATTTTCTTGACATACCTGTCCCAACCAGACTTAAAAAAAAGCTTTCTTTTTCTTTTCAGGAGCCCTTTAATAAAAGCAAGTTAGAAAAGTGCGGCAAGATGAGACAACAAACCCCTTTTTCAAAACATGCTGTCACCACAAAGAAAGAGTGTAACCATATATTGATGGCACTAAATGAGCAGCAGACCTAACCTAGTAGGGCAACGAAAGCAGACACGCGAAACAGGCAATTTGGTTCACGAACGACAAGACCTTCTGACCGGCGAGGGGCAAGCACGTACCACGTTTGTCAAGAGCCGTTCTGCCTCGGGAAAGTCATCCTCACGGAGCCGGCGCAATGCCTCCCTCAGAGCAACCTCCTGAAAGGTGCTCAGCAGGGGCTCGACAGAGCCCGCCCTGCGACGCAGCAGGTGGTACTGGCCCTCCGGAATGTTTCCTTGGTGCACGCACCGCAGCATGAGCTCCTGCGTTGGCGTTAAACAAAGAAACACACACAGAATTTCACCTACGGGGTGGGTGTCTACAACCAATATTTGCGCTATAAACCGAGCCGGAAAAATTTCCGTTTGTCCGTGTAGACTCACTCCTGTGAAAAATGAGGTCGACAAACTTGCCAAGGTCAACAGCGGACGTGTTTGCAACTGACTAAGTTAGCAATGATGCCACAAGTCACACTCGTCGCCGACTCGGTCGTCTGCAAAACGGGCCCGCTGCTGACCCTGGCAAGTTTGTTGGTCTCGAGTTTTCGCAGGAAGGAAGCTATATCCTGAAATGCCAGGTAAACTGGGTTAACATTAAAATAAATAAGAAAATTAGTCATTCAAACAGTGGATCAACCAATCACAGGCCTGATGATGCATACCAGACCAAATCACTGCAGTATATTTGAAAATGGCTCGAATTAATAGATGACGTTTTTCTATGTTTTAAGGAGTAATTTACAAACTTCATTTAACAGCAAAAACGCGTAGCAAAGTGACTGTGCACGCAAAACATAGCTCCCCAACATTTGTCCGGGTTCACTCAACACTTCTAGGATTTATTTTCTCTAGAGCAGGGGTTCTCAATAACCTATGTTTCGCGAACCCCTTGTGGATCGGCAGAGATGATGGAGGGCCCTGTTCGAGGTGAGGGGAAGGGAAAGGTATAGGTTGATTATGATTATTATTTAATAAATCTGTATAACTAAGGGCTAGTGTAAAGTAGACTTCTCTCATTGACATACCACGAGAAAACTCACTGCCTGAAGGAAGACAAATTCTATTTCTGGGCTTGACTGATGAGGCAGGGCTTCGCGGATTCCTAGAATGCTTTTGCAGACACCAAAGAATCTGCGGACCCCCATTTGACAACCATTGCTCTAGGGCCTTCAAATTTAATCCGTAAATCAATTAGATAACGAGCAAATAAATTATTTGACGTAACTCCCTCACTTTCTCGGTGAGCTTGTCCCATTCAGAAGCATTAGCCTGTGCTGCATCCTTCAACTCCGGAACGGCAGCTGCCAAAACCGATCCGTGATGGATCTGGCTTCGGAGCTTCCCCAGATGGCCTGCCAGTATGACAGACATCCGCTTTCGAAGCTGAACTCTCTCGGGCCAAGTGTCGTTCAACTCTCGAGGCAATGCCATTGCCAGAAGACGAACAACACTCGACAGGACAAGCTGCAAGATCGAAATAAAACAGTTAATTAGTTGATTAGCACAAGCCAGGGAAATAGTGCAACATTACACAGCAGAAACAAAGGCCCAGCTAAAGCTGTTGAGTAACACCATCATCCCTGGACGTAAATCAATGACTACCACCTCGAAAATAAACTGCCATTTTAAAAAAACTCTGGACGCAAGACATAGAAAAGGAGATGACCGACACAACCCACCGATCGAGTGGATCAACGTTCAACCGATAACCTTACGGATCAACCTACCAACGTTTTTAATACATGGTATTCATTAGCATTTGAGTCACAGTGCATGCTCGGAACGAGAAAAGATTCGTAACCCGTTAAAAACGTCAACCTTGACGGTGTTGAACGCACGCTGCAGAAGCGCTGCAGAACCTTGTCGTCAGCACGCGCTTAGCAGCAACGAACTCCACTGTAACCGCCACGAGAACGTAAAATTAAAAAATAAATGTTAGGAAGTAAAAGAACCTAACCGTCGGCACCTACCTAAACAACGAAGACGCTTTCCCAGAGGATGTCACTGCACACAGCAGAGGCACCCTCTCAAGACTGGTTGATCCGTTTGCATTTGAATAGTGTGATCGAGAGTGCTGCGCTTGCTCGTAACTTTCTAAGGGAAAACACACTGGCACACTGGCACCATCAACGAGGTAGCCTTGACTACAGCGTATAGTATATTTTTTCAACTTTTTACGCATTGTTTTTTTACCGTGGGCTCGAAATATTCCGACAGCGTTTGCAAGTGACCACTTCTCATAGGTAGTGTCTAGATTTGATCTCTCAAATACTGCAGAGCCTTCGGTTTAGTCATACGCAGGTCGGCAGTGAGCCCGGTGCACTCGATCACGTTCATGCGCAAATGTGCAAACCAGCCTTTAGAAAGAACGTGCAAGGGGACCCCAACGCTTGTCTGCCAACAATCCCGAACCTACACCTTCGAGGCCATAAAAAAGGCCAACCGAGGAGGTGCAGCTACTTGGCCGGCCCCTCGAGCAGCGCGTGCCGCAGCAGATGTGGGCCTGTCGGGTATCTCTTCCTACCTGAAGCAGCTGCTGTGAGAAGTGTTTGGACGAGAGATCACCCAGGGCTTCCACGACTGCCCGGCCCAGTTCGGTCAGGACGCTGTCCCAGGCGTTCACTTCCGAGGCGAGCAACTCGAGCTGCTGCGCATCTCCGGTGTCCTTGGGCCGACTTCTCGTCAGCTGGAGCTCCATGGCTGCATCACGCAGAAACGCGGGAATGTGCGAGACTGAAATTTTCTTCGCACATACAGCACGGTGCCAAATCGGCACTACAGATGCAGCAGTAACCTTGTGCTACGTCCGTGCTTCAAGCATGAGGCCTGGCCTTTTCCTGTTCACACACACAGTGTTGCTAACTCGGTGCCGAGTCCGCACTGCCAGTGGCGCTGATGCCATGTTCACTCGGCGCTATCTCAGCAATGATGCAATGCTGACTCTATGCTGCCCCAGCATTATGATGCATGTATGAACCAACCTTAGGACCAGCAGCTACTGCCCTCGTACACGGTGAAGGAAGTTGGCACAATCAGTCCTCATTTCAGGCACTCCTAGTAACACAATTTGTGGAAAGGAAAGGGAAATCTCCCCAAATACTTATGATGCCCCTGGTGCCAATAAAAAGAAAACAAGCGCTTCTAGCAAAACGTCAAGTTTACGCTGACTGCAACTTTCTACTGCTCTCGCAAGTAGAAAAAAGCAGCTTGAGCACTAAGCCTAGACATACCTCGAATCTAAACTTTTTCTGAAATCAAGGTTTACAAAAAATACTAAGATTTTGTTTGTAAGAACGTGCAGGAATGCCCCGTGCATTCATTCGAAGACCCCAAAAGGCAATGTTCACACACACACACACGCAAGTTTGAAGACAGTTTGGGAACACGCACCATCCTCCTTGGCCTTGAGAAAAAAAGCCAGCATGTCGAGCTGCCGGTGTCGGACTCCCCGAAGCAGAACGGACAAGTCCATGGCCATCGCCTGCCACCGGTTGAGCTGCGACAGCGTCTCCGCAGCACGTCGCCCAGTCTGCTCCATGACCTGCGCGTTCCAGTGGACGCAAGCAACGTTCATACCCCTGTGGCTTCGGCGATGCGACACCCAAGCTCTACCAAGCCCAATTGTCTCTCGTTTGCGTTGGAAGAGACAACGTCTCTGCTCAAGAACTACATGGTGATTCCGAGTGCTATCCGGGCATAAAAATATTTGCATAAATAAATTAATGAATGGCGTGCATTGAATCTTTTCACAAAGGTGGTGCTCTTATTATGTATATACTCCAATCTCATGAGTGTGGGTTTCAGGAAAAAAATTAAGCCTAAAAAATCCTGCCTTTTTTTTTTCTATGCACGGGGGAAAAACGGAAAATACAGTCTGGATGACACTGCTAATCACAAGTGGTACAACACACGTTCAGATGTGCTGGATCTTTTCTTAGAGTGTTGCTCTCAAAGAAGCCTTCATGCTTAAATTTTAGCCTTAAATATCTTTCCCCTCGGGAAAAAATTAAAAATTTAAGCACTCATGAATTTTAAGCATGATAAATGCAACACTTAAAGACAGCTTTCTGGAAAGTTTCAATACGCTACATTCAATATTTATACAAACTTTTTTCAGGCCCGAAGAACGCTCGGAAACACCCCGTAGATATGCCAACCAGAGCCGTGGGTATTAAATCCCTCAAGACTGCTGACAGCTGTCTTGTGACTGAGGCACGCCGTACAATCCTTACCTCAGCCAACAGTCGACGGCTGGCGGCGCCAAAGGTGAGGGTGGCGGTGTTGTAGGCAAACAGGAATGCCGGGGCGCACTGCAGGGTACTCCTCGTGTCGTGCATTAACACAAAGTTCCCGTGGCTCGAAAGATCCGCCTGCCTGAAAGGTGAACCAAATGGAAGACAATGTGAAGAATTGATTTTCGGCACTAGCAGAACCTTTTTGGAAGTGGATGCACTCCAATAGGTGTTCCAAGGCCACCATAGTTTGTGTGTGCACCTTGAGTAAGCACTGGACACGAGTGCTCTGCATGAGCATTCAGTGCGTATTCGGGCACGAGCTTATTCGACACGAGCACTGCGTTGGTGCCCGGCGTGAACTTGAGTCAAATCACGCGCTTCACGCAAGAAGCGATGCTCAAAATATGTCGGCTGCCGGTGCCACTCGACAGACTTTCGAAGAGGGTCTACTGGTCAAAAAGGGTAAACTGTTTCCTGGCCCCTTTTAAGAAACAGAAAGTGGAATGGTTCAAACGCAACTTACTCGACAATGGGCGAGAACGCGCCACCTGCACCCATCTCGAAAGCCACGACCCTCTGCAGTCCTCCTGCGCCGTAGCAAAACACAATCCTTCGGTCTTCGCCCATCCACATGACGTGACTGTTCGCCGCTTCGTCGGACACGTCCAAAAGCAGCTTCCAATTCCGGGTGGCACACACTTCATCGTCGAGCGTTTTTTTCTTCACAAACGCGGTGACCCTCACCCCGTCTTTAGGGGTCGGCGCGATGCGCCAGCTCTCGCCGAAGGCGGGCTTCTCCGCCACGACTGAGTAAAGTCTCGCGTGCCCGACGCAAACTGCGAGGGCACCTTGCTCGGGGCACAGGACAAAGTCTGTGACCTGGCTGCCATCAAAGGGGCAGGCCTGTAGTTCCAGAAGAGAGGAACGCAACCCAGTTTGGAGGCTGTACCCTACTGTGTTTCTGAGTCAAGGAGCAACGACGAGAGTTCGAGCTCTTTTGAGCGTTCAGAGCACGATGAACGATGCTGCAGCCTTTATTGTGCGCTCGTCGCCTTCCTTTGGGCTGGTCTTGTGTGCACGCTATACCCTATTCACCACTAAGCTGCGACTCCAGTGGGAGCAACGTGCCTGCCAAACCAATTAGCTGCCTCCCTCTCATCACCTGACCCGGCTCTGAGTGTGGGTATGGGCAGGAGTGTGACGACGTGATGAAAGAGAGGCGTACGACTGGCCCAACAAGGACGTAGCTTCCACCGCAGTCTCAGCTTAGAGGTGAATGAAGTACAAAAATAATAATAATAATAATAATACTTTTATTGTTTCAATCAACACAAAACAATGAAGCGTTATCAAAGGCAGGAAGCTCTTGTTGGAGGTGGGAAAAGTGCAGGACCTCCCTGCCATTCTCACCCTACAGTGCGGCAACGAAAACTCACATGCTCAACCAGCCGACCCATTCAATTATATTTGACAACAAACTTTCATATCTTAACTCAAACATGCAATGTCACGCGAAGCTGCTTAAAGAGAGAAACCTCTTTTTGTCAATTTCTTCTCCTAAATGCGCTACAACAAGGTTTGTCAGTAAACTAAAGGTGCACACGAAATGAGTCCACGAATGATTCAAAAACCCCCAAAAAAGGATACCAATGCTTGCTTGCGACGTGAGCACGTACACCTCGGAGTCTATCACCCTCACCCGCACCACCTCGCAACCCAAGTCTGAGTGCCACACCGTCTCGAGGGCATCTCCGATCAAAAGAGTGCACAGCAAGAGAGACCGGTTGATCAGGAAGACGAAGTTGTCGCCGTGGCAGAGCACCCACTCGACCTTCGCCAGTCCTGTAACCCGAGGAAGAAACACAACTGCAGGCGATCCGATTTTTACTGCCACGCGCGTGCCTGAGCCAGTCTGCGAGCGACTGGACCCGACATGTCGTTTTTTTTCCAGTTAGGACCTGTTTTTGCTGTCTATTTTCAATGCACAAGGAAAGGCGAAAGGGCAGAGGGGTTGATCGCAGATGCAGGCAGCCGCCAAACGTGAACACTGAAATGCTGGAAGCATTTCAGTGCGGAGAAAAGCAAGCCGATTGGAACATCTGACCGTGAGCAGTGTTTGCTATGCGTGTACGACGCTGTAAGACTACTCTTCATCATTTACACGAAACGACGAACTTGGCAGCGTGCTCCGACTGCGCTAGAGTGATCCCACCCAATGTGTTTTGTGCATTCCTTGAGTGCATGCCACTACTACAGAATACAGCAGCTCCCCTTCGAAAACACTATCGCACAAGCTGTGTGCAGTGCTAGCAAAGGTACAGATGCAGGGGCATAGCACCATGCTAACCTTTGTTTGCACAAAAACACACACCCAAAGAGCACCTTCTACACATTCTGAAGCTGTATGCTCGAGTCCGTGCCGCCCACATTTGCTGCACAGAACTGGAGTGTAAAAGTATAGACGATTGTAAGCAGGGCAGCTGGCCATGTCTCTGCACATGCAGGCAAGCATATGCAATTGCAAGCCTGTCAAGGCCACCTTCACGCGCACGATTCGCGTGGTGGCGCCCATGCATGGGGCACCAGTCGGGGTGCCAAGCTTGCAATGCGAAGCACAATTTCATCCGCTTCTTCTGCAGGGGTTGTAGTGACGTCAGAATGCCGAGCTCTGATTGGCTCCGATTGAGGGATAGTGGGTGGACCTCAACGCAAACTGCGTTGAGGTCTAGTTACTAGCCTTCAATTCGAACCAATCAGAGCTCGGTGTTCTGACGTCACCACAACCCCTGCAAAAGAAACAAACAAACTTGTGCTCCAGATTGACTGTGCAAAAGGCAAGTTTGTCTGCTTCTCGTGCAGGGGCTGCGGTGATGTCAGAACACCGAGCTCTGATCGGCCCGATAGGAAGGACAGTGGGTAGAGCTCAAGGCAGCTAGCACTGAGGTCTACCCGCTATCTTTCCAATCAGAGCCAAACAGAACTCGGCATTCTGACGTCACCGTAACCCCTGCGCAATTGAGAAGCAGACGAACTTGTGCTCCGGCCGCATAGACAATGCGGAGAGCAAGTCATCAGCTTCTCGCACAGGAGTTGCAGTATCGCCAAAATGATGCCGAGCTTTATTTGACTTTGAAAGAATAGTGGATAGACCTCAATGCTGGATGCTTTAAGGTCCACCCACTATTTTTTTTCTTCAATCAGCCCATAAGAGTGTGGCGTTCTGACATCGAACCTCATGTGCAAGAAGTGGACAAACTTGAGCTCTGCATTGCAAACCTGGCGTCCCCACTGGTGCCCCATACGTGCAAGCACGTGCAGCTTGCGCGTGAACACAGCTTTGGCAAGCTTGAAATTGCACGGGCTTGTCCGCACGAGCAGACACGGCGGCAGCCAGTAGCTTTGCTTGCAATCGTCCATATATAGTCAATTATTGTCGCTGTCCAATCATTTAAGACTTATCTCCGAGCGCATATGCAATCACGAAGGCAAGGCAGGCAAGGCAGCAACGATCGTACGAAGCAGACGAATAAAATATTTCAGTGTCCTCTCGACAAACGCGAGGTACCCCGAGATGACGCCGATGTCGGGAGGCCCTGTGTGACCGCCTCGTTTATATTTCGACGGCGGCGTCGACGTCGACCAAAACGCGCCTATTTTTTATGTAAATATTGAGACCAAAAACGAACTTAATAACAACTAACTTTGGACGGAGTTCCAACGCAGAGATCTCTGCTTGTAAGTACAGCCGTGCCCGTTGTATCGCACCAGGGAAACTTCATGTCCGCTCGAGACGACCGCAAGTTCGTCGGCGTCGGCGAGACCATCCCTCCAGATACAACTGCGGGCAAACCAAGAGATTCAGGATTTTCAGAGTTTACAAAGAGAAAGAATCGCGTTGCGTAACGAGAAATTGCTCCAACTCACTCCTGAACGTCGCGTAAGGACGAAATGACACGGTCCGTTTTCAGGTCGACGACTTTCAGGTTTGACTCGTGGATGAAACAGTACGACACTAGCAGCGGGGACGGACTGACGATATGTGCGCGTGGCTCGGACCGAGGGCCTTTGAGTTTCTTGAGCAGAGTTAGAGTCATTTTGGTTGTCCAAAACGTCGTTCATCGTGCAGAATATCCGAATGTAAACATTGGTCACGTGCGACTCGAGCGATGTGTACGCCCCTCCAAGAGACAGCAAATGCGCTCGTCAAGTTCGTTGGTTGTTCGTGTTGTGAAAGTACTCGAGGAAAAAATAGTTTAAGCTTTCATAAACATTATCGTTTTACAAAATGTGATAACATGTATTTTACTAATGCAGTTTTTGGATGATAAATTAAAATAGTTTATTTTCTAATTCAATGCTAAAGGCTAGGTAGCGCACGGCACCGCCCGATCCATAGGAACAGCAGTTATGCATCTATCCATTCATACTTACATCCCATTGATTTTTTTAAGCAACGCGCGAATTTTGATTTTCTTTTTTGTGTACATCCTTGGAAGCATCTTGTGGGCTTACCGGGTTTGCGTCAAACTTCAGAGAAAAGTAAGCCAGCTATGGTTGACATAGGGAAATGTTACTTTTCAGGGGTCCAATTGTTCTATTAATGTTTAGAGAGCGGTGAAGAAAATCTGGCGTGTCAGCATTAGGCAGTACCATAGCCTCCTCTATACGGAGAAAGCCTGGCACATCGACGACGGAGCCATAGAGCGCGCGGCCGCAGGAAAAAGGAGAGGAGGAGCGCGCCGAACGGTGACCAATATGGTAGCGCAGAGCAGAAAGGGCAGACCTAGACAGCGAGCGCTTGGGTCATGAGCGGCCGCTCCCCGAACCACGCTTGTTTTTGTGTTTTCGTCACCGTTGTTTTCGTACTCCGGGAGAAACGGGCGCGGCGATTCGAAAGGGCGCAGGGAGAAGCGGGAAGGGGTGGACGTTGAGTTTCTCCTCTCCACGATAGCGACAAGAAAAGAGAGAGAGAAAAAAAATTGTTTCTGCGTTTGGCCGCTCGCTCTTTTGTGGCGCTAGCGGATAAGGTTCTCTCCGCTCCCGTTTCTCCGCCCCTCCTTTCCCATTTACGGCGGCCGTCTTTTCACGCGACGCGCCAGGCTTTCTCCGTATAGAGGAGGCTATGGCAGTACTGATTACGCGAACGGCAGGGGCAAGCCCAGGATCCCCGTATTTTGAAGGGGGGTTCTGGGGTCGTGCGGGGGCCTCATAAGACTGCTGCATGCGGCCCGCCGGCCGTGGGTTGCCGACCCCTGGCTTAGAGTAATAGGTATAAATGGCTGCGAAGTTCTAAATTACTGAACTTAGAAGAAACAAGACCATTTCCAAAACTAATGGAAACATTTTACCCTTAAAACAGAGCATGTAGGAGAGGAGTTTGAAAATACCTCCTTGATCTTCATAAGAGATGCCCTTAAATGTGTCCAAAGTGATAGAATTTGCTATATGCTTTGGCAATATCGAGGAAAATGACGGCGTAACAGTGATTTGCTTGTTTGGCTTAATTCCTCCAGCGCTGAGACTAGATCCCCAATAGCATCTGCCGTGCAACGTCGATCGAATCGCAGCTCAGGCACATGAACTCACCACGCAGGGGGCACCCCTACGTGGCGAGTTTGTAAATGCTTTGTACGCGAGTAGTTTTGTTTCAATGGGAGCTAGATATAATGTTAGTCTAATGAAACCAAGTGTTTTTAGTTATTCGCTCGATGTGCTCGTTCCATGATAACGTGTCTGTAAAATACACACCCAAATACTTGTACGATGATGAGTGTTCTAGTGGTTGTGAAAGTAATAAGTACTGGGCTAGTGCTTTAGTGAGGGTTTAGGTACGGAGTTGATTTGCATTTACGAGTGTTAATGTTCATCTGCATGATGGTATGGTATCTAAATTGTCTTGGGGGGGATCGGTGGCCGAATTAACTAGCGCACACCAGCTCGGAGCACGTGGAGTGAAAGCTCGCGCTGCAGAACCCAGGATCCTGGGTTCAATCCCCACCCCTGCCCGTTTTGATCTGGGTGAGCATCGTACCATCGTGCGGTCGCGTATCACGACTGCGTGATGCACGTTAAAGATTCCAGGCTAGCGGTTGTGCTGCACGGGCGGCGGAGAAAAGCTCACCGGAGAAAAGCTCACCGGAGAAAAGCTCACCGGAGATAAGCTCACCGCAAAACCGGCAGATGCGGAGAGGAGCTCACCGGCCTTTGAGCGGATGCGGAGAAGAGCTCACCGATTTTTTTTTTTTTTTTAACTTAGCGGATTCTTTGCCGAGCGTGGCAATTTAACACAACTCGCATTCGTCACTTCATTGAAGATATGTCGTCTTTTTTGTAATATTCTTGAAATTCATTGTGCATATTTACTAATTCCTCAGAAATTAGTAATCAACCATTTTGTATATTAATGAAGCTGTAAGTATAAAATCAGAACATCGTACAATGGTAAAAAAGACAACAATTTATCGAAAGCTGACAGTGCGCAGTCGGTAGCTCTGTCAGATCAAGAGGTTTGTTTTTTGCGAGCTAATATGGATATCGGTGTGCGAACCGTTTCAGCTCCAAATATTGTGTAATGTCTAATAGACAAGTAGGTGTTTGTTGATGTAATCAGTGTCAGCTACGCTGTTTTATTTCTGTTAATCTGACTAACAAACCTTTAGTTGCGAGAACAGCTTCGTCCTGTCGTGTTTGTTGTCTTCACTCCGTCGTCGTCGTTTGAGCAGTTTTCATCATGTATAACGTTTACCAACTCGCCTGATTCACTAGCTTACAGAAGACTACTTCTTATATAGGTCACGAGTAACAACGGTGCCGGTGTGCAGCTCTGAAGGCCATGAGTGGCGCACCGTAGAAAGGGCACTATCACACAAAGGCAACGTGTGGAAACATCAGCACGAACGGCTAGAAAACGTGTATGTCCGTGGAAGAAAGAAGCTTCGATATCCTACTTAGTGTTTTATCCTGTTTTCAAAGGTTAACAAAAGCTTCAAAGAGGATTTCAAGCACGGTTGCGCATGCACTTTCAGATTTTCGGCATTTAAAGTTTTGATTTTTCGGTTTTAGGCAGATATTATTAAGTATTCGAACATTTTCTTGTTCTTCAAGTTCATTAAGTTTTCAGTTAGGCCGTTAGGCCTTCCTTGCCTAGAGTGTAAGCCACAAAAAACACTCACCCGCAATTATTAATTTGGGAGCAATATACCCAATAATCTTAACAAATATTACGAAGAGGGACATTTTCTTTTCTACAAAGCTCACGAATTTTAATAATAATAAATTGATATATTTTACGCATAATCCAACAACCTCCATAAAAAAAAAAAAAAAAAAATCGGCGAGTTTTTTTTTGCATACGCGCAATGGCCGGTGAGCTTTTCTCTGCATCCGTCAGTTTTGCGGTGAGCTTTTCTCCGGTGAGCTTATCTCGGTGAGCTTTTCTCCGGTGAGCTTTTCTCCGGGATTCCACCTTCACAGAGTGGGATGGTTCATGATTTCTTTTTCTTCAACATTTTGGGGATGTACGGAACGACAACAGTTTTTGACATAATAAAGGAACATCTTACGATAATTTGCGCTAAATCGTGTGCCCCGTAAAAAGTTTTTTTATTTTTTTTTATTGCCTCAGCGGCATTGTGCAGCAGACGACGCGGCGCAGGGGAGGACGGCAGCTGTGCATCGACGGCCTCTCACGCGGTTCGGAAAGCGCGCGAAAAAAAAAAATGCGGTGGCTTGGCTCGGCTATGCCAGGATGTACGTAGCATGAGCTTATGCGCGCAAAATGAGAGGCTCTATCAAGCGGCTCTGGTGCAGCGTCAGACTTGGCTACTGCGCAACGGAGGCGCACAAGTGGGCACGCGGCGGCGCCAGTGCGTCGCCGCGGCTATGACGTCGCTCCTCTGGAATGTGCAGACCGGCGAGGCGCGCGCGGCGGCGGCGGCTCGGGCGCGCCAGCTGTGCGCCGTGTGACGTCACTTCTTTTCGCGCTTGCGCAGCACGGCTTTTTGACAGCCACGCGGAACTGCTCAACCTCGGCCAGTGTAGCTCACGCTACAAAAAACGTCACACCGTTCACGTGACCCACTCCAGCCAACCCAAAAACTTCATCTCTGCTGCATAAAAAAAAAATCGTCGGCTTCAAACGACATTAGGGAGTTTTCGTAAATAGTTTTCGCCGTCCTGCAACGCTCTCCGCAACCCGCTACGATGCCCGGAGCTCTACGGCCAAGGTCATCGACGCGCAGGCGCAGTAGCTGCATATTTGTTGCGGAGGATTTAGCGGAAGGGAAAACGCGATGTACGAAAACTCCTTATTGCCTTGGAAATTGCCTTCTCAACATTTTCACACGCATCCCTTATTATGCAAACTTCGATAATGTGTTTAGTGCTTTACCAACTTCGCGGCAGACTAGATTCGAAAAGTGTGAACTCGGCGTTTATTTATTTATTTATTTTTTTTTTTAAAGGGGCCCTGCAAGGACTTTTTACTGTTTTTTAATTTGCACCGAACCTGAGCGCACTGAACGTAGTAACTTAGTAAAACTTTTCTTTTCGCGAAATTCGCTTTATTTTAAAAGTTATAGGCAATTTAGAATTACAAAAACAAGCAAAAAATAACCTCCTTCATGACGTCGTAGGTCCTGGCTTGAGTGGCCGTGAACTAGAGGAGGAATAGTGAGCTCATCGAGCGCTCACGGCCGCCGCACTCCTTGTCGACGGCGCCAGAGGGCGCCACTAAAGCATGTTCTGGATAGGCTGTATGCAGCGGGCAGCCAAGGCGGCTTTTATTGCGTTTGCTGTGCGATTAAACACTAATTCGGCATGACACTTCATTGGCCACAAACGACAGCAAACACGGGGTAAAGATCAGTTCAGAATGGGAGCCACTTCGCGCTGCCATACCGCGAAACGGCCAAACCGCAATACAAAGCCTCTCGCCGAACGCCTTCGGAACGCTCGGTGCCGGTCGGATCCTCGGATCCTCCTGTCCATACGACCGCAGCGCCGCCGCGTACATCTGGGACCTTTCTGTGTCGGCGCCTGATCCCACTACTCCTTTCTAGTATGCGCCGCCTTTTCCACCGCTTGGTGGCGAGTAAGTCAACGCGTCATTTCTTGTTTCCGTACTTTATAAACTGCATTCGTTTCTTTTTCTGATGTAAAATACTGAACAAAAACTACTTTTATAAATAATTGAAACGGTTCGCGCCACTTATATTTTGTATTTC